TGCCCGGCGTTTCGTGCCTGTCGCCGTGACCACGACCCTTGCGCTTGCTACCGGAGCTAGTAGGCGTCCACTCTGGGGTGCTGTAGATGTTGTTCTCTAGGGGTGGACTTCCGTACCGAGTGGACGAACGCTGGCCCTTGTCGCTCCAACCGTCGTAGCGGGATGCGTTGTTCCAGATGTCCTGGGAGCCGGAACCGCTGTGCTTGCTGCCGGAGGCGTTGTCCCATCCCGAGGTGCTTCGTGTGTTCCAGTCATCCGTCTTCCAGTCATCTCTGCTGGTGTTGGAACTGTTCCAGTTTGTAGGTGTGGCATTGTTGCGGGTAGACCAGTCATCTTTGGTGCCAGCGGTGCTGTCGTTCCAGCCACGGGAACTACTCTTATCCCGGCCTGAATGGGAGGTGTCGTTATCCCAGACATGAGAGGTTCTGTGATGTCGGTCGGAATGGGAAGTATTATTATCCCAAGCGCCCGAGGTCTTGCTACCCCGGCCCGAATGGGAAGTGTTATCCCAGCCACCACCAGAGTTCTTGTTATCCCAACCTGAGTGGGAGGCGTTGTCAGCGTTCCAGCCGTCGTTGGCGGTGTCAGCAGGCCACTGTTGAGACTTGTGGGAGTCAGATCCCTTCTTCGAGCCCCAACCGCCTTGGCTACCGTTGTCGGTTCCTACACTGGATTTGGGAGGGGGGACGTCGCCCCACACGGGCGAGGTGCTACCTCTATCCTTGTTAGAACCGCTCCACTGGTTGGACTGTCGATCCATTCCCCAGAGATCCTGAGAGCCATCGTGTCGCTGCTTGTCATAATTGTACTTGGGTGACTTTTGGGGTCGGGACTGCTGCTGATGTCCCCTGTGTTGCTCACGGGGGTAAGACGGTCTGCGAGATTGTCCACGAGGATAGGGACCAGGTCGGGGGTACGAACTCAAGCGCGGGCCTTGGGGAGGAGGAGGCTGCGCCGGATGGGGACGGAAGCCGTGGTAATACGGGTTATTGAGAGGGTGAGGAACGCCGATGGGCATCTTTCGCAGCGAAGGGTCTCGACGGGGGTAGAGCTTGCCGGTGGGATTTCCGTAAACAGGTCCATGGTACACGCGGACGATGTTGTTTTGACCATCGACGAAAGCGTTGGGACGAGGATCCTCTGGACCCTCAACGGTGTGCTCGACTTGCATCACCTCAGCTTGGATGGGCCTAATCAGATTGGGCCGGCGTAGGCTTGGGCCGTCCATGGGCTCGGGGTACTTCATCCTGACCGGTGCACCACGGGTCGCACCAGTCGAGCTAGCGTCGAAAGGAATGGTGGGTCCATTATCAAAGGTTTGGTCCAACCGAGCCGACTTCTTGCTCTTCTTTTTGCTCTTCTTGTTCTTGCGGGGCTTCTTATTATGCTTGCGCTCCCAGTCACTCTCCTTGCCGGAGCTTGACGAATCCGAATCGTGCTCGGCGATGACCTTTCGTCGATGGCGAGAGCGGGAAGGCGACGGCGAGCGTGACTTTGATCGATGTCGGGTTCGCTCGCGGCTCCGGCTTCTCTCACGGCTTCGGCTTCTCTTGGACGACTTTCGCTTGGATGGCGACTCCTGGACCTTTTCCTCGTCCTCGGAATCGGAGAAGTCAGAAGAATCCGAGCGACCGGATGGAGACTCAGAAGACGAGGTAAAAATGGCCTTCTTCTTTTTCTTGTTCTTTCTCTTCTTCCTATTAACGGGGCTCGAAGGAGGCGAATAAATGGGCTCACTCTCGCTGTCGCTGTCGCTATCTGAAGAAGAAGGAGAAGTGGTCGGCGTTGAACGACTGCGTCGGCTCTTTAGCTTTCGGGCCTGTCGCGTCTTCTTGCGCGAACGAGATTCAGAGTACGAGTCGCTCTCATCTCCAGAATACACAGCAACGCTGCCATGGAACGAAACGGTTGAAGCATTCGAGCCCGTCTCGTCAGCAGAATCAGAAGACTCGCCTTCGTCTTCGTCACGAGAAACAACACGCCGAACCCATTCGTATCGGGTGGGACTAGTAGAAAACCGCGAGCCCTTCTTCATGGCTGACTTCAAAGGCTGTTGAAACCTGACCTTCTTAACGCTGGGTGGGGAGCCGGAATCGTCGCTTTGAAGTTTGGCCGTATCTGGGGCCTTGGAACCCGTGCGGGGATAGGTGACGGTTACAGAGTCGGTCTCGGACTCGTCGTCGGTGGTGACTTCGAGTTTGACGACACTCCTTTTGGTCGACTCTGGAAGGGGGGAGGCGGCGGGTTCTGCGTCTTCGCGCTCCGCCTGCTTGGCCTCGTCGCGGAGACGCTTCTGCTCGGCCTTGCGGATAGCATTGTCGATGGTTGTTCCAGCGGCCCACTCGCAGAAGAACGAGGGCTTGAAACTGCTGAAACCCGGTCCTCTACGGACCATTGTTTCGATTCTTTCGCTCGCTTTTGATGGAGCTTTTGATGGATTGATGGAAATGAGATGGAAAAAGGGTTGGTTTTGATGATGATGCTTGTGTGATGGTGTTTGAAGGGATAAAGAGGAAAGGTAGAAAAGGAAGCCATTCTTGCTTTTGTGCTCTGAGAAAAGTCTGGTCAGGGCCAGGCGACTAAGCGATAGTGAAGCTGTTCCTGGAAGCCCGCGATGGCAAGCTGGTGGTGAGGTGGGTGGTTTGTCGTCGTGATGGAAGTTGCAGTCTTGGGGGAGGAGGCAAGCCAAGAAGGAGCTGGCGATCTTGGTAGAGGGAGCATGTGCCACCACCCAAAGAGGTCTTGATAGACAATTTCTGTGGGTAAATAAAACTGTTAAGGCTTTACGAGATACTGTATTGCCTCAATATCAGTTCATTGAAGGACACTGTTAAGCATTGGGGAGGGAATGATTTAGATATCAAGATCTCTTCTTGAAACTCACGATAGCTTCAATTCTGCCCAGGCTCTCCAGCTTCAGATTTCAGATCAAAAGCCAGCTTCAAATATTAACAAGAAAACATTGCCCACCAACCAAAATGCCAAACATAAAGCTGCCTCCTCCAAAAACATGTTGTATAGATGCATCTCATAACTTTACAATAGGAAGAACAGGAATAATAGAAACGAAATGAAAACTAAAAAAAGAAAATAAATCCTCCGCCAATTCTAGAACCGCGATAAGAAGCCGCCAACATCTCCATGCACAATCACAGTTTGGCCATGATCTCCTTCTCCTCGGCCGCCCACCTCTCATTAATCTTCCCATTCTGCCAGTACTCCCAAGCTCCCTTGGCAGCGGCAAGAGGAGGACAAGCCAACAAGAGCCACGTCCACCAGCTCGGATTCGCCTTCTCCAGCTCCTTGATGGCCTCGTCGATGCTCTTCTGCAAGTCCTCCTTCGTCCCATCGTTCAAAACCACGATTCCCCGTCCGGGACCCCTCGCAATACATCTCTTCGCCTTGAGCCTCACATCCCCCTGGCTGCGTACCCGGTTCTCCGCATCCTCCCTCGTCAGATGCTTATCCCTGTCCATCAACCTCTGCATCTGGATCTCCGGGTCGGAAACCGCAACGACCATGACAACGCCGCAAAGCTTGTCCATCCCAGACTCGAAAAGCAGCGGTACGTCCAGGATGACAGCCCAATGACCCTTCACGTACGCCGCCAAAATCGCCTTGTACGTCTCCGTCCGTACGGCGGGGTGCACGATGCCGTTCAACACGCCGCGATCCTTCTTCCGCTCCTCGCTATCGCCGAAGACCCTCCTCCCCAGCGCGGGCCTGTTCAACGGCCTCCCCTTTCCGTCGGGTCCCTTCTCCGGCATGGTCTCCGACACGGGCACGAGCAGGTCCGGTGTCGTGGGGCCGAAGTACTTGACGATGGCTTCATAGCCCTTCGTGCCAGGTTCTACGACCCTGCGCGCTAGCACATCTGCGTCGATGATGGGGATAGAGTAGGGCGGTGCTCCAAGGATGGAGGATACCGTGGATTTGCCGGTCGCGATGGACCCTGTGAGGCCGATGAAGAGCATGTTTGGTGTTTTGGGGAGGGGATCTTGTCTTTCACTTGTTGGCTCGAGCTAGACTTTGGGTGGAATTTGAGTGGCAGAGGTATGAAAATAGATCCTATGAAAATAGATTCGCTTTCGCTTTCTTTTTTTTTTTTTTTTTTTTTTTTTTCTTCCTTTCTCTCTTCTTCTTATTTCAATCTTACCTCGTAAATAAACAGAAACAAGACATGAACTCAATTGAATCCCTTCCGAAAAGCGTCACGTCATTGCCTTAAATGTAGCTTGGGGAGGACAAACCAGGCAATTACAGGCTAGGAGCATTGCACGTGTTACAGAAATTGCTAGTGTGATTTTGCCCTTGAAGTTTTGCTTTTATCGGGATTAGTTTCTTACTGAGGACCGCTAAAATACCTCGGCATAATCCTTGGCGACAGCAAAAGATGCCGGCAGTGGCAAATCGGGACGGGGACGGGGGAAGCGAGATGATGCGCTACGATGCACTACGGATACGATACGGCTAGTAGGTGGGACCATGGAGCGGATAGAAACGATTAAAACTGTTATAACTAGATGTGGGACGAGCAGTTGATCTCTGCCTAATGGTCAAGAACCCGTTCACCAAGATGGGCAGCTGGATGCCTCTGATCGATCTAGGACAGATGAGGGACATTCCTCCCTAGTGCTCATCCGTTTGGGGTTTCCACATAGTTCATAACGCTTCATAAAAACTCTCGATTCCCTTTTCATCATACATTCATTCCTTATACCTCGTACCGAAATCTGGCAGGGTTCAAAAAAGGAAGAGAAAAAACTTCGAAAAATCAAAGCTCATCTGGTCGATCGCGGCCGCTTCGAGGGGGCCCCGGTGGCCTCAAACTACATGTTCCACGTAGGTTAGTTACTGTGCGAGACAGCTAACTGTAGACTTCGATGGCTATGAGACATACCTTTCTCCAGTTTAATGATGTTCACCGTCGAACCACTCAGTGTTTGTCGATCTCGGAAACCGTGAAGCGATGTGTGAACAAGACATCGAAAAGGAAGAATCTAGTTTCGGATGCGGATGGCGTAGAACATTCCCTCGGGGGTGATGTACCAGCGGATGTCCTTGCGCGACTTGTTGATGGCGAAGCGGGAACGAAGAGTCCAGCTACCATCAAGCTCGCGGCAGTAGTACATGCGGTTAGGATCCTCATCGGAGGGCTGGAAGTCCTCCGCCTCGAAATGGCCATGTCGCATGGTGCCATAGTTGCCGCAGCCATAGCCGGGGCCACCAGGCATGCCAACACCGAACGGGCCGTTGACATAAGGGGGAATACCACCCGTGCTGCATCCTCCCTGGTAAGGGGTGAAGGGGGGGACTACGCCGCCGCCACCAGGGACCAAATGGTGGTGGGCATAGAGGCCGCTGGGGAGGATATCAGGCTGAGGAGCGGCCGAGGGACCAGCTCCGACCTGCACCGGGATCGTGACAGGGACGGTAAAAGAAGGCGCCAAGCCGCCCTGAGCACCGGGGTGCAAAGTAACCTTGAGCAAAGAACTGGATGTTAGCACATTGTTGAGAAAAAAAAAAATAGAAGGAGCGAGGCATCAGATGATCGACAGGAAAGAGTCATCAAATGACCGTAACAAGGGGGGGGAGTAAAGAGATGGAGAAGAACTTGCATTGACGCCCTGAGCCGCTTGGACAGGGACACCTCGGAGGAAGGGCTGGCCCAGACCAGGCTGGTGCATCTGGGTGTAAACACCGCCCGGGTAGACACCCTGGCCATTGGGAGCGAGGTGGAAAGGACGAGCTCCAGCGTAGGCCTCGGCACTGGCCTCGTCACGTCGGAGGTAAAGGTTAGGCAGAGCCGCGAGAGTGATCTCGGGTGTGCGAGGGGGATACTCGGGGTATTGGAAGCGAACGCGAGGCATGTCTGGTTCAAAATGGATGTAACCGTCGGGAGCAGTATCAGGGATGCTAGAAGGCGAATTGCTGTTGCGGTCACGGTTGGTGGTGGTGTTGATGTGAGGGTGACGGTGAGGGTGACGGTGAGAGTGACGGTTTTGGTTTTGGTTTCTATTGTGGGAAGAACCAGCGGAAGAAGATGATTCACCAGCGCGGTGGGTTTCGCGTTGGGTTTCGCGTTGGCAATGGCGACGAGGAGGAGGGAAGGAGGGACCAGCACCGCGGATGAAAGTCCACCCTGCCGTGAAGCGTATGTCTCCATGGGGCTGATCAGATGTGTGCAGCACTGGGTCCTCCCACTCCTCGTCGGAAGCACTTTCCTCAGACTCGGACGAGGCCGAGCTGGGGGAGGTGGGCGGAACGAAAAATCTTCCGCGCCGCGCTCTGCCTTTCCCAAAGTTGGGTGGGCGCGGAGTGCCAGGACGACTTCCAGCCGGGCTTCCAGCTGGGCTGGCGACATACTCGCCGTCCAAACCGACGTTGGCATCCGCATCGGAGTCAATCGGCTAGACTCGTCCGAGCGGAATGCCATAGTCGGGCGATCCCTCTTCGTCTCGATTCTCGGACATCGCTTGCCGCGGTGTTCGGGCTCGTCGTCGCTTGCGAGTCCAATGCCTGTATTGATGGTATTGGGGCTTTTGGAGGCGAACAAAGGTGGAAGAGGAAGAAAGATCTGGGAACATTGCAAAAATTTCTTTCCCTTTGGGGATATTATGTTCTCGGGATGAAAAAGAGCGCTCTCGCGACTGTGGTGAAGCCTTTTTTGAAGCTATCGTGATGGTGATCGAGCGAAGGGAGCATAAAGTGGAAATTGACGACTCAACAGAACAGAAGTATGTGAGAAGCGAGTGTTGTCCTACTAGGGTGCCCCTGCCTTCAACTTTGAAGAGCCTTTGAAGAAACAAGACCAAGAAACAGAACGAACGAAACGGAAATGGAAATGTCAAAGGAACAAGGAAATCAAAGTAGAGTACCTAAGGAAACGTCCGACCTACCTGGGGATAACCAGCCGGGATCGGGACTCGAAACCTCCTCCTTCTCTCGCGTCTCAGGCCGCAGGATGCCAGCAAGCCGTCAAGGAGACCCATGGTAATATAGTTTTGTCCGGAACAAACAACAGTGATCAAAATGGATGGATCGACAGATTGCTATGGGTGGGAATGAAACAATGGAATCGTGGTAGAGGATGACGATAGTTAAGGATGAATGGGGAGGTCGACATTTACAGATGAATGGGGAAGTTGTGCGATTACGCGAGGCACGAAACACGAAGGTACAGTAGGAGATGAAAGGCCAACACACGAAAGTTGAGGAAGGAGGACTCTGGGGGGTTCGTGGTTATAACTTGGTCTCTGATTGAAAACTACCAAAACTGCCCGGGGATTGAACTCATGAAAACGATAACCTGAACGAGACCTCGAGAACGCGTCGATGCTTCTAGAGGCCTCAGTCTCAAAAGAAACAGAGATGTCCGTGCCTGCTACTGTCGAGATGGGAAATGCCTTGCCACTTCGATAGGCAACTTGCCCTCCAACACCGCGAGAGGGTCAAACAGAAACGAGTCTAATGGGGACTGGTTATGCATTAGACGACAGAAAAGTGCGCATGCTTGTCCTGATCTCACCCACGACCTTCCAACGGCACTGCAGCCAGAAACACCGGGGGGAGACTACAAGCCACTGCCCTGACCGGCATTTCCACCGACACGGTTGGGCTGGTACTTTTGTAACAAAAGGTCGCGGATAAGCTCGGATGCGCGCGAGGCATATAGGCCAAATCGGTGGGCATCGAGCTCGGTGGCCTGCGTAGTTAACAATGCACCCATTAGCTGCAACAAATCCAAACAGACATAGACTGGAAGAAAGTTAAAAAAAAAGAGGGAAAAAAGGACTTACTCGAACCAAAACAAGTGTGTGGCCCCGTAGGTAAATCTCCAACATGTGGCGGTGATACTCCACAACTCGATTCAGAGGCCAAAAGTGCTTACGCGCGAGCTGATCGAGGGGCTCATCGCCCTCCATATACGAGTACATCCACTGATTCTCGGTCGGATACAGGTGGACTAGAGCTCGTTGCTTCATATCAGACAGGGTCTGGATGACAGGCTCTGGGAGAGGAGCCTCGAGGGCCGCGCCAGAATCTAGCAACAAGTTGTAGAGATGCTCGTGATGTCCGTCAAGTTCGAGCCTGGAACGAGGAGGGTCATGATATTCATTCAAATAATCCAGGAAGTCCTGGTAACTTGTATCATGAGGGGAGAAGGAGTCATCTACCACCTGTGCGGATGGAGGACCAATCGCGTACCCGTGAATCGCCATCATGGTAGGCTTGCTGGAGAAGATTTTGAAGTGGAAATCAAGAAAGTCATGCTCGAGGACATCGATATCATCTGGCGCCCAGATGAGCCGATCCGTCATCATCATGGACGTCTGTGGCAACGAATTCGGTTAGCTCCGAAATAGAAGGGCTTTGTGGGCATGCTCCTCACCATGTGTATCAGCTCCGTGAGATTGATTTCCGCCGGCTCCGGGTATCCGACCTGAACGGTGGAACTGATAACACCATTGACCAATGATGCGGGCTCCGCCCGAGTCATTCGCTCCTGATACAAAGCGATACTATCAAGAATGAAATTCTTGGGGATATCAAGCACGGGGCCTGCATCGTCGTTTACCTGAATGATCGTGGCTTCGTTGAGGCGAGTCACAGCCCCTTGAATATAGTCAAGGCAAAACGCGGAGATCGGGTTCGCAATGGCGGGTGGGATGGGCTCTGCATTCAAGAGAGCATCTCGACGACGCGCGACCTCCTTGCCCAATACGGTGTCTAGGTGTCCCGCCAGCTGCGCATGGTGTATCGGAAGGATATTCTGGTTGTGCGATTTGATGAGCAAGGGAATGAAAATCCTCTTGCGTCGGTGCGTGCGAACTACGCCGATGCAACCAAGGCGCTGCTCGAGACGAGCGGATACTAATCCATTCACGGTAAGATGCACCGCGGGCGCGTTGTCAAACTGCTCAGTCAAGACCTACTCTAGTGAGTAGAATAACCTAGCGCGATACTCGTCGGTGACATGCTTGACGAGAGTGTCGTAGAAAAGCATCTGATCGTCACGAATTTCCCCGAGGGGCTTCACCTTGACAGCAGGGAGAGACCTGTTGGTGGTCGATCCAGTAGGTACAGGGTGAGGACCGGGGGGTGTCACCCCTAGTCGAGGTTACCACGGTTAGCATATCCCGTGTTTTCTCGGGTGCAGACAATAAGAAGGGGCAGACCAAGTGAAAACAGAGTGCTTACCCTGGAGTGCCTTGAGAATGTCACGCCTGTATTTCTGGAAGACCTCGTCCTCCACCTCCATGAGGTCGTTGACGAAATCCATCGCTTTTGCAATACGCCAGAGTGCAGTAGAGAAAACTGTCATTCCCGGATTGATTAGGCTTGGCTCGACGGACGCCGCGTGCTAGGTCGAAGGGGAGGGCGTACCACACGGAACCCTCGATAGAGAGGATGCGAGTTCAGGAAACGATGTGATGCCAAATGGGCGTGAAAGGTATATATCTATAGACAGATATACGCGGAGGATAAAGCTTGACTTGGCTAACCAGGCTGCGCAAAGCCTGTGAGTGGAACTCAATCAAGGTCTGGGGAAAACGCGTCGGGATTGAGAATCGAGGATCTGAGAAACAGATGTCGAAGAAGCGCGAGGGAAAACAAAACAAGGTCTGGGAACAGGGTGGAGGTTTTTATACATAGGGCAAGGAGTGCACGACATAATCACAGAAAGGATATGGATGCTCAAGGGTTTCGCGAGACAGGGGAGGGGAGGGAGAGAGTGGGAGGCTGTTTTGGTGTGCAAAGACAGCAGGCTAACATGAAGACTAACACGAACAAACAATAGATCATGAGGGAGAAGGGGGCAGATAAAAGACAAAGACAACAAGGTGTTTCGTGTTGCAATCTCTATTTTTTTTGTTCCATTAGTAGGTACGTGTTAGTGCCCGAACGGAGCCGCCCCCGGTAATTTTTAAACAGATCCTTCAACGCCCACAGCCTATGCGGTCTAAGATGATACACAACCCAACGTAATGTACAAGATGACGGGAGTAGAGAGGATAAGAGAGAATGTAACTGCTTGCCGAATGTTGGCGCAGCGTGGGCCGTATTCCAAGATTGGGGGGTGCCAAAACGCACTCCGAGGTGAGAATAGAACCACCCTTTTGCGCTTGGAACCGAAACGTGTGACGGAGGGAAAGCCATCAATATTGATGTGTAAAATTATACGCCATGTTGCTTGGCTTTGATCACAGGGCCACTTCGGCCTTCTTCTCGTCTTCGGGGGAGAAGATTTGTCTCACGACCTAGAGTCGCACAGTTAGTGACACACAGTTCGACCAGCGTAGTGCAGGAGTGAATGCACTCAGTCAAGGAGTGAGGTGTAGACATACCGCCCAGCCAGCAGCGGCCGTACCGACGACAGCGCCAGAAACCAACATGGGCTTGATGCCCTTCGTGCTGCGGAACGCCATTCCGCTAAGAGCACCGGCAAGAACGACGTTCGCCGCATCATCCTTGCCCCGTAGATATCCGATGTAGGAGTTGATGAAGTTGTATCCAATCGCTATTACACCGCAAGAGTTTCCAAGGAAGGGACCTCGTCGCGTGACGGCGTTAAGGACTGAGTTGAGCCGCAACTTGGGAGGCTGGCCGTGGGATCTCCTCAAACCCTCTTGCAGACCCCACGCGCCTCCTATTCCTAGCGCGGTTACATATGTGACACCGGTACCGTAGCAAAGATCGTCGAAGAAACCTCGAGAAGGGACGACAGTGTGGCCCTCGGCAAGGGCAGTGTCATCCAACGAGAGGTACTCAATGGTATCCTTATCGAGACCAGCGAGAGGATGTAATGAAGAGGGGTCGGCAAAGGCGGATGGCTTGAGGAAGGCCTCGACACCCTGGCCTTCTGTAGGATCGAATGCCGCCGTCGTGGGATACGAGGGGGGTGGAGGTGTAGTGGTCTGGGATTGCGGCTTTGGCTGGGACTTGCGCCCCGTGAAGGTATCCCAGATCGAGGAGGACATGTTGGCTGAGGTTATATTAGGGTATAGTCTTTGGTGGGGTCAATGGGTACCTCTTGTCCGTCGTCGGGATCCTGCGAATGATGAGGGAAGAGCTCTGAAGCTTCAAATCTGCGTCGCGACGTGAGGTTCCCGGAGGCCGAAGGAAGGAAGGAAGAAAAAAAAGTTCTTTCAGCGAGTTGTACCGATAAACTTCCGTCATTGGCATTGGCCCGTGCATAGTGCAGCTGGCATGGAGTGTTCAGCATTGAACAAAATGGAGTGTTCCCGAATTTTCTTATGTAATCATATCCAGCCCCACCACTCGCGATCACCACAATATAAAAAAATTCAATCCGCCTCGAGGCTTTGGACTCTTTTTTCTTCCTTTTCTCTCTCATCATCAGTTGGGTTGGTTCTCGACATCGTCAAATGTTGAGTTCCAATTTAACCTATGGGGGCTCCACTACGGTGGCTTGCTGAGGGTAGTCTTCGGGGATATTTATCTTTCGACAATAGAGTCTCCCTCCGTTCCCGGCCTCCTCGAGAAAACGCCATGTGAACACTCTTCCTATTCAGCCATTGACGTCTGGTCTTCCCAGGTTCTTGACTGTGGGGTGGTCTCAACATACTTTCTGCGCAAATCACACTTTTATGGCTTCAGTTGCGTCGAGTGCTTGTTCCCGCCCCCTCCTGCGGAGGAGACGTAGGGGTCTGAGCTTTCGGAACTCGAGAACCTCGGACTTTGGAAAAGAGAATGCTACCTTGTGAGACGCGTGTTGCTATTGATTACTTACTAGGTAGTTGAAAGGGAGACGAGAAAGCGCGCTGATGCATGTGTCTAAACCTTTATATAAAGAACACGCGGAAGTAAAATTCGCAGAGCAACAAACATGTTACCGCCAGCACTTCGTCTTGTTGGGCTGCATTTTCGAGTTGTGGCATCTTCTTCATTGAGGCCCAAAGAACGGCCCGGCCGAGGCCGTAGATGATCCCGTTGTAACTGGCCGCTGGACTACTATGTTCGTTCCACTGCTCTTGTCTTGGGGAAGTCGTGCTTGCGAGGCTATATTTCGCCTCCCAGGGAAGGAGCTCGAGCTTAAGCCTCCTAATATCGCACGCACCTTGGGCGGAGCTTCTGTCGGAGGCCCGCTCGATGTAAAATGACATTTCCAACCTCCCTTTGTCCTCTCCACCTTTCTTTTCTTCGTCGCCGCTATAGGCATCGTGCGATTGGGGGCCTTTCTGAAAGCGAAGAGAAAGTCGAAGCTGCCAGAGTCGTTTCTGGCTGGTGTGATGTTCTTCCTGCGATAGCCGAAGCCGTCCATTAGCCTGGCCTTGTTTCGTCCGTATCATACTGATTCGATGGCTTGATCTCCTGGATTACTCGGTGCTGGAGCTGCGCAAAGAAGTCCTTATGTCTTTAGTGCTGCTGCCTTTTTTTGTACGATCAAAATCCAGGACCTTGCCTCGGAGAGTCTTGACTCCTAGATTTCAGTCTAGAAAGCTTGGCAGCCAGTGTTTGCCAAGCGGGCGACTATCTCCATTTCGACTCGCAATACGTGAAGCAAGGCCTCAAGGTTGGACATGGGTAGGGGCGCATCCTAACGCGCTTTGGGCAAAGACTCAATCAACCAAAAGCTTCTCCTGGGCCTTCGAGAGGCGCTGCTGAGGCTCGCCAGCCTCCCGATGGCTCTTTGAGCCAGCTTGGCGGCTATGAAGTGTGGTGCGTGGTATACCGAAGCGATGAGCCGTGGCGCGGAGCGCTTTGCCAGAAGAAAGCTCTAAGAGCGCTTTTTTCACGTCGTCCTCCGTGTATTTAGCCATGGCGATTTGATTGATCAAGTTATTTCTGAAGAAAAGGGTTAAAAGACAGTTGTTCGGTCTATTTTTTGTGTGGCCAATGTCGCTAGATGTGGTGGTTTGGGAACTAAACGAAACCGAATTGGGTGGCCGAAATGGGCGTTGGGAGACTTACTTATGTCTTTCGCATCACCTTTGCAACTTCTTCACCTCCCGAGTTGTCGGTGCAGCGCGCTCGGTGACCACGACTCGATGAGCTTCTACACGACCAATCACCAATGTTACCAGCGGTCCGGCTATCTAGGACTTGTCACTACGAAGGCAGAACAGATTCGGAAGTCCGCATCTAGTCGTATCTAGAGAAACAAATTTCAAGGCCATGGCAAGATCAATCACCGTTACCGTTTAGTTCAGTCAGAGCCCGGGAACTTTGACAATGAAAAATTGCCATTTAAATAACTATTCGAAAAGTCGGGTTAGGACGGCCGCACTTCAACTTGCCAGTGGAGAAATTATCATCACAGAGTGTGCAGGGAAGGGCTATTGATTCATCTATTGACTAACTCAACTCAGTACGCCAGGGCTGAAATTAAGCAAAAAGAACATTGAACTGTAACAATCTAGAAATAACGTAGTCCCGAATCCGTCACGTATGTAATCCTAAGCCTCGTTCACTCATGGCTCGCATAACCATCACAGATAGCAGCTATCAGCCTGTTCGCAATAGCCGTATGCGGAGGGAGAAGCAGAGTGGACTCCTTGTTCCCAGTGCCGTTGGCCGTATGTACGGTATCGAGACGAGTAGGCCTCTTGAGCGCCTGGCGAACTTCCTCCAATGGAATCCACTTTGCATCCTCCAGCTCAGGATCATGGCCAAGGTGAATATCCTCTCCATCAGGTAGCGCGGAAGCCACGGCGCCAATCATGAGACTCGCCGGGTACGGCCAAGGCTGGCTAGAATGCAGGACCACTCTTCCAACCTTGACACCACTCTCCTCCCATACTTCGCGGCGAACACCTTCTTCGACAGACTCGCCCGGTTCCAAGAACCCGGCAAGGGTACTGTAGAAGCCGGGTGGCCAGCGCTTTTGGCGACCGAGAAGCATTTTCTTGCCGTCAGCGGACACAACGGCTGCAATCATGGTCGGGTCTGACCGAGGGAAACTAATGTTGGTGATGCCGTTTCGCGTCGGGCAATCCTTTCGGGCTTGAGCAACGCCGGTGCCGTTACGATCCGTGGGAGGACAGACACGCTTATAACCCCCATAGATGGGCATGGTAGGGCAACCGCAACCGGCGCAAAACTGGTTTCGTAGGTTCCAATCCACTATACCCCTAGCCTGTCCGTACATGGCCGCTGTGTTGGAAGTTAGAATATAAAGTTAAAAATGGCAAGACGTCAAAGAAAAAAAATAAAGAGAAAAAAGACGTACCAAAGTGGGCATGGATGGTATTCTGCCTTGTTGCTCGCAGGAAAGTTGACCCATCTTGGGTGAGCCTGTCGACCAGGGTTCGCGCGACATCTGCAAATGAACCGCGCGGAGTGATATCGACAGCGAACCACGGGCGGCCTCGGAAGATACGATGTCGAAACTCGGACTCGGTATCCTCCCAAATTCCAAGAAAGATGATGAGGGGCTTAGTCACCGTGGAGTCAAATGCATTCACCAGATCCTTCTCAGACGAACCAAACGGATCAGGTCCCGTAATGGGAAGAACATCATCCCGACGAACAGCCTTGATGGTGGCCGAATCATGAACAAGAGGTGCAAAGTCATCAAGGACCATGAATTGTGCATCGGCAGAGGCGAACGCAGCAGAGAGAAAGCCGTGGTCCTCTCGGAGGAAGGAAACCCTGTTGAGGGGGCTCCCGGAATAATAGTTTGTTAGTCCCGGGCCGAATTTCTTGGACAGCGCCGAGCCATCATCGTCGTGCACCCGGGCGAGTATGGGATGTTCAGTGAGGTCAGCCATGCCGAAATATCTACCGACTGTCTCGTATTGGTATTAGGAGATGGAGACGGGAAAAGAAAATTAAGAGATCTGGCGGTGAAGGCTAGGAAAGAGAGGAGAGAGATGGACACTAGAATTTCTAGTCTGGGTCTGAACTATAGACTTGCCCCACGAGTCAACTTCCAAACGAGCCCTTCGAGTCTAACAAGATAGAATCTTTATTTTAGAGTATATCCTTTTGGACTTTCTGGAAATCGAGAAAATGAAAGTGATTGTGCGAGGATGAGAGCGAGGGGGATCAGCGTCGGACTTATGAGTCTTAGGGCAACCCGGTCAGAAAGGGCTGAGCAGGCCGAAGTGTCGGGGAGCAAGACGATATCGGCCACGTCAAACAATGGCAGTGCCCAATCCAGTGCCACTACCTGTGCTGTATGTGCTGTTTGCCAAAGAGCTGTGAGGCCCGATCCAGATTTTGAGATGTGGCGTTCGGCGTCCAGATGTTTATCGACGTTGTACAGATGCTGTTCTGTCCGAGGTATGACATGGCATTCTGTCCCTGGATCCAGCGAGTAAATAACCCAACAATTTGCCTCGACTATTGCAGAGGGGTAATTTCCTCGCTCCTCCCTCTAGCGCAATCATCTTTCGTCTTATGGTGGGCTCTTGATTAGAAACCCATCGGTTAGCAAATGACAGAAGCCGGAGGCTTCGGCCGGCACAAATGCTGATTCTGCGTAAGGGCTGTACTCAAGATGTACAATTCGGGGCATGTGAAGTCGCCTGGATTCATGGTAGCCGCAAGTATTGGCTCGGATCGGATTTTCGGAAAGATTCTCTCATCGACCATCAAGATTTGTTAATACTTCGTACATCAGAGGACACTCGAGTTGCGCTTGGGCGGCGTCGCCTGTGTGCCATTTCGAGTTAGACCAGCATTACCCTCGAGGGCGGGGTGCTTGAGTCTAGACTCAAGAGCACATGGGCGGCTTGAATGGTCCTGCGGGCGGTGTCGTGAAGAGGTACGCCTCGGTGCTTTCGATCTTGAGCATCCAGTGTCTGTCTGTCGATGAGTAACAATTGAAGTCCCCAAAATATCATTAGTAATTGAGCAGTGTTCGTTGTGACTTCCTGTCCAACATCAATCCACAGCAAAGCGCCATTTTGCCTCGGAGACGTCAAAGTCACTATCACTGGTACGAAGTACATTGAGACGTCAGTACGAAGTACTTTTGAATTGAATATCGAACCTCAAGGTCGGATTTGTGTTATCCCGACGCTCAAGATCACACCCACAACCACCACTGCAGCCGCATTGAGTCAGTCTCTCAGCAGCTGCAAGCTTCTCTCACCCTGCCGCCAATCTCCTGCACCTTTCGGGCATCCTCTTAGAACCAGCGTTTGACCGCCTCGTGCAGTGGTCTTATCGGCCCCCTGCCCCAAGAGCCTGCCAATGCGGATTCCATATCGAGATCCCCTTCCACCCCCGACTATCATTCCAAGATCAGCCACCACATTACAGTCTGCCGTCGCCGCTCTTCTGCAGTTCCTCGATACGCCGCCGCCCAATGGGCTCCCGGATTCAACGGTAGTCCTCTCCGGGGCCGGACTCTCTGTAGCCAGCGGGCTGGCAGACTACCGCGGAGTGAACGGCACCTATCGCGTCAACAAATCATACCGGCCAATCTACCATAATGAGTTCATTGCGAACCATGCGTTTCGACAGAGGTATTGGGCTCGCAGTTTCCTGGGCTGGTCCTCGCTCCATAAGGCGACACCAAATGCCGGCCACTACGCAATTCGAGATCTGGGCCAGCTCGGCCTGGTAAAGCATGTTATTACACAAAATGTCGATTCATTCCATGCTACGGCACACCCTCATCTTCCAACAGTAGAGTTACATGGCTACCTCCGCTCGACAGTCTGCATGACTTGCCGCGAGGAGTTTTCCCGTGACGACTTCCAGCACGAATTAGCGCGGCTTAATCCGGCGTGGCATGCTTTCCTGATAGAAGCTGTAGCTTCGGGAGCGCTAAATACAGAGGTTCCTCATCACTCAAGGGCCAAAGGTCTAAGAACGAATCCAGACGGCGACGTTGACCTCGCCGACGCTCCATACACCACCTTTAGATACCCTCCGTGTCCCAACTGTCTAGCAGAATCTCCTAGGTTATTCCGCAGTCAAAATTTGCTTATCGAAACGGACGAGGACGGTGCTTGGAAGCCGGGCAGCACCGCGGGCATTTTAAAGCCAGCTGTAATCATGTTTGGCGAGAGTATCCCCAAGAGAGTGAAGCTCGTGGCCGAAGAAGCTATTGACAAGGCCGGGCGTTTACTCGTCCTCGGTACGTCGCTTGCTACTGGCTCGGCATGGATGTTGGCACGGAGGGCCAAGCAACGAGGAATGCCCATGGCAGTTATTAACATCGGTGGGATCCGAGGTGAGGAGTTCTTTTTTGCCGAGGTGGATCGACAGCAGCCTGGTAATGAGGGTGTAAGAGTGGAGTTGGCGACGGACGAGCTGTTGCCCCTCCTGGTAGATCAGTTAAAACAACGATCGGACCTGGCAAGTTCCCACGAGAAGTGTACACTAGAGTTGAACAATTCTGCTGTATTTAAGGATATGCTGTCGTAGATTATAGTTGATTGAGGATCGCTCCCGAATAAATCTTTGGTATATTCGTCTGGTACAAGACTCAATAGAAGCTCGACCTGCTAATTTTGCTTGGTTTTGTTGTGGTGGAACTCGAGGGCGCGGAGTTGGGTGTTGGTGTCGACTCGACGGTGTTTTCCACTTTAGGAGTCTCATCGGGTTTCGATTCCTTTTCCTTCCGCGAGTCTTGATGCGCATTATCCTTCTCGATATCACGCAGCACTATCGCCAGTTTGCGTAAGTATATGCCAGAGGCCCCGATGAACAGGCTTGGGGCAACCGCAATCGAACATGTGTGACTTACTCTCTTCCCACTCCTTCTCCCTCGCAGGATCTCCTGTTCCAAGAACCTGTTCCACGTCGACCTTCTCTCCGCGCTGTAGTTTCTCAACCACTTCGCGCAATAGGCCAATCCTGACATCAGATTGGCGCACGAAATTGGCATGGCCAGTCTTGACGGCGATCATATTGATGGACATGGATCCGATCAGGAGAAAGGTCACGATGAAGAAGGTTGCCGGGTTCCATTCCTTAGACTTCGTCTTGGCGAGCTGGGCTCGGTTCTCTTTCCGGAAAGGTTTCGGGATGAGAGAAGTCCAGAACGATGCCTGCGTCACGGAAGGGAGGGAACTGTCGCATCGTACTTGGATGAGGGAGGGTGATCTCGATGCGGCGATTGAAAGCTGGTAAGGCGCTGACCGAACCAGGAGCCTCCGTGCCGCTATTCTGTGCATGGCTGTTACGTGAAATGGAACTTGGTAGAGCCAAAGACCTTTTGTTTGAACAATTGCGAGGAAACGAAGTGAGTTTCCCAAATTTTCGACCTCAAATCAGACCCTCCGCTGCCTTCCGGGCTTCGTGGGCGGATGTTCCCGAGTGGGTGGCGGCTGGTTACCCCTGGCAACTGCCGATGTTTAGCCAGCCGACATCAATGCCATTGTTCAAAACGCACGTACCATTCTTTGGTGGCAGCAGCAACTTCAGCTGTGGACATCAACTCTAGATATTCAAGTTTCAAGTTTTCAATTGCAAATTCGCAGCAGCATTTTTGCATTCTCGTCAGTTTTCTTCCTTTTAGTCTGTTTTTGGGCTATGCGAACGACCGAATACTGGTTGTGATGATATGTTTTAATGACGAACTTATAACGCCGACCCAATGACATCCATCAACTCCAAAGTCGAAGCCGTGAAGACGGCAGTGTCGTCGGCGACGACTTGCACGTCGGCAACCACAGTCATATTACGCGAACTTCTCATATCGGAGATAGATTTGACACCCACAACGAGTACCACAACGAAGCCGATCTCGAAACGCGTGCCGACAACTTCTAGAACGCGGACAAAGGCCGCCGAATCCACCAAGATTGAGAGTCAGACCGGCGGGAAGAACGCCGGATTGTCCGCGAAGGACAAAGAGGTATTGGCGACGCATGTAATAAATGCTTCACTCAAGGCCTTGACCGAGGCTGCGAAGGCTTCGCCGCCACCACAAACGCCTCGGAAGCGGACGGAACCAGGGCCGACCCCGAGACGGACGCCGAGCGGAACCCTACGGAGATCTCTGTCAACACCACTTTCACCCCTACAGCCTCGAACCCTAAACCGAACTGCCACCACAATAGAACCGCCCTTGTCTAAACCTTCGAGATGCCCTACTAGTTCTGCGAATGGAGCCTGCTTTGCCTTGGTTGAGTGCGCGAGAGTAGCTTTCCAGTGCCTTAGATCGTTGAACGGCCCGGAAGCTTCATCTCAAAAGAGTATGCAACTGGAGATGGGCATATCTGCATTTGTTGGGAAGCTGCTTGCTTTGGGTTTCCAGGACCACGCGTTAAGAGAGTTGCGGATCCTGAAGAAGCGACTTGAGGAGCGCGCTCTTGCTGGGAACCCCAAGAAGGGAACTAAGACGGCGGCGGCAACGGAGGCTTCAGTTAGCAATGCCCGAGTATTATCAGACCTTTTGGATTTTAAGGAGTCTGCCATATCTTCGTCGACACGCGCATTAGTTATCTCGACCCAATTATACGTTCTTCGACTTATGATGCTTTCGAAAAAGCCCGAGCAAATCGAAGCAGCGGCCCCATTCCTTCGCGAATCGAACAAGACCTCTCCCTTGAACCTATTACTCGAATCATTACGCGATGACCCCAAGGATATCACAAAGGTCGCGCGTCAAGTCGAATCTCTGGCGAGTATCGTTCTCTCACTTACACCGAGCCCTTCAAACCGCGAGGATGCAGAAGCCATGGAGCCGCGACTTCATCCGTCTCCTTCGTGTGTGTTCGAGCTGCAGGCCCTTTTCTTGAAAGCCAAAATGCATCTTTGGAAGATATCGAGGCGTACAGGAGACATCGACAAGGAAATCCTGACTCCATTCTCCCGATACCTTGCCGCCTTTGGCCGACGCCTGAGACATGTCTCGCCCGATTTCTACGAACTCTGCCTAGAAACGTTCCTTGGCCTGCAAGAGATGATTAAAGACCAGGGCCTCACCTGGTCTGAGACATCAAAATCTCCAGTCGCTACAGTCTATCAGAGTCTAGGCACATCCGCTATTTCCCTCAAGCGGGTGGCTGAAGCGAAGAACTGGGTGGAGAAGCTATACAGCTTCCTTGACACTGAGAAGGACTCTGCCGCCAGGCGATGCTCTATTGCGGCCCAGCTTCTAGGGTTGTGCCTGAAATGTAAACTTGACGAACCAAAGGTGACAAACCTCCTCGCGGAGACAATCGAGGGGATGCAAGGCACCTTGAGAGGGGAGAGCGCCGAGTTGGATCAGCTACTCGTCGACCTATCACTAGCCCGCAGGTCTGCAGTCGGTCTTCTGATGAGTGCTTCCGAGAAAAAATCAAAACTTTCATCCGCTCTTACCGAACTCCTACAATCATTCATAATCCAGTATCCCCGATTTACGATACGATGGCTCGGAAAGCCCCCATCTCGCGATGCCGGCGCCACTGGCAAAGATTTTCTTCGGTTCGAATCCAGGAGACAGGCCGTCCAGGGTACTCTAGGCCAGGTTCTCGACTCTGCCCTTGTCGTCACCAAGAGTCTACTCAGTTCCGGCAAGGTAGATTGGACCAAACCTGATGCTGTTTTGCAAGATTGCCTAGATCTGCTTGACAGAATGGGTGACTTGAAGGGATCACTTAACGGAAGCAACGGCAACACGTATCACGTCAAAATTTCGAACCTGTATTACATGAAATATGCTTTGATGCGACAGAACCCCGAGAATGCGAACGACCTAACCGCATTGAGAGCTCTTCGCCGCTCTCTGGATGCTGTTCGAAATCGAAGTCCGAAGGAGAAGGAGGCGGCCCAGTTTGTAGCCAAGCTTGAGCGCTTCGCGGACATTTGCACGAAGTTTAGGCGAATCGAAGAGGCGAGAGAGTCACTACAGTCCATCTGCACCACAATGGTCGAGGAAGGCGTGCTATCAAATGTTGCCTCGCTCCTCAACGACCAGCCTCCATCCGTCGCATGGTCTACAGACGAGAAGACCGAGCTGCTCTCTCGGACACTTTGTTCGATTTCCAAGCTCGACAAGTCGTGGAACGACTGGACGTTCTTCATGCCTGAAGTCGAACGCGCCGCAGTCTTGGAGCATCTGGTGCATATTATTGCATCCGGAGAGAACACCAAGACCAAGGAGCTGCTCAAGTTAACCGACCCCCCGGCGGACTCACTCCTACGGATTTACTCTCTTGAGAAGTTCCCGATCCGCCGGCTGAGGACGCTCCTTTATCTCTATTCGATGCACATCGCCAACTCCGATTATTCTTCCTCGATCCGAAGCCACATTGACGCCGCAGTCAGAGCCGCATCCTCCAAATCCCTTGGTGAGGATGGTGGTTTAACTCGGTACCTCCCCCACCTCACTGCTTATCTATCATCCGTAACTTCTCTCACGCACTGGACCCCGAATAATGCCAATCTTCAGGCCGCCATCTCCCACTGGCGCGGCGTAGTTGACAGTTCAAAGTCAAAGGAGGATGTCCTCAGCCGTATCGACGATGTTGCCACTCTCACAACCCATCTCAAGGCCGTAGCCGATCTTGCCAGCATGAAGGGAGAGGGCACATTAGTAGTTGCTCTCTTAGAGCTACTGGCCGACTTGGCGAAGAAACTAGAGGAGTCTTTCCTAGACGACGTAGTCTCAAACTACAGCCTGTTGGCTACACAATACGCGAGCCTTGGGTACACCGACAAGGCGGAGGCAATCATCGAGTCAACGAAAGAGATCGCCGAACAGACAGACAAGCTATCTGGAGCAACCCTGGCTGATTTCCATCTTTCAGTTGCGGACTACTGCATTACTACTGGAAGCTTCGATCAGGCGTATGTTTAAACCCTGTCACGACGTGTATTTTCTTTCTTTTCCCAAAATGATACGCTAACCTTTAAGCAGAGAACTTCGCCTAGCCGAAGCCAAGCAGGCATTCACCTCTCTTGTTACGAACCAAACATCTAGGTCCCGGGGGTCGTCGTTGATGGCTATGGCCAACCTCCTCTACTCGATCGTCGCCCTGGAGAAAGGAGAGACTCAATCAGCTCTCACTTATGCCAAGGATAGCGTGAAGATTATGTTCCACGACTGGACCAAGTACGAGAAGAAGGACAAGACTATGATGGGATCGGACGCCAACCATAGCGCGCTCGGGGATAGCCTAGGTCCTGGAGTAGGCAGCCTTGAAACCGCCACGCTTTCTCGTGTCGTGCAGGGCTCCGACTTCTGGGCGCTTGCTTCACCCTTAATCCGGGCGCTCCACCGACTCTCGTCCCTCTACGCACACATGGGCATGTTCCAGGACACTTTGTACTATGCTGAACAAGCCTACAAGGTTGCTGAGAGCTCTGGGTCCGCATTCTATATTGCCCAATCTGCGATGTGGAGTGGCTCCGTCTGGATTAAGGGAGGAAAGCCGGAGAAGGGTCTCGACTATGTGGCTAATGCCCGTGCTTTCATCACGGAGAACCCCCATATATCCCAATCCGTGACATTAGCTTGTCACCTCAGCGAGTTGTACCGCATGATTGGCGACTCCGAATCTGAGGAAGAAATGCTCCAGTTTGCGGAATCCAATGTCCACCATGCCGGTGCAACGATCAAACCTCAGCTCGACGATGAGATCGCAAACGAGATGGAGAAGCTTAGCCTCACCGCGAACAAGACGAGAACAACGCGGGGCACGCGAGCCAGGGCTCCAACAGTGAAGAAGACGATGGCGAAGACGACAACTGCGACGAAGAGAGCGCCAGCAAGGGGCAAAGCTGCTACCGCATCGAAGCCGGCGCCAGTTGAGGACGATGCCCACATCTCCCTCAAGAAGGCATCGATCCTGCTCTATAGAGCTCTTGGATACATACATCAAAAGGATTGGGCCTCCGCTGTAGCGGTGCTTGAAGGGATTAAGGGGCGCCTCAGGGGCCTAGAAGATGTCTCCCGTGAGCAAATGATTCGGGCGGCCTGCCTTGTCGGCCAGAGCCTCGATGATATGATTCATGACCCTGTGTTCTCTGTTGTACAGGACTCCACGATCTCCTTCCCCTCCGTGTCTCTAGTCAAACGAGCGGACAATGACAAAGCGACCCCGGCTAAGCCTGCACCTGTGCGGAAGGGTGCCAAGGCGCGTGCGACCACTAACTTCGTGGATGCGCTCAAAGAAGCGCAGGATTACCTTTTGGAAGCTAACTCGGCGGCCGTCGTACGCGGAGATGGCGGGTTTCTCCATCGCATCTCTTCCCTCTTGCAGAGCACAGTCATCTTCCTCTCGGCCACGACTTCGAAGCCAAATCTCATTGGACATCCTGGGTACGCGACATGCGCAGTAGAGCTTGCGAGAAACGTTACCTGGAGAAGAGAGCGGAAGGCGCAGCAGGTTACCGGCTCCGCTGCTAAGATAGAATGGCCCGCATCACTTCCCACTATGGACCCCAGCCGGTCGAGCCTTGGAGTTACTACTGATATCTCGAGGTTCCAGCGAGACTACATCGATATTATACCGAGTAGCTGGACGGTAGTCTCGATATCACCTAGCGATAACCGAGAGGATTTGTGCATCACGAGGCTGCAGGCAGGTCATACTCCATTTGTGCTCCGCCTGCCGCTTGAGCGAGCCAATTCGAGAGATGCCGATACTGAAGTCTTCAATTTCCATCACGGACTTGAGGAGTTGCAGGAGCTCATCAAGCTGGCGAACAAGAACTCTCACGATGCAAGAGATATGACAATCAAGGGTGCCAAAGCAGCGTGGTGGGAGGAGCGAGAGATGCTCGACGACCGGTTCAAGATGCTACTCGATAACATCGAGTCGGTCTGGCTCGGCGGCTTCAAGGGCGTATTCTCTCAGCACAAGAGAAGGACAGACCTCCTTGCGAGATTCCAAAAATCCTTCCAGAATATGCTCGATAAGTATCTGCCCTCTCGGCGACGGATTCGGGGCAAGCGTTCTACCAAGACTCCTAAGATCACCTTTGACCCTCGAATCTTGGAGCTGTTTATTGGACTTGGACACCCGACACCTGACGACCTCGATTACGAAGAAGCTCTTACGGACCTGCTGTACTTTACGATTGATATCTTACAGTTCCACGGCGAGCAGAATGCCTACGATGAGATTGACTTTGACTCGTTGGTCGTCGAGACCATGGATGCGATTTCGGCGTATCATCAGGCTGTCAGTGCCGAGGGGGAAACTGAAGAGAATGCCCATACGATTCTAGTTCTAGATAAGTCTCTTCATGGGTTCCCTTGGGAATCCCTTCCCTGCATGCAAGGGGCTGCCGTCTCTCGCGTGCCTTCCTTGGCTTGCCTGAGGCGATTGATTCTCGAGCAACGATCGTTAAACCCCGCTGAGATGGACTTTGACTCCGAGAGTCCATCTGCCGAGAACGACTCACGGCCAGGCCATCACGTATCGCCAACCTCCGGAACATACATTCTCAACCCTGCCGGTGATCTCGGCAACACCCTCTCAGCATTCCAGAAGCCCCTGGAAGATCTCGGCGAGGCCTGGTCCGGCATCGTGAGCCGCTCCCCCACCGAACCCGAGTTCGAGCGCGCCCTCACCGAGTCAGACATCATGCTGTACTTCGGTCACGGCAGCGGTGCTCAATACATTAGGGGCAAGACAATCCGACGCATGCAGAAGTGCCGTGCTACGGTCCTCCTCATGGGTTGTAGCTCGGCGAGCCTGGAGGCAGCGGGCGAGTTTGAGTGTCACGGGACCGTGTGGAATTATATGCTCTCAGGTTGCCCGGCCGTCGTCGGCGCTCTGTGGGACGTCACGGATCGAGAGGCGGATCGATTTGCTGGGAAAGTCCTCGAAGAGTGGGGACTAATGAAGAGGGGGACGTTTAAGGAGGACAAGAAGGGTAAGGGCAGGGCTCTGGAGTCTAATGACGATGACGATGATGAGGAGTCGGGAGAAGGGTGCTCGCTTGTGGAAGCTGTTGCGAGGGCGAGGGGGGCTTGCCGATTCAAGTATCTTACGTCGGCGGCGATGTGTGTTTATGGCATTCCTGTGTATATCAACAGGGAAGACTGAAGCATTGTGGGAATATTGCAGGGTGGCGGTTCTGTGTAGTATACGTGCGAATGGGTTGGTATGTCATGACCACAGGTCATTTGCATGAATAGGTGTTTTTCTTTTCTTCTTCTTTTTGATCTATCAGATAGGGGCCTTGGGAAAGGAGTGGACGGGAGTCTTGGGGGTTGCGTGTGTTTCTTTTTTCTCCTTCGATATTGTTTGATGGCATCGGCATTGAGTTTTTGCGTTGCATAGACGTTAGAAGCTGAGCTTCTTGCTGGATACCCCTGGTTATTGAACGGAGAAAATAATGTTTGAGCTGGGTATTAAAATATATTTTTACTGTCATGGCCATGCTTCCCTCTATAGACCCATTCATGCTACAGAACGTCCAGTGCTACATCCGATGTAAACCACACAAGGCTACGAGCTTGCCGGATGCCCTACGCGAGGAATGGTTTTGAAGGAGGCATGAGTGTGGATGATGGGGCTCCTCGTCCATTCGTTGTGGTCGAGATCATCTCAAATGGAGCCTAGGTGGAGATGGTATCCGCTGGCTCGTCGGAGCTCATCGACCTCATAATAAACGGGTAAGAAAACGGGCTCATCTACGCCCATCTATCACCTTACCTCTTGTTTAGAAAACATCATTGAGTTAAGTAGCTATTACTTACCCAACTTTAACTATAATCAGGGGCAAGATTTGGTCAGTTCAAGCATTACATCAAATATGAGAAACGGTTACGAGACACCAAGCAACCCACCATCCTTTGTTCCCATTTTCTCTTATTCCATAAAAGAAACAAAGACTCTTTTGTCCTTGGGAATTTCTTGCTTCGTTTCTCAGATGAAAATCTGAGGTGCAGGGTGGTACAGATGATCCGCGATCGACGTCAAATGGGCTGAAGATCTGGTCCAGGCGTCGGTAGTTGGCGGGAAGAAGGGTGGAAGGGGAAGAAACCCTGGTTTCAGGCGTGTCTTGATATGTTCTCCCCCCCACCTCTCAGGCTCAGATCTGATGTCGTGGGAGGAGGCTCTTCGAGACTTGGCTATGGTTGTATACGGAATTGTGAGCCTCTTGTATTTGATGGTCTCGGCTGGGATATCTAACGGGTGTGATGTGACACTCCGGACGGGATCTGCCGTACGACGAGAGTATATACTCGGCGCGAGATTAAAACAATTCGTGGACGAGCGTGAAGGCGCCCGGGGTTTTTCTTGTCCTAACCTACTTCGACCGCAAAGGGAGGTTACTCAAGAAGATTCGAGATCCGTAACAGGGCTTGGCAAGTTACAGACGGTGCGATAGCTCTCACCCGGCAAAGCCATACGATGATGAATCTCGACTCGTCAAGGAGTCGCATAACAAGGTCCAAGATAGAAGACGATGCTGTCCTACACTGATCAAACAATGGAAGGAGTATATCGAGGCGAGATTCGGATGTGCTTGGCTGGCCTAGATAAGGCCAATGCTAGAGACGCAAGACGATCACTCCACAGGAAAGAAAGGAGCCAGGAACTCGAGACATTCTCTAGAGAGTCTCGACTTAGCATTTCAAGGCGTGACGAGAGCTACGCAGAGGGAGCCTAAAAGCACAGACATTTTCGCTCGCAGCTGTAGTCTCGCCGCAAAGTCGATCTAACAACGAAGAAAAGGGAGCATCCATTCATCGCCGGCAGGAGTGAATGATATCATCGATTGACAAGCCTGAGATATCAAGGCCTGTTCCTTGCTACTAAGCGATCCAGCTTTCAATCAATCAGAAGCTAAGCCGGCACAAGCTTGCCGCTTCCCGCTCGCAGAAACAGATGAATTGGTGTTGAATGGTCATTGATGCATATCGCGGGCGTCATGATTGACATCAATCTGATGGCATAGCGCATAACCAAAATCTTGCAGTGCTTATCTGTATTCGACCACACAATGCTCGAAGCTTCATCAAGATTTCTCCCCAGCGCTTATCGACCGAAGAAATGTGCATTTGATTCGCACACGTTTTGCCAAATTGTGACGGCAGAGCCTAAAATTAGACCTTGCGTGCTCGAAGACGCACGCAAGATGCCGTGCTACGTGATGCGAGTTTCCCAAACCACCCGCCAGTGAGAATATGCGTCCGTCACTACGTAGCATTGGAGGGTCCAGCCCGAGTTCTCCCGCTGTACTTCCTCGGAGCAGCAAAGACCGTGAATATCAAGTATATCCGTGTGTTTAATGGCATTAAGGCGGGCCGGTCACTGAATGAGGACCGGCCGGGGATGGTTCACTGGCCCCTCAAACCCTCAAGACCAAAGGTGAACGATCTGCGAGGCACGGGAGAAAAGGAACGGACACCAGAATTATGTCCGTGACGACCGAGAAAAGGGCAAGAAGAGGTAGTGTATAGTACGAAGTAGTAGCCAATATCTCTGGACTCCAATGTCGCAGTGGAAATGCGAAGTCGAGACTTCATCCGCAAATTATTCCCCCACGTTTTAGGGGAGGGGCAGTGGGCAAAGTAGCAACAGAGAGATAGGCTTGTGCGGAGTGGATTTCTGGGGTAAGTTGGCAAAAATTGGTTGCCTCAGCTGGTTCAATCCTGGGGTTGAGGAAGAAGGCAAGGGAAGGTGATTGAGGCGGGCTGGGCGATCTGAGACCATCCTGTTGCTACTATGTGATGTAGTGGACAACAGAGCAACAGAGAGCGAGAATGGGTTGGGCATATGGTCTCGTCTCCTCTCTCTTTTCAACGTTGCCCTCGGCGATTTAGCCGTCACTATGGACTAGATTTTTTCATTCCACCCCAAGGAAGCCCGATAAAGGACTCGATCGACTACCCTTGCAGTTATACTACCCCGAAAGACAAACTTATTGATCCCGCAACATCACCACGAAGTCAAGAGGTGATCTCTACTTCGTTAGAAGCTAAGAAGCCGCAGCCGGCCGTTTTCCAAGAGAATGCGGAATAGAAGGACTAGTGGTGCAGACTCGGGTCTCGGGGCAACCGAGTTTCTGACCTGCGGATGTTCCGGCGGCCTGGTGAACCAAGGGCGTAGAAGCCAGACAGGCTGATTGGATGGCTCGGCCGAAAAACGCTGTTAGTGAGTGGGTTAGGTTTATGATGCATGGAATAGAGTGCTCCATTTTATCATTGATCTACACTCGCAATGGTCGCCAATGAGTAATTACACACAGCAAGATTGATCTTGTATGTCATAGGTAAATTGGTATTTAGAGTCCGACAGATGAGAGTTTCTTCGCTGTATTTGCTGTAGTGTATTTGCTGTGAGAGAGTGCCATATCCGAAGGAGGCAATATCTCTTTCCGGGACAATACAAACGTGAACGCCACACAGGAAGAACTCGGGGTGTCATTTGGATCGACGAAACTCGTCTGAATCGATCTGGACTGGGGAAGCAAGGTCGAGAACGCGGAGGAAGAGCTGAAGCGTTACATTCGTGCCAAGCAGAAGGATGGAGGCGAAACGAATCCCCGCGAACTTTCAACGTAGCGTCTTTCCCCGTCTTTCCTCGACTCTGTAAACTGGGGATAAGCATAAAACCAATCTTCAACAAGTTCCCACACCGAGATATCTCCGACATTGTCATGATGAGTGCATTCTGTTGTTTCCTGACGCCTGCCCCAGTCCCAAAGCAGTTTGGTCAGCAGGACTAGGAGATCCTGGGGCACTCTCCTTGTCCTCTCTGTGGTGTCAGTGGCAAGGATCCTGGTTTCTCGTCGAACACTTCGTCTCGCCCTCGCCCACCCTTGCCCACAATGCGACTTGTACCACGTGGAGTACCAGCCAACTGGCCCGCAGGTGCTTGTGGGCGTTGTCTGGCGTTTTCCGCATCGGGAATGGCGTTGACAGCAGGGGTGGTTGACTAGCGTGATGGAGGCCTTTGGAACCGTCGGTGATTGGGATGATGGATGATTACCTCGCACTACGGAGGAGTGCACGAAAGACGAGGTATGGGTACCTACAATTGTACAGACCTCTTCGTTAATCTGGAGTCGGCCTCAAATTTGAAGCCCGAAGTAATAGGACGGAACTGTCAAGGCTTGAACCTTGATTATTACTTTAGAAGCGGGCACATTGTGCTCTCTGCTCTCTTACTTCATATGATGTAAGCAGTAGCTTTGTAGCTCTTGGACATACGAAGACATGCTCGCGTGGCATTGAATCGTTCCTTCTAGTATTCGTAGTTCATGGTTTTGATTTGTTGGAAGGAACTGGGGACCGGGGAAGGGGGATGGGGGCAAATTTCGGAAGGCGCACCCTCAGGGCGGCGGTACGGAGTACACTATATACAGAGTACATCCAGCCCTTCCATGCCGTACCACCAGTCCTTGTTACCAGGCTGCTTTCTTCTCGCCCAGCTCGTACTTCGTAAGGCCCAGGATTGACCGTGCCTTCCTCGGTGCATCGTATAATTGGAGTGTATGTAGTAGTGTACGGAGCTACTCCGCGACGTCTCCACAGAACGCCATCTGCATCTGTACTTCGCAGATTAGGGATAATCTCATCTGGGGCAGAGGCAGATGGCGCTCTGTCGCACGACGAATTAATACCACTTGAAGTTGATCAGGCATCCCTTGTATTATGAGGGATCTTATTGTGGAGACTTCTGGGCTTGGTCAACACAGAGCATCCCAGTCCTTCATTCGTCCTTCGTGTCATTGGGGGCGTGACGAATTGTCTCGAGTCCAGTGGGATGGATCACTACGAAGTAGGTGCTGTGTAGCCTGACGTAGTATGTATGTCGTGTCGGATTGATTATCATTGGGATATGTTTCGAGTCTACATACATCGCATGTCATGACTGTCACTCGGCAAGATCCCTTACACCAGATGGCTCCAAGCTCTTGCCCAGTGGTTTCATAACATGCAATACGAAGTAGAAATTGATACCCCTTTGATACTAGATCGATCAACCGCCTGGCAAGTAACATAGGGTTCTCGTGGGCTTCGGTGTAAGGGCCATCTCTTTTAACATCCCGAGTCCTCGCTTCAGCAACACACATTACTCTTCACACGCGATACCGGGTTTCAGGATAAAGGCTCGGCGAAAGTGGGCATGAGGTGTTCTAACAGCCTGGCGAAGGAAGGAACACGAAGTGAGTGGTGACGAAGAATAATTTTCAATTTACTCGGCCGTGGCTGAAATCGAGAGCTTATTACCGATTGCGGATTCGGAATGCCTTTCGAAGAGAAGATAGGACATAGGCTGCACGGCGCAAGAAGCGTGCCGTATCGAATATGATTCTCCGTGCTGGGACGAGGAACTGAAGAACGATAAACTGCGAAATAAATATGTGATTGATATTGATCGATAGCCTATGTTAGGTTCCGTCTTATTCGCACGGGAAGAACAACACAATCATCGCCTGTCTTGTTGGTTACATGCAACCTCCGATACCCAATATCGATATCGGCGACTTTCCTGTTATTAATTACTCCCAGACACCAGCCCGATACACCCGTCCCGCCTGCTCGTCTCTTCCCTCTCTTCTTCGTTTCCGCCTGCATTTTGATGATCTTGGCAGGCAGGAAATGTCCGGGGGAGATAAACGCTGAAGGCTTGGCTTGTATCAATATATCCCCTACCCTTCTGGGAAGGTCTGCGGAAATTTTGACTCGGAATACCGGGCCATGATTCTCGACCCCGTGGTCCATTGACGATATTATTGTCTGGCTGTGCCCTAATACCCTAGAGCTTCCTGCCGCCTGGTGGTGGTACGGAAGATTGCCTGCTGACAGTGACAGCCCCTGGCCTCGACAAATCGAGCGGCATGCAGTGTAGCATTCGAGGATGTCGAAATATGCGCCTCAGCTGGTGGGTCCGCTGCCCATGCCCATACGGAGTACTTCCACCTTGAGATAATACGAAGTAATATCAATAGATCAGGTTGAAGGAGTGGACAGAGTAGGAGCCTCCCTTCAAACACAACTGGACCCCATGGCCGGGCTTGCCTGGTATATTGATCGATCCCAGCCCTTGGCAAAGTCCCAAACAGAGGCGGAAATTTTGCCCCCTTTAGCTCCTCAGAGTGGAAACCAAGTCATGAAGCTGTGGAGACTTTCGAAATTTGAATACGAGTTGCGCGCTAAAGGTCTTTAGTCTCGATCTCCACGTTTCCTCTTGGAGCCTGGGGCTAGAAGCAGAGGAAAAAGAATGCGTAGGACAGGCACGGCATTGCAATATTCGCACTCGAAGACAGAGTCACCACTTCGTAGGTGTTTGAAAATCATTGCCAGCCTGAACCCTCTGACAGTCATTCGGGCCGTCCGTGAAAATCTCCGCTGCAGCCTCAGACAAGTTCTGGGTCGTTGTGGCAATATGATTGTCCGGCCGTATATTTAACAGACAAGAGTAACGACACTTGGTAGGGGGATTTCTTCGAGAACAAGAATGGAATAGACCTTTACCTAGCCGTTTGGCTGGGTTTATTAGATTAAGAGTTGGATTTTTGGGTCTTGTTCAATCCGACCCGCCCTTTCCTCCACTACTTGTACGCTGTGCCCACCATTCTTGGTGGAAGAGATGTTACTTGGCAGGTGGGGATCAACGACAACCACTTGTAGCCTCCGAGATAAACTTTGTAGGACGATCTTTGGCAAAAGGGGCAAAAAGATAGTAAACTGATTAATATAGTGCTGATCAGCACTTGGACTTTATGGACTTTGACAAACGGAGAGGCAATATGGATTAAAAGCCGGGTAGAGTGAAGAGGGTGCAAGAACAATTGACTTGGAATGGGATGGAGGGGGTGTAGGGCCGTGACTTGATGATGCCAAGCGGTTAAACCTTGGAAGTATTCTGCAGAACCCTGAAGGTGACCAGACATGCACTATTGATCCATTGCTACTTCGTAGTGGGGTGTACTTTGTAAGGGCCACTGTTACTTCGTAGACAATAGTGTATTTCCAAGCACTGGAACTCAGTTTCCACTTGCCTCCAGTCATGTGAGTCCAGGATGAGTATGAAGTACATGATTGATATCTCTTACTTACCATAGCAGAATGGAATGGTCATTCTCATGCTCTCCAGCAAACAACTTCTATAAAAAGCTCAAATGATCGAGAATGAATGTTTTGTAGTAGAATGGTTGACATTTGATTATTAATGGTTTCTGTGCTGCGTGTTCTCTCCACTGGCTTATCGCTGGGACTTTGTCTGGGGAGGGAGCGTGGAGTCCACAAGTCCCACCTCTAAAATAGCTTGAGGACAATCAGTAGTGTAGATTATAGGCGAAAATGAAACAGCAACACAATACCATAATACTGAAGTAGTAGGTCCTGATATAAACTACGAAGTACACATGCGGTCAACCCGTGCCGCTGTATCATGCCGCGGAGCAGGAACACTAGCACGATATATTGAAGCCTTCCACTGGCCTGGGTAATGGAAAGTGTTTGATCTAGAGGGTTGCTACTTCATGTTAACCAACCACAAGTGGCAACGTCCATCTGGTTTCGAGGACTAACGAAGCAGCCCAGGGTTCGTACCTCGTACTCCGTACTCTGGCGGGAAGGAAAAAGCGTGCAGCCCACCCACCATAGCATTGCTGGATGTAACTGTATTGGCCCACAAGCAGTCAAAGCCCACTGTCCTGACTCCTCATGCCTTGTACCCCAGCTACCAGGAGCGATTGCAACCTGCCAAGATCCCCCGAGTCAGAGACCCAACAAGAAAAAGAGGCACAAGACAAATGGGTCAGATCCATGGGGACGCTATCCGATCCATCCACCACGATTGTGGAGTAAGTCACCACCTCAGTGTTAGACTAGCCTCAATGGCCGAGGCTATCGTCGACCTGTAAGATTGAGTCTATTTGCCTCTCCTCGTCATCACTTGCGGCACCCAGCCAATGCGGTGTGATGAATGGGAAAAAATTGATGCCAATACAAATTGACTTCGACGTGCTCTTTCACTTCGCCTTTCCCTGCTCCATTGGATCCACACCCACCGTTCAGTTACCCCACCCCCGCAAACACTCCGTCGACTTTCATCTTGTTCTCCTGGAGTACCGAGGTACAAGTACAAAGTAGTTATGTTTGTCTAATGGTGAACTGGCGAATTATTCCCTCGAGTCTGTGTTATTTGCACGAAGCCTCCTGGGTTTCTTTGACAACAACCTCCCGGCGGATGAATTTGGGTTATTGCTCGGAACCTCGCTGAATAGGTGGCTTCAAAAGGTGCTGGGCAGTAGATAGACTACCCCTACGTACATACTAGATTATATAGGCACTAGGTTGCCATGCACCCATCAACTCCAGCCTGGAAATCATTCTCTGATATCGGACCTCCCTACTTCTGATTGAGTAGCCTCGAGGACCATAATCTGTCCCGTATCTGATGTGGTCTTTCCGTGCTTGTTGGCTGCCTGCGCCTAGGCCAATCGTAGATTGAGCTCTCAGCGCTTCCTGGGAACTAACTTGCACTTCGCAAGATGTCTGGAAACAGAAAGAGAGGCATTTATCGCCGATGCGTCCCACACTCTCCGGTTTCCGCCTCTGCGTTCGTTTCCTATGCCACTGGACACCATTTTGCCTCTTGTTCACTGTTCTTCCCATCATTTCTCATCTTGGATGTGAAGGAGTTGAGCGAACCGCACAGACCCATGGGCTCCACTACGTCTACCCCCGCTCGTGCTCCCCACACAGACTTTCCACTCATGGACCTTGGCATCCTCCAATCACATCCACTGTAACGTACTTGCTTCCGACGCCGTCGGTACGCCGGGTGTACAGCTACCAATCGGACTGGGTCATATTCTACCTGCGGGGGTGTCAAGATGGTACTTTGTACTGACGCAGTATTTGAATGTGGGGCGCTGTGTACCCGCTCCGATGAAGGGCTCCCTGTATTCATGAAGTTTGCGCATAATACGTGGGAGCACATCGTGCACAGCGTCCTCGACTTATTCATGGGGTACTGCTCCACAACTTTTAGGTACTTTGGTTGTTACATCAACAATTCAACATACGAAGTACAACCCCAGGGCATGGAAGGTACTTGTACACTACAAGTCTGGCCCTCTTTTTCATCCGCACTTTCCTGGGGTCCCCATATCCCACCATCGCCTGCGTAATTTCTCTGTTCTGACATCCTGGGATTCTAACCTCTCCTTTTCTTTGATCTAATTCCCTCCCTTCACATCGCCAAACAGTCGCAACTTTGTTTCTTGTTTTTTTTTTATTATCCTTCGACAAACATCACCGATATATGCCGTTTAGAACAAAAGCTGAGAAACTCTCCCGTCCGGTATTCCCACGAAATCCGAACCGAGGCCGGCTTTGGGCCTCGACTGTCATGGTTGCTTCGAGTCCGTGATCGCTGCTCGGCCATCAGCTTCACTGAGCGACGACGGCTTCAACTACTTAGGCCTGTCCCCACAGTCTCCACCTCGGCATCGAAACCAACTCCACTAAAGCGCGGGGACTCTTACCAACCCAACCCCTTTCCGACTCATTTCGTCAGCACTGTTCACTCTTTAACCTGGCCTCCGTCCATACACTACCTGCATATTTCGAAGCACCAAAACTTCTCCAACATTTTCGGCCAACCCAACCCAACCGTCAGCAACATATCTCTGGTAAAGTGTTCGCTACTGACCGTGAATCCCACTCGGTCAGGGCGACGTACTCGCCGCTGTAAGCGGAATCAGTATTCGACATATCAACTGTTGGTCAACTCGAACGCGGTATGAAGTCTTCTCGGAACCGCCCAGGGCTCGAGTCCCGTCTCCACAGCATCAATGATGCCTCCAATTCCCTCCTTTCCCCCTCCGCCGCGAATGGCATCTCCGATGACCCCTTCTCACTTGACACCACCGACGATCCCTTGAATACAACCTCTCCTACTCATAATATGATCGATGCTCCCCCGTTCGGCGACTTTTCCTTCTCCTACCACGACCTTCAAGACTCTTCAGTCATGGTAAACCTGGACTCGCCGAACTTTGACCGCCGCGGTTCTGAGCAGTTCTCTCCTCAGCGCACCAAGGGCGCCGATAATGACGCCGACCTTGCTGTCGCGACTACATCCTTTGCCCTTGCCCCCGCCGAGTCTGTCGTCAGGCGGTCTAGTGTCATCAATGTTGAAGATGATGAGGACGAAAATATGCAGGACCGCAATTCTCCTGGTGCTAACTCTCTCGAGGAATCTGTGGCTGACGAGTTCGGGTTGTCGGTGACCGGAAGGTCGGAGCGATCAGAACCCGCTGAGGCCGGACACAGGTCTAAGGAGGACAAGGGTGATACGGCTCCCCCTTGGAGTGAGTTGAAGACGAAGGCTGGCAAGGAGCGCAAGAGATTACCGCTTGCCTGTATAGCTTGCCGACGGAAGAAGATTCGCTGTTCAGGGGAGAAGCCTGCCTGCAAGCACTGCCTTCGCTCTAGAATACCTTGCGTTTACAAAGTTACTACCCGCAAGGCCGCGCCTAGGACCGATTACATGGCGATGCTCGACAAGCGGTTAAAGCGTATGGAGGAGAGGATCATCCGTATCGTCCCCAAACCCGAGCAGGAGTCGGTTGCCTCTTCCGTTACCCGAGCCGTCGTGAAACCTGCAATCCCCGGATCCTTGCCGACTTCTAAAAACCCATCCAAGAAGCGAGGAGCGGAGGAAGCGTTTGGCCATGACCTCGATAAGTGGTCCAGGACGACGGGTAAGGCTAAAACGGATGGCTCCACGAAGCCTGCACCTTTGCAAATGCAAGAGAACGAAGAGAATAAGCTTTACGTCGAAGGCATCGAGGCGCTTCCACCCAAGGACATTCAAGAGCATCTAGCTGAGGTATTCTTCGAAAACATCTATGGTCAGGCCTATCATATCCTCCATAAACCGAGTTATATGAGAAAGCTAAGGTATGTCGCAGATCCGAGTTGGGAGGCCTTCTAGTCGCCATGGGATAAACTAACTCCCGTCTCCCCCCAATAGAGCTGGTACTCTCCCGCCTGTCCTTGTCCTTTCCGTATGCGCTATTTCGGCGCGCTTTTCAACCCACCCAAAACTTGGTTCGACACCGAATTTCCTTAGGGGCGAAGAGTGGGCCGCCCGGGCTCGAGATATCTGCGTCGAGCGCTACGAATGGCCAAACATCACCATCCTCACCTGTCTCATGATTCTTGGTCTTCATGAGTTCGGTACATGTCACGGAGGTCGCAGCTGGGCACTTGGTGGCCAGGCAATTCGGATGGCCTTTGCACTCCAGCTACACAAAGACCTCGAGCATGATCCGCTGAGATTCAACGGCCAGTCCGAACTCAGCTTTGTAGATCGTGAGATCCGCCGCCGGACAATGTGGGCATGCTTCCTCATGGATCGCTTGAACTCGTCTGGCACCGACCGGCCCATGTTTGTCAGGGAGGAGACGCTCAAGATCCCACTGCCCGTTAAGGAGCAGTACTTCCAGCTCGACATGCCCGCGTCGACCGAGACTCTCAACGGTAAGGTGGTGCATCCGCTCGGCGGAGAGGAGGATAACCTCGGAGACCCGAAGAAGAACATGGGTGTGGCCGCATACATGGTCCGCGCGATTGCCTTGTGGGGAAGGATCATCAATTACCTGAACCAAGGAGGCAAGGAGCAGGATCCCCATCCATTCTGGAACTCCGAGTCCGAATATGCTAAACTCACGAAGCAAGCTGATGATATGATCGAGATTCTACCCGAGTCTCTCAAGTATTCTGCCGACAACCTCCAGCTCCACAGCACCGAGAACATGGCCAACCAGTTCCTCTTCCTGCACATTGCTATCCAGCAAAACATTCTCTTCATGAATCGTGTCGCGGTTGCGTCCCCGCCGGCGACTGGCAAAGCTGAAGTACCAAAGGCTTTTGTCACAAACGCGGGAACGAAGACGTTCGCTGCCGCTAACCGTATCTCAGAGCTGCTCAAGGACGCCGAGTCGTACTTCGTCACTGCGCCATTTGTCGGTTATTGTGCCTTCTCTTCCAGCACGATCCACATTCTGGGCATCTTTTCTGGAAATCCGGCGATGGAGGCCACCTCGAAGAGGAACCTGGCAACCAACGTCAAGTTCCTGTCCAAGATGAAGAGATATTGGGGAATGTTCCATTGGATGTCGGAGAACCTGCGTGAGCAGTACAGGACCTACGCGGACGCAGCTCGCCAGGGCAGTAACACCAACGAGAACTCGACCGCGTCGCCCATCTTCCAGTACGGAGACTGGTTCGACCGATATCCACACGGCGTTTCCCAGTGCGACTTCGTTGATCCCGCTTCGTACAAGAAGCGAGACAAGGGCGAAGAAGCAGTGTTGGAGCAAAAGCCTGAGTTGCACACAGTCGAAGAATTCTTCACGACGCTGTCCCCTCCGCAGAGCTCCGAAACGGGCTCCAACGGCAAGGGCGGAGCGGCTTTGAAGAAGAAGCAGCCGCTCGCGAAGAAGGGCTCCATTAGCGCGCAGCGACCCGAGCAGCAACAGCAGCAGCAGCAGACAGATGGGCTGATGAGTGAATTCCAGAGCCGCGCACAATCTACCGAGCCGCTCAGTGCTCGCCTTCAACACCAGCGAAATTTCTCGGGGGCTCTGGGCGGCCAAACCAGTGGCCCGGCCGGATTCAACCCGCTTTCAATCCCCCATTCTCAGGCAGCCTCATCGTTCCACGCACTCTCTCCCGTGAGCCCGGTTGTTGGCGGATATGGTCATCACGGACCCCATAATCCGGCGTCATTTTATGCTCCGGACCTGCTTTCCATGGGCCTCTCTCAGCAGGCAGTTAATAGCATGATCCAGCCTCTCGACCGCCAAATGGTATTCGGCGCGTATTCAATGGACCCCGGTCTGACCAATGGTGGGCCGCTATTGGATGGTGTTGACTGGGAACGGTTCGCGCGTCAAGCCCGTGGTCTCCCCGAGGGCCACCCTGCTCGGCGCCGCATTCCCGGACGACTCAACCTCAACGGCGGCCTGGCCGGGGCTGCGGCCGCTCGCCAAAATATCGAGACCATGGCGGGATTCGGGCAGGAGGCATCCTCGGCGTGGTTTATGCCTTTCAACATGGAGCCTCCAGAGCTTGGCCACGACCTCGGTATGGGCATGAGCAACCTTGACAGCCTCACCAGCATGTTTGGCGGGGGTAGCATGGCAGCTTCCAGCCCAACTGGCATGAACGGACTCCGACACGGACATTAAACCCCCCGCCCCAATTCCCTCGCGTTTTGTGATCTCTTCTTTTTGTTATGACAAAAGTGGTTTCTCAGTTTCTATCTCTGGAACATACCACGACAATTACACAACATTCATTGTACAAACCTTGATCGTCGTGCCGTTTCCTGGGTATCTTGTTTCAATTTTGGGCACTAGCGTCTTGTTATTTCCTTGGAGTGAATTTATTCAACACATGTTGGAGAACAGAACACACGGTATCGAGGGTTGCAGTGGTCTGTCTCTGGGAGCTTTCAGATCTGGGAAGAGGGGAGCTGGGGGGGAAGTTTTCTTCTCTTTTCTTTTTTTTTCTCCTCTTCTTCGTTTTCGTCTTCTATTCTATTTTTCTTGTTTCTTCTTGCAAAACGGAGCGGGCGCAATCCATTCCTTTGTGCAAATTATGGGTTCGATGAAACAAACACGGTTTTCCTCTCTGGGTTTTCCAATCGTTACGGATCGGTCATGGGTGGGAGGAGCATTTTCTTCGGGACGGGGTGGTGCTTAGCGTGTGTAACTATCGATACCAGTTGCTGCAATGGGATGTAAAATATATATATATATATAGGAACTACTACTTGGATAATCGACAAATACAAAGTGATCAATATCAAAAAGAGCGAGGCAAGATGTGTTGTTGATCCCTTTGCGACGTGCGACTCCGAGGAAGATTTTTCTTATTTAACAATATGAAGCTCCAGGATATATCAATTTACGATGAAGATTGAATGGTATCTTGCCGTTGGACCGGACAGTTACGGAAAAGAGAACGAGGAATAGTTGATGCGCTGGATACATTTCAAACCTCAGCAGTAGACTTTTTATGGCCCCTCTTCCTCTTCTTCTTCTTCTTCTCCTTGGTCTCGTCCTCATCATCTGCTTTCCTCTTCTTGACCCTGATCTCCTCAGCGTCGTCCTCTACACCCTCGAGGGCATCGAAGCCAAAGTCAGGTCCGGTCTCCTCATACTCCCGACCAAACACCTCCCGCCTCCACTTCTTTAGCCTCGCCTTCTTGCTCAGACTCTTCTTATCCTTGCGCTTCTGTTCGGGGTCCCTAAAGCTCGCATACTTCTTGATACCCGCAAACTGATTGAGCGCCTTGTCGGAAGGCGCGAGGAGCACGTCTCTCGCCGTCATGCCGAAGGAGCGGGGCGAGGTCTCGCGCCAGCGGAAGAGGGTGGGGGCGGACTTTTTGGAGGAGGAAGCTGACGCGCCGAGGGCGAGGAGGTCTGGGTCGTCGATCTCGAGCTTCGTGGAGACGAGGGCTTCGAGGCGGGCGCGCTCTTGCTTGGAGGCGCGTTTTGCGGCGAGGCGGTCTTTCTTGTGGTCTTTGGAGGTTTTGCGTTTCTTGGAGGGGCGAGAGTCGGAGTCGGAGTCGGAGTCGGAGTCTGAGTCTGAGGAGGCTTCCTCTTGATCGTCTGCCGCGGCATCCGCCATTTCTTGGTCTTCCTCGATGTCACTTAAGGTGAAGGCCGGCGCGTCATCTTCGTAGTCTTTGACTACGTCGGTGATGTCGATGTCGTCATCCCACTTCGGCTTCTTAGGCTTCTTCTTTTTCTTCTTCTTCTCGGAGCCCTCGGCGTCTTCATCTCCTTCCTCCTCGCTCGAAGCCATGCCATTGTCATCTTCGTTATAGTACTCCTCGCCGAACCTCTTCTTCATCTCCTCCTCCCACCTATCGTCATCCCAAGCATCATTAAGAATCTCCAACAACTGATCGTCACTAAGCTCCTTCCCACTCAATCCCGCCGTCTTCTTAATCTTCTCCAACTTTCCCTGGGCCTCCTCCAACTTCAACTTCTTCAACCGCGCCTTCTCCTCCCTCCGCTGTTTCTTCTCCTCCTCCTTGCGCTCCCTCTCCGCCTCCCTCTGCCGCTGCCTCGCGCTCATCTTCTCGCGCCGCACGGATTTCTGCGCCGCGACGTCTCGCGCGTACGATTTTAGGATCTCATTGGACTTGGACGGGTCCTCGAAGCGCATGTTGTACGCCGCCTCGATCTCGTCCGCCTTCTCGAGGTCCGAGTCGCCGTCGTCCGACTCGAAGGCTTTCCAGTTGGAACCGTCGGGGCCTACCCAGGCGCGGGCGGCCATGAAGTTGGAGAGGTACAGCTCGGGGTTCTTGTCTGCGTTTTGGATGTCCGCCTCGGTGAGGACGGCGGAGGATTTCTTGGAGGCTTCATCGGCTTGTTCCTCGGCGAGCTGCTTCTTGGACTTGGGCTTGGGCTTGAGGAAGCCCGCGTCTTCGTTGTCGTCGTCCGAAGCGCCCCCGGTAGCAGCGGCGTCGATCTCTGCGAGGATAGCCTTTTTGAGGTCCGCCTGTTCCTCGACGTACGTCTTGGGTTTCTCAGCATCCTCATCGTCAGGTTCCGAGTCCGACGCGCCCGTCGCTCCGGCCATGTACCGTTCTCGGTGGTAGTCCTTCAGGAACATGGGCTTCTCTTTCTTCTTCTTCTCGGCGCCGTTTTCCGCGGGCGCGGCCTCGGAGAAGAACTTGGCGTTCTTGTCGTAGATGCGCGGGTCCTTTGTCCGTAGGGCGTGGAGGGTCTCGGAGATGCGGGCGTCTAGATCTTCGGTGGCGAGGAATGCGTCTTCGTCTTCTGTTTCGTCGGATGATTCAGAGTCGGAAGCGTCCTCATCGTTGCCTTCTTTCTTGAACTTTTCCTCGACTTTTGGTTCTGTGTTAGTTTTTTTTCCTAGAACAACAAAAAAAGAATTGGGAGGCCGTGTTGAGATAGAAATTCAAATACGTACGTCTCTGCCTCTCCTCACGCTTCTTGTTATGCTCAAACCTCTTCGCATACTCGCTATTCACCTTGAAGTTCCCGGATTCAACAGCGGCCCCGCCATCATCAGAGTCGGAATCGCTCTCTTCGAAGAGGGCCTTCTTGGGGAAATTGGGAGGGTCTGCGAGGGCCGCAACCTTGTGGGGTAATCGTGCTATCCTGTCGGGATGCATGGTGACTATGTCGTCCTCAGAGGATGGGATCGCGAACGAGCGACAGGAAGATGCGAAGGCTCGCGGTTAATTTTTCCTTTGGCGGGGACAATTTCCGCTGGCGATTTTTTCTTCTTTTTTTCTCCCAACTTTTTTTTTTCCCTTCATCACAAGCTCTGAACTTTTCTGCCGCACATTTTCAGGCGGTGAATGGGTAAACTATAAACTATTAACCGATGTGCCCCACCTGGAAATGGGTGGAATGGGTCCATCCAAGTCAATGTACTACTTCGTACCGCAGGACCTGTGTCTGCAACATGTGTTGTGTACGAAGGTACTTGTGTAGTGATGACGACTTGTTCCCAGGCAACCAGCAATTGAATCAGTTTAAATGCTGAGCAGTCACTGTATTTGCGGGGACGTTAGTGGGCAGACTCACTGGAATGGTCCAACCTCTCCCCTGCCGGACACCACCGGGACTCTCCGGTACAGTGGCCCTTCGCCCACTAGAGGCCCAGAACAAATGGACTCAGACACCCATTGAGGTTCTGATCCCAGCTTCGTCATCTACACCACCGCCCGCCTTTTCCCTTCTCAAACAAGACTGGTCAGGCCAAGACGTGCATCTTCTCCAAAGCTCCCGCCACCAACTTCCATTCCGTCATTTTTCCCACCACCACGTCGCCGACTCTACCAGTGCACTGGCTCTTCTGCTGTCCCCAACGCCGACACCAGGCAACCACATAGACTCCCTTTATATACAAGCTCAATTCCCGTGAAGTTTTCCCATCTCTACGGCCCCCGACGATACCGAGTTCGCTTGCACCCGGTCTTCCCGCACCCAAGACAGACAGGTACCATTCGCTAGGCTCGTCCCGCCGTCTAGAATCCCGGTTCGCCGGTCCCGTTCCTACCACCAGCCTCCGCATCTACGTTTAGCCCACGCCGATTCGATCTCGAGCGCCCATAGCCATGGCGGATCCCAATGCTCCTAAGCCTAGCAGCAGCGTGAAGCTAGTGCTGTTGGGAGAGGCTGCTGTTGGAAAGGTAGATGGACAATGACTCGCGACTGGAGATACGGCTGGCACATCGCTGCTTTGTTCTCCAACTCTGTGGAACTGCGGACGCCGGGATATCTGCTAACGCTTGCCTTTCTAGTCATCTCTCGTGCTACGTTTCGTCAACAATGACTTCCAAGAGAACAAGGAGCCTACGATTGGCGGTACGTTGCCCTTCTCTCTCCAGCACCCTCCCAACCAAGCACACCTCCACCACAAACCATCAGTTCTCGTCCACTAACGACGTCTGCCTCCAGCCGCCTTCCTCACACAAAAATGCAACCTCCCCTCGCGGACAATCAAGTTCGAAATATGGGACACCGCCGGCCAGGAGCGCTTCGCCTCCCTAGCCCCCATGTACTACCGCAACGCCCAAGCCGCCCTCGTAGTCTACGACATCACCAAGCCCGCCTCCCTCATCAAAGCCAAGCACTGGGTCGCCGAGCTCCAGCGCCAGGCCTCCCCCGGAATCGTCATCGCCCTCGTCGGCAACAAGCTCGATCTCGCCGATGACTCCGTCGACGACGACTCCAACGCCCGCAAGGTCTCCACCGAGGAGGCGAAGACGTACGCCGACGAGGAGAGCCTGCTCTTCTTTGAGACGAGCGCCAAGACGGGCCACATGGTCGAGGATGTGTTTACGGCCATTGCCAATGCCATTCCGGAGACGAGTCTTAAGAGCTCCAGGGTGCCCGGGGCGAGCTCGGCGGCTAGGGGTGGTGATGAGCAGAGGGTTAACCTTACGGGCCCGAGGGATGTCGGTGCGAAGGAAGGCTGCGCTTGTTAGACAAATATTTGTTTCTTTTCTTTTTCTCGGAAGGGAGAGGGAGAGGGAGAGGGAGAGAGATACGAAAGTAGAGGGAGAGCTATTGAATGCTGCATATTTCTTTCATTATCTCGGTCTGGGAAGAGCACCCCACGGGGAAAGATCGCAGGGACCCGGCGGGCTATTTCCGTCGGCTTGCGAGGATGTTGATTTTTACGTTTCTTTTCTCTTGCCCTTGGTTTGACAAGGTGGCGTTAATCTGTTTTTCTTCTCATGCTTTTCTTTCTTGTCTACTGCCGATTGCAGGGCGATTCTTGGCTCTGGCTCTTCTTCGCAGGCGCTGTTGCAGCGTTGCGGCTTTTCCAACAAGTGCAAGAAGCGATCGAAGAGATGGACGGGAGATAGGAAGATGGGACCAGTGGGTTACTAGGCGATATTATATGCAATACTGTTATGATATATTATTGTTAAACCAAGTCTTGGTCGGTTGATGCTTAACTCGGCGATATTTCCTACGTTATTCTAGAAAGAACTTCGACACGTCTCTCTGAGTGCCTGGTCTCCTTACTCTCTACGAAACAAAGGCCACGCCAAACAACATCGACACGTACGAACCAAGAACTGGACGTCTTAGACCCAAAGGCCGTAATGTCTATTAAATCTGTATAATACGGGCACCGAGCCCAATGAATATCTGGCTCACCACATCGACGACCACTGCCCTGGGAAAAACACAACCACCTAAAAACTCCCCTCCTTCATGCTGTTTTATACTCCTTTTGCAAATGGAGATTTGAGTGCCCCGATAGCAATTGGGGGCCCTTCGTAGCGTTTTCCCCTCTGAGCAGAAACATTCTTTCCTCCTCTTTTTATCCCCTTTCTTTTTTCTTCTTCTTTTTCCTTTCCTTTCGCTTTTGGGTTTGGTTTGGGTTTGGTTTGCTTGTCTGTTTGTCCGGTGACTCGTTGGAAGGCATTCAACATGCAATGCGTAAATGAAAAGAGAGGATAAGCCGACAGGGGTATTCCCGATGATCGTTTCCTTCCTTGGTATCAATCGGGTCCTTCTTCCCAGAGGCTCTGAAGGACGGACGCGAGCGGCGACGCGATTACTCGGATGCAATCCAAGGTGTGACGGACAGCCCGCCTAGTAAAAGGGGGAAAAGCAAGAAAAAGGGTCCTAGGATGCTGTGGGTATCGATCGATTGCGCTTCTTCTTCAATGTTGAAAACACACTCAACCCCATCGTCCACCCTCCCTCTCCGCCTCCAACCTCCTCATCCTCGCCTCCGAATCATCCCCCGAAACAACCTCGCTCCTCCGTCCCTTCCGTCTCCTCTTCCAATCCTCGTCGTCATCGCCGCGGCTCCTCTTCGAACCGGCCAGCGACGCGATCCTCTGCGCCTCCTTCAGCAGGCGCTCCCTGTCTCGGGCTTCGCGCTCCAGCGTGTGCGGATCCTTGCCGCCCTTGGCCGAGGAGGCGGAGGCTTGGGAGGCCCGGCGGCCCTCGGGATGGGATGAGGACTTGGCCGGGGGTTCAAACTGTTGTTTATCTGACTTGGCGTCGGTAGCTGAGGGTGGCTCGGGAGTGTGCTTCTTGCTGCTTCGGTGTCTTTCTTCTCTGCGCTCCTCTCGACGCTTTTCTCTGTCTCTGCGGCCCTTGCGGTCCCTGTCGCGGTCTTTGTCCCGCTCACGGTCTTTGTCCCGCTCACGGTCTCTATCGCGATCACGATCTCGGTCTCTATCTCGGTCACGGTCACGATCCTTCTCGCGGTCACGGTCCCTATCTCGTTCCGCACGATCATGCCGTCCCTTCCTCCTCTCCCTCTCCTCATCACGATATTTCTCCTTATCACGACGCTTCTCCGAATCGCGATCCCTCCTGCTGCTCCTATGCCTCTTGGAGTCATCCGGCGAAGCGGACCTCGACCGCTCATGCAAGCTCTTGCCGTCTTCCGTCTTCGACCGGGACTTGCTGCTAGCGCCCTCGTCCTCAACGGTGGACGTGGCACCAGATGCGTGTTTCCTGCCGCTCCTGTGCTTGCTCCGCTTACGGTGCTCGTCGGTACCGTCGTCTTCCATGGCTACAGACTCGGACCTATCGCGCCTGTGCCGGCGTGAGCTCTTGTGCCGACGCCTCCGGCTGCCACTACGGCTGCGACTCCTACTCGGCACCGTGGATCTGGAGCGGTCCCTTCCGCGCTCACGATCGCCATCGCCTCCGGATCTCTTCTTGTCGTAATCCTTGTCGCGGACGTCTCGACCACTGCGGGTCCTATCCCGATCACGATCACGATCACGATCACGATCTCTATCTCGCTCACGGTCACGATCGCGGTCACGGTCACGGCTTCGGTCGCGGTAATACTCATGCTCGGAACGGGATGGAGAACTACTCCTAGACCTATGCCTGCTGCCCTTCATGTCACCACCGCCATTCGCGTGGCTATACGGCGACGAAGCCCTATCATCGTCAACGAGAAGACCACGGGCACGCAGGTGGGCAACACTAGTATTGGGTAGGCCCTGGCGCATTGCCTTGGGACCAGTGGGGGCGTTAAAGGGCACATCAGGGTTAGCTACCGAAGTCACCTTTCCAAAGTTCCCGCTGCCGCCGCCAGTAGTGGCATCTGCAGATACGGCACGGTCACTTTGCTCAGGATTCTGCTGCTGTTCTCCACTGTTGCCGCTGCCTACTTGGTCCCCACCATGGGCGGCCGCCTCATTGGAATCATTCTTGTCAGGCTGAGAGGCGGTGGCGTCACGGTCATCAGGGCTCCCGCCTTCAGGCCGGATCTCACGGCCAAACTCATCGACTTTGGACTGCTCCCGACTGGAGGGATCATCTGCTGCCATCACGCCGTTTTGGCTGTTATACCCCTGACCGGAGCCAGCGGCGCCTAGACCATAGGCCTGCTGTTGATTCTGATTCTGCTGATAAGGGTATTGATGGCCGTAGGCTTGGTTGCCGCCAGAGTACCCCTGATACCGGCCCCGGCCGTAGCCGTCGTGGAAGCCCGCTCCTCGGCCGCGTCCCCTGCCGCGGTATCCGTAGTTGTTTCTCCGGTAGTCATTGAACTGGTGGCCACCAAAGTTACCTTGATTGAAACCTGTCTGCTGGTTCTGCTGCTGCTGGAATCCAGAGTTATAGTTGCCATAGTCACCGGGCCCCATGCCAAGAGAGTTTGCATGATTGTAATTATCTTGGCCGAAATTCCATGACTGCGCTTGTTCGTTCCAGTTCTCATTGGAGCCGCCCATGCCTCCCCCATAGCCCGCCATGCCCATGTTCATGCCGTTCATGCCCATGCCTTGATTGTAGCCACCGTTCATGTTCATGTACATGTTTTGCATCGCCATAGGATCCATGTTCATTCCTGCCATTCCTTGCACGCACGGGTTAGCAATCTATTTCGGGGAAATGGCAAGGGACAGAGAGAAGGGGACAGGAAGCGAGGCGCAATAGTGAAGGAGTAGGAAACATACCCATCATCGGAAAACCATTGAAGGAACCGTTCTGCATAGCCATCATCATCTGCATCTGGTTGAAATCGCCCGTCCCGGCGAACCCCATGTTTGCAAAGGCGCCTCCGCTAGCAGCGTCGTAGCCGAAGTTCGCGCGATATTCGCTTTGGGCCTGCGCGCCGTCTTCGGCTTCCTCTTTCGCGTCGGTCCCTTCGACCTCGCCATCTGCGGGCTTGAGGACAAGCTGTTGCGATTCACCATCGTCATTCGCACCGTCCGCAGCATCGGCACCGGCTTTCTCCGCATCGGTTGGAGCAGTATCATCCTGTATTTGATGCGTTAGCAGTGTTCCACCTTCCAGGCGAGGATGGAATATGGAGCAGGTATAGTCATACCTGATCGGTAGGCTTCTTCGCCCCGTCCTGATCGGTTTCTTCAGTTGTGGCAATCTCATTTCCCTGAGGAGCTGGAGCCACCGACTCATCTTGCGTCGCAGACGCAGGTTGTGTCTCCGCCTGCTCAGAAACCTGGCCGCCTCCAGCCGTGGTTACCGCAGACGACGCCGGCTTCGCCTCGGCAGCTTGCTCAGCGGCAGCCTGTTCAGCGGCGGCTTGCTCTTTCGCCTGCTCCTTCGCCTCCTTGAGCTTGAGGTTATCTCGCTTTTTCTCCTCGCTACGGAGGAAGACTCTCACGGTCGTGCGCAAGGACTTGTGGATCTTGCAATCATCGGCGGAGAGGGGAGAATGCTCGCAGACGGGGCAAGAGGACGGCAGTGTAGAATGGCCTGTGACGCAAAGAGAAGTCCATAGTCAGTAATCATCTTCGATGACGTGGGCTCTTTGGAGCAAAATGAGAATCTCGAGGTCCTAGATGAATGTACTTACAGGATTCGCATATTGCCTGCTCGCAGCACGGCAACCTGAACGCATTCACGGCCAGCTTACTACAGTTCGCGCAGCGTAGCTTGATAGGTATATCGTCGGGAGACAGGGAGCTGAAGGGTATCTAACGTTAGCGGGTTCTGTTCATGGCGTTCGATCCAAGGCGCGCCCAACGGAGAGGCAAGCGTTCAAGGGGCAGGAAAAAGCGCACCTGATAAGCTCCCTCTGGGATTCAGTAATAGTCGCGGCCGCCATGTCGACGACACGGCTCAGTGCTGCTGAGACCGTCTACATAGGGCGGTTCTCCAGTGCACCCGACAAGTGGCGTCGTAGGATTCGAAGAGACGAGGATAGGGCGTATGTGTATAACAGTGATAATTGGTCCGTGGAATCGACTTCGCTGTGAAGAAAAGGGCCTTGTCGTCAAGATAAAGGCTCTGTTCCAGAGTTTGGCGTGGGGTTAAGGATGAATCTGATGTCTGATGCTACAGGTATGAGAGAGGCTCCCATTGCTGAAGGAAAAAAAATCAGGGCGTTGGACAAACGCGCTCCGATGCTCTGCTCCTGCTGGGGTGGGAGCCATCACGTGACTGGTGAGAACTGGAGTAAACCTTGACGACACACCAATTGATCAGACTTATTCAACCCTTCTTGAGGGCAGGATCCCCATTGATCAGGCATCCAGACGTTTTTTCTCGACTTTATTGATCCAATGCAATTGACCTATTGACCTATTGATTTTTCTTAACGTACTTCCAGCCCATTGACCCCACCTGGGGCTGGCTCAGATCCTGAATCCGAGCTCCATTTCAACCAATGTTGCGAAGGCCGATTCTCTTCTAATCAAGTTACAAGGTCGGGCCATCGGTTGGGCCATCGGTTGGGCCATCGGTTGGGCCATCGGTCGGCCATACGTGTGTTGAACAGGCCGTGAATTTTCCAGATCAACGGAGAAGTCTTGGTACTCTTATCACTTTGAAAAACAAAACCTTATGAAATTGAACCAAGACGAAAAGCTGCTTGCTGCTCCAAACACACCATGCATGGGGTATATATTTTCAACATTATCTTCGTCTCAACATGTCGGCGCCGAAGAGTACCACCTCCAATCCCTCTTGGTGCCTTTCCTCACCACGACGCTGATATATCGCCCACCTCACCGTCCCATCCATGCAGCTTTTATGCCGTAGACTAAGCGGAGATGTTGAAGACGTAGAAACAATAAGAGCAAGATGACGGCAAGATAAAAGAGAAGCCAAAGCGGAAACAGGTGGGCGTAAACAGAAAACCACAGACATAGTATAGATGGGCCGTTGTATCTACCATTATGAAGAGTGGGCGTTCTCTCATTTTCGATTCTGCCGCCCCAAAGAGATGCATATACAGGCTCGAAGAGGTATTTCGTCTTCATCATGTTGAACCTTGCCTGTTCTCGTTCCACGAAACAATGTCCACCATTGCCAACCAATAAGAACGCCCAAATGACTCGAGAATGGTGCGAAGAGGAAAAAAGGGGTGAAAGAAGAAAATTAGAAGAAAAAGAAACGCACGTCCACTAAGCTATCAACATGGACTAAAAACCAATTGCAAAAATTATCCGACGCTAATGAAAGAACTGAAATGGCGAAAGTAACTACTCTATAACCATAGAGCGTTTTAGTTGAGGGCAGATGACGCTGTGCCCTCCTGGGTATGGCCGACGACCGTCGTCGTCAAAAGAATCAGGGTCGTACACGTTCGTCATCGGCCGGGGGGTACGGGTCTCTTATTTAGCATGCTTCTTGAATGCAAGTAGCTCGGCGAGGCTGGCGAGCGGGCATCCATGTTTCAGGAAGTCGTGCTGTAGCAACTCGTCGGCCGAAGCACGGCACTTGACCTCGACGCAAAGACAGACGGACAAGAAGGCCTTGAGCTCCTTGCTGATCCTCTCTGGCTTCTTCAACCTCGGTGTTCCGTTCGTAGCGATGAGGTACAGAGCCTTGAGGGGTTCTTCGTTCAGATACGGGGGTTCGGACTCGATCATCTCAATCGCCATGATACCGAGTGACCAAATGTCGACCTTGGGGCCGTATTCCTTTTGCTTGACTACTTCCGGGGCCATCCAGTACGGAGTGCCAACCATAGTGGCACGCTTCGACTTGGAGTCCGTAAGCTTAGCGCAGAAGCCAAAATCAGCTGCATTACCTGGTTAGCATTCTCCGCCACCAAACTTGTTGCCCACTTATACATGAAGATCATCACTCACTAATTTTGACATTTCCGCGAGCGTCGAGCAGGACGTTATCGGATTTGATGTCTCGATGAATAATCTTCTGGGAGTGGAGGTGCTGAAGACCACGGCATGTCTGCAAAATGACAAGCAGAGTTAGCATCTTATCAGTAGAAACCCAGTCCGTAAGACAAGGAAAACCAAACATCAACGTACCTCGAGACAGATGGTAGAAATTTGCTCTTCTGTAATGGTGGGGTTGTTGTCAATAACATCAGTAAGGGCGCCTCCCTCCATGTACTCCATGACCACCCAGAGTTCGGCATTGTTGTTCCGAAGGAAGGCATCCAAGAAGTTGACGATGTTCTTATGCCGGCTGTCCTTCATGACCATGATCTCGTTGACGATGAGTTCCTTCCTTGGCTGGTGTGCGAGATCCATCTGCTTGATAGCAACCTGAGCCCGGGGTCCTTGCTGGCGGAGAACTTCACGGGCGATGGGAGAAACGGCACCCTCTTTGACCTTAGCAACGTAGACGGAGCCGGAAGCACCCTGGCCAATCTTCTTCTGCTTGGAATACGACAAGTTAGGATCGTCCTTCGAAACAACCTCCCTTAGCCTAGCCATAACCTCGCTCTCAGACATGGTAGACATGCGCTGATCCTGCTTGCGTTCTGCAGCGGTCGGCTTGGCGGTGAGCGCGGCTTCGGCAGCCCTAACAGCATCGGCTTGCTGTTGTGCGGCGCTTGGCTTGGGCGCGACGTTGAGAGGCTTAACAGGCGCGGGAAGGCGGGAGGGAGGAGGGTTGCCGGAAGGACCATTGGGCCGGGCGGAGGAGGCGGCGCCGCCATTCTGGTACCGAGCAGGGCTGCTCTGGCCAGGGGCTGGTCGGGACTGAGAGCTCGAGCTCATGCCAGGTTGAGCAATGGGAGGGCGAGAGCCGGAGCCGGTGGGGGCAGGCGGGGCGGGACGCTGAGCGCGAAGCGGCTGTGTGGGACCCTTTGCAGGTGCGGGAGGCGCGGCACGTGTGGGGTTGTATCGGTCGGGGGTCGATGATGGACCGCCGCCATAGCCTCCAAGCTCTTGTTGCGCGATCGGGGTCTTTGTCTTGGGGATGGCGGCATTGTAGGCTTCCATATCCCGTCGGTTCTGCTCCTCGATGTCGCGCTGGCGCTGAGCCTCGATCTGCTTCATGCGCTGCTCGTCTCGCATCGAGTCTTGAGACACGTAGTTGGATGCCATCCCTTGCATCTGCGAGCGTTGTTGCTGTTGTTCAGTCGGAGAGGGGCGGCGAGGAGTGTTTTGGGCTGATTGCGAAGGAATGGTATTGTATGCAGGGCGCTGCGGCGGCTGCTGCTGCTGCTGGGGCTGCATAGGTCGCGGGGGAGCGACAGTCGAGCCCCCAGTGTTGTAACCATAGGGCTTAGGCTGTTGGCTGGAGGCGGGTGTGGGAGTGAGTCCGGGGTATTGGGCGGGGTTTTCTTGCCTCTTGGTAAGATCGGAGTAGAAATCAAGAACCTCGAAAACCGCTTGGGGATTTCGCTCGTAGTCCTCCTTCGTGATCGCCGACGAATTGAGCAGTTTGGACCACTCGGGCGGTAGACCGACGAAATCGCCCGTCTGAGGATCGAAGCCGACGTGGACCGCGTGCGAGAAGTTTGTCGGGTTACTGACGCCGCCCATCCCAGGACAGGAGCCGTATATTAGGTCAATCCATTCGTAGAGATCATCATCGCCCTTTACTCTGATCTGCAGGGTGCGGACAGTACCATCGTCGTCGCCGGGGCTAGTCGAACTACCGCCCGTGTTGCGCTTGATCTCGAAAATGGTTCCAGCGGCTTCGACTCGACCGACATTTACCACATCTTTAAGGTAAAGAGTATATGAAATCTTGCCGCCCTCGGCCTTGTGGAAATCGAGCGATTCTTTTCGCAGGATTAGGTATTTCGCCTTCCAAGGCTGGATGAAGTTCTTGCTCTCTTTAACCTGAGCCCAGCCCTCCTTCTTTATCGCCACACCTCCGAGGCCGTCAGTGTTGTTGGCCAACTGACGAGCGGCAAGGGGCAGAGAGATTGTGGAGCCAGTGTATGTGGAGGTCGCGGTGCTTCGGATGGGCGAAATGACCATGTTGGCCATGCTTCCGGGGAGATTAGCATCGGGGGTAAGGTTGAGGCGAGGTCGGTCGGTCGGCGGCCGGGGAGCAGGGCCCGGGTTCATGAACGAGTTCGCCGAGTAGATACTATCCGCATTGTTAGCCATGATAGGCACCGGCAGGCCAGCGCGGTCAGAAGCAAGGCAGGCGACGGCTTCGGTAAATTGCTCGAAGACAATAAGGGGAAGGAGGGGCTAAGGGGGCAGGCGGTATTCTTGGGGAAGAAAGCCGGTTCTGCTAAAGGAAAATGAGGAAAAAGAGGAGGGGAATAATAGCAAAGGGGCACAAAATCGAGCTTCTCAGGATAAACTGGGCTGTGAAGGATAGCAATTCACAGTCGTGGAAAGGGACTTGTGCGAAGGGGAAGATGGGCACACAAGAGGTGGTAGAATGGGGGGGGGGGCGAGGAATTGGAGTGTGGGTTGATTTGATTTGATGTTGGCGAAGTGACAACCAGCACAAGGATCAATCAAGTGCTTGGGGTCACTAGAGCACGGAGACCAATTCCGCAAAGGATCAAATCAATACCCCACCTCCAGCCTCACAGTATTCCTGCCTCTATTCACAGTGGAGAAAGCCACTAAGATTAAAGGCCGAGGGGCAGAGGGGTGATTCTCGATGGCTGCTGGAACAAGAGAACCAAGATCATTGATGGCTTCGAGGTGGCATGTGGATTGAGGACAAGGGTGATAATGGTGCAGAATAAAAAGGGAGAAATCGTATACTTACCCGTTAGACGCCGCCATTGTGACTTTGAGGCGACAAGAAGGCCCCTGTGAGGAGCAAGGGGATCACAAGAATATGGACACTCTCGATGGTGCTGGAGAGGATTGGGATATCTTTGGAAGGTCAGCAAACACGACTGCAGCAATTGAGACCTCGCTTCAATATTGAAATGGCAATGCAAAGGGGTGTAGCGAGACAAAGCTGATGAATAAGCGCAGCCGAATCCGAAATGCCGTCTCCAATGTCAAGTCCCTAGCTACTTCGTCGGAGGACGAAAGAAGGAGAGAGGACGAGGACGATGGTCACAAAGCTAGGTAAGGCGGTGGGCAATAGATAGTGCTGGTAGGAGCGACGGCGACGAGCCGCGAAGTGGATTGATTCGGACGCGCTAGACGGGTCAGGTGCGACTGATGGTTGATGATGGGAAAGATACGAACCCTTTTTGGATGTGTTTTCTCGAGTCCGGTCGAGCAGTCGCGGGCTTTCAAACGGACAGACGAGAAGAGGGAGACGATGTTGGTTACGGAAAGTGGCATGCGGAGACTCCTTGGCTCGGGGGTTCGAGAGAATAGGAGGCCGTCGCCCTAGGAATTTGAAGGCGGAATCGCTGTGTTTCGGGAGAGGGAGCGGTCAAAATCGTTCGTCTTTGGTCGAAAAGTATTAATAAAAGAAATCGATATTCCGTTTTCTGCTGGTCGAGCCCGATGAATGTCGTCGATGGGTGGAGGAAGGATGGATGTGGTCGACTCTTACTTCGTCCTTTGGCAATAAACAGGGAGCTGCAAAGCGGGGTTCGAAGTCGGCGAGAGGGAGGCGAGCAAGACGTTGGGCGACTCTTGGTCTTTTGGGATTCGAGTCTCAAGACAAGAGGAGATGAGTGAGCAGTTATGACAGGGGTGCTGGCAATCAATCTGCTACCTCGTAATACTTGTCGCCCGTTCGAGTACAAGACAAGCTGCAGAGGCCCGAGGCGTCCACGATCCGAAAAGGTGAAGGGATGGACAAGAGTTGGCGATGTCCAGAGCAAGGAGGATGGAAGGGAGTAAATAAACGTAAAGAAACAAAATAATAAGGCATCCGAAACTGGAGAAGTTGGGTATTGTCAGAAAGGGATGCAGAGACACCAAGGCCGCTTGTCGTGCATGGCATGCAACCTGAGCCGATCGAAATAGTACCAAGTGCGAAGTACCTCCTCGCCAACGCCAGCTCCAACGTCGGCAAGATTGTCTGATTGCAACTTGATTTGAATCGCTGCTTCCCTGTTGCAAGTGCGCTCTTGTTGCCGCACAGATCAATCATGGGTGGAAAGGTGCTACGCTCTGGTGGGTTCGTAACTGGGCCTGGAACGAAGACCACCAAAGGGACGGCGGTGATTGGCAGGTGCAAGCCTCCTCAGGGGGAGATTTGGAAATGTGTGTGTGTGGTCAACGTGCGAGACTTGGCGGGACTCCTTCTAGACAGTGTATAATCCACATAAAAATAATTGACACTGTATCCATGCGCCAATTTTCTGAGAGAAGTCCGTGTTCCACCTCGTGACGAACACTGTCTGGGTCTGACCTGGCTCCAAGGGCGAAGTACATACAAAGGTACAGGGAACCCCAACTCCTACCTCAATTGCTCTGGCTTGGCATCAATTGATGGTGGGGTCAAGGGATTTGAACAGAATGAACGCTCTCGCTCCTGGTTTTTCATCAAACCTACAAAGTGCGAAATTCGCCTGGCAGCCGAAGTCGAGGCGAGGAGCAACTGGAAATGGACGACCAGATCAATTGCATAGGCATCGGAGTCCGTGGAAGGCTACATACTCTGTACACTAGGGAAAACGCTCGATGCACTCGATTGGATCAATTCATGATGTATCAATCCACCCCAGGCTCAGAGCTGCCCTGGCCTGGTCTTTCGTCAACCCCACCACTTCCACACACAATGTTCGCCTCCGAGCCGACCCTGAGTTTGAGATCTCCCCGGCGCCAATGCCTTTTATTGGCAGCCTCCGGAATTGGTGGGCCGCTCTTGCATCTCGGCGATCTGATCTCTGTCTTACCACGTATTATTAGGCGATGCCACGAAGAGACCGATCCCTCTTTAAAGGCCAGTCGAGTAACTTGCTTTAAATGTTTTCATTCCAGCAAATATGTTCCAGATCCTCGAGTAATCTAACAGTCGATGTCATTTCATTCATCAGTCAGACTAGCCTCCAGCATCGAAGCAGTCTCCGTGCTCTTTTGGCCACCCACCTGGACGTCCTAAGCTCCTGACTTCTTCAGGCGCATTATTGCCCATTACCTCCGAGGTTGATCACCATCTCCCTCACTCCCCAAAACAGATAATGGATAATAATATTAATAATACGGACGGACCTACCGGGACAAACATGGCAATAAGAATATCTGGAGCAGGAAAGCACACGGTTGTCTGCGAAGAGCTGTTCCGAATTTACAGCCAACGTGTTGCCATGACCCTCTTACCGAGCCCGGGCTATCAGGGCAGAAGATGAAACACCCGGGCTTCTCCTTCATCCGCCACCCCTCCAACAAATTCGCCTTCGTTTTACGCATCGCGATCCTTCCGTCCCATCTCTCCCACGTTGTGTGCCGTGGCGGAAACAAGGACTGGGTTTCAAATCTCAATATAGGCAAATCCCCAAGTCCCTCCTTTCCTCATGTAGCAAGTCTGGAAGCCCAGCAGCCTTCCTTTGGATCATCTTCGCATATCCACTCCCTCTTTAATCTTCAAAACCGGTTTCTGTAGGCGCGCCCGATTCCAAAGCTCCAGTGTCCCTATGGAGAACATCTGGGACCTACAGGGGTCTGGACCCAAGATCTCTCACCTCAGCAAATACTTCGTAGTCTTACATTCAGCACTGCCGTTTCAATCCCTCGGCTTGCGTTCCGATGAGGAGGAGGCACTACGTCATGCTGGAGAGCTGACGCCGTTTCATCCCTGCGAAGGCATCAACAATCCAGAGATATGCACTGCACCGGTAAAGCATTGATGCGAACTAAGTTAACTAAACTGGGTAGTTTCGTAATGCTGTTCGCTCAGGCCGGTCTTTCCCCGGAGGCCGTATTATTCGACTTGTCTCGCGGTTTTCACATAAAGATGGCGTCAAAGTATTTCCAGAACACACTTGCAACCGCGCATCTAGTCAAGAATAGAAAGCCTAAAAAGGGCAATCACGGGTCTTGGTCATGCCATGAGCTCAGTGGGAACTGCTGCAGTCGCGCAAGTTGATTTTTATTTATAGATCAATAAGTTTCAAATTTCAACATCTGAAAGACAATTAGGAAATAGCCGGAGAAATGTTTCTTTCGCGGGCATACCTTCGTACTTCGTCCCCGTTCCCAACTTGTTGGCGGCCTTTGATCCACCAATGGCCTAAACTCGCATCTTCCCCAACGTGATCGAGGTCTCCCGCGGCTCTTGTCCGAACACGCCTTGGTCTCGACCAGCAAGTTCATCCCGCCTCTCATAAATGGAGATACAAAACTGCTTTACAAGACTCGAAACGTATTTCAGTCTCTGCGGATTAGGAAATCCAGAGCACCCTTTTGCCATGCCGATTGGCCGCTTCGTCTCAGCCCCATCGAGACAAACCATATCCATATCATAGGCATCAAGATCACCTAATAGGAGTTGATATGATGCACTCTCTCGAAACTCCTAGGTCTTTTATGAGGGCAGATTTCTTCCGCTTCTTCTGCTTCGTTTTAGGTATAGGCTCATTTGGAGTTCTCAATGTTGGCGTTGGCTTTTCGATGGCGTTGGCTTTTCGATAGCCGCCTCAGGTGAGGCTGGCTGGTCTTCCGAAACTCCACGTCGTAGAATTCGGACAATATCTTCGCGCTTGCTTCCTCGCAGCAGGGGAGCTGCTCACAACGATCCTGGTTCTATCATCGTGAGTAGCTCGATGCCAAAATCGTCTAGATACGGCGATAAAACCTACACATCAACATTGTCCCCAGAGCTGGGCTTTCAGCGTGGTTGGCGTCCGCTGTGGGGATTTGGGCCAATTTTTGACAGAGATCTGTTAGTTGCCTCCAGAGGCACTGGATTAAGGTACTCCTACCATCTAGCTACCTGGCCGAATGAATGCGGCGGAACCCATTGATGTCAACGGTTTCAAGTTAAACACTTAGGACCTCCCTTCTTGTCATACTAACTATCTGTGGAGTAATATGAACCGGTGAACCCTCTCTTAGGGGTCAGCAGTGGGCTAGGAGTATTGAAGAAAGCTAATTACATTTGATTACCGTCCCTTTGCCTTTTCCTCCTCCCGAGAAAGCCCACTAGACAAGTTTCATGGCCTTCAGTACTTTAGTCTAAGACTACAGACTAGAATGCTGCCCGAATCTTGCCCTCGCCCATTTCCTTCTTCGTGAGAGGGCCGGTGCTGCTGCTGCTTTAACCTGTGCAGTGGGTGTGCGGTGGGTGTGCGGTAGGTGTGTGGTGGGTGTGCTTGGCCTGCTGGCTGTGGCAGTGTTGGGAGCCTCAATCTGCCACCCCGGTTAAAGTTGCCGCAATGCCAAAAATGGCCCAAACTTGCTGGGGTTAGTTTCTAGACCCCATGTACAATATATATGGTTTCTACTTCCTCTGTCTTTGTTGCTGTGAAATTAATTTACGGTTGCTAGTGCTCATTATCTAGGAGTCGTTTTAGAATCTAACTGCCTTAATTCTTTCTCAATAGAGGACATGGGACATCAAGACACTGTAAAGATAAACTTTATGCTTAATAGAGCTCAAATGATTGTAGAAGCAAGATAAGCTAGGCAAGTAGATAACTTACAGGTATTGCTTTTCCAGTGTTGGAGGCCCTTTAAATTCCCCCCTTAATAGGCTTGAATCGCCTTGTGGTAATTGCATAGCAAACTGACGCGGCTAATAGAGCTGTGGTTCCACCTCGTGCGTTTGAGCTCTCAAGAGACATGGCAACGAGATGGGGTTGCAGTTGGTCCTGTATGAAATATCCCGGGAGCTATAGTAGACATAGCTAGTGACTACTACTTACAATGGCTCGTTTAGACAAACATCCTCTGCGTATTCCTATCGGCAGCAAGTCGGCGTCTTGACTGCCGATTCTCAAGAACTCAACCATTCATAGGAAGATGCCTTCAAGACTAAACGTTTATTGATCGACAACGACTCCTCCCATGTCCGGCTCGCCCGGCGGTTGTCCTGTTCGAGTTCTCTAATAACATTGTGTCATTTTTGGAACTTTTTGGTTCTTTCAAGAGCGTCGCTCTTGAATCATATATTTTTCCACAGAATGAAGCGTGCTATTCGTGATGTCCGTCCCAGATTCCCTTGCTCCGGCCGCATCCTGCACCAGGCAAACCCCTAATCTAATATAGCCCTGAGTACCTGGATCTGCTCCAGCACGCTTGATCGACTGGTACCGCCTTTAGACGTTTTCGCCTCGACACTTGTTTCATATTCGAATGCCTCCGCAATGTCTGCTGTGAACCGAGAATCAATAGCTTCCAGTTGCTCAAGGGTCAGCTTGTCCATCGGAACTTCCAGCTTTTCAGACTGCGCAACGACGCGTCCAGCGATGTGGTGAGCCTCTCTGAACGGACATCCCTTCCTCACCAACCACTCTGCGACATCAGTGGCTAGCATCGTTTTGTCCAGAGCAGCCTCCATCCGCTCTGGCCGCACCTTCAAGGTAGCAATGACCCCATTGGCTATGCCTAGACTATCCGACACAGTCTGAACCGAATCCAGCATAGGCCCCCACCCTTCCTGGAGATCTTTATTATAGCAAGATGGCAACGATTTCACAGTCTCCAAGTGAATAGTTAGTAGCTACTTTCAATACACTCCCGGTCACCCTCAAAGCCAAGGCAACTGGCTCAGATGTTAATATGAGGACTCACCATCATCATCCCAGCCATTTGACCGAAAGCACGCCCTGACTTGCCGCGCAAAAGCTCTAACGAGTCCCCGTTGAATTTGTTCGGCATTAAAGAGCTCCCTGTACAATAGGCGTCGGCCAGCCGCACGAAACCGAACTCAGATGTCGAATATATGATGAGGTCCTCAGCCCACCTGCTGACGTGGTTGGTGAAAATCGAATTCCAGACCAGGAAGTCGAGTAGGAAATCGCGGTCGGCCGAAGTATTCATGGAGTTCAAGGTTATTCCACTAAAACCAAGCTCCTCAGCTATCATGTTTCGATCGATTCGAAATGGATTGCCGGCCAAAGCGCCACAACCAAGTGGACTTAGATTGACCCTTTCGAAAACTTGGCGCAACCGCTCGAGATCCTGCTTGAACGCAGCGGCATGTGACATCAGCCATTGGGCCCATCGCACGGGCTGCGCGCGTTGGAGGTGGGTGTATCCAGGCATGATGTAGTCGCTGAGGTTGTCGGTCAGCAGGGGGCCGCTTTTGGCCAGAGGTGGGGCTAGGCTTACATTTCAGACTCGGCACGTGTGAGTAGGGTTATGAGGAATGCAACGAGTTGGCTGTCGATTTCGCGGATCCGATCGCGTAGCCACATGCGCATATCACAGACAACTTGCTCGTTGCGGCTGCGGCCTGTGTGCAGCTTACCCGCGATGTCCTTGCCGATGACCTCTCCTAAGCGACGTTCGTTTGCTGTATGAATCTGGGCCTTTGTGTTAGCCTCGAGAAGTTGAGTAGAATTGGGTGGCCTCTCACATCTTCGTCATTCGGCATGATAGCGAAAGTTCCCTGCTTCCATTCTTCCATCACTTGGAGCAAACCACGCTCAATCGCCTGAAATTCGTCTTCGCTGATGATGCCAGCCTTTGAGTTGGCCCTGGCAAAAGCAATCGATCCAAGGATATCTTCTTTGTAAAGAGCCTTGTCGTACTGGATGGAGGCATTGTACTTAAGCATGAGAGGATCAATCGCACCTGCGCACCGTGAGGTCAGTATACTGCATCCGAAGCTTGTTTCCCGAGACATTCGAACCTGTGAACCTGCCCCCCCAGAGCATGCCAGCTGCCGGGGCGTCCGCCTTTTTCTCGGCCATGTTGAAATAAGTGGCGTTCGTTGCGTTCGTTGCGTTTTCAAGGCCGATGAAATCAATGGGATCGATGAGACCAAGGGAGCATATGGTGCGTAATTGTACCAATTGGCGTTCGAGATCAAGGGCGTGAGTAATCAAGGTCGAAAAGTTTGTTGAGGAATGAAAGGTGGTCTATCAGTTGAGGGCAGCTACAGGAAAAGTTTGTGGAGCTGATACTGGTGTCGCGTGTCACGTGAGGACCCCGCCTACTATTTCTTAGTACAGGAATGAGACCGCCGTCGCCAGCGCCGGAACGTCCCCAAAGAGCTGTCGGAATTTATTATTATTATATAAGCAAAAACCGAGAGGAATTACGGCCTCACCCACCCAGCCCACCCAAGATTGCCGGAATTTATTAGAAGCAAAGGCCTCACTAATTGACTCAGGCTTCATTAAATTCATCATATACCAGATTTGCTAGATAAGCATAAATTTACTTCTCTAAGACCTATATCTAGGTTTTAGAAAGATAAAAGAGGAATTATTAACGTCATTTCCTACAAAATTAAGCGAGAGTCTTAAGTATACACCTTATAACAGCGGTTTGTTTTCCAATCTGACTTTTGGCTGCAGCCTAAGGCCAAACGACAGCAAAACTCGGATCCCTCGCGGACCTAGCCAAACCAGCTCACGGCTAGTTATTTTAGCAAAAGACCTCTGTGGCTTCCCAGAGGTTGTCAAGGTTTCGCGATAGAGACCTCATCTATTGGGCTAAGCAAACCATGTTCGTGGGGCACCCGGTGGCCACCCTGTGCCCGTCCTGCTTAGCGGCGGTTTAGCGCCTGTTAAGGCGGCGAGAGTCCTGCCGCTCCCGAGGGCAAGATTCGGGAAGCATTACAGTCCTATCACATCTTTGGCTCCCCTGCGACGTGCTGGGGACTGGGACAGCTCCATGCTCGGATCCCAAACGACTAGTTTCCGTGGTTCATACGCTCTGGGTCGTGCCGACGGTGACATGCCTTATGAGGTAGCGTAAATCTATATTAATCTGCGGTCGAGAGAGAGGATTTGATAAATTCCAGAGAACCCCAGAAACAACCTATCCTCGAGATCCCTTCAACCACAGCGCAGGATTTCGATGAACATCCATGTCCCTTAACGGCTTTAGGACGGACACTGTTGCTCTGAATCACAAAAGCACCGGAAATGAGAGACGAGGGACTTCTTCGCTGTGTTTCTTCCTGTTCGTCACCGGCTCGGATGCCTCGCACATGAATCTTCCATGCTTTCACGCCAGCCAGAGGATGACCGTTAGCGACGAAGCTTCCATGTGTCCAAGTACCTATCGGGTTTCACGAGGTAGCTTGCTTTCCTGGTTATCCTTTCCAATTGCAGAGTCGATCCCCCGGGGAACCATGAAGGTTGAGTGATAATTAGATCAAACACGCGAAGTTGATTGGAAGTAATGGTATTGCCCCGTCTCCATCGGAGATAAGGCGTGGAAACCCAAACTGACACCAAGATAATTTACTTGAGAAGGTAGCTTTCTTTATGTGTGTCCGGATCTAGTCCAATGTCATAGGCGAGGAGATCTTATGGGATATAAAGTGTTATATAATCAATGCATATGCATGCCTGACCGAGGCCAGGCTAAAACTATGTACAAAAAGGCAAGTATAATACCTTCATAAGCGAATGGATGAAGAATCAGAGTCAATATATACCGAGAAGAAATGCGAGTAATAAACGAAAACAAGCCCGATGCCTTCCTCCAAAGAATCCCTCCTCTTTGCTCCAGATATGTTGATGATGATGTCAATCCAGACTAGTATTCCCACAAAAAAAAAGTCTCCAACAACTGAGGAATTCAGCAGATCCCTCGAGTTAATCTCACCTGGCATCTCTCAGAAGTGTCGGCCAAGCCTTCTTCTTAGAGAGCAGGTGACTTCTACCCATCAAATAAATGCCTCTATCCCCGGAAGTTGGGGCAAGGCCTCCAAGCGAGACGGAACTGAATGGTGAGTTTTCCGGAGACATGATCGACCTGTTTCCCAGTTTTAGCACGACCACCCCACCTACTCTTCACTTCCTGGAGCCAAGCCCGGCAGTCGGCGCTGGGGCAACCGGATTTCTGGAAGGGACATACTGCAATGAGGGCACTCTCGCTCGTGGGGCTGATGGAGCACTGAGTGTTCAAGTTGAGGATGGCCGTGCTGCCGTCGCACGGAGACCACGAGAAAATGCCCGGGTCGGCGTGGAGGTCAAAGTCGCCGCTGTAGTGGCCATCGAGGCCAAGGTCGAAGTCGACCTTGTCAATGCCGCCAGAGGAGGTCTGGCCGGTGAAAGAGAAGGTGTTCTTGCAGGTCCCGTGGGCACCGGCAGGGATCTCGGCGTAGCCGATCATGTCGGTGGCCATGATAGAAAATCTGTTCCAGTGTTAGAAGGCAAAACGAGGAGAAAAAGAGAGCATCTAGTCTCGACTATAAAACGGGGCAAGACGTACTGGAAGCCGCGGTCAAACTCAAGATTCAAGGTAAGCTTGCAGTTCTTTCGCCAGTCGGAGGCCCTAGTGCCGGGACCAGTGAGGACCTCGTAGGCCGAGAAGGTGGCCTCGAAGAGCTCGCCGGTGGCGTCAACCTGGACATCGGCGGTACCAGCAGGGCAGCCGGTCCCGAGGAGAGAGACACCGTTGATCTTGATGCTGGAGGGGCCTTCAGAGACCTGAGGTGCGTTAAGCTGGGCCTTGGGGGCGGCAGCAGCAACGCCGAGGAAGAGAGCGAGGGCAGTTTTGTAATGCATGATGAGGGTTGGAGTTTCAGAGAATCAGGCTGTGTATTTAGAGTGTGTTGGAAATATGGGTGGATGACTGGGGATACTGTTCTGGTGCTTGATGATGATACCGAAAAGAGAAAACAAGAAGACCGGGATCGAGGGAGAGAACACCCCTCTTTATAGGAGTTCGTGGGGAACGAGAAGAGGGTTATCTTCCGAACGATCCTGGTACGACTGATCCTGTTTACCGAGTTAGTTTTCTCTCCGATCTATTCTTAGAAAGGATGCAATGTCAAATTTTCATTATCCTCTTGAATGAGGGGAAGAATATGCTCTGTGCCTGACTTCCACCCACCCACCATTCATGAAATCCCCGGCTCATACGATGTAGTAGAGGGTATAGGTGGACTAGTGGAGAAGCGGAGAAGACATGAAGCCCAGAACGGAAATTCCACAGCGAGATTCAATATATGTCCCATCTATCATGAGCATAGCATGAAGTCTTGTAGTGGTTCCTGTGGAACACTCCTTCGGGATACAAGAGAAATGCGTGCACGTAGTAGGTCAGGCTGTCGGACCCACCCACACGGCTCGTGCTGTTGAGCGGGGAGTATAGATGGTCTGTCTATGGCGGGAGTTAAGCATGGGTGAAGAAAAGGGAGGGGAGGACGAGGCACGACACTCACCAGTGAAGTCAAGGGTGCATACACAAAGGACTCTTGGGGGATAACGGTGTTCACAACCCACGCGGGAAGTAACCCAATGTGCGGAGGAACTGGCTTCGTAGAGAATTGTAATCCACCACCTCACACGTGGTGTACTCGGTCATGAAAAATGTGACTGCGAATGCAGGGGAACAGGTGGGTGACGAAAGAATTGGCCCGCTGCACCGTGACTGGAGGATTTCCGTCCAATGTTATTGCATTGATGGTATTTGTTGGTGTTGCTTGGCAGTCCTAGCCGAACGAAGGGAGACATGGCGAGGGCGTTCTAGAAATCCGAGCCGTCGATCACCCGACAGGCGATTCCGATTGACCAATAAGCCCTTAGGATCTCAATCTAAGCTGCGATGACGTTCTCGACGTAAGCCGCACGTTTATCCATATTGCACCGTCCAGGTTATCCACGGCTCTCGGTCTTTGACTAATTTACGGGGACACATGGGCAATTGAGGAAATTTGGAGATGACTGTGATAAATTTCAAATAATTCCGCTCCATAAAGGTACCTGATTAAACGGCCTGATGAGAGAATATCTCTCACTTGCGGGTTATGATCAAGTGAAGAAGGGCAAAGTGTGTGGCATAATATCTCGTGCGCAACAAAAGACAAATGGGTGGTGAGTGACGACCCGGGCTTAATTAGATTTTGCAGGCCGCACGCGTACCATAAATTCCTTATGGATTGCCTCTGGCCTGCCGGGAAAGGCAAGGTACGGTCTTGGGGGCCAGAAGGAGACTACATCAAGTAACCCCTCTCCTGGACTTCCCGCTGTTGCCCCTGGCGGGTAGGAGGGCATGATAATCTAGAGCATCGAGGCGTAAAAATGAGGGGGTTGAGAAGGATTCCAGCCGTGCCCGGATATGGGTTGCTCTCCTCGGACAATTTGAGAGGGTCTCTGGATTAGGAAGGTGGATTATCGCACTTCTAATAATAGTAGATGTTGACACCCACAAGATTAGGACAAAGGGTAGGACAAACTAATCTGCCAAGCATTAGTAAAAACGAAATGGTGGACTGATCAGGTGGCCCGGCTGGGGACAGATTAGAATGCAACCCACAATCGCTTCGATTAAGTAGGGCTGAGATGAGTTGTGGCAAGACATAATAACAACGGCTGCAGCATGCAATGCAGGTACCCCGCAAGAAGAGCTTGGAAATCTGAGGCCCTGTGAGTAGGCTACGGAGCAAAAGACCAGGCCGGAATCTCTCCTCGGCCAAGCCGGAGACTTTCATGGTCTCGTTACACAAACAACAATGTGCGATATTCATCTCGACCCGTGTTTGTCCACAGCCCATCTGACTGGGTTTGGCTTGGGCCACTTCTGGGCCTTCCATCTGATATATCCGGGTTTGTTTTCAGAGCGGGGGCTGCTATTATTATCCGACATTGGCCTAATCAACCATATCCAGCAACACGGAGGGACGTCAGGAGTGGAGGACCAATTGGATCGTGAAGCGAGCAGACGTCGTCTATTGTGGAGCAATGTTGCATCGGAACATTCCGACATAAGCAGCTGCAACCAAGTGGCATTTCCCATCTTTTTAGAGAGATCTGTGTCTTCAAGATCTTACCTGGATGTTTTTTTCACAGTTGAAGATCAAATCGGGGAAAGCACATTGAAAGTTACGAGAAAGAATAGAAACTACAGTTAAGCCAAAAGCGAGTTAACAGATTCATCAAGTATTGCCAATCAAACTCTAAGTGGCTAGCTATAATAAACCCTGGATCGAAGTGGGCATTGTATACTTCGTATTACTCTGCCGATTGGGCTTGCAAGTAATGATGCGTCTGAATTTTGGAAAATCGGGCGGAAAACATCAAATACCATATGCTTGGAGGACTCCCCCCTCTTGTTAGGGTCAAGTGCAATCCCTCGTGGCTGGTCAATTTTGGCGTCGGTACCGAGGTATTGCGGCCTGACTTGGTCTTCCATCTTCGTGGACCTGCAGAACCTTGACAATATTATTCACTCCACTTTAAATTTGACGAGGGGCTGAATAAAGCTACTGTGGTATTGGTTGTCATTCGAATGGTATCTGGCTCATTATATACGAGCGCATACGACGCTCTATATTCTCAGGCGAGTATGATTCCTCGCTTGGGGTAGATATTCGTAGATATAACGGCAAAATATCTCTGAGCGGCACAGAAGTCCACCGCAGTTCTCCGGTCAGTCAGGCGCTACATAATACACTATTCCTTCTGTTGACCGGCATACATCCTCCGACGGCCAAGACTTTTGTGTTACTGTTGCTGGATGATTGACATAAGACGAAGTATAGATAGAAGAAATTTAGATGTGCGGATGACAACATAAATCACTAGGTACATATCATGGGGATGGGGGAGTCGGGGAGGCGGTAAACCCTTCATGTAAGGGGCCCGAATTGGGACGGCAGATAGGTGCTAAGCGAGCACGTATGCTGCTCTTTCAGCGTATGGTGTTCCCAGGGGTGGGGTGGATTAGGATCGTTTTACCTGTCCTTTCCTGTGCGCTCCCCAAGCTCGTAAGCTCATAAACAGTGGCCAGTTGTTCAACTTTATTGCAGCAATGGGTCAGATGCCGCTCGGCCTGCTTTCTCTGCGGTTATCGGCTCCCGGCTCAGTGACGATAAATCACAGTTATCTATCATCCTATAATCAACAGACGTAATCAAAGGCCCATAAACACATACCCAGATCCTCGCCACTAGCCACTAGCCACCGGCCCCAATCCTATGTTAACAAGCCAGGGTTGTAAAGTGCACGAACTGATGCGTCAATACTGAGCGGAAGTGGACGTGAACGGCCCATCTTTACTGCCCTGCGTGCAGCATCTGCAGAGCCGTCCTAGAGAGGAAGGTGAAAATATCACGGGGTATAGACGGAAATAGAAAGTAGTGTTTTAAGAACCTGGAATTACAGATATTCCAAAGTGGCGCGGATGTAGGGAAAACTAAATATAGAAATATTCCGTTCGTCAAATACCCAGGCCCCATCACAGTCATTGCACTTGCCATGTGCACGCGAGTACATGTCAACCTAATCGAAACTCATCTTCTTCGCGCGTTGGCGCCGGCATTTCTTCTTCATATCTTAAATTACGACCAAACGAACAAAACCCATTGGTGAAGTTTACACTTCGCCTGAAGACTGTAGTGCTATATTGAATGTTGAGAAAGTAAGAAATTCGAGAAGAATTTGATTTTATTAGTATTGATATGAAGGTATTTTTGCGTTGGCGAAAGTGACTGGATATTGAGTGAGATCTTTAGATACCGATCAGAGGGAAACAAGAGACGTTCTCGAGATTGAAGAAGAGGCTAATATTGGTTGATCCACATTGCAAGAAGGGAATGTGATGGAGATCGTGGTGATTATCGAGGCAAATTGTGAACTCTCCTCTTTCACTCTTTGATTGATTTATCTCCATCCGCAGTGCCGGTAAATTGATTGAGGCTTTGTAGCTCTCCTCCCCTCGCCAGCTCCAAACTGCCTTAGGGAAGGCTAAACAGAATCTTGTTTATGTCGTTCCGCTTCGCTTTTTCCAGGATTTTTTTTTTTTTTTTTTTTTTTTTTTTTTTTGGTGTAAGTTGTCGCGGATACTTTCCGTCCACAATCACGATCGATCGAAGATCGTGGGAAGCGCTTCTGCTGCCTCTTTATCGCTCCGCTGCATGGGAAATGGTAGTCTACAGGGCTTATCCATAAACAGAGCCTATTCCCGGTCGACTGCCACGATGTTAATGTCCTTACTGCCTGATCCCCCGAAGAAAGCCATATCTCAGCTCGGAGAATTAGGTGATCGTTCACAACTTTCGCTTTTTTTTATAAGTTTACTCCATGGCCTCTTCCAGCTCAGAGTGTTATAAGTGGTTACCGAATCCAGTATCGTGCTAGGGTAGATTCCAAAGCCGTGCCGTGCCGATCTTAGGATAGCAGAGACCGTGCTGAATGAGATAATAATCCATGACAGTCTATTGGGCCGTTCTTCGCATGCCCTGTGCAAATTTTCCAACCCTGGGAAATATCAGTGGTTAGAGCTCCCCTTGCAATCCGCGATACTCGATCGAGGGAGTATTGGAAGATGAAAGATTCGACGCGCCGAGCAGAGGATGTGAGTTTCAAGGATCCCGTGTCTTTCAAGGCGCTGAAGCCGATTGAAGCGCTGCTCTCGGCCAGATAGCCTTAGAACTTTCTTGCCGAGTATACGAAGACTGGTCTAGCTGGTTAGGGCCAATGAGGGACGGGATACCGGGTCGAGATCGTGGATGATAAGATGCATCAGCTCAACCGGGAAAGTTTCAAGGACAGAGAGAGATCGTCCCGCCGTCTGGTTGATTGTTCCAGGCTAGGAGCCTCCACCTCGTCCTGCTCCTCTGAGCGAGAAGTTGCTGAACAGAGTTGTCGGTGGAACCATTTCGGGCCAGAGCAAAACTAATCAGGAAAAAGATCCGAGGAGGACTTTGAGATAGATCAACCCCAGGTTTCTCGAATCTCCTCCTCGGTGCCTTCTTGTTTCCGTATTCAATGGTAGATATTGAAGTAGCCCAGCCGCATTCTGAGGCCCAACTTCTCCACATGTGCCGGTGACATTAACAACTGTCCACAAGGATTTGAAAACCCGATGACTCTGAAATAACTTCATAATGTGACAAGAGGAAAATATCCCAAAGGTCTGTGGAAGAATGCTACGGCGTCTCTAGTACCCATTTATTGATACGTTTAGATAATTCAGGCAGGCATGTTAGGACTCTATTCGTATCAAAGCCCCGAAGTACACTAACCCATTCTATATCATAATGCCCATTCGTGCGATTCTAGTAATATTTGTGTGCGTTCCGGTCACTCTCGGGGCAATCCCGCATCTCATGTCTAGCGCCCGTCTTCCCGCAGGTCGGGCAAAACAACTCCGCCTCGCCATGCGCAAAGGCGCAAGTCGCACCCCGGATGCAGTCCTTGTTATTGCAGAGCTTGAAATTTCTTGGCTTCTTGCTCCCACTAAGCGTGAAGTATGCCTCCTCGCCCTTCGTATAGCCGTACTTGCAGTCGAGCTCGCGTCGACAGTACAATCTCCAATCACAGCGCTGGCGAGATTTCTGCTCGATATTCCTCTGGCGAGCTTTCTTCTTCTTGAAGGGGTAGTTCATGTCGGTGAAAGGGTCCTGATCACCATTCGCTTCGGGTTCAGCCTGGTTTTTATCCTCTGGGAGTTCGCCTCCGGGTAGCTCCCCAAAACTATTAGAGGTCTCTACCACAATTTCAGCATCTTGGGCCCTGCGCTGATTATACTCCAGCCACGTGAGAACGCGCAGCTCATGTTTTTCTGAGAGGCAGGTATATGCCGCCGTGAATATCCTCTCTTTATCCGTGAACGACATCCCGGAGAAGGCTGGTATGATGGCCAGAGCTCTCCAGTCCGCATTGTCGTCTCTGGGAATGACGTACCGGTAGACGGGAATTGTTAGGCTCTCGACGAACTTATTGATCTCGTTTGCGAGAGCGTCTAGCACAACTACGCTGTGTGGATCGATGGCACTCCGGTCGATGCGGAAACTAGTTTCGCGGAAGCCGATCTCGTTCAGGTAATTATCGAGATAATGCACCGTGACGCGGTCTTCCTCCTTTGCCTTGTAAATATGGGCCAGAGCATCCCTCCACGACCAAACATGTACCTAGTACTGGTACTTTTACGAGATCTTGAGCACAGCCCTATGCAGGTTCCGATCACCCGAGACAATGATGAAGACGCTAGGGACGCAGGCAGGGTAGTCCTCCCTCGCCTCGTCCACGGAATCGGCAATCACCTCGGCATCGACCTCCTTCTCACGCCCCGTCCATGAGCTCCGCGCAAAGGTGCTCACCTGCACATTGCGGGACTCGATAGCCTTCCAGACGGTGTCGGCGGGCGGAGGCGTTGACCCATACAGCCTCACCTCCACGGTGTAGTCCCTCTCCTCCCGTCGCAGCCCTGACTGTTCCGTCAGGATCGTCTTGAGGCGGCCGACGTCGAAGCGCCACACAGGATCCCATGAGGTTTGTAGGCGCTCTCTTTTGGCGTATGCCTTCTGACCCTCGATCCATAGGTTTGAGTTGTCGATATAAATGCGGATCTTACCGTACTCCCGGCTCACTGAGTTGGTGCCCTTCGCGATTTTGGCCGACATGTTTCGATATGGTTTCTTTCCAGTTTCCTTCCCCTCCTTTTCTTTTAAGCGGGGTTTCAGCGTTTGGCGCAAAGTGTGAGGGAGTGTTGATGGAGATGCGAGAGAGCTGATACTAGAACACTCGCCGTTACCCCGCAGTGTAGTTGATTGAAAATTTCTATAAATCAACATGGGAAGATTTCAAACCCAAGTCGCGGACTTCATCCCACCACGTCCGAGGACTTTCTCCCTCAACTGGCGGGTTCAATACAGGTGAGGTTACCAGCATAGTCGTCTGTGCCCTAGCAAGATGGGCGCTCATTGGCCCATAATTACCGTCGGTCGTATCCTTGTGTCTCAACGTGGTGCTTATCGTATCGCAACGCAAGTCTCCCCGCGTTGTTATCACTCAAGTTCAAAGGCGATACAACAAATTAGGTAGCAGCTGGGGAAACGGGGAATTTCTGGCGATCCGCAAAGCAAGTCAACTCTACACTAGTTTTAGGGCGCATCATCTGGGATGTGAAGGAACAAGGGGAAGACGCAATAAGCCGCAGATTCGAAGCCGGGTGACCAGGATTTATTTGGGATACGGACTTGAATAAGTATTCAGAGCCCCTGAGGGTGAGGATGTCGTAAACATAAAGATTGTTCTTGACGACAATTAGTTGAAAGAGAAGCGCCAGCTAGCGGGCTTTCGTCGCCAGCGTACAAGACAGAGATGGAGCCAGTGTCCGATGGATCGAACGACCCCAAACAGTCATCCGGCCCACCAGAGTGAACTATAAGTAACCCATCTTATCGGGCCCGGCCCTGCCAACCTCGAGGCGGGTGATGTCCTATGTCCTGAAGTGAGCCCGTCATCAGAAGAAGAAAAGAACCTCGAACTTCTCTCTACCTCCTCGCTCGTCTCAAGTAACGCGAGAACAATCGCCACTGATGGTTTCTTCGTGACTCTAACCGTGCCTGCTGTTCCTTCCGAACCTCGGGAAAAAATATCTGAAGAACTTGTGCTGGGCCATTGCGCACGTAGTGCACCTGGCTGTCGCCGTAAAGCACAGAACAGGTTAAATCTCGTTCCACACGAACCTTGCTTCCGGACATCCGCGACATAGCCTCTTTCTTAGAGCACTCTATTTTCCCATTGGCCATCTCTTTCAAGAACAATGATATACGATAGTACGCGTACTTCTTCAATACAAAATATAGATCAGCCCGACCCCTACCGCCCTGTAGTTGGTCCACTTTGAAAAGACCGAAAGTCTTGTCCTCTCTCACATTCCTAGACTTACGGAACAGTTTCCAGCCATCGTCACCGCACGGAAGAGAAAGCCAAAAAGCATAGGAAAAGGGTGCCAGCCACTCTCCCGGGGACAAGCCTCCGTAGATGAGAAATTCGTCATGCTCGTCGTCGTCATCACCGGTTACAAAAAGCATTCGAGTAGGGGGTACAGCGCATGTTTTGTTAGCACTGACCGTGAGGGCGGGCCGTTTTGGCTCTCGCGATCGAACCCAGGATCCCGCCGTTGTCCGAATTACAGGGATATAAAGCTGGTGTGAATCCAAGGCGCCAGACGTACACTGGAGAGCGGCAAAAAACCGCGACCGGTCACCTTGAATGGGGATGAGATGGAGCCGGATTGACAGACCGATATTCGTCATCGAAAACGGCATAAGCCGGCCAGCGTCGGTGGTCTCAACATCGTGTGAACGGAAAAAGTTAACAGGATCCGGAGCCAGGATTGTCCTATCATCCGGTGCCGGAGGGGGCAGTAACAAGGCTGTCGAATCAACAGACATGCTCTTCAACCTTGTAAAGGGATATCGAATTTCGTTCCTGCTGCTGTAACTTTGCTGCTCCATTTCGTAGTCCACTAGACGCTCTCCGCCCTTGTCGAACCACCAGCACCATGAAGGCAACCTCTCCCAAGCGAGGATACTTTGGTCGGGTGAAACCTTGATGATCTCTTCTTGGAGTCTGAGGAACGCTCGATCTCCTTCTCCGTATAGCAGTGGCATTGATATACCAAAAGTACCGAGAAGGCAGTAGGCGATATCTTCTGGTTTCGTCGTAACGCGATCTGAGGCCCACGACATCTTCTGGGCGACGCTAACACTACTCAGACTGCGGTAGCCGTCTAGAATTATTTCGCTAATCCCCGTGATTTTAGAAATGGCCCGCGATAGGCTCCTTCTCGATCCAAGCTCTGTCCAGTCAGAGGAAAAGAAAACCACGTCGTTTGGTGCCAAGAGTTCCTGCAACGTCCACCCACGGGTAAACCATTTGCTCTTCTCAAATGTCAACGGGATACTCAAGGTTTCCTCCCTTTGGACGTCGAAAAGATAGGCATAACACTTCTTCGCGTTACGGTACCACCGAAACATGGAGTTGATTGCCTCGGATAGCTCGGTGCTGTTCCACTTGTTGATACAGCAGGTATCAATCCAAACCCAGTCAATTTTATCTTTCACTGCCTGTTCGCGAGTCGACCTGATTTTCAGGAAGCCTTTCTTAAAGGCCCGGATCTTTTGATCTTGCCAGTCCTGATAGTCCTGATAGCTGACCTCACCAGCTTCCCAGGTATGAGACAAGATCGCATACTCTGGGATGTATTTAACCTCCTCGTTAGGAAATTCGACGATCTCGCCTGTCCTGGCATGTATGAGCCTCATCCTTACAGACTCGTAGAAGACCGTTCGTCGATAGCTGTCCTGTAAAGCTGTCTCAATTAGGCCTTAAAATTCGCGGGCACTGAATCAGACTAGTTAGGTATTAGTGGGAACTACCTGTAGATCGCGGGTGGAAGTTTAGATAAGTTTTTTTGAGGAGAAACTGGATTGTTGGATTGACGAGGAAGCGGGGTCCCATGAGAGAACGTCGCCTTTTCCACCGCTGTCACTTTTTTCCCTATTATAATATAAATATATATATTAATTAAAATTTAATTATATTAAATTAAAATTAATATAATAATATTTTAACTTAATTTTAATATTTATTAATTTTTATAATTTTACATTTTATTATATTTTATATTTTAAATATAATTTTTATTATATAATAATTTATTTAAATATAATTTTTTAATTAAATTATTATTTTAATAAATTATATTTAATTTTAAAATATTATATATTTAATAAATAAAATATTTAAAATATTAAAATATAAAAATTATTATTATAAAATATTTATAAAAAATTAAAAATAAACTTTATAATTATTTAAAAAAAATAATATAGATATACTAAGCTACGCCACGGTGTCACGGCCTGGCCGCAATTTGGGCTGCAGAAAGCGGTAAGGCGTGTCGCGGGCCAACCTTTTTAAAGGCCCCGGAAGGCGGTGACGCCCGGCAAAAGCAAAAGTAAGGGCAGCCGCATACAGCCGGTGACATATAGCACGAGCAATCGAAGGGATAAGGTGGATGCGGTTCGATCAGTTCGACTAGGCAGGATGATCGAAGTGGCAAGCCTTCGATCGCCAAGAAGAGTTGGAAGGAACCATGTCTATATAAGCTACGAAGTCTACCACGTATCTAGTTTGTCCTTCCAGACTCTTCAGTAGTCAATTCAAGTAACAGTTACACCCTACACTTGAATACGCACACCATGACGATACTGCTTGACTGCCTCACTTATATATTAAACAGGCACCCACGGCGCTAGCTCTACGAACTCTAGCGTGTCCTTGTGTTAGGATCGTAACACACAGCAGAAGCCCGGTCTAGCGCGCGGGCGGCCATTCAACGCACTAAGAATTAGTAACTAGTAGAGTTACAAAACCTCTCTGAGATCTCTCCGAGCTCTCACTCCTTTTTCCTTCTCTCTCTATCGAATTCTTCCTGTATATAGGCAGGGCTCTAGATAGCATTATCGGGAAACCACTTACGGTAGAGACTATTATATATATATTTGAGAAATACTTTAAGTATACTATAACTAAACTAAAAGCATTACTAGTATAATATGGAAATACGTGCTATTGTGTTAGTGTGCTGGGCCAAAGGCGGCGCCCGAGCCGATCACGGAAGTTGCCGGGGGCTACGAGAAAGAGCCGCAGGGCCATGAACCTCAATATCATTTTACACATATATAAGAAGAGGAAGACCCCCACGAGGGTTGATATCGGAAGACAGAGGACAGACGGAGAGGGGTGAATGAGGCAGAGGGAAACGCATTCGACTTTAGGTGATCAATCGTTTCCCTTGTCTAGAAAGATCATTTTCAGCACGGTTTATCCTATACTTTCTTCAAATACTATTCCTTTAATTTTCACTTATTCTATGCTCCCCCGATGTCTGTTAATCCTTACAATGCAGATTTCCACTGATCATCATATTGTGAGTGCTCCTGCGAGGTTATCGTGGCCTCATTACGACCACTGCACCTTTTCGACATTGAGTCACTCTCGTCTGTATGCCCATCTGTCAAGAGCGGGTTATACGCTACGACTTGTGGTTGTGTTGCCCGGCTCGATCACACTATGAGTAGAGGATATGTTGTGTGGTGTTGCGACAAGTCAATAGGTGTAAAGGCCACATAGGACGGGGGCATGTTATTCAACGCTAGCAAGCTTGGGATTCATTTCTTATTTTTCTTCCTTTCTTCAAAGGGCCAGAGGCCACAGGATCGGTTCTTCGAACTAATTATCATCATGCTCTTCTCTAGGTAAAGTCATGCAGCATCAGGCTATGAATTATTCACACTCTAGCCGAAGGGGACGAAATCTAGCCAACAGGAGGATAGCTGGGAAAGGCACGCATCTGCGCAGCCTCCGACTTCTGCAGGCCGATTTGATCCGAAGATCTTCAAATTGATGCTCCGATCCAACACAGATGCAGGGGCGACCCAACAGCGACCCACACCAACCGCCTGATTCCTGCATGGCTTGGCCAACAATCCAAACAACAGCGCGTCGTAGCCCCGCCCCTCCCGGTTCCCCAGAACTTATAGTATGGAGAAGGGAAGCATCCTGTCATAATAAAGGGCCTATCCATCGTTTCTGTGTTCCGGGTTTTTATCTCAACTTTCCAACTATCCATCTGCCTTCCCAGAACGAATTCCCACCTGTCTAACGTCATGAAGGACGGCATCGATTTCGACTTCGCCGCGCTCCCCTCCCTCATCGACCCAGGAGCCGAAGACCTCCTCAACACAATTGATTCAATTCGCGCCCTCAACATAGGCATACACTTCGACTTCCCTCAAATTGTAGTGGTAGGCGACCATGACTCAGGAAAGTCGTCCGTCCTCGAGGCTCTCACGCACATCCGTTTATCCACCGAGGGCGGCAGCAATTGCGCGCGCTTCGTAACGGAGCTTGTGCTGCGGCGCTCGAGTGTCTCCAGAATCGATGTGAATATCAATTTGGCAGAGAGAGAAGAAAAAGCAAACGAGGAAGATGAAGAGGACGAGGAAGAAGAAAAGGAGGAAGAAGAGGAAGAAGAAGAGGATGAAGGCGAGGACAGAGAGGATGGAGAGAGGGAAGTGGAGGAAGGGGAAGACGGAAAAGACTCGGAAGAATCAGAAGGCGACCCGGGCGACCACCATTCCAAGCCGTTTACCAAGAGGCCGTTCAGTCAAAGTATGTTGTCTAAGCGTATTGAGGAGGCTAAGCAGAAAGTGCAGAGAACGGACAAGTTCTCAAGGGGTGTTTTGAGGGTGGAGGTCATGGGACCTGATGTTCCCTCTCTCACGCTTGTCGAAGTTCCCGATCTCCGAGAAATAACAGCTGAGAATCATTCGAAACACCCCGAGGAAGCTGATGGTCTAGTGGAAAGCTATTTGAGGCGCAGCAATACTATCGCACTGCACGTATGTCCAGCAAACGTTGCGCACTCTTACCACGGTACCGTCGTGGACCGATTGGCCTCCAAGCTTTGCTTGACCCAAGATAGGATCCTACATATCGCCACCAAGCCCGACCTCAAAACAACATGCTTCAAACCGACAAGGAATGGTGAAACCGCCCACGTGAGCGAGCTTGAGTGGCACGTTTTGTGTAATATGGCGCATCGCGACGAGGAAGATTGCTGCTATAAGAATCGCGATGCTGTTGAAACTTCCATCCTTAACCGCAGCCCTTGGGTCGATATACCCTACGAAGACAGGGGCATCAAATGTCTCCGGAAGGAAATCAGCAAGTTGCTTCTAGAGCAGATCCATCAGGCACTGGACGATGCCATGGGCAACATCATATCTCAGTTAAACGAACGAGAGACAAGGCTAGCACGTCTCGGGAGTCCACGCACCACGGCGGCAGAGGCGCGGTCCTACTTGCTTGGCGTGTCGGCAGAATTCCAGCGCCTATGCCGCGATGCCCTTAACGGGCTGTATGGGGACAAATTTTTTAGCGGCGTCGACAGTCGATCCAACAAGCTGCGCGCTCAAGTACAGGATCTCAACTGGGCGTTTGGCATTACTCTGTCGACCAGAGGAGCGAGTCTGAGGATTGTAAACGATGCCGATCCCAGCCTCGGGGGTGAGAACGGCGGGCAAGGGCAAACATTGGATGGCGCAAAGACGTCGGCTCCGAGCCATCTCAAGCCATTACTCAGTGTTTACCAGTTCCCATTGCCAAAGCTGGTCACCTCCCAATCTTACCTCAACAAGACTCTGGCGGAGTACGGCTCCATCAATCAAGGTCGGGAGCTTCTTATCGTTGACATGTTTAAGAAGCAAGCTCAACCCTGGAAGAAGATTGCCATGTTCCACCTTCGCCTGATCATAGACACTACGCATGAGTTCATCGAGAGGCTCTTGCGTTACATCAACCACTCAAACGATGATACTGCTACTGCAATCCGACGAGCCTATATAGATCCGTTCTTCACAGAGCAAAGAAAATCTCTCTACCACAAGCTAATGGAGCTCTTGCGTCCCTACGCTGAGGGCTACAGGATGTCTCCTTCCCTAGGGTATTACGAACGGATTTCTGGAAGAGTTGACTGTCACATCCTGGAACACTTCACTACATCTCCCACAGAGGTGGGCGAATCTGATACGTCCGAGCGTATCCAAGACTCCCCAGAGCCGGAAAGTTCACAGAGTACTGAGCCCAAACCGGGCGATATCATTGACGTGATGAAGATGTACTACGAGGTACCAATCCATCCCTGTCGCTTCATTGCCATCTTCGTTGCCCTTCCGCCGGCAATTGCTAACCAGGTGGTCAGATGTCGCTCCAAACGTTTAGTGACAATATTATCCACTTAGCCATCGAGAGTTGCTTTCTACGCCCTATACCAGACCTCTTCACGCCGGCAATGGTCAGCCTCATGGATGACACCGCAGTCCTAGCCCTAGCCGGGGAGCCTGAAGAAGCTGGTTTGGAGAGGCGACGATTAAAAGAACACGCTGATGTGCTTAGGAAAGGGCTCAGGAAGTGCCGCCAGTATCGACCTCGTAGATCCGTGATGGGTTAGTGAAATTTCTATCTTCACCTCTATTCGAATCGGCGGACAAGTCGAAGTAACACAGAATACCACAGACCTTCTTTCCGGACTCGGCCACTCACCATCATCCGGCACATTACCCAAGTCCATGCGTGAGTGCCTCTGATTTTCCCATCACCGATAGCTGATCATCCTCAATTAACCTAAAAAGAAGCCCCATCTGTGATGCCCAAGGTCCAAGGCGAAACAACACCAACCATCCCGCGAACTTCGTCCTCGAGCGCCACAGGCACCACTGCCGCCGCACCAACATTCAAGTTCAATGCTTCGAATGTATACCCAATCGCTGATAAACCGTCCGAGGTGAATCTACGTGTACCGCCCCCCTGGTTTCGGTCAACCAACACGCCTGAGGCCGGCCAAGGCCTAGAATGATCTCGGTAGGCTAGCGGATTATTACAGAGAGCCTCCGCTGGCTTTTGAGTAAAACATAGCTTTGCCGTCAACAAATCACTAGCTTTTCTGAGAGGCAAACTCATATATACGTAGGAACTAGCCCTTTAAAGAATTCTTACTATTAACGGACGTCTACTTGCACTAGAAACTGTAACAACTTAAGCTGAGGAGCATTCGAAGTGGAAGAAATCATTTGTAACTGGTATTGAAGTGCTTGAATCGCCGGGGAAGTAAATGGGGCTTTCGACAGAGTGTCTCCGCACGCTGGCAATAGATCATCGTGGACGACTCTGCCACGACCGTAGAGGACCGACACCACCGGTAGACGTAGGTCTCGGGATTTGGAAAGGACGTGGTCCAAATGTCCATTAGAGATGGAAACTTCATGTGCCCAAAGGACAAATCGCTCCAGTCCTTCATGGAACCGTGATTGTTCAGCCTTCAAGGCTCGGCTCGCCGCTTCAATACACACAGTCAAATGGCTTCTAACAAATCACTCCACAGCGCCAGTAGGTGGAGCCCCGCTCTACTTCTGCTCACTCGCCCACGCTTGAATGTTAATGCCAACCCAGGGCGGGCGACCGCTTGATTCTGGAGGGGAAGACATCGTCGTCGACGGAGCCTGGCATCCTGGCTTGGCGGGATGCTTCATGATGTTCGAGCGCCGAGACTGCCCACTGCGGGAAAGATAAGCATCTTCAACGGGCTGGCAAACGCCATCTTACAATACTATGCTACATCATGGCTCCCCGATCCATGGGAAAGTAATGATGTCTATCTTTTTGGAGTTATTGACGGAATTGCCAATAGTGAAAATGCCTTCTCTGCAAGTGCGCCGTTCTTTAGGGTTCGGTTTCCCAAGACTATCAACCCCTTTCACGCCGTATCGATCAGAGACTCACACAAAGCACAATCCGCAGGTCTCTTGAATAGATGAGAGTCTGTCCCAAGTGAGGAAGTGCCCCAGTTTAGTGTACCATCTAATGCATCAAGTGGCCAAGAGCTCCCAGCTCTTTGCAATGGCGGGGAGATCTAGACGGACTTTTGCAGATGGAAATCAACCAACATACACCATTTCGGTGTGGGAATAGCAACTTCGGGCATTTCTTCACTCTACTGCTGTGGAGTGTGAATATCGGTACGCCAGGTCCGTAAGAAGCCACAGCACATTAGAAGCGTATCAGAACTTATTTCAGAAAGGCACTACTTCGTAGGAGATACAAGCCGCAACGCATGCAACCTTAGTGTGATCTGGACAAAATAGTGTCCCATGCCGAAAGTGTAATTTGCCTCATTTTGCGCTGCATGCAACATTAACTTGATCAATGACTCCTTTAAAAAAAGATTGGCCTGGTCCACTACGGCACGGGACGCTCCACATCGCGCAAGATGATCAACCAAGATCCCAGTCATCCTTGGCATCCTGAGATTCCAATTCGGGATGCTATTCCGCTTGCTACCTTCCCCTGGTGGTGTGATTCCTTGAACTCACCTACGGGCCCATGTAACCCACCCTCCATGCAGAGAGCTCAGCGCTGATGCATGATCTGAATCCGTTTGTCACACTGAAGTATGGGTACTTCGTACTATCTTTCCCCCACCTTAAGACTCACCCTAGGCACCCAGAGCATCTAGTTCCAATTCTGCAAACCTGCTCCCCTCTGGGATATCTATCTGCATTTTACTGGCCGAGAGTCAACAGCCAAACACAACACGCCAAACACATTGCCACACAACATGATACGCCTGCCAGATGACAACTGGAAGGCTACCTACGAACAATGCCTCGCCGCCATGCGAGGCGAGCGCGTGCAAGATCGCCTCACTTGTCATTTCAACGCCCGTGCATGCCTTATCCGCGGTATTCGATGCCATTACGACTTTGCCATCAGCCAGGCAGTAACGGAGCTGTGCTCGCGCGATAGCCAACTCGCGCGAGCCCGCAATGCCAGGCTGATTATGAGCAATAAGTTGTCCGAGCTCAAGCCCGACGAGGAGGCGGAGGAATTCCGGCCATACTGCATCTGATACCCTGACTTCGCAACGGAGCAGACATATCGCGAGTTGGTGGCGAGTTGTCCGTACATGTGCTATCAAGTGGGTCACGCCTGTGCTGCGACGGGATATTCTACGCTATACGCGGAGCTGGACATCTTGCCGGAGGTACCTATTGCGGAAGAGGCCCGGGAGAGTCCGGCGGAGAATAGCCGTGCTATTTACGAGTCTATCATGGCAGCACCCGTGCGTTATTCTGTTATGGACGACTATACTCTCACAATCAACGCCGAGAATCCTGTCAGTCCGGCTTGCTCGAACGGCGATACAGATGTGCGGTGGAGGCTTGAGGGACGCATTGAGCTCGAGGTATATCAGGAACATCCCAAGGACGAAGTTTTTATTCTTCCGTGTGTCGAGGAGGACCGGCGGCTCGGTCTAGATAATGTCGAGGGGCGCACCGAATACCACCGACTGACACCTGCCGAGGTCAAATTACTCTACGAACCACTTCCCCCTGACCTCCCTACTATGAAAAAGGACATCCTCGTCCAAATGGCTGCCTACGAGGGCAATATCGATCGTTACGCGCGCCTCGCTCGACCGAGACTGGTGGATGAGGTAGAACTTGCCTGTGTGATTCGAGGAATCTACCATCATACTATGTTTGCACGGTGGTGGGCATCTGAGATCGAGTCCAACTCCACCCGCGTCCAGGCACTCGAGTCTACCGAGAACCTCGACAACATTCGAAAAGCCATCTCTGCACGGCGCATCATGGTCAATGATTACGAAGAATTTCACCTGGGTTGGCCCGCAGGAAAGCCGAAACCATACCTCATCTGGTGGCCGCTCAGACCCAAGGACAGTACTCTCTATATCCTTTTTGGGCGTGTACCAGAGATGAAGGAGCAGATTATCGTTGCGTGTATCTTCTGCAACTATTCCGACTTGTATCTCCGTCTCTGTACAGAGGTGACTGGGAACATTTGGTGGGCTGCGAAGCAGGCTTTAAACCCCTTCTATATCGACCACCTTGAAAAGAAAGCCGCGGAAAAAGGAATAAATCTCGAGTGGCTCAGAGTAGAGCAGCGTGAATACATCTAGGCGGACCTAGAACCAACAAATGACTACAAAAGCGCTGATATGGACGACGAGTTGTCTTTTCAGGAAGACCTGGGAGTGGACGCCGGTCCTTACGACGGGGCCTCGGTGAACGTGAGCGAGCTAGAGTGGTACGTGTGGGCGACGCCGGAACTACTGCGCAAGATTGAGCTCTTCGGCGGCAGTGTCGGTCGTGGTGATACGGCGTGGGCGGAAGAAGTGACGTTGCCCGAGGAGAGTAATTGAATTCGCGTAAACTGGGCAGACTGCTAGACTTTATTCTTAGTATTTGCGGACTACGTTGGTGAAATACATCTACGAACAAAAAACCTCTCTCCCATCGCGAGAAGAGAGAGCTCTTGTCGTTAATATCAGTCGTAACTGAAATAGTGAAACTGGAAAATAGAGCGAGGTGCCTCATTACATTAACATGCCCATAGTTGAGTCGTCGACATAGTCAATCAAATTATGGATGCATCCAAGCCTACGAAGTAAACCAAACTTCTCACACGTTCGACGCATCTTCAAATATTAGATCAGGTTTGACTCACCTCAATCCTTCGCGGAACCCCATCTCACAGGCTGCACCCCCACGGTTCCATCTTCGGAAATTAGCACGGCTGCAACAGCGGCTGGCTCCCCGAAAGGCATAAAACAACGGCACGCGCAAACAAAGGTCCCCGACTTTGTGAAACCTATAGCCCCGCCCACACCGTTAACGTCGTAACCAATACTCAAACATTCGAGTGCGACGATGTCACCATGGGCTGCAGGGCACGGCGGGGGCAGGGAGACAAGGCGAGCTTGTCCGTCCATCTTGGTAACAGAAAATTTTGATATAGAGCCCACTTGTGCTTCAAGGAGATTAGCGTCAAAAAGGATGGGTCAGAAAATATTCTCATGTTATACGGAAAGCACAAAGTAGAGCGAGAAGGCCAATGTACCGATGAGAAGTCCTACGCCGTACGCAGCCGAGCTAGCTACCTGAACGCGAATCCTACGAAAGACAGCGCTCGGGGCGGAAGACTTTTTTAGTGTTCGGAGTGGGTTATTGGCTGTTGTGAAGGCGGAAGATCTCGGAGAGAGATGACTTGAATGCTATTGCTGTCTAATCAATCACAGACCTCGTGGGGAACTACAGAGTTCATTCGGAATCTCCAAAGTTCCATGCCTTCCGGATGTGATGCCCGTCATGGATTAGTCTTTGCGGGGCTTTTGATGGTTGATCCAAGTTCGCTTAGCTATTCTCACAAGGAAGGATCGTGAGTAGTGATCGCCGCCGACTTCCAGCCCACGCAACCCACCCCACACGTTTCCTCAGCCACTATGACAAGTTCTACTACGTACAATCGGGCAACGACTGCTCCTCCATCGCCGGAAAGAATGGTATCTCCCTCATCCAGTTCCTGAAGTGGAATCCTAGGGCTGGCACAAACTGCGCGGGACTCTGGGCTGACGCTTACGCTTGCGTGTCCATCATCGGCCACGAGCCCTCGCCCACCAATCCCGGCAACGGCATCCAGACACCTACTCCCACCCAGCCAGACATCGTGAAAAACTGTGACAAGTTCTATTGGGTCAAACCCGGCGACACCTGGACTAAAATTGTCGCTGACAACCGTATCACGCTCGCTGATTTCCTCAAGTGGAATCCCAAAGCCGGCAGCAACTGCGCAGGATTGTGGGGAAGCGCGTACGCCTGTCTATCTGTTCTTGGGTACGCCCCAACTCCGACGAACCCCGGAAATGGAGTTCAGGCCCCTACGCCGATCCAAAGCGGCATGGTGACCAACTGCAAGAAGTTCCATTTCGTCCAGCCAGGTCAGACATGCGCTTCGATTCAGACTAAGTACAGGGTCACCCTGGCGAACCTGTACAAATGGAACCTAGCAATCAAGTCAGGCTGCACTGGGATGTGGTCGCAGACTTATCTCTGTGTGGGGGCCTTGTGAAATATTATTGAAAAGTTGGCAATGTTGATGTTCTTGACCCTTTGCCGCCCACCACGTCCAAAGCAAGAGTGATGATTCTTTAATGCTAATGATCAAAAATCTCGGCTTCACTATGATACTATCTAGTATTGATCCTGAATAGAAGGATTGACTGCTTGTCTACTAAATGCCGAGTTACAATCTAGGCGACGGTGGGCTTTACCAATAGATGTGGCTGGCGCACGCAATGGTGCTCCTGTTGTTCCCCCTCTGCAATTGTGGTATCTTATTGACATAATATTAACTAAAGCTAAAGTCTAATTCCTCGTAGTCTATAGATAGCTATTGATGACTTATAAGCAATTCAAGAGAAAGGCACCGCGATAGTAAGGAGTAATCTAAGCGAGAGTTAATGAAGCACGCTATTCTTGCTATTCTCGAGTTGTCTAGTACTGCTTACACAAGTGCGAGGAGCAGGGGGCTATAGTAAAGAGGTATCAAACGCTAAGAGCGATAGCTAACTTCTATATGTTCTTCGACCTCTGTGTATGAACGTCGCACTTCTCCCAGCGTCTGTAAGAACTGCTTAAGGTCTGCCCACCATCGATTTTAGGTAAAGTGCTAGTATAAATCACTGTTAAGATAGGTAATGCAAACATTAGACGTTTTGCCTCCCCTCAGCTACTTCTTCTATGCATGAAACTCTGAACCATCAACGGGGACAACTCCTTTCGACCTATAACTTATAAGGGATTGGGGGACCCTCGAGCAGTTGCAACATGCGCTATTAATATATAACAAGTTTGCTCAGCGCATGTTGAGCCTCCTTAACGACCTTTGAAAATTCTTCCATCTCCCCGCCACTAGACGCTGGCCGAGACTCCGTGTCCTCCACCATTGGAGAGCCTAACCCGCTCCCTGTAGGCAGTGGGGCGTCAATGTGGGACGTGCTGGGATCTCGCTTTGGAGTTGATGTGTATATACTCTTAATTTCTTGGATGATTTCCCACAGTCCAGTTTGGTATTTTCCATGGCCATGGAGATCTGCCCTCAGGAGTGCGCGCACCAGGCGCTTCCAGCTGTCGGCATCCAGTGTAAGGTTATTATGGGACTCTACGCACCCTCCACTTTCCCAGTGGGCTTGTCCCCATGCGCCGCCATAGCTACCAAGTTGGAAAACCAAGGACCGCTGTTGCTGCTTGGCTTGCGCCGCCTCGATTTCGGCAAGCTCCAACACTTTCTCATAGGCGCTCGCTATCGCGGGAAAGATGGCCATGAGCATTGTTACGTTTTGGGATGGTCGGATCGGCGGCGTCTCGCCATGTTGGAAAAGACGCAAGCCGCACTGCGTGCAGCTTGCAACATCATGTACCGTCTTCGATGCGTCCCTGGCGACGTATATAGCGTCTTCCACCCTATCAGGAAGCCGTGACAAGGCCTCCAAAGCAGAAAAAATCATGCTTAAACAACGGCAGGAAGTATCGGTGCGCCATTCTGGGGAGCCGCCAGCTTTTATAGTGGTCCCCGGATCTGGTTCTGTGGCGTTGGGTGGATGTGAAGCGGTCGTTGTTTCAGCTGCAAGATTCCGTTGGCCAAAGGTGATGTCGGCTAGAAAATCGACACCACCAATCCCGCCCACGAAGAGGGCGAATTGCTGACCTGAGCTATACGTATGAGTAGTGGGTTGCGTGATTGTGGTTGTAAGGCCGATTTGATCTTCAGTGAAAGGGAGAGAGTAAGACTGTTGCTGGCCTTCAGGGCGGAGCTCGCTCGCCAAGTTGTGTCCCTGACACTCCGCTTCGGGATACATTTGCTTCTTCGGCCGACCCATGGGCTTCTGGGCCGAGTAGAAACAGGAGAGACCATCCTTTTCACATCGGGAGCACCCATCTACTTCTCCGGGACACTTTATTTTCCTCTCGCCTTTATAGAGTCCTGTCAGTTGATACGCCAGAAATAGCAGTTCGTTCCTTCTAACTTACGGCATTCGTCACAAGCGCGCCGCTTAACAGCGTTCCCATCAGAGGGAAGTTGTGGTCGAGAAAGAGGCATATTGATCTCTAAGAAAAGAAAGAGAAAATGGACACAGTTGGAGAATCATCACGGCCTTCAATATGTTTGCTGATGCTGGGACTATTGAATAAATTCAATGATTGAAGGTTATAAAAATGATCTATTAACCTTTAATTCCATATACTGCTTAGATAATACAAAGACGTCGTCCAACCCAAATGCAAGTGTCACAAGCCTCTTAGTTCTTCTCACTCTGGCTCCAGTGGAACCTCCCTGTGTAAATACTGGCTGGCCAAGCTCACGCGCCAAGAGTAATATGATGTTTCCATTTATTCAACGAAAAATGAATCATATTTATTTCCCTTCGATATCAGGGCTAATAATCGACAAAATTCATATGCGCGACACAAACATATCCCCGTCCACTCTGGGTAAAGGATCCTAAGCAAGATTTTCAAGGGGTTCATAGCTCTGGCGTACCTCGGGCTTCGGGGGCGTGGGCACAGAGTAGACCCCCCTTGGCCCAATATTAGCCCTCTTTAAAATCATCTGCTCGTCCTCACCGCTCTCAATGCGTCTGACCAACTCCTCAGGATCAAAGTCAACCCCGATGGGGTTCTCGTGGAAGTCGGGGCTTGCAAAGTATGCATTCGTCTCTTCAATGGTGGGGAACGCATCTACCTGCATCTCAACCATGTTGCCGTCCGGATCTTGATAGTACATGCTAGTGGTGGTACCATGATTGTCACACCAGAAAGGGGTGATGCCACGAGCTCTGCGCTGTTTGTAGGACGTGACGAGGTCCTGCAGACTCGAGTACCCGAAGGCGATGTGGTGCAGGCCAGTTGCCAGCATCGGATTCTCGGGGGAACGACTCTCCGAAAAGTTGCCGATGGCAATGCGATGGTGCTCGTCGTCATACGTTGAGGAAGGACATGCCTGGGTTCTCATAGCTTGCATGGGCGCCGAGAATGGCCTTATACCAGGCTACCATGGAATTGAAATTGGGCGTTTTGAGGACGACATGTGCGAGTCGAGTAGGTCGGAGAACCGTACCTGTAGGAGAAACAGTGGTTTCTTCAGTGGTCATGTCGCGCAGTACTCTTAGTAATGTTGTAGGCGATGATGATTTGAATGGCTTCTTTGCGGATTGGTAGTTGATTGACCGTCCGAGAGAAATAAAGATGGGACATCGCCTCGTTTAAATACGAGACTATGACCAGAGGTCGGGGGCTGGGTTTTGACGCGAAGTCTCCGGGGCATTGCAAAAGATGAAAACACAATCCTTCGAGGAGAGGCGTTCAATTTGTCTCACATCTTCTATAATGGCAACTATCCAGAGCCCTTGCTGGAAGAGTGAGGGACGACCGGGTGGTTCGGGTCGGTCTGGGCGGGCACGCTCAACGCGGCGAGAACCCTAATAATCCCCCCGCCAGCCGCCTGACCTTGGTGGAAAGTCGCCGTTATTCCACCGACTCCGACCGGTACCAATTAAACCTGAGCGAACCACTCAATGGCAATTGTACTTCGCCCACCTTTGACCTAGCAGAACACCAGAAATTCAGACTGATTGAGAAATGTACATTTGTCTGCCATCAGTTCTTTGGCCAGGGCCACAAGTCGAATGACCTGAGGCATGTTTTGGGGTACGCACAAGCACGTAATCTGAGAAAATTCAAGGCAAGCAGCATTCGAACAACCAGGAGAGCCACACGAAGTGTCCCGAGATTAATTAACGTGGAGAATAAAAACAGTGATGGAATTTGCAGTCCGCGAGATATCAACACACAATTACCAATGCCGTGATAGCATCGTCCTATCCCCTGCTGCGATACCCCCTGCATATTGCGTTCCCAAGTAACGCCCCTTGACAAGCCAAACCAGAATGCTCCATACTTTCCAGTTGCCCAGTTGCCCAGTCCCGCGATCGCCCATCGCCACGGCAAACTGTATTTTACCCTCAGTATTAAATTCTGCCAGCGGAGAACCGCTCAGGAATGCTTCGATATTCTTGACGACGTGCACAGCCTGCTTGTCGGCGTTCGCTGCCGTAAGCGGCTGTAGATTCCCAGCATCGCCGACAACAAAGATGTTGTCGTATCCGCGGGCGCGCAGGAATGGAGTCTGCTGGACGAAGCCTTTACTGTCAAGCATTTCAGGAGGAAGAAAAGCGGTGTTGGGCTGCATGCCGAATGTCGGAAGGTAGGCATCTGCGTCGATCGTCTCCTCGGACCCATCTCTGCTTTGTATCTTGACCCGAACCATCTCTCCTTCCGGCTCCACGTCCGCAGCCACGCTAGCCTTGGCATTGACTATGATCCGCACTCTCATATGCTCCAATTCCTCCTTGACCGTCTCCCGCAGGCTGCGCATTACATGCTCGTCGAGCGGCAGCTCATCTCCCGACACCAGAATGATGTTTTTCTCGCCGCTCTTGCCAAACGCGGTCCCTAGCTCGCCGGCAACCTCGCTGCCTGTCGCGCCAGCGCCCGCCACAACGATGGTCCGTGCCGCCGCGATGCGCCGCCGGAAGGCTGCCAATGCGGCCTTGGTTTCCTCGGTGCTCCCCAGATTCTTCCAGGGCATACCCTCAAGGGCGCTCGAGCCGGTTGCCACCACGATGGCATCGTAGGTAAGGGTTCGCCTCTGGCTGTGCCCGCCGTTCGGAAGCACAGTGACCTCTGCCTTGGATGGATCAAGCTTCTCTGCGGTGCCTAGGATATGCTCAAAGTTCTCAGGTGGGTATTTTGCAAAGGTAGGCGCCAGGGGATAGAAGAGTTGTTCATCAGCGAATTTGTCGGGTAGAATGCCACGAGTAGACGCGAGATTCCAGTAGAGGTGTGAATTAGGAGAGACAAGTACGACACGCAAGTCGGGCATGGATTTAATGGCGTGCTTGAGGAGGTAGTGTGCAATTGGAATGCCAGCAACAGACGCACCGAGGATAATGATAGTCCTAGACATTGCAGGAGATAGGGATTCAAAGTAGATATTGAGTGGTGTTAATAAAACAACTTGAAGGTCCAGTGCATTTAGATGTCTCTGGGCAAAGTAGATAGTCTCTGGAGCGGGCGGACTACATGCAATGATAAAGAAAGTGGACGGTCGACAGTTCAATATGAGCAGCATTTATAAGGTTGAAGCCAGAAAGGGTACCAAGTATTGCTGGAACCCATTATAAATTCCTGGTAAGCAAAAGCAGCAAATCTTACCAACAAAGTCTCCGATGATCGTCCGTCCCCGAAATAATGACCGGATTCCGGAGGATGGGTGCCAGATGAGGCAAGAGGCAGTCCTCCTAAAATCCGCATACCAGGAGTCCGCGTAAAGAGATCTAGCACTTGACAGATTTTCCTGCTGGAGCGCGTTCACGTAAACGTGGGGGAAAACCTATCTCCTCGCATGATCGATGAACACCTGCTCGAAGAATTGCGTTGGGGGTTCGGGTCTTTCCTAATGCTCACGTATTTAAGGCCACCCTGCTTCGCAATGATCGCCTGGATAAAATCTCGTCTCTTGTCGCAAGGACGGGCCTCGCATCCGATATCGAGCAACTCGCACCTGCAACTTGGTTTATGCTGCCTGCATATGAAGCGCCCACTGCCAAATGAAATTCCCGTTACTAATGGCGGCCTTTCCGTAGGATGCAAGAGAGGAGGGCAATTTGAAAAAGGGCCATCTCTCAGATAATCAGACCTGAGCAGGCAATTCTTCGGGGTCATCAATTGTTGTCCACCTTCTCCTCATTCGCTGAGGTTTTAGTGGGTGACGGACTGACGGTTCCACGATTTTTGTGATATGACAAACATTGAAACTTGTCGAATCGCCTCCACGCAGCTGTTTGGCCTAGTAGATCCGCACGCCTTACCGCTCGTTCCTAATTTAGTTTCTCACGCTGCAAGGAAACAATATCAAATTTAAGAAACTGTCATGTTCCTAGCCGCCATATACCTTCTCAAGAAATTTGCCACATGATAATGCTTCTTCTTCGCCACCGCCGCCTTTAACGGACTCCCATATTTCCCCCCCTCAATAGTTGGGTCCGCACCAGCCGCCAGCAGAATCTTGACGTTATCAAGGCAGCCATGTTTTGCCGCAGCCTGTAAAGCAGTCTCATACTTCCCACCTCGAGCGTTAGGGTCCGCACCGTGGTCGAGCAACGATCTCAGAACCCTCCGTCCGTTTTCAGATTCATGCCGACACGCCGCGTGGAGTGCATATCCCGCCTTGCCTGACAGCTGATTCACGTCGGCCCCTAATGAGAACAGATACTCGAGAGCAGCGAGCCGGTGGCTCCGCGCGGCGCCTTGCAGCGGCGCCCTTGTATTTGCGTTAGCAGATATCCCTTTTCACGGGTAATAACTAAACTCAACTAACCCGAATTTCTCGCAGGCGAGGGTGTGATCAGCTCCCTTCTCAACAAGTATCTTCATCAGCTCTACCTCACCCTGGCATGCGGCAGCTGTCAGTGCTGTTCCGAAACGCGGGTCATAGGCGTTGGCGTCTGCACCCCTGACGAGTAAGTCGTCGACAAACGCGTGGTGCAGATTCGTGATGGCAGCTTGTAACGCGCTGGTATGTGTCTCGGAGGGGGGGGAGTTGACGTTTGCGCCCGCGTCGAGGAGGGTCTGGATCACTGGCATGGCTTGGTTCTGGCCGCTGTAGCAGACATTTTCTAGGACGGCCATGAGGGCGGTTCTATATCGTGTTAGTTCTATGAGGTATTGGAGGTATTGTCGCCCAGGGCTGCATACCCGTGTCTCCCACCGGTGGCATTCACGTCGACGCCTTGGTCTAGCAGGAATTTTACCATGCTAACATGCATACCCCGGGCCGCTGCGTGTAGGGCCTGGCCGGGGACACCGCCTTGAACGTGCACGTCGGCGCCGTGTTTGATCATTATCGGCATCCCTTCCGTGTATCCCGATCTCGCGGCAGACACAACTGCAACCGAGGCACCGAAGTTTGGGTCTGCGCCGTGTTCCAGGAGCTCTTTGAGCATCGTACCACGCCAGCATCGGAGAGTGGCAGCAAGGGGGGTCTCGTCGCCGCGTCCTGGCCTGGTAATATCAGGATCAGCTCCTCGACTGAGAAGAAGCCTGAAAATGTCAAGGTCGCCCTCAGCGACGGCGATGTGAAGCGGTGACCTGATTTTCGTCAGCAGGGATCGCAGTTCGTCGGTAATGTGAGCTTACATGGAGTACTTGGACGGCTTATTAATATCCGCTCCATGATCGAGGAGGGTTTCTACTATCTTGGCATTCCCTTTGCGCACCGCAGCCTTGAGTAGAGGGTTAGTAGCACTCCCAAGTATGTAGGTGGGCTGTCACTCACTCCTAGAGGGCTCGTACGCTCCTCTCCAGCATATATGTTGACATCAGCACCAGCGTCGAGAAGAAGCTGGATATACTTATCCCCTCCCTCCTTTTCTTTGTACTCCATGATAGCACACGCAAGAGCAGAGCCGTGCCTACCGCCCACAAGATTGACGTCGGCCCCGTGCTCGAGCAGAAGCATGACCACCTCTTCATCGTCGCTCTCGATTGCTTCCTGGAGAGGGGTTCCGTAGTATTCACGACCAGGCCAGTTCACATTCGCCCCAAGCTCAATCAGGTGCCGCGTCAAGCCTTCCTGCTTGTACCAGATGGAACCAGAAAGCGGGCCCCCAAACCCACCACCGAGCTCCCTCAGCTCCTCCAGCGTTCTAGAGTAGTTCACGTTTGCACCGGCGTCGAGCAGCAGACGAGTAAGAGCCGGATTTTTGGCCATAATTGCGCATTCGAGACAAGACCCGTTTCTGCCCTCCCGTGCTTTCACAGTTGCGCCGCGGGCAAGTAATAATTTCACGATGCTTTCGTTTCCCTCATACGCAGCAGCTTGCAGCGCGTCGCCCTGACGTGGAACCCAGAGGTTTATGTCGGCGCCACGGTCGAGAAGAAACTGGACTAGAGCGTCGTTTCTTTTTTTACAGGCCGCCATCAAGGCTGACGGCCGGTGTGGGAGACTGGCGTTGATGTCTGCGCCGTAGTCGAGAAGAAGATTGATCATTTCCATGTTCCCTTTCTGCACTGCGGAGATGAGACAAAACAACCCATCGCTCGGCTGGTTGACGTCGGCGCCGAGGTTGAGCAGTTGCTTCACGATGTCCATGTTCTCATACGCAACAGCCGTATATAGTGCCGTGATTCCAGCGTCTGTTTTCCCGAGAGCATTCACATCAATATCGGGATGGCTGAGCAGGATCTTGATGGTAGCTGTGTCTTTTGCTTTTATGGCGAGTTGCAACGCCGTGCCCGACTTATTTTGCGCATTCACATCCACCCCTTTTCCCAGGAGCCGAGGAACTACAGTCTTACGCTTATTTTCGATGGCATCGAGGAAGATTTCGTCGTCTAACTCGGCGCCCAAGTCGATCAACAAATGGGCAGCGGATATGTTGCCGCCGTATACGCAGGCACGCATAGCTGAGTCAAACGCGCCGCCCCGGTAGTTGAGCTCAGCTCCGTGCTCGAGTACTAGCTTCACAATGTCAATGTTATTCCCTTCGGTGTTCCCCCTCGCCGAACCCGCCACGGCAGCTTGCAGGGCACTCCCATATTTCCCTCCATGAAGATTAGGGTCGGCACCGTGCTTGAGCAAGAATCTGGCGATCTCGACATAGGTCATCGACTCCGAGTCCTCAGGCCCCCTTGCATGTTTATGCGGATTGCTGCACGCTGCCTGGAGGGCATTATTCAGCTCCGCGCCTCTGCACTGCAGGTTGACGTCGGCACCAGCGGCAACCAGCAACTTGACCATCTGCAGATTAAGGCTCTCCGCCGCCCAGTAGAGAGCCGTTCCCGCTCTGCCGCACGTATCGTTGACGTTGGCGCCCTTCTGCAACAGCAGCTGAACAAGGGCCATATTCCCCGTCCCTGCCGCAATGTTCAACGCCTTACCCCTATGAATACACACAATATCCATGTCAGCCCCTCGATCAAGCAGTACAGTCGCCGCATTTACATGCTGCTGACCGCACGCCGCAATGAGCGCGCTGCCGTGCCTCCCACCCACAGCGTTCACCTGTGCGCCGCGGTCCAGCAACAGCTTTATGCATTCGACATGGCCCCCATACGCCGCAGCCTGTAGGGGATATCCATACTCCCCACAGTGTCGATCAACGTGAGCCCCGCGATCCAGCAGCAGCTCCACGGCGTCCTTGTGCCCGAACCGCGCAGCGATCTGGATCGCCTGGCCGAATGTGCCCCGTACGGCGTTGACGTCGCACCCGCGCTCGTTGAGGAGCCACTGACAGAGCTGGAGGTGGCCGAGCTGCGCGGCGTAGTAAAGTGGCTGGGGAATCGAATCAAGGGATTTGGCCTGATGGCCACGCAAGCTGTAGATGCCGAAGGAGCTCACCTCATCAACGAGGGCATCGGGGCGGCAGATGTTGGTGTAGTTGATGTACGCGCTGTGGTCTTCTTCTGTGTCCAAGATCCGCTGGATCAGGCCGTTGACGGTATCCTGGTCTTTTTGTGTGAGCTGTCGGCGCCAGTGTTCGGGCCAGTGCTGCGCAGCGTAGGCCAGGAAGGGGAAGGCAACGAAATCGATCCCTGGGAGGCGCACGCCGCTGCCGAAGTCGAGTAGGTAGACGAGAGATAGCTCTGCGATGGCTTGATGTGCGGTGGCGGGTGAGAAGCTAAAGCGGGAGACTCGGGGCGCGGATTTGCTGCGCTGGAGGATCATGTATTCCTGGACAGAGAAGTGGGCGAACTGGACGACCTCGTGTTCTTTGTAGAGCGACCCCTGCAATGCGCGATTCTCGATGCTGTACTTCTCTTGGAGCCAACGAGCCTTAGACACCGAGACGAGGCTGGAGCAGATCTCGAGGACGTGGCGGTAGTTAGTTAGGCGATGCTCTTCGGGTTTGAAGCTCTGGCCCTCGTAGTCGACAACCATACCCTCAGCGAGCTCTTCGAGCGTTAGGGGGCGAATGGAGTGCGCCAAGAGCATCAGAGCCGTCCGTGCTATCTGCCATGTCTCGTCGGGGATCGACGCCAAGATGCGGTCGTACGTGTCATCTAGCGTTTTGGGTAGGTTCTTGAGGGTTTTCCGAACGGTCCCAACCTGTTTGCAATTCTTGATCAGGTCAAGCTGGCAAACCGCCCACCGGAACCTGTTTTGGGTTAGATGCCTTGCATGAGCCCTCTCTAGCAGTGGCCTGGCACGCTTACATTCCCTGAGCTTTCTCAGAAATAGTATCCTCAATTTCAGTCGCCAGGTGTTTAGGGAAGTCTTTCATGACCCAGTGGCTCGCAATAAACTGTGTGACGTGAAGTCTTACGTCTTCTTTGACACACTCTGTGGGGATAGGAATGTTGTGGGTCGCCACAGTCGACTGAGCCATTCGCTTCTCGATGTCGGCTTCCTTGCGGCTCGTGAAGAGGAAGTTGTAGGAGCCTGTCTGGTGGTATTTCTCAATGCGGTCTAGGATGAGCTCGAAGAAATGCTCTCTGTTATCGATCGGGCACTCATCTAAGGCGTCAATGATCACGTAGCTCTGTCTATTCGGGTTGTGGCTTAGAAGCTCGAAGAGGGTGTTGGCGAGGACTTCATTGCTTGGCTGCTTACGACCATTGTCGTGCGACTCGTAGAGAGTCCAGACCGCTTGTGGGAGATACTCGTCGTGTTTGCACAGCTGCCAGAGAAGACATCGTAGAAGAATATCTAGCTTCTGAACGTCTTGGTCGCTGAAGTCGAAGTAGTAATAGACCAGCCGTGCCTCGGGCCTCGTCTTGCAGAGCCCTTCGATATGATCAATGATGGTCGAACAGATGACTAGCAAATATTGGCGGTTAGCTAGCCCGAGCTAACGAATAATACTAAGGACAAATCATACTGGTTTTTCCAGCGCCAGGAATTCCATGTAGCCACAGCGTGTGGCCCATGTTGTCTCTCCACTGTGTGAAGTCCTCTTCCTTGAGAACCCAATGGTTGGAACCCGGTTGATGCAGACGACGAGAGGCAAGGTGCTTTACCGTTGGGTCCACACAGCGTAGCCAGTCCAGTCCCTTTTCTCTCTCCTCGCGCCGTTTAGTGTCTTCGAGATAAACCTTAGTTGCGACTGTTAAACTGTAGTTGTCTCCGAGCAGTGCAAGCTCCAGAATGGGTACCTGAGCTGTAATCCTGTCCATGACGTCGTTGATCTTCTTCGACTCAAAGGGCCACTGCAGCTTTTGGCGAAGGCTTACTGGCCCGCTAGGCAGCTTCAACTTGAGTTCATCGAGGCATCGTGCGCAAACCGCGAGCGGTCCGTGGTCCCCAGTCAAATTTTTCAACGCGTTTGAAGGGGTATGAGTGCTGGCTTGGATGGTTCCATTCAGTTGTGTGAGGTCCTTCAAGTCTCTCAGGATCGTTGACAGATATCCGATTTGGTGTATGACACGATCGATATCGGCCGCTGCGTCCTTCACTTTGCCCGCATATCGGTAGCATGAGCTCAGCACTGCCTCTGAGAGCTGCAAGACAGCAATAATGCTCGCCACGGACTCCATGAATGCGTGATGCTTGGGAATCTATAACCCTCCTGGATTTTCGACGATGGCTCCTTCGTGTTGCAAAATAGCCGAAATCGCAAGATTGATGGCATCCAGAAGTCGAACAATGCAGATGACATTCAAGTCAGTGGCCAGAGGAGGGGGGAAATGTTCTTACGACGCCCTCTACCCGGGTTACTGGAGCTGGACAATCTCAAACATGGCCCTGAATGATTCGGAGCAGGCAACACTGGGACTCAGTTTCAGCCGCAGTCATCAGCATCGAATGTCGAATGAGCGGGGGTAATTTAGCTCGTTTGACAGCCAATTAGGGAGGCCCTTCCTCAGCTGGATATTGTGTTACCTGAACGTGCTGTTCCTTGTGATCCAAATTGTTTTGTCCAGAGCAGTAGTAAATGATTCTATAGCAGGAACAGGGTCGGTATTAGCTACGTTAATTGAAGAGTCGGCCAAGCTGGAGTACCTCAGGCCGCCACATCGTCCATTTTCTACGCGCCATGGAGAGCCCAAAAGGAGCATCGCCATGGCATGGTGGCAGCTAGAGTTGGTTGTAGTTCGATTATGGCATCTGCGGCATCTTCATGATTGGTCAAATGAACTTGAGCGAGGAGGCATGGTGCTGAGAAGCTGTATCGATGTGGGATGTTAGGACGTGTCTAGAGTGCCTCTGATTGCCATCATCCCTTCCTTCTATATATTCCATTCACTCCTATTGTAGGTATCTATTTTGAAGTCTCCCGGATCGGCGTCACCTGAAATCTCGACAGGAGCGTTGCCGCTTGACTTCACGATTAGTTCGGATACGAGATTTCCGAAATTGTTTTATCGACCCACGACTGGGCATGCGACGAGATTTAGAGGAATCAGAAAACGGCATGCTCGACAGCTCGATCGAAATTCCAAGAACAGGAGACAACCCAAGGATCACGGGAGTCTAATGACATGTGTTCGAGGAGAGTATATAGCATTTTCATCACTGTCTTCAACTTATTTTATTCTCTCAGTCTTCATCCATCCCTTAAAAACTCCAAACAGATCCCATTCGCTTACAATGCCGGTCTTAGGTATTAGCCCTTGTGGCTTGTTTACAGTAGCCCATCGATACTAGCTTTTGCAGAATGCGGATCAACTTGATCTTAATTCTACACCTTATTTGCTCTTTGACCCCAACCTCCTCGAAGAGCCCTTTCCATTTGCACCATTTGCCCCATAGTAACTTTCCTAGTTCTAGTAGTCCCCCACAGTAACTTTCCTTTACCTTATAACAGCCCCCACTGCAACTTCCCCCACCGTAACTAGATGCCCCCTTTCTACCTTGATGACGAAGAGGCGAACTATATTGGGCGGTGTTAGTTGGCAGGACCGATGGAAAGTATACAAATAACTAGGTGCCTTCCGTCTCTATATGGCTTCAAAAATCGATCAGTAAACTTTCTGAAATTCAGCAAAGATCCAAGTATGAGCACCAAGTACACCGTTGTCATCGTTGGGGCTGGGCCTGTAGGGCTTTTGACAGCCCTTAAGTTGGGTCAGAGGGGGGTTTCGACATTGGTGGTTGAGAAACACAGTGGGATCTTGGATGCTGCCAGAGCCATTGCGTATGGGATTTCTTCCAATGCGGTATTATCTTTGACTATTTGGAGACACGCTGACACTTCTGTCTGGGCTCTAGGTATATGCCCGTCGTGGTAAACGAGCTTGGAAAGTTAGGCATTCTGGAGGACATAAAAAGGAACGCGTACATTAACCATGCCGGTCCTGCTTGGAGGAAAGCCGACGGAACAGAGTTGGCAGCACTTGGCCCGCCACGATCAGAGATAACTCCCACAGCCGAAACACCGGCTGTACTCATAATGGGACAGCACGAACTGGCGCATGTCGTTCTCGACCACATCCGGAGATGTAATAGCGTCACCATAAAGTTCTCTACCCCTTGTGTGGGGGTTGAAACTTTGGAGGGAAGAGTTCGCGTTATGATTCAAAATGACAAGGAGGACTGTGTTATCGAAGCCGACTGGGCGGTGGGTGCCGATGGCTGCAATTCGGCGGTGCGGCAAATGAGCCTCATACCCTTCGAGGGCTTTTCTTGGAGCAACTATCGTTTCACAGCTGCTGATGTGCGATATGACTTCGAGAAAGAGGGTGGCTATCGAGAAGCCAACTTCATTGTCGATCCTATCAACTGGGCCGTCATTGCGCGAACCGGCCTAAGCGACGTTTGGCGCGTGGCGTACGGCGAAAAGTTCGACACCCCTGTCGATGATCGCAGCGTTAGAGAACGTGCAAAGACTAGAATTTCTAGGTTTTTACCCGGGGCGAAGGACTTTGAGCTCGTCCGGGTGAAGCCATACGTGGCTCATCAAAGGTGTGCGGCGGAGTTTATGAAAGGTCGCGTGGTGTTGATTGGGGACGCTGCGCATGTGAGCACTCTTCTATCTCTTCTGTAACCCTCACTATATTAACCCTGAGCCACCGGCTGACATCTCTGATTTTCTCGCATAGGCCAACAATCCAGTCGGCGGTCTTGGTCTAACGGGGGGTATCCTGGACGCCGTCGTTATCGGAAATGCACTTCTGCGTTGCATCAAGGGCGGAGAAGACGAGGCGGTCGTGAGGGCCGCAGCTGAATCCCGTCGTAATACATGGCTAAATATAACAAGTCCAATGTCGCAAAGCAACTACCTTAGATTGTGCTCCGAGGATCCGGCCATTTGCAGCGGCCGCGAGGAGTTTTTCGAAAAGTTAAGGACGGACAAAGAGTTTTATTTGGCCGTTCAAAACTCCTTGGGAGATCTACTACCGGACAATTTCGAGAGTATGGCAGTCGAGGATAAGAGGAGGTCTCAGTATTCTTAGGTGGACTCTTCAACTAGGTAATAATGGAAAGACTAGACGTGGAGCACCAACAGCATTAAATTCCTCTTAACTATTGGTACCCTACAATCTTGGCGGGCACGGGCATAGAGCCACACCTTCGAAGACGTCTAGGAGCTTGGTAGACTCAGTGATACTTTTCTCAAGGCTGCTGGGTATTATGGTTAGCTGGTGGGAAGGGCCTGTAAAGGAAATTCAAACAGGTACGAACCTGAGCGTCCTTGTATCCCCGTAAAGAGCTCTTGACTTCGATTGATTTGAGTGGCGGCTCCTGGTAAGTTCCAACATGCAACGCAAGATAATCACGGCAAAGTGGAAATGCCGACATCTACTTCCGCCCCGGCCAGGCGCATTTGAGAAACCGGGGAACCTCCTTTTTGCGGGGTACATATCCACCTACGTCCCCACTCAGCTGCACTTCCCCAGATTTTTAGGTCAGATTGCCACACATCCAACACCAATGCGGTTCACTGTTTGGCAAATTTGGAATCAGTTTGACGAATTTCGAAGCTTCGCAATAACGGAGAGGGCAGTCTGTGTCTACCTGCTCCTAATCTAAGAGAACGAATTACGGCAGCAGGGACATGCCACGCTGTAAGAAGTGTGCCAAGTCCTTCCATCGCAAAGACCACCTTCGGAGACACGAATCTACACACCGTCCCCCACAGTTTGTGTGCCAGCATCATGGGTGCGATATGCGCTTTCATCGCGCGGATGTGTTAAAAAGACACCAGGAAGTTCATGTCGCGGATCCTCAAAAACGACGACGAAAGCCTCGAAGGGGACCTTGGCCTCGTACTAGTGTTAACGAGACCACGTCTCGGCGCCCTAGCATGTCCTCCCTAGGCGACCCTGAGACTGGACGGTCTGTGATTTCTTCTATTTCGGGCACGCCATCCTCCCACGAAAATATGGGTTTCGGGACTGCTGGCACAGCAACCTTGGATGCAGACCCCGCCCAGCTCCTGACGGATCCCTCTCACCGAGCGGGCGCGATCGACGTTGAGATATCGACACCACACGGCACCAACAACTGGCTAACGCACGAGAATGGAAATCCGGACCTAAACTTGTTTCTCGAGCTCGATGGTCACCAGATATCCCACGATTCGGGACTGGGCATGGGTAGTGGTTTGGCGCAACTTTTCACTGATGTGCAAAGCACTGAACCGGTAACCATCCCGCCATTACTAGGAGGCTTTTGCCATCTGTCTACTGGTGAGGAGCCGGCCGTAGGCCAAACATTAAATCAAGTACGAGGTTTCTTTTGGTTTAGGAGTATCAACTGACTAACTATTGTATTTGAGGTTGGCATTCCTCATGCTCCTGTAGACAGGGCCCTGGCAGAATGCATTGCTGCCTTCCAAAAGAGCTGCCTCCCTTACTTTCCGATGTTGCATAGCGAAGCGATTCGACAGGGGAGTCTCCCCTTAGAACTGAAGTACAGCATGGCTGCTCTTGGTGCGAAGTATACCGGGGAGTATCCACGGCTTGCAAAGGTCTACTACTTGTCTGCAGTAGAGTGTTTACAAAAAACAACGACCCTGGTGAGTGGCCGAGTAATATTACGGATGCCCAATAAATTACTAACACATTCTCGTTAGAGCCAACTTCGTATATTGCAGACTAGGGTGCTCTTGATAGAATACGCGGCTTGGCAAACATCGAAACAAAGTCGCCAGTGGGCGATTAGGGAGCAGGCTGTTGCTAAAAGCGTATGTGGGATGTAGGAACCACCTTCAAACCCCCTTCTAATCACATTCCAGGCGATTTTGAATTTGATGAGTCAACCCGGGCAAGATCAAGCGTACAGACGCATAGACAAGGCGATACGCGAGGAGATCTTGCGGTAAGCTGGTCAATCGCGTTCGTTAACTAGATCGGGGTTTCCTAACATCGTTGCAGGACGGCCTTCGTGTTCTATGTGCAGTCAGTCTCATTGGCCATGTGCTTCGGGTGTTCAATACCTTTAAGTTCACAATCCATCAGCTTTGATCTACCATGCGAGGACCGCGTCTGGGATTTGGGGATGAACGGCCTTTTACCAGGACTCTCAACATCCTCAGATAGCCGGGTCCAACTCCGGAGAGTGCTTTTTGGGCTATTTTCCAAGGACATGGTGAATACGTGTAACCTGCTGCAGAATCTGTCAAACTTCAGCAGGGTTATACTAGTATGTGCGGTCTTCGAAACCGTCATCCATGCCAAGTCAAGTCCACTCAGTTACAACTCGTTCGAAGACTACAAGAATGGCAACCTATCAGCTACTAACACAAGAGATCCACTAATTGAGGCCTTGAGGAACTGCCACATGCTGTGGCCGGCCCAGCTCCATGACTACTGGGACGGGTCAGCGTCGTCATACCCTGAGCTTGAGGGCGCAATGCTGTTGCAATTCGCAATCATACAGATTAACAGGCTCACTAATGCCTCCTATAGTGAGAGTTTATATTCCCGGGAAGCAGTTATTGCTGCCACAGAGGTCTTTTGCAGCATCGCTAAGTCCGGGTTTGATGAGGTACGTTGTAACCATACTGAGTATCAATCCACCGGCTGACAAGTCCCAAGGTTCGCGTGCGGGCAAGATTGCTCAGTATTCGCACTTATTGCTGCGCGACAGAATGTGCGAAAGCGATGAGCAGCTGGCTCACCATCGTCATGAACACAGGCCTTCAAAGCGAAATTCACGAGCATGATATGGCCTTGCTGGTCAACATTTGCGAGGCATTATCGTTTTATGATATGGACAATGAAATCATAGCGACATCAAATAGCCATACCTTGACCGCGGATGTCCATGATGCCTTGGTTGACACCTGGTCAGAGTTATTGGGATCTCGGCTGTGGGTTGTATCGAATTGAGAAGTGCTCCTTTAGCAAATTCAGAAAGGTTCTCTGAAAGTGTCTGTTGCCTAGAACAAACCCGGACACTAAACTACGTTGGTTGTCGAAGAGGCGAGTTTATAAATAGGCTTTATAGCTGCGGTGGAAGGGGCATGCTGTTAATACACGAGGAGACCCATGTACAGCTTCTCTTTTTCTAATGGTCACAAAGTGGACGTTAGGAGAGGATAGACGCTTCAAGTTATATATGTTTGCAGCATATACTAGCAACAATGTAAAGCTGAGCCAATGGGCACTATGTTCGATCGCTCAACGGTAACGGGTCCCCCCCCTTTGAAGCCCAGTCTCTCCCCTCACCTCTCCGAAGGAGGGTATGCCCGCTCCCACAAACCTCCGCTTTCTTCAACGATCCATTTCTGGCTGGCGTTTGCATACTCTGGCTGCATTCTGAAGTAGATCTCCTCCAAACTGCACTCCCCAATCTGACCCGTCATATCTGTATCCAAATATAAATTGAACGCTCTCAGGATAGTCGACATGGGAGTGGTGTGCTCTTTGGGCCAAATGCTATTCAGCGGGCCCGGAGCAAGGTTGGTGATAACAAATGCAGGGAGGATGGCATTAATCGTGATATTCTCGGCACGCAGTGGTTGGGCCATTGCCCTTGTCAGCCCAACGAGCTAGAGATGAGGGGGACTCGTCAGCCAGCCCACAGCTCCAGTAGCCCTCAAATCCTCCTATCTTATCGCAATACTTACCGCATGTTTGCATGCCGAATACTGCGGGAGCTGCGCCAGGGCGTACAGGCCTGCGGACGAGCTCGTCACGACAATCTTGCCTCCCTTGACTTCATTCTTGCGAAAGTAGTGTGTCGCCAGTCGGACGCCATAAAACACCGACAACAAATCAACGTTGACTACCGTAAGATCGGGTTTGGACGGCTCGTCGTCGTCGCTCAGTGATGCTGACCCATGCAGCGATTCCTTGTCGTCAATGCCGGCGTTTGCAGCATGGAAGTCAATTCGACCCCACGTCATCCAGGCTTTCTTGAACAGCACTGCGAGTTGCTCCCAGCTGGAGACATCGGTACGCTGGAAGCATACGGCGGAACCGAGCTCAGCAGAAAGTTCCTCACCCCTTTGCGAGTTTATATCACCAATCGCAACGTTCCACCCCTTGGAGACGAGGTCCCGGGTCAGTGCGAGGCCAATTCCGGAGGCGGCGCCGGTAATGACGGCAACTTTAGGTCGCATGACTGAGACTGCAAATGTTTCGGTTTTTGGGAAGAACGAACGGATTCATGGGGTGGGCGGTTCAGGTCCCGCCTTATGGTTTTGGCTCTCCAACGCAGGTTGATCGGTTAGCCATTTTTAGAGAATTAGACCACCGCCTAACTGGCACGGCAAACATCCTTGCGTTATTGACGAGACTGATTTGATGTAATGGTAAATCGTCTAACGCTGCAACTTCGTGTCGGGGCCGAGGCAGAGTGGTGTTTGTTACTGCGGAGGCGGGGGCCTGTACGGTGGAGGCGGGGTCGGTACGGTGGAGGCGGGATCGGCACGGTGGGGGTGGGGTCTGGACTGTGGAGGTGGAGGACGCGAATCTAAATGTGTATTAGTGATATTCTTGGTTCTCACTGCCCGTCTTAGCTGTAGCTATGTCTGTGTATAAGTTCGTTGGTCTTTGTCTCAATATCACCTTGCAAACCTCATTCAACTCTCATATTCTACATTCCGGAGGTTTTACCCGCTTCGTATAGCAACGGCAAACGTTAATCAATCCGCTGAAATGGCTTCAGACCCCACCCTCTATATTCCGACTTTCCCAGTCCACCATAATGGCGTCCCAGGCCGTCTGAGAGAGGATGCCGCTGACAAAAAGAAGAAGTACCTTGGACTGCGCACGATGAAAGCATCCGAGACCCGGGATGAAGATGTTCCGGTGCTTCCGCCAGGTATTTCCCGCGAGGTATTCGACCTTGCTATTGAAGAATTGAAACAGAAGATCGGAGATGCCAACGTTGTGCTCAACGACAAGCCCCTTGATGATGGATGGTACGAGCCAGAGAAATATGGCCTTTGACAATTACGGACAACTAACATTTTTAAGGTACATGGAACACCCAATCACTCATGATGCATTCCCCCTTCTAGAACATGACGATACGGTATCCTCTGCGACTGCATGCCCCGGATCCGCAGAAGAGGTCCAAGCCATTATGATATGGGCGAACAAATACCAATTTCCCGTCTTCCCGATTTCTATTGGCCGGAATATTGGATACGGGGGCGCAGGGCCACGCGTTCGCGGGTCACTAACGATTGATCTGGGTAGACGCATGAACAAGGTTCTTAAACTGGATGAACAGAGCTGTTCCTGCATAGTCGAGCCAGGCGTCACGTATTTTGCCTTATATGAAACCATTCAGAGGGCTGGAGTGAATCTTATGATGGATTGCCCTGATCTTGGGGGTGGCAGCCTGATTGGCAATATTTGTGAAAGAGGAATTGGGTTTGTCGATATCTCTCACTTTCAGCGGTCATACCCATTTACTACCTCGGCCTTTGCTAATGCTACCTCCCCCCAGATACACTCCTCTGGGAGATCACTTCGCCAATCATTGCGGTATGGAGGTTGTCCTCCCCACTGGAGAGATAGTGCGCCTCGGAATGGGTGCTCTTCCCGGCAAGGACGGCAAAGAAAATCCAACATGGGCATCCTACCAGTGGGTTTTCTCCCCAAATACCCATGCTGTGTTGTACTACGCATATTGACGAACCATAGGTACGGCTATGGCCCGTACTCTGACGGAATCTTTACCCATTCGAATTTCGGCATTGTTACGAAGATGGGAATATGGTTGATGCCAAAAACCGAGGTTTTCCCATACGCCTTTAGCTTTAAGAATGACGAGGACTACAGTTCCATCATGGAAATAGTCCAGCCCCTGATCCTCAAGCGCGTCTTTTCGGGTGTGGTGCAGATAGCAGACGGGGCCCACGAAGTTCTCACGGGCCACAACGATGATAGAGCTAAGCTGTGGTCCGGGAAAGGAGCGATGCCGAGAGACATTCTGTATAAGTGGATGGACGAACATTCACCTTTCGGAGCGTGCAGCTGGATTATCTATGGTAATACACCGCATTTACACCCTATCGACGACTAGCATTAATAGAAACGCTAATGGAAAGTAACCAGGCGCGCAATATGGCCCAAAAGAGGCCGTTGACGGTTCCATTGGAATTATCAAGGATTCCCTCCTGAAAATACCAGGGTCAAATTTCCTCACTGGACTTTCTCTTGACCGACATATGACGGCTTTACGGCTTCACCGTCATCGTTCAGTCCTATTGGCTAATAGTTCGGGCTTGTCCAACAGGACTCATCAGTCGCTTTCGGATCAAGTTGCACGAACTTATGGGTGGAATGACCAGGCGTTGATGCGTTTCAACGAGACACTGAAAGATGCCCTTGATCCAAATGGAATCCTCTCGCCGGGGAGATGCGGAATCTGGCCGCGTAAGTATCGCGGCAAAGGATGGGAGATCCTTCCTTTGGAGAACGGGTTGAGGGAGACATCTGTGCCAGATGAGAATAGCGTCGGTGGTCATGTTAGCGGTGGCGTTCATGGTTCGAGGCCCAAGAAACTCTCTTCAACCGACCTTTGAATACAATCAACGCACGATTAAATGGACGAGGTCCACGGGAAATGAAACGTTTGCCCCGTTGTCATCATGTGCATTTGTAACGGTATTGTTTATCTTGATATCGTTCCCGATGTAATATCCTTACTATTATATTTTTCGGTATTTCTCTTCCTCACTCCTTCAGAACCGCCCACAGGGTTCAGCGAATTGATTGCGTAGTCCGCAGGTGCGGCACGGTATCACCATCACGACTACTCAACCGTCCAGAACCGGTATTTTGCATCGTCGAGGATTGGCGGGTGAGAAGCGCAGGATGAGAGGTGGTACCCGATCTAAGACAATATAGAGAGGCCGCCTCGCGTTCCAGGGGTTTGGAAAATGAAATGGTATCGAGGAACTGTCTATCGGATCGAGAACCTGGGCGTTAGAGCACGGGATAACGTTCGGGTGATTCTGAATAGGTGGGTTTTTATAACCTATTGAACTTTTAGTCTTTTAACCTTACCTCGTTATTCTAGCTTCGGCTAGCTCAAAATTACCTAGCACTACTACAAATCATACTAACTCGTGGCAGGGATCGGGGCTCGGAAATCTTGCCCGGGTTACAAGTTCTTGGAGAATCGCAGAGGGGGTTATGATCAACTATGATTCCAAGAACGGAAGACGACCCAAGGATCACGGGAGTCTAATAATGCGTGTTCAAGGCGGAGTATATCTACAAGCCTCTTCATCGCTATCTTCGACCCATCATATTCCCTCAGTCTTCATCTATCCCTTAGGAACTCGAAACAGATCTCATTCTTTTGCAACGCGGGTCTTGGTCGTCAGCCCTTGTGGCCCCCATCGACGTTAGCTTTTACAGAACACAGATCAACCTAATCTTAATTCTATACCTTATTTCCTTTTTAGCCCCAACCCTCCCTAAAGAGCCCTTTCCATTTGTACCATTTATGACTCCATTGAGCCAGAAAGTTTCTCGTGCGACCAGAGACTTTTCCCATCCGCCAAACAGATCACTTTCCCCTATTACTCCCCTACTTAATTTCCTACTCCCCTTAATACATTTCTATTCTATGCCCCCTCCACTATATACTATCACTCTTTGCCAAATCTATAAGGTAGAAGTGTGGATCCATTCCCGACTCTGGGATAAAACGGGAGCCAGTCTCTTACTGCACCTCCTGAGAGCTTCTCTCCCCTCAATGACCTGCTACACTGGAGCCTTCAAAATGCAGAGAATGGTAAAGATACCTCTGACTGCCAAAATCCTGCTGCCCCTGTGGCCCTACTCTAGAGACCTACTTATAGATGCTCCTTCCCAGGCTGTCACTATGTATTAGGTATTATTATATGACTTAAACTAATAAACTCCAAGTTCGCTGCCCTCGCTGCGCATTAGTGAATCCCGAGCTCTCTTTAACTCTTAAGGTAGAGATTAGCTAATATGGGCGATAGTGCTTACTACAAGTTGGATCCTAATGGAGACGTTATTTTTATTTGTAAAATCCGAACGCGTCGTTTCCAGTCTGGTCCGAAGAAGACAATTTCGATTTCTTACGCTCCAGCACTCCTTCCCTTCCTCTTTCCTACCAGTAGCTCGCACAGTCCCACCAGTGGCTCCATTGGTATCTTCCTCTGGGCAGACTCTGCTGATCTGTTATCCTATATAAATTCTTATGCGATTTCAGGCTCAAATCTTCCGTGGATCCGTGGTTGACCTCAGCATCACTGTCAACGACGAGGTGTTGGACTACTCTATGTCGTTTTGGACTTAGAATAAAGAAGCTAGGCGGTCCCAGTTCTTGTCCTGGTCGGCGAGGACTTCATCTTTAATTTACGGGCTACATAAACTAACTATAACCGCTCCCGATCAGTCGCGTAGCTGAATGAGCCCACGCCTGCCCACCATGCCTTGTCGCTGCTGCGCGGACCCCAGGCCCAGCCCGCACCCTCGCTGAGGGGCTGGTGGTAGAAACGGAAGGCGACGTACGCTGTGATGGCGCCGATGGAGAACCCGAACAGGATGTCGAACCCATGGTGCCGGAAGTCGAACCAACGCGAGGACGCAATGAAAATCGTTGCTAAGAACGGTGCGAGAGCGAAGACAAGGAGGTAGACTGGCGGCGCGGCCGCTCGTCGCCGGACTGCGGACAAACTTGCCTGATGTTGCGCGTGGGAGTCAACACCCTCATGGTGATGCAGAGCCATGCGGGACGGGAAGGCGGAGAAGGACGACTCAGTATATCCCGACGGGGCGAGGGTTGGAAACGCGATAGCGAATTTGCTCGCGATGAATAGGGAGAGGTAGATCAACCCCGCTGCGGACGACGACGCATGGCCGCTCGGGAAGCTACGGAAGCCATCTCGTAAGATGTCATCGTTGGTGCTTCTACAGATAGCCGCGGAGACGAGCTGGCCGTTGCTCGAGACGTTGGCGATGCCGCCCACAACATACTGTGCAGTATTGGCAGTGTCTGGCTGGCAGCGGGAGAGCAGGTCTGGGCGCGGCTTCCCGAGGAGGTTCTTTATGCTACTGGTGATGAACCATGCCGATGACCGTGAGAGTGCCAAGCCTAGCCAACCTATGTGTAGCTCCCAGAGCTTGCGCTTCCAGATCAGGGACTGCGGTATACCACCGGGAACGGCGGTACCTGGGATGAATACTAGTGCAATGATGAGGATGACAACGATTGGTGCAAGGGTGCTTGCAATGATGAGGATATAATTGGGAACGGTCTCATGGGGAGTATAGGGGAATCTGCAAGGAGTTAGCATTCGAATCATAGCCTAGAAAGGATTTTAGGATTTCTGGAGTTGAAGCCTACGAGATATCCTGATTTTCAAGGGAGAATGGTCGCTTGGAAGGGTCGATATTCCCTATTATAAACCCCGCGACACCAACCACGAGAATTACAATCCAGTCGAAGATATATGACGAGATAAGAGGGAAAGAAACATTCCCTTGTAAGGGCTGTCCTCGAAACGGCGAAGAGTGATCCCGATAGGCCTGCATTCTGGCGAATGTTTCGACATAGAAAAAAAAAAAAAATAGGAATGTAAGATTGAAAATGGCTTTTGAGTTTGTTTGTGGAGCAAAGGCAAAAGTGTCAACCCCCCCAACCCAAAAGACGCGCGTCCATTATCAACTATGGCGTAAGTTCCGCTACTTGTTATTTGAGGCCCCTTCCTCTATTCATCATGGCACCTTAGCTTGGGAACACGTCGGGCTAGCATTTGCAGTCCGCGCCATGGCCGGTGTCGTCTGTACCGAATCGTGAGCCGTGGGAGCTACGTGCGCCTCGACCCAGTGTTTGCCAGTATAGCAAAGGCGCTTAGTAGCATCTCTATCGTGACGAGTTCCATCGCTCTGAGTCGTGTGCCTGTGTGGTGCATGGTACAATACACTCGAGCCTCCTGCGTCGTCGCCATAGTCTCGAAACAGTTTTACGATGCCGAAATTTCCGAAGCGTGCGTTACTGTACTCTCTGAGATCTCACATTTATTCCGTCTTTTTAGAGGGTGCGGCGCGCGAGTAGGTCAATTTCGGTCAGAAGCAATACCTGCTCAGGCCTTTCATCGCGTCACTTACACTACCTGCTATAGATGGGCGAGTTGAGCCACTTCGCAGACTATTTGAAACAGTAACGTCAAAAGATGCATCCATGCCCCTGATGTGACAAAGGTGGCTAACGTGCCCCAACTGCGGTCGGCCCGTGACAGCCCGCGTCTCGCGCCCTCGAAGTGATTGTCTTGATCGATCTACTGTTGTTACCTCTAAGATTTCTTGTTGGCTTATTAGGCCGTTGAAAGAGGTGGAAGGATAATTCTGGCCGAGCGGCAGCGGTATCTAAATATTTCGCGTGAGTTTAATTATCGGTAGAATATGTTTAGTTACTCGTTCAAAGCAGGTATCCTGGCCTCGTTTCATTTCCCGCCTTTGTTATGCTTGTCGTTGCCATCCTTGGCCAAGTAATGCCTAATAACAGATATATTTGTGAAGAAGTCTCTGCACAATTAGCTTTCTTCTCCATAATAGAATAAGCGACTCCCTTCACATTATTAGACGCTCCGATGAGTGATAAGAATGCCTTAGGCACGCATTACTTCAATAATCGTAACTCGTAAACATATCCCAATCTTGATTAAGATCCAAGAAGAAATCAGACCAGGAGCCAACCATATCATTCTCTACCGCCTCATTGAAATTCAGACTGGCTGCTGACAATATATTGGGCACATCGTAGCCAGCGTATTCAAAGGAGGCGGCGGTACTCCTTAGGCCGGCAGTTGATTCCTCCGTAGGTTCTATTGATGTCTGATTTGGAGTGGTTTGCAGCACCGGTCCAAGAGATATGTTGTGGGAACGGCTCTCATCCACAGCGGGCGTATTGGTGGGACCATCCGCCCTCCTAGTGATCCGCCCGAAATATGGAATAAAAATATCCTTCAACTGACACCCATCAGACTGAGGGTATTGGGAATGCAAGAGCGCCTTGAGCGTTTGGCAGCATTGAGCCGCCATGTTACACCCGCTAGATTGAACCTCCCGCTTGAAACTTGCGTTTGTGGCGGAGATTAGATTCCAATCACTGTCGTACCTTAAGGGGTCAGTGAGAGCGCCATTACCAAAGAGACAAAGCGCCAGGATCACCGCTGCCGTTAGCCCCACAAAGTCGCTTGTCTTGCACTCGAACAGGGGAGCCCCGGGAGCAATCTCCGTCCGTAGGAGGAGGAACCGCTCAAGCATCGCACGGGCTGAAGTCATGGCGATGCCCTGGGACACAGCGCTCTTGTTTGAAGATGGCCCAGATGACGCGATGAAGGGGAGGTGGAGATAGCTTCTGACATGAAAGTAGTAGAATTGTTGGAGAATCCGTTCTCTTAAGCTATCGAGTTCGCTCGGCGACTGAGGTAGGGTGGAGGGTATGCGCCACCACTCCTCGGGAAGAGAAGACGCAATCTCCTCCATCTCCTCGTCAATCATGAGGCTCTGGGCGAAGGATTTCTCTCTCGGGACAATATTACGCTGTATAATCTTCCCAGCGAGCATCGCACAGCGAAGCGTGAAATAATGTTCTGCCGGCATCGAATTTTCAGCCGAACCGCCTAACAGTGCTTCATAGTAGGTATCACTGAAGCCATGCGGAAGCCCAAGGAGTAGACTGGTAAAGCGGTCGCCATGGTATATGCTCCACCAGACCCTCTGGATGGTCTCATCGTTATTTTCGTAATAGTACCCCTAGGTGGCGATGGTTTCGTCAGCACTAAAGTGGGGAGGAGAAAGACGACAGAGATATTTACCAAAAGCTGGGCCACCGTCAACCCCCGCCGCCAAGTAAGCCAAGCGCGGCGCGGCTGGCCAATGTCGGTATAAGACTTCGCCAGCAGGACCAAGCACTCCATGCCTTCCACCGTAGCGAAGTAGGCGAAGTTGGAAATTACCAACCTTTCTACTAAGGCATAGAGATCCCCGCCATTGTTAAGGCATCGCGCGTAGGCTACTACGAGGAGGCCTATCTCCGCGGGCTTTTGGCTCGTGTAGTTCTTGGTCGCAAATGAGATTAGGTCTTCTACTGGCGAGCGACTGATAGCACGTGTCTTTTGACGGAAGCTATTCCACCAGAATCCCTTGATTCTGAACGTAGTCAATAGTGCATCAAAGTCCGGGAGAGTCCGACGGAGCCTTTCGCAGACTGCTCTGGGACTGGCATCCTCATTATTGATGAGAGGAGAGGTGGTCGGTTCATGTTGTGTCGTCGTGGATGTGGAAGGGGTCTGGATCTGCGAAAGTCCCCCGGAGCGTCCATCCTCGCGACTCGGTGCTGGTAGTAGTGACTAATCTCAAGTGTTAAGAGAGGACATCTTAGAAAGGCGGCTGAAACTGTACCGGAGATGCGTTTAATGCGGACACCAGTGGTATTTTGAATTCTGTCCCTCCTACAGTTTGAACATCTGTAGAAAGTTCACTAATCCGCATTAGCCGGGTCGGTTTCAATTCATATTCACTAACTAGTCTCCGGTTATCCCACAGTCTAGACTTACATCAAATGTGGCTCCGAAGCCGAGAAGTGGCTTTCCTCCGTGTTGGACGCGGAGTTCGTTGAAGAGCTCGCCCGCGGACCAACGCCAACGGCGGGCAGATCTCGTTGGTCAATGCAGGGCGAACCACGACCCAAACAGGGCGTACAGATAGACTCCGATTCAGCAAAAATGCACCGTATCTTTCGCCGCCTACCTGTTCATTCGAGGATACGTCAACGGGTTTGCCCTGAATGAATGGGGGAGCCTTCCCCAGTCCACACCATCAGCTGCACTCAAGTGGAGAAGCTCACATTCGGCACAACTCCGAGTTCCTTTTCTCATCTTCCTGCGTGCGTGCAACATCTTTGATTGTCCTGGCGTTTTCGGAATGGCGCATTACAGGGAGACGGACGAGGGGGTAAATTGTCTCGCTTGAGACAGATGAGAGGTGGTGAGACGGACCATGGGCAGGCATTCGTCCGGCACCTGGACTGATTCGTCCGCGTCACGTGACGTCAACCGCTAGTGTTGGTCCGTCGCTCGGCCGAACACTCCATTGATGATTCACGGAAGGCTCAATCGACCTCAAGATCAAGATTAGAAGCAACTGAGATGATGCAGATTTTTGCAAGGTGGAAGGAAGTATAAAGCCAAAACGATTTTCGCCATGGATTGCAACTTCCAATCTCCACATCTGCAGATCATTCATCCACCAGAAGCAATATTTTCAATATCGAACTTTTAACAACCATGGCCCCTCTTATCTGGCTCATTACTGGCAGCACCTCGGGGATTGGTGCGGCTCTTGTTGACCACATCGTCTCCCGTGGAGACAAAGTCATCGCTTCAGGGCGTCGAGTAGAAGAACGCATCGGCAATCTCAAATCTGAGAACGTTGCCCTTCTAGAGTTGGACATTACCGCCGACAGCTCAACGATAAAGGCCCAGATCGGGAGAGCCTGGGAAACCTTTGGGCACATCGATGTCGTGGTGAATAACGCCGGGATGTCCTCTATGAAGAGTGCCGAGGAGGCTGAGTAAGGAGCCATCTTCTCTTGTACACCATCCACTCTTCACCAGCGCTAACTAACAACCACTAGTGATGAATACGTCAACAACATGTTCCAAGTCAACCTGTTTGGACACATGCGCGTGACCCGCGCCGTCCTCCCCCTCCTCCGATCTCAAGGCCACGGATGCATCGCGTTTACATCCTCAAGCACAGCGTGGACTTCTCAGCCGTTCCTCTCCCACTACGCAGCGTCCAAGGCCGCCTTGAGTGCATATGTCGAAGCCTTGCACAAGGAAATCCGACCATTGAATCTCCGCTGTGTCGCGTTCGAATGCGGAGGGTTCCCGACTCATCTCGGCCAGCCACGCAGTGAGGGAGAGGCAGGATTCGGGAATAACGGGCCATCCATCCAGGGCTATGAGCCTCTGTTCAACAATTTGGTCGGACATTACGTTGCAAATCCCATGGCGCACATGCCTGGCGATTTGGCAAAAGCATCGGCGAGAATGGTGGACATTATCAAAAGAGAGGGTGTAGCGGCCGGCCGATCGTGGGCGGTGCGGGTTGCCCTAGGGTCCGATGGAATGGGCTCCGCACGTCAGAAGTGCGAGGAAATGCTGAAGCTGCTCGATCAATGGGAGGATGTTTCGGTGAGCACTGATAGAGACGGCCAAGAGGCGGTGGCGACCAAGGAAATGTTTGAGTTTACGACGATTATCGAGAAGTAGGGGAGGGAAGGAACTCGATATTTCTTATTACTACTACATTTTTTCTCTTCTCTCGGCTCTCTTTTGATATTTCGGTTGCTATCGCCTTAGTTATTCTTTCATTTGTATTTTCATAATTTTCGACCTTTCTTATTCATGCGATGGCTTGGCTTGCCCACGATGCTGGCTTCCCCTCTGTCAGATTGAAACGCGCTCATAATTGCAGATGCGATTTCATCAACTTAATTTTTAAATTACCGCTTATTTTAGCTCAAGAGTTTGATTGATTCGCCATTGTGTAGACGGGTACTCCTTCCGTTGCTCTCTGACCGAGCCGGAGCCGAGCCGCAACCCACGTGCGGTGTCGGTTCCGAAGCTTGGATTGGAGTGATCATAAGAAGCATTTCCGGGTGCAGCTGGGATTTGCTCTTCCCTATTTGTAATCCTCAATCTTCTCTGCTCAAATCTGGAGAGTGTGCCGAGCCACAGCCTGGCTTTAATTCCGTGAGGCGCCTCGTGATCAAGTCAACGACCTGCAGTTCTTGAGCAATATCGGAAATGTTTACCGATCCGAGTTACGAAAGTTCCCCCCGATGCGCCCGAGAAATGTCAAGTTCGAGCGGCAGATCCAATGATTTGATGTGACCGTGGCGCCTCAAACAGCCGCTCGCACAGCAGTCCGTTTAGAGTTTAGGCTGCCGCATGCAGTTCCAGGGCCGTCACGATAACAAGCCTGCAGGACAGTTAGACTTAAATTTAGTGGCTGTGCGGGGCTGGAATATTGATTGATGCTGTCGATCCTTCCATTTCCTTCTTTAAGACGCTATGTAGACCAGGGGCATACCAGCTTTCCAAGCCATCGTCTCTTGAAGCGGGGATTTCTGGAAGATTGTCCACCCGATGTCAACATTAGCGGGCATGCGACTCGTGGGAAGAGAAGCCTCAGGGGCTGAGTTATTTTAAGTAACAAAAACGGACGGACCCGAACCCGAAGAAAGTGTGGGTGACCCGGCCTTGACCGCTTCAAGAATCACAAAATTGAAGTCCTATCACCTCAGCCGCACATTAGGTCCCGCTGTTGCTGTACCTCTCATCTAGTTCCCACCCATGCTCCGCCACCAAGATACCCGAGACCATTATCCTACCTAATCGTAAATGCATCCATAGTAGTCCTTGATTCAATACTTGAGCAGGCTACAAATATCGGCCTGCTCCATTCCACAAGTCCGCGATGGCTTCTCTAGCCCGCATCATTCTTTTCTCGCCTTTCGCTTTAGCCGTCTAATGGTTTTAATTTCTCATAAGATCAAACCAAGGTCTTCCTCTTCTCCTTTTTTTTTTCACTCAGTCCAATAATAACCCCAAAGTCCTCATTTCATCATCAGCCCTTACACAATGGAGTGGCTCCAACCCGCCCCGCAGCCCATCGGCCTCTTCGACACATTTACGGCCCGCCAAACTGAAGTCCTAGTCATTGATGAAAAGCTTCTCTCCCTCTCCGGCGATAGCTTCGACATCCGTCTCGCCAATGGCATGCCCTTGCTGAAAGTCAAGGGGAGCGTGCTGTCTCTCAGCGGTCGCAAGGACGTGACCGACATGCTGGGAAACCACATGTTCACCATCTCGAAGAAAATCCTTAGTCTTCATGCGACTTTTGCTGTCACAAATGGCACGGGGCAGTTGATTATGGAGGTGAAGAATAGCTTAGTTCAACGTAGGACTATCCTCTTTCGGAATACGTGCCTGCTCTGTTCCACTAACCACCCCTTTTGCACCAATACAGTCATCGGCTCGAAAGCGACCATCACGTTCACTTCGCGAACAGGAAAGTACGAGACCCTCGTCATGAGGGGAAATTGGCGGTCCTCCAAGGCCGACATCGTCGACGAGGCCACAGGACTCGTGGTCGCCCGGATCAAGCGTGACCGAACCGCCAAGCACTACCTGATGGGAGCCCAGACTTACACTGTCACCATTGCTCCTGGCGTTGACATGGCGCTCGTGGCAGCCATGTGTATTTGCCTGGATGAGAAAAATGAATAGGATCGCGAAAGCAATCAAAGGTAGTCGGCGTCTTTTGTTTAGGTTATGGGTGTCATTGTTTGAGGAGCTTGGGAGGAGTGTTTCTAAATGGCGATACTGGAGTCTTAGACATGTATATACCATTTTCACTACGAGTTAATATGATACGAAATGAATCTATGAAAGGTCAAAACTCTCAATTCACACAGGAAGAATCCCTGTCTGGTCATACAATGTTAACGCGATTGGATGGTGTTGCATAATAACTAGTAAGGCAGACTGATTCAGATTCTCCACCGCCGGGCTGCCAGTATTGATGCAAGCGTGATCGCATTGAGCCAAGTGTAACCGCAAAGGGTCGTTGAATCTGCGAACAGCTTGGACAACCCCAATGCTTGAACCACGCTAGTATCGGTGCTGTTTTGGTTTAATCGAGTTTCACCAGTGATTAGGAAATCTTTCAGAGAGGACTAATAGGACTTTGTCGCTGGGTGTGGCTGGCGTCCAGCCGCACACAGGCCTCAGAAACTGAGTCAAGGAGCTAGAGAGCCGGTCCGAACCGTGACACGACCTGCATGCTCCGCCACTTCAAAGGCAACGAAATATGAAGAGCGGCTGGAGAGGACCTCAGGAATCAAGATCGTGGCGTCGTCTTGGGCAATGGCATCATAACGTACAAGTGGAATCAATTTCTTCGTTACGTCAGATGTTCTCGAAATTAATCAATGCTCATTCAATCTCTTCCGTTAATGTTCGTACTATCCGAGAATGCTGCCTTACTAAAATCTAATAATCCCGCATGATTCCCAAGTTCCATCCCCAAAAGAGAAAACGGAGGTACGCTCAGCACTTGAACACAGCAGGACCAGGGTTCTGGTACGACGTCGGCACGGGGTAGTTAATGTTGATCTGGATGCCCGGGTCTGAAGCCTTGTATGCACCAGGGAAGGCGACTTTGTTGGGCGGGTCAGTGCTGCCTCCGCCGGTGATGGTGAGTTGGGCGCACGAAATGTAGAACTGGGCACCGCCGGGGGATTGGGCGGCGTGGAGGCCGATGTGCTCGGCACGAAGGAGATAGTCTCCCGGAGCGATGCAAGCGGGGATCGTGACGGGGAAGTTAGACTTGCCTGCATTGGGAGATTAGTAAACGAGATGAGATCAAATGGCCTCGGCGCGCCTGTTAAAGATGCATGTCATACCGTTGCTCGGCCACGTCAACTGTCCACCAAAGTTGGGTTGCTCGTGGTAGATCTTGAACCATACATCGCCGGCACCATCAAAGGTATCGATAGTCTGGCCCTCAGGTACCTTGGCGAGGTAGAAAGCCATGGGGCCAGGGTGGTAGACGTTAGGGAGGGCGTTGTAGGTGATTTGGGAGCCGGCGGCGACAGTGAAGGTCGCCTTTGAAGGCTCTTCACGGGACTGGAAGCAGCGCATCTGCTCGGAGGTGACACTGCCTACGAAACCATTGCTTTGCCAGTTGTCTGCTCTGCGGACGTATTGCCAGTCGCCCGTGGACTGGATCGAGGGAAAGGTGTCTGGTTGATTTAGTTTCTGTTAGTAACTGGCGCTTTGAGCAGAGCAAGAAATCATCAATCTGAAAAATCGTCCGGGGCGAGGTCGATTGATTCGCGAGAATCCATATCTAGCTATGATGATCGGGCAAATTGCGAGACGTACAGTGGGCGCTGACCCCGAGAACCAGCGTCAGGGTGGTGAGAATCTGGGTGAGCATCGTGACTGAGTTCTCTAATCGATAGTCTCGTACAGATGCTGGCCTTCGATGAACCACTCTCCGCCGTCCTTATCGATGGATGCGTCAAACTTCAAAGGCAAATGTTGAAAAAATCTCGAGATGGCCAGGTTAGCAGAATTTTTGCAATCTTTTGATCCCTCTTCCACGGAATCCCCCTATCTTTATATTAAGCCACTATCCTGCCCCAAACAGGTTCTCTTTACTCGTCATCATCCCCGGAATCACGGCTCACGACGCTCTGTTCCCAATTAACAAGCCGCCATAAATGAGACCCGCCCACGGTAATGAGCGCGTTGAACCAAGCCGGGCCAAGGCCCTCCCATCTCTCGAAATGTGCTCACAGTGACCTACCAGGCTCCGGCTAAAAGGGCGCGGGGAGCCAGTCGGGTGCTGGCATGGATATGGGCTCCAATCTATACATTGATTGCGGGACCCACGAGATCCCGCTCACGTGTGGCCGGTTTTGCTTGGGGCCGGGATTTTTTCTCTGGTAATTGTGGCTCTTAATGCCGGGGGCGTGCATGAGATAATGTTATGGACGGTGGTGTTTTGTGGGAGGTGGGAAGGGATGGCTGATTTTTTGAAGGGCTTGGCCTATGCTTGGTATCGGATTAAGGAGTGCCTTGTTTTCTGCGGATCTGACTGACTTGGGCGTTGAGATTTGGGTTGAAAGAAACGGCAGCTTGCCAATTTCTGCGCATCAATGAATGAAGTTTGGACAAGGTGAATGGGTTTGGAATCTTGGATCCCAGGTCGTGATTCGTGAAGGGTGCACCATTAGCAAATTAATGTTGACAAAAATCAATTCTGAATGCTTCTAGCTCCATGAGGATTGCAGTTTGGAACCTCGGCGGCCTTGCGGGCCTGTTCATTGGATTTCAAGTGAAGAGCAATAAATTGAATCTTGCGAAATGTAACTTCTATGGCATGCAGATCTAGAACGCAACCTTTAAATGCACCATCCCCAACTCCCCTATACTGTCCCATCACGTATTGCTCCTTCCCAACACTCTCCTCCACCTACTGACCGTCCGCCTCTTCTTCTTCTTCTTTCTCCACTTAAACTTAGCCAAGAAAGACCTAAACCTCCTCTTCTTCTCCGGCGGCTTATGGAACAATGGCAGCAAGGGCGTCGTCTCATCCGGCGTAGAATCCTTCTTCGCCTTCTTCTTCTGCTTCTTCAGGAGTTTCTTCTTCCTCTTGGCCGATAATCTCCTTCGTGGACCCATACACATGGCAAAAATAGAAAGAAACAAGAGGTAGGTCTGGACTAAGCTCCACAGGATACTGTTGAAGACTGCCCACCCGCCCGAATTGTACCAAGCAATAAGCCGGCAATGCGGGTCTTCAGACGCGTCTTCGGTCGGATGTAAGCGTTTACCCCAGGATGATGCAAGCGCGGCGAATACGGCGACTTGGATTGCTAGGCTCTCGATGCTCAGGGCACCGCGGGAACGGAGCCAAAGCGTCATGTGCGACTGGGCAAAGAACGAGAGTAGAATTGCGGCGGTGGCACATGGGTTGAGGACCATGAAGTGCCAGTCGAGGAACGCCGAGGTTAATTGTGCTTGCTTGATGGGATCGCGGTAAAAGTCTCGACAGAAGATTTGAAAGATGAATGCGCCCAGGGATACCGAAAACCAGGTAAGATAGACGAGGATGGCGGATGCTTTGGCCATGGCAGAGGATCCGGGGTAGCGCACAGAAAGGAATAGTCTACCTCTTGAATATTAGTTTACGACTTCACATCCACGACATATCTACACTCATTAAGAAGGGAACATAGGAAGCTCACAATCCGGATGTGCCGAACCATATGGTACCCATCTGCGCTAAATCTAGCCACCCCTGAACCGACGACAAACTATTTGCGCCGTCTCCTGGGAAATCATAATCATCCGGTATTTTCATCACCGAGAGCACCAAGAGCAACGCGAACTGCTCTGTGGAGGCGATGGTCGTAAAGACCAGATGCCATATCGAGATCCCTGTCGCATCATCTCGTCTGCGTATCCTTCGATATTGTGGTACGTAGGATGCTATCGAGGCGACTAATAGTAGTCTACTCGAAGTCAGTATTCGCCCTGCAGCGACGATGACAAGAGCTGGACTAATCACTAACGTGCTCATCTGAGCGACATGGCGCTCGGGGTTGACGGACCCGTCCATGACAGCAAATCCATGAGCTTCAAGGAAATGCCTTCGATAAAAATTCAGCTTAATTTTCTACACAACTACACCCTGATCGTAGGTTTTCAACTCTAATATATCCATTCTTGAAGCTGCACATGTGTGGTGCTCGCCTTAAAACACGGGGTCAGGCGGGCTCATCTTCCCTCACGTTCTCGTGATGCGCCACTAGATGTTGACTGAGCCTTGGAGGCCATAGAATTCAGAACGCCAACCTCCACATGTGACGGACAATAAAGGCATGATGCAGTCGCAAGGAAGAACCATTAGGTTTCTTTGCCTGTCATTTGCACCGTCAAAATAATTTCACCTACCATTCCCGAGCCCTCACAGTCAAGCGAACAAGACATCAAATATGATAACTACCTTCCACATCGTTGAAAAGTGAAGTCTAAAAACACAAATGCGGCTGCTGCTCGTGACTGCAAGGACCTGACCAAAACTCACCAAGAATCACGTGATAAAGTCTCTGTCAGAGCCAGCTTACCAAAGCCGCAAGCTTGACTTTAGCCCCTCCCCCACCAACCTTCGATGTTGTGGGAACAAACGTTGTTGACCAGGAAAGGAATTTCCTGGTGGAACTAGGAAAAACGGTGCCCTACTTGGTGTGAGGTTCGGCAGCTCAGGCCAGCTGGCGGCAGCCAGCCGGGCCGCCAACAGATGTTTCCACGCAGACAATTTTCAGCGTTGGAGGGCAAAAAACCTGCTGCCACCGCCCTCCCGCCCTTCACCGCCTAAATTTTTGCCTCGACCTCCACGATCCATACTTCACCTCCCAAGTCCGGCGACACGACAACTCCCTCCCAAACCGGAACCTTCAAAATAGCCATGGCGAAAGCACAGCGCTCGAAGCGCAACTCGTCTGCCGCTTCGCCCTACCAGAAACCCGCGGCGACCCGGGCGCCCATCTTCAAATTCAACACCAACATCGGCCAGCACATTCTTAAGAACGCCGCCATCGCAGATGCCATCGTCGCCAAGGCAAACATACAACCCGTCGAGACGGTCCTCGAAATCGGTCCCGGTACCGGCGTTCTGACGACGAGGATATTAGATCATGCCAAGAGCGTGATTGCTGTAGAACTTGACCCCAGGATGGCTGCCGAGCTGTCTTGTGTGGTGCAGGGGACGCCGAAGCAACAAAAGTTGCAGATCGTGCTCGGCGACTTTATCAAGCTTGAGTCGTCTGAGTTGAAGCCGTTCGATGTCTGTATCAGTAATACGCCCTATCAGGTACGGACAGACTCCCTCTTAATACCCCTCTACGTCGGGTATTACTAGGAATCCTATAATTCTTACTAACTTCTACTTTCCTCCCAGATTTCCTCGCCGCTCGTGTTCAAACTCCTCTCCATGCCTAAGCCCCCTCGAGTCAGCATTCTTATGGTTCAGCGAGAATTCGCCCTTCGATTGATTGCTCGCCCCGGCGACTCCCTCTACTCCCGACTCTCCGTCAACGCCCAATTCTTCTCCAAGGTTTCGCACGTCATGAAAGTCAGCAAGAAGAATTTCACTCCTCCTCCACAAGTCGAGTCTAGCGTCGTTAGGATAGAGCCGAGGACGGACCGTCCTAACATCAGCTGGGACGAGTGGGACGGCATGTTGCGCGTCTGCTTCATGAGGAAGAACAAGACGTTGAGGGCGACGTGGACTGGTAACAAGGTGAAGGCCATGGTGGAGCAAAACTGGATCACGTGGGCGTGCATCAATACGGAGCAAATTCCCGAGCGGGATTGGAAGATTTTGAGAGGAGAGGAGACGGCGGACGATCAGGCAATGGACGACGCGGCGGATGAGGATGATGAGATGGGGGAGGCCAGTGGTGATGAGGACATGATGGATGAAGATGGCCCTAGCAAGAAGCTCGCCAAGGTTAACACTAGCAAGGGCGGGAACATCACCTTGGGTCTTACCCAAATCCCCCGGGCTCTGGTTTCCCAACTGATTTCTATAAAGATCCGTCGTGTGCTCGAGTCGACGAAGCTGGGCGGTCAGCGTGCTGCCAAGTGCGATGAAACTGACTTTTTGCATCTCTTGAGCGCGTTCAACGACGAAGGGTTGCACTTTGCTTAGTGTCAGGAACAGTGTGATCTTCTGGCAAGTCTTGGCGTGAAGGGATTTTGGGTTAGGCCTTGGAGTTTTGGCGTTTGCATGGTGGGAGAAAAATAAAAGTGTGTGCATAATGATGAGTTAATGAAGAATATAGCCGTTGTCCTACAATCTTGAAGATATCCTCTACCTGTAGTGTGTTTCGGACTCGAAGCAACTTTGTTCGAGGATATCCGGACTACAGTACAGCATTTTGTACGCGGTTTTCGAGCAGACTAGCATGTCGGGTAGGTATTAGAAAATTAGAAACCAAGTGGATATGCAACGTCTGTCGCAACATCAAGGGACGGGTGAAATCACATGACACATGCGCTGACCTACAGAGGACAGGCTCCTGGTCGCAGCTTGTAGTTTAACTGCTCAGCGAGCAAGATATCCCGCCACAATACAACTCTACGGTTTTATACGGACCCGTGGGTAGCCATGTTCAATACCATGTAAATCACACGGGAACGAACACGCAGAATTGTCGTATTGATCCATCGCCCTGTCTCCAGCATTCTACATTTCCTCCGATGTCTCCACACTTTCCATCCCATAGATCATCCATACCTGCTATTTCCCTTTTCTCCTCCCGTTAATATGGATACAGATGACCGTTCGTCGCTTTTCCATATCCGCTCCACGTCGACGTTGGTCGCCCCCTCCAGAGCCGGGCAAGCCATCGGTACCATATAGGATACGGTTTTCGTTCGCGGCCCGTCCTGTAAGACCACCGCCTCCCTTTCTTGGACGGCACGCTGGAGTTCCTACGGGGGACTTCTCCAAGTTCATTGGCGCGTTTCGGTTACTGGGTGACGACTACCTGAAAACGACGCTGGTCGATTTTTGTTACCGGGCCGCGGAAAATCCTTTGCCCTGTGAGTCGGCGGGAAGGCTAGCTAATTTCCAGGTAACTGGGGAACTTACTGTAGGGGACGGTACTGGAAGAGGGCGCGGGTCGCAGGTGGTGGTTTGCACGCGACGAGATTTCATGGACGGGGAACCTCTGGTGGCCAAAGTATATGATCCACTTTATTACCCTTTCGAGGACGAGGACTTCCGCGGCTTTCCCAACGACGTCGTCGCAAGGGCCGAGCATGACTTTGCTCTCGAATCCGCTGCATATGCTCAGCTCGATAAAAGACTCAGGGGTAGTCTTGTTCCTAAATTCCACGGCTCTTGGATCATCGACATCCCCCTTAGAGACACGTTTAGGCCTGTTGGGTTTGTGCTCTTAGAACAAGTCAACGGCGTGCCATTGGACGCCTTGATCCGGCATCTTACACCCCAGAAGAGCGTCTTCGCGTACTCTCCCTCTGCCTTGAAGCAGATGTGGAGTTATTTTTCTACGGCGTCTCACACCAAGACATGGCGCCACGCAACATCATCTGCTCAACGCCGGACTTTAAAGCACCAGATTTTTCCATTCGAGTCATCGACTTCAATGCCGCTTCCGTGCTGCCCATTTTGGGGAAGAGGGCGCCGTGTGAGTACGAGCAGCTACCACGATCACCGCTGGATAGATATCGACGATCCTGGCCAGTTGATTTGACTGAGTGGATTCCCGAGGGGTGGGGGGAACGGGAGTGGAAGATGTGGTTGCAAGACACATGGGGAGGGACATCGAGATATCGGCCGGTGAGGGAAAATCTAGATTAACTCGTGGAGTTATGCACAATACGGTCTGAAAAGCTAAATAAATACTCATAAGAAATCTCACACGACCAATTTCCAGCTTGTCTATCATTCTCGGCGGGTAGTTCAATCGGGATACAGCATCGATCGCTGTTTCCCGTCCTCACCCACGAATCTTAGTGGGCCATGCGTTGTGGTAGGAGCACTTGTGAATCAGGTGGCAATGGCCATTGCAATACCAGTATTGATCTCACATTGCCTTGCCGAATAGTTGCACATGCCATCTTGGTTAAACTAGCTAGTAACGCACTTTCCATGGGTGTGACGGTGTGACTCGAGCTGCGAATCCCCAAGTACAAGACCCGTGGGATCTGCTTCATGGGCAGGCGATTTTTTCCTCCCCTCAACTCCTTCCTCACCGAACTCTTGCGCAGATGGCACTCTTCAACAACCCCAGCACCATCTTCTCCATTTATTTTGTTCCACCTTCATCACAATTCCCCATCCTCTCTAGGTTCATAAGCCATGACCAGAGATCTTTCTCTACTCCTCCATTCCTTCAAATTATACCAATTACAAGCAACCTCCTTTCACCGACTTTTTCTAATCGAGGCAAAGCCCTCATTCTGCGATGAGAGGAAGTCAGTGTTATCGACCATTCTAGCACAGTCCGTGACCGAGCCCCTAGCAAATTGTATCCTGCCGTCGATTGGTGTCAGGATTGACCCACTTACGGCTGAGCTATCTGGCAGCAAAAGATGATTCAAGTATCGCGGCCATCGGCGGCGCTTGGCTGTAAGTGGCCTTATATGGCCGCTGCGCCCAGCTTTTCTCATAGTTGGCGAGCTTTTCGTCAAGTCCACCAGCGCCCGAGCCAGGTATTGGGAGGATCTCAAAGATCCTCATGATATCCATCAGCATACCCAGTGCGCCCGAGAGATTGACTAATTCCGCGAGGCGCTCCACAGTTCATTGGCCGACGTCAAGTACGTCGTTCTTGACGTGGATGGTAATGGAAGTCTCAGCACAGTTTCTGAGGGACCGACCACTTTCTTCATTGATAATGGTCTACTTGGAGATCTCCCCGAGGATTTAGAAACGACATTTGACAAGACGACGAGCTCCATTTACACCCAATTTGGACTGGAGCTTATCGACAAGCAAGGTTCTCTCTTCATATACGATCAAAGGCAATGGTCATTTCCATATTGAGATTGGCAAAAAAGAGGCCCGAAACGTGTTGTTTCCGCTGTCAAAGCATAAATCAATAACCGGCTCGCGAGTTTCAGCCCGGAAACCCCCCCGGGCCTTTCGACATCTGCTTCGATATGATGGGGCCTCGGTTAACGCGGGACGAGGTCCATGGACCAGTCGAAGAGAGTGACAAACCAGAATCGACCCGACCAACTATACAAGATAAGGTATGTTCGATCCTCGAATCCTTTTTGCCGATACAGATGCGAGCTTGAATGGCCTGAAACAGATTATGCCGACTGGCTCTTCTCCCAATTGTAATGAAGATTCAATTACAGTCTCCGTTGGCCATGGCTTGAATGAATCACGTTGGTCGACCCTTGTGTACCTAGATGGATTTGAGTACGATCTTATCGTTCAGTTTACATCGAGCATAACATCCTTGAGGGGCTCGCCTTCGAGCGCCTTCAGCTGACCGGGTTCCCTAATCAAGGATGACTACTGAGATAGATACCGCCACGACCTATGATGGCCTCGTTAGCAATTCCTCTCTGAATACACAACACTGGCTTCCCGATCGACCTTCACCTTCAAGGAAGAGGTGGACTACTATCGAGCCCGCATGCGAACTATTACAAAGCAAGGTTGCTTAAATTACGAAAGGCCATTTGCACTAAGAAACTGCAACCATGACGAAATTTCTTCAAAAACATTCGTCAATTCAACTAAACGTATGAGCTGTATTCCGAGGATGTATCAGGCCACTGACGGCATTACCGTAGTTATTCCTGGTCTGTTGGTGGTCTGAACGAGCACCCTGCTGGCACGCTGGTCGCGGCATGGCTAGTCGATTCTTGGACTGGTCTGCTTCAAACCCCTGCTTTTGAAAAATTTTGGTGATTGCAGTGGGCCAGACTTGAGGAAGGAATTACTGGTTTCGGACTGTTCGGTAACGCCACGTGATAAGTTGGCGTTCCCCCCTCCTCCAGCAACCAATACGTAACCCAAATGCTTTCGTCAGAGAGTCCTTGGGATATCGAGATGCAACTCTATCAACCGCCGCAATGGGAAGCAAACATGACAGGCAAGTAGAGGCTCTGGGCGGTCCGGTCGACGTGATTGCTACCCAGCCAATTCCGACCCCGGCTCCCACAGCAACATCTGAACATGGCCGAGGACACATAGAGTCGAGTGATAGTAGCAATCCATTGGAATCCATTCCTTCCCGCCTTACGTGGCGACTGTACGTCTCGCATTTCCTGTCGACCTGGAACTCGAGGCTCTTCGAGTTCGCCGCGGTGCTCTTCCTTGCTTCCATATATCCCGATACCCTTTTGCCCATGTCTGTTTATGCCCTCGTGCGAAGTGCCGCAGCTATCGTCTTTGCCCAGGCAGTCGGATCCTGGATCGACAGCGGTAACCGACTCACTGTCGTCCGAGTCTCCATTTTAGGACAGCGCATTGCTGTCGTCCTCAGTTGCGGGATTTTCTGGGCACTGGAACTGAGAAAAACTCGCTTGGAAAAGGGAGTCAAGGATGGATTGTTCGCCGCCGTCGTATTGTTGGCGTGCGTGGAGAAGTTGTGCGCAGTAATGAATCTCGTCTCCGTTGAGCGAGACTGGGTGAGATATCAACTTTCACGTGTCTCATAGAGAGAGACAGCGGACAACACATTAATACGAGGCGAGGACAGGTTGTGGTTATCACAGAAGGCCATGAAGAAGCCCGAAGAAGCAGGTTTGCCCCAACGAATCTCTCATACGCAGTATCTGACTTGATATTGCAGCCCTAAATGCCCGTATCCGACGCATAGATCTGCTCTGCAAGCTTGTTGGCCCGCTAGTCATCTCGTCGATCGCAATTGCTTCAACCCTTGCGGCTATCTGGACAACTCTTGGAATGAATTTAGCAGCGGTAGTGGCGGAATATGTGTGCATTGCAGCTGTAGGTCTCCCTATTAGACGTCTTCTAGCCTGGGAGTAACGGTGCAAGCTGACGAGTCTAGGTGTATAATATGGTGCCGGATCTGCGTCGAACGCCACGCCCTGATGAGCCAAATGCGGGAGAAGACCCGTCAGGCCTTTTGGCTCCGGATGCAGAGCCTCTAGCTCGAAAGCCATGGTCTGAGCGATTGAAGTCGACGGCCCACAGTATCTTCCCCCTCTCGTCGCTGCCGTTCTACTTCGGCCATACCGCCTTTTTGCCTTCGTTCTCACTTGCCCTTCTGTACCTCACAGTGCTATCTTTCTCGGGTCAGATGATCACGTTCCTCATCTCAGTCGGGTATAGTTCTGCGCACGTCGGCATTGCTCGAACAGTTAGCACGATCTTTGAACTTAGTGCTACGTGGATTGCACCACGCCTCATGGCTCGTATCGGTGTAGTTAGGGGCGGCATCTGGAGCCTTTCTTGGCAAATGATCTGGCTAGCTGCGAGCGTCAGCTGGTTCATGGCCGATGTTCATCGAGAGGGGGCCAATCTAATCGTAGCCTCGACAGTGCTTGCTGCCGGTGTGGCCGTCAGCCGTGTGGGACTCTGGGGGTTCGATTTATGCGCGCAGAACATTGTTCAAGACGTAAGGTTATCCCAAGTTCCGCGAATGGGTTCCTGGTCACTGACATACGCTTAGGAGGTCGAGCCCGGCCATCGGGGTGCATTTTCAACAGTCGAAGCCGCTTTCCAAAACCTCTTCGAGCTAGTTTCTTACGGAACGACGATCGTTTTTTCGCGTCCGGACCAGTTTCAGTGGCCTGTTGTCATCAGCGTAGGCGCGGTATATCTAGCTGGAGGCTTGTATACTTATTTTGTGCGCCAGAGACGTGGTCATCTGCTCCATGCTCCGCCCTGCATCTGTACAAAGGCCAGAAATGGTTGACCGAAACAAAGACCGGCTGGACACTAGCTGTAGTGGGATGGGGAATCACAACGCAGTCTTTTCCAGAGGGTTAAGTGAGCCAAGAATTGGCAGGAGATTGGCCCCATAGCGCACCGTTCCTTCCAACTGTCTCTCAACGCGTTCGACGCGTTTCTTTGTTCGCTCCAGATATGAATCGTGGGGCATGACTTCTCAAGAGCAGTGGAAATCTTCTGAAGCCTCACAGTAGAAATAAGAATTCTTTCTCGAAATCTCTGCCTCTGCTTCTCGTCGCAGCGACATCTTTCAAGGCATCGACCACGAGTCCCCAACACACTTGCCGAGTGATTCGCATACTTCGTAGTCCCTTCCATTGTCGACACTTATTAGGTACGTTCCCGCTACCCATTCTTGTCACTTCGATTGCTGATTCGCAGGCTAAATCGTTCTTCAAGCGACCGTTACCCCTAAAGTCTTTGCGATGCCGCAAGCCCGATCCCACAATCCTTCCGTGCACTGGCCTCGAACCGGCCTCATCTGGCCCACGGGCAATACGACGAAGGTTATCCGCCCCATTGGCGAGAATAGGCGCTGGCGCGATGCCATTTTCCGTGCTCTCGACAGCCAGGAGGGCGAAATCCGCACCAAAGCATTTGTCGACAAGTGCTTCACCGATCTCGTCATTCAAGCCAAGGCCCTAATTCCACGACTCGAGGAGATCAGTGTCATCGACTATTTTGACGAAGTCCGACAACGCGTCCCTTGGGCTACTGGACTGCATCCTGTTATCCTTGGCGCGCTTTTCGTTGAGCTCACCCGCGCCCGGGCGCAGTGGTGGGCCAATCCGAAAGCCCCCCACGACGTCAACCAGCATTCCCCTTGCGCCCGCGAAGTGGACGGTTTTCGCGAGGCTCTATACAACTCTCTTTCGCACATTAAATACGTCGTGCTAGACCTTGACGATAACGGGAATCTTGACCAGGTTTCCGAGGGCCCAATCGCGTTTTTTATTGACAGCGGCCTCCTCGGGGACCTTCCTCAGAATCAGACCATTAAGTCGGAGCTCGAGAACGGTGTTCACCGCCTCACAATTAGCGGAAATCAGGGCTTGGAGGAAGATGAGGATAAAGTCATCGAGATCCACGTCTAGCTCAAGAAGCGGATTGCATTCAATTACTTTAAAAAAGCTATAACATATCAAGTAGAGAGAAGACAGTTCCAGTAAACTATTATAAAAGAAGGCGTTATTTCTCCAGTGTCGTTAAAAAAGCCGATTAACTTTTTAATCCCTTATAATCATTTCCTTTACTCCTCGAAAAAAATAATAATTAAATCAAAATACGAAAAAAAAAAAAAAAAAAAAAAAAAAAAAAAAGACTCCGTCCTCACCCCCCACCCCCCACCTCTTATTTTTACCTTACTCCTACCTTAGGTCTCTAGAGGGCTAGGTTCCTGATTAGCCAATTGTATGAGAGGAGAACCTCTCAAGGCATCACCCTAGCCAGGAGTTTTATTTTGACCTTGGTGGAGGGTTCGGGAGCCGGTGGCCAACTTCCACTTGACTCTATTCGGTGCCTGTGTTTTTGCACAAGGCGGGAATCGAACTGGCGGAGAGGGGGGAGGGGACCAGTTCTTTTCTAACCATCGTGGTTACCGAATGTGCCAAGTTTCCGCTTGTTTCTTGGGAGGAGGGGGGCTTGTTACTTCATATAACACATAAACGGCTGCTTGCCGTTGTGTGAGTTTCTCCTTCCTCGGTTTTCGAGAAATTTTCGACGTTCGCAAGTGTGGGGAGCTCCTTCCTCGACGAGATCTGGCAGAGTGTGTCCAGCTGAACATGGGTTTGTGGGCACCGAGCAGGAAACAGACAGCCTCGATGCCGTAGGCGTTACTGTTGAGTCCCAGAAGAAGACCCCTAGGCATACGCCTGGCTGTCACGCATAACCCTTGGCAAGTTGAAGTGTATTCCCCTAGCGATAAACCAGAAGAGTCAAGCACCAGAGCCATCTCGGCTCCCAAATCGGGATGAATGCCGTCCCGGCTTTCCCGCATACAATGAGCAAGCAGAACTTCAGGGATTGAATCACGCCAAATCCTCAACATCAATAGTGTGCCTGGTCAGTGGTAACCAACGGACGTCAGCTCATGCTTTGATGTTGGAATGGAGGTCTGACCGAATAGCCCCGACTCACCAAGCGACTCAACTGATTTATTCGCTGACCCTGTCAGGTCATCATTGAAAATACTTTAAATAGTTATTGCCCATTTATTCAGTAATTAATTGGTTGTCCGCTCAATGTTATTGCGCTGTATCAACGTCGTTGAATGTGGGTCCGCAAGGATGCAACTAAATCAATAGGGGGATTCCAAGAGCCAGTCTCGTGTGAGGTGAGACAGGGCTGCATTCGAGAAGCTCATTTGGTCGGACATTATTATGCCGATCCTTACAATTCCTTGGCAGGGAAATCCCTCGACGCCTACGGGGTTTACACGTTTGGCGGCAAGAAGCTTGAGGAGTTTCACCAACGCGAGCAGAGACTAGGTACGAATGTCAAGTGCATCCCTGTAAGATGAGATGAATCTGGATACTTGGGCCCCGGTGCCGACGGAGAGCAATCGTATTCTAAGGGCGATGGGTGGGCGTTGGGGTCTTCACTATCTGGAAACCAGACGTGTACGTGGTCGGCTATCTGCTACATTGATGCATGTTTGGCGCTTCTATACCTTCGCGCCCCCGTCTCTCAGCCGATTACGCACAAACTCCCGGATATCGTCATCCTCCAATTCATCCACGTCAACTGCCCTGCCATATTTCGAAACTTCCTCCATGTCCTCATCGATTAAAGCGTCCTTTCCCGTAAAGAGCTCCCACACAGAAATTGCCAAGGCGTAATTGTCGTCGCCGACAGTGGGTGGCCCGTAGTCGGGAAAACCGCGGCTTGGGGCCACGTAGCGCTCGCTGACAAAACCTTCCCAGCCCTCGGCCTCCTCGTCGGCGATCAGCCGAGCAGAGTCAAAATCGCACAGCCGGAGCTTACCGTCGCGGCACCGCAGAAAGTTGGCAGGCTTGATGTCGCCGTGGACAAGGCCGATTTCGCTGCTGTGGAGGCGCTCGACCAGACTGACCATCTCTTCCTGGATAGCCTTGCGCTTTTCGGCCGGCACGAGCTTGAAAATCGAATGGTGTTGCAAGCTCCATGACGAGTCCCGACGGGACCAAGACGCCGGCTACCTCGCGCATGACACGGCTCAGGGGGGCAACGGAGCAGTCACCGGCCGCCTTCATGAGGTCGACCTCTCGCTGGCTGACGTGCACTTTGTATGCGAAGCCTCTGGGACATTTGTACACGTAGCCGCTACTCCCCAGGCCAAGGACCTCGAGGTTCTCGGGAAGCAATTTGTTTTGGGAAGGCGGGGTCTTGGCAAGCCCGGAGATGTGGATGGATCTTCGCTCTGTTCTTGGCTTGCAGGTCTACTTCCCTCGACAACGGCCGGAACTGGATCACTTTCTGCATCCTGAAAGAAGCCAGACTCGTCAACCGGGCCCAATGCCGTTGTGCCCCGTGATCCGTCGAGGATCAAAGCAGGTGCCTGCTTGACTCCGTGTTCATTTCTTCTGGGTGGGAGCCTTGGGTCCTCACTCTGTCGCTGGTTTGAAGGCCTGTCATCAACAGCTGGGCTTGAGCCATTTCTTGCGTTTCCTAAGAAGAAACCGGATTCGTTGGCCGGGCCAGGGGTCGTCGCGCCATACGATCTATCGAGGATGGGTCCCTGTTGCTGCCCGACTGTCGCCGTTTCATTATTCCTCGACAGGAGGGGGCTTGCGTTTTCGTTCTGTCGCTGGCTTGCGGGCCTGGCTGTATCGAAGGCGACCGTGCCTGGGTCGTTTTTCTCGTCCTGCAAGAAGAAAACAAACTCATCCACTGCGCCGCGGGGTGTCATGCCTCGTATTCCATCGAGGCATAAGCGCGGATTCCGGGTGATCTCCATCGTTGCGCTCTTTCTTGATTGAGATTTTAGGGTTAGGTAAGACTTGGTGGATCAGGAATAAAAGAGCTAAGTCTTTTGAAAGCAGTCTGCGGTGTTCCCCCAAACCCTGTTGTCTTGGATAGTCTTATTGCTGATGAGATAGATTACCTCGAGATTGATGGTATGTTCTTTGGGATTACACCCAGTTACTCTTTGTGAGTGCTAGCATTATTAATGAAATTTGGTTCCCCCCCTATGTTAGGTAAATTTTATCTGGGCACAGTTGTTAGTTCTCTGGACAAAGAGGGATATGACTCTGCCAGGTCATCATTCACAATACTGTAAATAGTTATTGCCCATTTATTCGGCAATTAATTGGTTGTCCGCTCAATGTTATTGCAGTTGTATCAATGTCGTTGAATGTGGGCCTGCAATGATGGAGCTAAATCAACAGGGGTATTCCAGGAATTAGCTAGTCTCGTCTCGAGTGAGGTGAGACAGGGTTGCATTCGAACAGCTCATTTGGTCGGGACGTTATTATGCCGACCCTCATAATTAATTGCCGGGCAGGGAAACTGATGATCTTGCCGCGTAAGCAGCATCATTGCCAGAACCCGCTCCTCTATTTGTTGGACAACATCCAAAAGCTCACACACTCACACCCACGATTCGCGCCGCAGTCATGGCTTCTCCTCCCGACGACTACCTTGACGACCCCCGGTTCAGTAGAATCTTTGAGTTACCACCAGACCCATCTCGTGGTCGCGACGCCCCATTTAAGGTCAAGTATGCTGATTACGGCTATCGTAACGAGGCTCATCCGGAGCAAGAGCATGTACTGCTCTTCTTTAGCCCGTTGATGGGCTCGCGCTTGCTTCACGTCGCCAAGGATGCGCTGGCCAAGAGGCACAAGACTCGAATAATCAGCCCAGACAGACCTGGGATTGGGGGAACTGACCCGGTCGACGCGAAGGACAGGTTGCGCGTTTCGCGAGGTAAGCACAACATGTCTGTGTGAACACATGGGGTGCTTTCATTTCCTAATTTCGTCGAAAGAGGTCATCATTGAGCTGCTTCGGCATCTCGGCATACAGCACGTTTTTCTTGCGTGCCATAGCGGTGGCACTGTCTACGCCCTCGACATGCTCGTACATCATCCTGAGATTCTTCACCCAGAGATGCCCTATCTTGCAATCGGGGGCCCTTGGATATTACCTTCGCACACAGGCTCGAAACTTCTTTCCCTCGCCCGCAGCCTTCCTGTGCAGGTCCTTGGTCAAACCGACACGTTTGTAAAGCTCATAAACAACCATGTCGGCCCCATGATAGGCACGAGCTTGGGACTTAGCACAGGCCTAGCCGCTAAACTTGGATCAAATACGGCCGGACATGATAGAACCGCTGCCAATACGTCCAATCAGGAAGCCGATTTTGAGGAACGGATCTGGGACAAGGTAATGGAACGCATCTACGAGGAAGGGGTGCAGGGACTATCTCCAGAGGCAATACTTCTTTTGCAAAAGGTTGATGGTGCAGATGGCTGGGGTGACTGGAGGGACTATGATACGCTCGTGCCGCGTCTTGTGGAGGCTCTACGTTCTACAGGGAGCACACTGAACGTGGTTGTGTTTTATGCCGAGAAGGATCTATTAATCGGTGATGGAGACTCCAAGGGCCCGTTGTGGTTTGATCGGTGCTGGGACGCCCCAGATCAAAGAGATACGATCAACTACTATCGAGAGATAATTAGGGGCTCTGACCACAATGGGATATGGAATCTAGGATGTGGTACCGTACAGCAGGTGTTTGCACAGATTGACCGACTGACCGTCAACCTCGCCCAACCAATAGTCTGATAGTTTCCATGCCCGTTTAGGCTCAGGAAGGCTCCGCTCGGATCAACTCAATCAAAATTCGTTCACCCCAGGTCATTCCAGGTCATTCTAACTGGAGTTTACTTCATCATCAGTATCATTGACCTAACGTCGACAAAAAAATCTTGACATATTCGAATATGCCAGGGGGGGGTTGGTACAAAGGTATCAACAGGGGTTTGAATTAACAGTGCCATCTCCTCTAATACCTAAGGGGCGTATATCATAGGTTCTTCTCCATCTTTAGGATGGTGTTTCCCCTCGCCAACACGCTTATTATGATGTACGTAGATTCCAATCTGCAACAGAGCAAAAGCCATTCCCACAGATACCATTATAATCAACGTCCGTAGTCCCGTGTGGTAGCTATCATTCAAGTTAGCCAATGATCTAGACAAGTTTTCTAATTAGGGAACTTACAATGGCACATCTCCGGCCCTAAAATATTGTGTCCCGACCATCAAACCACTAATGGCCGACATCACCCACATGCTGTATAATAACCCAGTGTCAGCTTTGCTCGCGATTATCCTGACCAAGACCTGGCAACGGTGGGAAAGAAACTTACGCAACGCTAATGCTCCTCTCCCTTGGGTCACGGCAGTTTAACTGAACCCACGAATTATGGACAGGATGATAGCCCACCGCAAACGCATTCACCGACGTCCATAGCCCCCATCGAGACCACTTGCCCACATGGGGATGCACACTGCGCGCCACGATCAAAACGACGAGATAGCAGAGGTGCGCTCCAACCACGGAGAATCCGCGCTGGTTGGTTCGGTCGCTGATGTAGGCGAAGATGAAGACGACGACAAGAGCGAGAGAGGCGCCGACGGCGGCGAGGGCGTTAGCTTCTGTGCGATTGAATCCGAGGGCCCTGAATTAGATTCGTTAGCAACAGTTCTTCGCAAATTCCCATTGGGGAATTATCAGCACTTACATGATGATAGACGGCGTGTAGGTAGTCAACGGACTCCATGTAGAAAAGACGGCGAACGTAGAGACAAAGTGTGGCCAGCGACGGTAATGGGATACCGTCTTCCATACTACCTTGAGGGGGATCTGCATCCCCTGTGCACCTTGTCGTTTCTCCTTGTCATCGTGCTCGAGCCGTTGTTGTAGGATCTTCCGGTCATCTTCCGTGAACCGAATGAGTCCGGGGCTCAGTAGCGGCTTGGGTGTATCAGGAGAGCCCGGCAAAACGAACAAGAGCAAAGCTCCAACTATGATTGTGAATATGCCCTCAACTATCTCTGCGTCAGTTCGTGTTTCGTATCCACGCCGTGAAAGGGCAAGACTCACTCAGGAAGAGCCATTTCCACCCCTTGATGCCACGCTTCCCACTAAGCTGAAGAATCCCGGATGCAAGAATAGGGCTAATGGCGTTGCCTGCAAACATGCCAAAGAAGAACACAGCAATCCGCTTAGCGAGCTCCCTCTTCTTGTACCACGTGGAGAGGGTATAAGCTGCACCAGGGATGTATCCCGCCTCGGCGAAGCCAAGCATGAGGCGGGAAACTAAGAAACCCTTGCGGTTTTTCACGAAGACTTGGAGGGTCGCAACGATGCCGAAGAGGAAGATTTGCCCTGGAATCCATTTGCGGGGACCAATCTGTGCAAGAGGCGTTAACAACGAGTGAACGGCCATATGGGGATAAACATCTCCCATACCTTCTGCAGAAGCATGTTGCAGGGAATTTCGAAGACGACGATGCCCATGAACATGAGCTGGTTCCCGAGGTTTATCGTCGTCTGGTCGACGCCGATGTTCTTTGCAAAGCCATCTGTCAGGGCACTCGCTAAGTTCATTCGATCTAGCTGAAAGACTAGAAGGCCTAGGAATAAGAGTGGGAGCACTGAAGAGTCAACCCTGCAAATCGTAAGCGTCTGTTGCTACCGTGGCTCATGGTCAGCTGGGCAAGTGAACTGGTGCTTACTTCCGTCTCGCTCTCTTCTCTTCCTCATCGAGCCAGTCTACCTCTGTCCCGGCAGTGATGGATTGCTGTCCTGGCGCATCATAGCCGCCGATCTTTTCTTTTTGGTCGTCCGACATTTTGCAAGATTGTTGGCAGCAAAAAGAGCACTAAGACGGAGAAGGTGAAGAGCGACGGCAACTTCTGGGGCCACTGGGAAATCTCCAGGACCTCAAATAAGAACTCTCCCGAGACTACTGTTGGTCACCGAGACCGCAGAGCGACAAGAGAAAAAAAATAGTAATGAAAATGATGTGATTGACTAGCAATAAGACTTGATTGGTACCAAGACTCTAGGCAGTGAGATACCCTGGATTTGGATGGAACGTGGAGAGCATTAGAGAAGAGAGAAGCTCTTCCTGACGGACCCACGGTTGTCCTCCAACCCCGAATCCAACATAAGCTCGCACACGTTTAAGATTGGGGTACAGCTATCCCAGTACCCTGGCATATGCAAGCGGTCTATTTCAAAGAATACTTCTTCGACTGTTTTACCAATGGGATTAGGTACATCTGTTCACGGGCTTTGGTAGTATGAAGTACACTAGAGGATCCAGGATCCATGCTCTCGCGACCCGCCAACGGCTCCATGATCTAAACCCCATCTAGATGAAATCCCGGCCTGGATAGCGACATGGAATAATCGAACGCGGCGGACCCAATGAGCTTCGACGAGAGCCCAAGAACGTACGAGATGAAACGTAGAATTTTTGATGGCTCGGAGCCGAACGGGGTGAATCCACCCATAATCGGAGGGCGTTGCTGACGTGCTCGCTGCAAAACCCGTGGAGCGCTCGGCCGGTCGGCGATTGCGTGATATCACACAATCCCACTGGACCAGGGGGTCAACAATCACCACCACCAAGCTAAGGAGCCATTGACGAATAAAATCTTCGTGACGGCTTTAGAAATTGCGTGAAGCTTGATGAGAGGGATTATTCTTTTCGTCGGCTCTTGCGTCTTACCCTCCCGCGTGGGGGGATGTGGCTGCTGGCCCCGTTAAAATGGCTATCTTCGCATGCCCGAACTCTCCCAACACCGGGGCTGCGGGCGGGTCTAGCTATCGAGCAGCAAGATTTTCTTTAAAAATCGGCGGTCTGCTCTTGCGGAATGCGGCATTCGGTATTAGTGAACACTAATACATAACGCTTAAGCCGCGCACCCCCCCAGCCACATGGGACAGAGCTGAAGCTCAAGGTCTCGCAGAAAGCTAGTCCATTTCCATCGAGTTCTCTTCTAAAGTAACTTGGTAATCCTTACGTGCGACACATCTACACTAGACACACACACCATGGGAGCCGTCAAACGTGTTGCCGTCATTGGTGCTGGCCCGGCGGGGGCAATTACCGTCGATGCTCTCGCACAAGAGCAAGCCTTTGATGTAATCCGTGTGTTTGAGCGGCGAGAGGGACCTGGAGGATGTTGGTAAGATTTGACTTTCGCCATTGAGCGCCCGTTCTTTACGATGTCCAGGTGTATCTAACGCTCATGTCGTCAAACAGGATCGGCGACACGGAGAGACCTCGCACCGTCACCAATCTCTCTGAACTTGCATCTCGAACAGCTGACAAGCCACTTGCCATTCCCCAGAAGCTCCCCGCCCAAACGCCCAAGGTCAACCAGCCACGCTTCGATGAGTCGTCAATCTACCCATACCTCCACACCAACATTGACAGCATCCCTATGGAGTTCTCTCAGGAGAAGATCCCTACTGAGCGCAGTGAACTCTCGATCGCCACCCACGGACCCGATACTCCTTTCCGGCATTGGGAGGTGATTCGCCGATACATCGCGGGGCTTGTAGAGAGGAGGGGATACGAGGACTTCATTTCCTATAATACCAGTGTGGAGCTGGCTGAAAAGGTGGGCTCCGAGTGGAAGCTCACGCTACGGAAAGAGGGCAAGGAGAAGGATTATTGGTGGGTCGAATATTTCGACGCTGTTATTGTTGCGAGCGGGCACTATAATGTTCCATACATTCCTGCTGTTAAGGGACTGGAGGAGTTTGAAAAGGCTCGTCCCGGCAGTGTGTTGCATAGCAAGCATTATCGGGGGAGGGATCAATTCCGCGGAAAAGTGAGTGCAAACCCTTCTCAACGAAAGGCGTTCTCCCTGCCTCGAAGGCATGGATTATTTTCGAACTTGTGCTGACCATTTCTGAAGCGCGTCGTCGTTGTCGGCGCTTCCGTCTCCGCTGCCGATATTGCGTTTGATCTCGTGGGCACCGCACAGCATCCTATCGACGCCGTAATCATTGGACATGCCCCGAATGGATACTTTGGGGACCTAGCTTTCAAGCACCCAGATATCCGTACGCGACCGTCCCTCTGCCATATCGAGGGCAGGACTGTGCATTTTGTGGACGGTCAATCAGTGGCAGATGTGGACCACATCATCTTCGGCACAGGCTACAGCTGGACTCTCCCCTTCCTCCCCAGCGTCGAGGTCCGCAACAACCGCGTCCCCGGATTATACCAGCATGTGGTCTACCGAAAAGATCCCACACTCCTCTTTGTCGGCGCCACCGCTGCCGGCCTCACATTCAAAGTATTCGAGTGGCAGGCCGTCCTTGCAGCGCGCCTTCTCGCGGACCGGACCAAACTCCCACCTCAGGCCGAGCAGCGAAAATGGGAGGAAGATCGAGTCAAGCTGACAGGCGATAATGTCAAGTTCACCCTCATCTTCCCCGATTTCGAAGATTACTTTGAGACCCTCCGGAAGCTGGCTGGTCCTGGAGAAAAGGGCTTCGGCCGACAGCTACCGCCTTTTAAGAGAGAATGGGTCAGGGCCTTCTTCGAGGGACATGAGCGGAGAAAGGCGATGTGGGCAAGGGAGAACGAAAAGGCGAGGGCCAATCGGGCGAAGTTGTAACCTCTCTGTACGTGTAGATCAGAACAGCAGGTCATGAAATTAGAATGACCATCTTCAAATTGTTTACTTCGCATATTCTTTGTTGCTTTCGTCTTGGCTAGGAGCATTCTGACTAAGCCTAAGCCTAAGCCTAGATTCAAGCTGAACTTCGAGTTGATGTGACCCAATCGCACTTGGTTAGCTCCATCTTGACCATAGTTCGAAATTCAAACAACGTCACTATTATTTTATACAGTCTACCCCCACACTTTTCCCCATGACCGAGTCTCCGAAATGCGAGGTCTGTCTAGATCTCGATAGGCGGCATTATGACAGCAAGATGAAACCCACCGCGTCCGGACCCAAAGTCCTGCTGGGAGATCTCTTGCAGTCAGCCGAAGCGGGCTGTCCTGGATGTGGCGTGCTTGTCAAAGCTATTCGCCACCATGCGCCCGAGCAAATACGGAGCCCAGAACCATTTGAGCTGAGAATGTACGAAGAGCGCGGTTTTCTTATCTTAGCTGTCGTGTCCAGGAATCCGCCTTACACCAAGGCGAGAGGCGAAGACCAGACGCGCCAGACGCGCCAGACGCTGATCGAGCTGTTTTCACAAGATTGTAGGTCTTCTCTCAATTTTTTGTGTCGCGGAACGAAACGCGCGATCTGACTTGACTGCTGCTCCTAGATGAATCGTGCCTGTGGTCATTGATTCCGACTATGCATGATGTGCCACATCCAGAATCCGTCTCGAGTCCCGAGCTTCTCTCGCAGGCTCGCCAGTGGATTGCAGGATGCGAAGCTAGCCACGCAGCATGTGTATCACCCCTCTCATTTTCACTTCCGAAGAGGCTAGTTCAGATCCAACGTTCTCCCCGAGGGAAACATGACAAATTTAGCCTTCGTCTGTTGGAGACGAAGCCGGGGGATATCGACCGCTACGTCTGCTTGAGCCACTCCCGGTGCATGAATCCAATCATAACGACGCAGCGGCGGAATGTGGACCTACATTACGCCGCCATTCCCTGGGACAGTCTCCCCAAGACATTTCAGGACGCGATCCAATTCGTTTTTGAGCTAGGCATAGGCTTAATTTGGATCGACTGCCTTTGCGTTGTTCAGGATGATGATGCTGACCGCCGGGAAGAGGCAGCGAAGATGCCCGCTTACTACTGGAACTCCTACTTTACGCTCGGTGCAGCATCAGGCGCTGATAGCTCAGCAGGTCTGCTTCGCAGGGGCGTCGGCGAAGGAACCACACTCCAGATCGCTGCCACAGATGAAAGGACATCCAAACGATTCTACATCACGGCAAGAAAACCGCTAACCCACCAATTCGAAACCATCGATAACGAAAAAGAACGTCTTCTCTCGACGCGTTTCCTCCGTTTTGGTCCTCAAGAACTCATTTGGGAATGTCGCCAAACAACTGACTGCCAGTGCGGTGGTGTGGCTCAAAAGTCCGAGGCGCAATTCCAATCCAATGCTGCCTTGAGGAGATAACACAAGCGACGAAATCTGTTGAGTAAAGATGAAATCTTTTGATATGGACATGTAAAGGACTTGACAAAGTTCCGCTTTACCTACATCTCTGATTATATACCATCGGTTGCCCGTTTGGCCACGTTCATATAGTATGGTGGGGAGATAGGCCACCTTGCCGGGCTCTGGAAGCAGACGCTAGCTATTGGACGAAAAGGCCAAAGAAAATCCAATATATTCCGTCCTTGCCGCGAGCATCAGTGGAAGGCCAAGTTATCTATTAGGGTCCCCAGAGTTGCCCTGAAGTACATCCGAGAGTGTTATGCCAAGGGCGAACTGACCGCTCTACTGCTCGAATTGTCGATGTCTAAGGTCTCCCCCTCCTACCGCCAATAACTAGTCTCCTAGATTCAGGGAAGACTGCACTAGAAGGTCCAGGCGCAGTAGCAATTTTAAGAGAGGCTACCCTCAGGGTAGCTTACGCCTAGTCGACGCCGAGACCGGAGATGCTCGAATCGACAACACAGAGCCAGTCGGTCGTCTTGCTCCTAGTTTCAACTCGTGGCGTCTAGATGCAAATATTCAACTGGAAGAAACGGTACTCATTTTGAAGATGCTGGAATGGACTGGACAAGACAGGGGGGGCGAGAGGTTTCTTCCAAGAGCCACATTTCTCCGTCTCCAAAGGAAGACGGAAATAGCAAAGATTACAAGAGGATAGGACTAGCATGGTGTAATAACTGTCATGATTCCATGTTCGAGCGACAGGAGATTAGAAGTAACCTCCACCCTTGGTTTATGGAGTTGGCAAAGCAACCGCAAGTGGCTACAGGGCAATGTGAAGTAGTGAACACAACTACGAACTGCTCGCATTGTTCCTCAACGACAATACATAAAAAACTACGTTCGATGCTCTAGGGGCGACTATGAATAAGCAACCTCTAATACTTGGAATTGGCGGAACATTAGAGCAGCTTACTGTCAGCCTGATCTGAGATGTCAAGGTTCGGAGCACATTCCCACAGCATAGTCCATGAGAGATATGGGGATATCGAAGCTCACTTTGAGAGTTGTCAAAACCGTCTCTCGAAAGCGGCGCGGCAGAGTTGACGTAAGTACTGGCCCCTTGATTGTTGCTAGTCCCCGGATCTCATGCAGGTCAGCCCTCCCAGAATCGCGACCCGTGGTCCATTACCCTCGACGCACTGCTGCCTAACTAAGCCCACCTTGGCTGCCAATCAACCGACATCAGAGTTCTGCATATTCCGCCCCCGCTTGCAAGGTGGATCTCACCAGGCCCCGACCAAGAGCTAACTCAGACTTTTAAGTAAAGTGGATAAATCAGTTGATCGCACTTCGCCATTGACTGCGGCCAGCTGCTAAAGTTGCGTCAAGTATTAAAATATACGCGACCGCATTAGCAGTTCCAATCCCCAATCCCCATCTTTAATAACACTTCATCTGAACGAAGAGAGAAGACGGAATCAATCAAATTCCGCGCACATACAAAAACACACACGCACGCACACGCACACACACGATGCCGAGAGCGGAACAGACGTTATATTTTGCCTATGGCAGCAACCTTTGGCTAGAGCAGATGGCCAGGAGATGTCCCAATAGCTCCTATGTCGGGCGGGCCGTGCTATTAGATCATCGCTGGCAGATCAATGAGAGGGGCTTCGCCAACGTTATTGCCTGCTCCGGTTTCAATGTGCACGGGCTGGTCTACCAACTCGGTGCTAAAGACGAGGCCCGCCTGGACAGAAACGAGGGCGTCCACAGCGGGGCGTATTCGAAAGCGCGCAAGAGCGTCGTGCTGTACCCAGCCGTACCCGAGCTGCAGCTGCCCACCAAGTCACTCGTCGAGGGCAAAAGAGGGCCACAGAGGTCGGTTGATAGGGTCAGGCAAGGCTCGGGGTTTGGTACCATTGAGCGGAGGGCGCGTGTTAAAGCCAAGGTCCTCGTTTACCTCAGCGAAGACTTTACCCACCCAGGCGATCCTAGGGAAGAATACATCGATCGCATCAACTCGGGTATCAGAGACGCCATCATTCTAGGAGTACCCGCCGAGTTCTTTGAGAATGCAGTTCGCTCGTCGATTCCGAGCCGGCCAGTCGTGCGAAGGGTGCGCCACCGGGCGCGTCATAGGGAAACTACAAGTGCTACTCATCAGACCGTTGGTGTTGACGACTCTCGAAAACGCCATTCATCTTCTCGCCAGCGGAGGAGTAGAAGAGCCAGGGAAGATCAGCCGCCGCCCAGTCAGGGACGGTGGGCTAATACAGTTCAGCGGTATATCCCGAGCTTATTGCTAGCGAGGAGCCTCCCCCATCGCGGCCTATGGCGGTATAGTTAGGGTCCCAGATACAGGACGACCACTTGAACGTGATCACAACTTCGAACTAACCCGCCAGTTCACCCGTATGGCCTACGAATTCTTGTATCATCTTCCCTAACGATTTTAATGTCACCGTTAAATCTCGCTCAATCTTAGTACCTTAGTATTGCTTATATATACGAAATTTTCATTCAGTTTTCATCTATTGAAATACCTACGAGGCTGGCGTGATGACAGAGGGCCATGCATACCGTCTAGTGTGTTTTTATTAGTGATTGACGTTGTTAGATCTCATAACGATGGCGCTTCAAGAGAGCCTCGGCGATGATAGAAGCTTAGCTTAAGGGTCAAGGCCTGCATGGGGCGAGCTGAGTACGGTGGGTGCAGCTCCTCCCCTTGTTTCGGTTGTGGAACTACTAGAGTTTGGGAGGAGTATCCTTCCTACCCAAGGGAGAAGATGAAACCTGCTCAGCGTACTTCATTTCCTCACGGACGCATCGGAATGGGCCTCGTTAAGCGGAGAATAATATCATATATTTCTGCTTGCCATGCGGCGAAAAGATATATAAAAAGATTTTGGAAAGCCCTGACCGCAACATGTGCGGTGATGATATGCATTGGCTATGTGTGCAGGGAGGACACGTTTTAACCAGGGGGTGACTAAATTTTTAGACTTTGACAAGCAAATAATATTTGGAATATTGGATTGGGACTTTGAAAAGGAAGAGAAGAAGAGAATATCGTAGGTCGCTCAACATACCCGCTCGGTAGGTCTTAAACTGTTTCGCCAACTCCCAGGGTCTAGGGGACCACGACTTCACCTAACAGTTCGCTGATGCAGCTGTCGGCTGTGGGGTTTCCAGAAGAGACGAGCGAGGTGAACCCTGTGATCATGGCGACATTTTTACCAGAGCGCGGATAAGACCTTTAAAGCTTAAACACAAAAATCCCTCTCATTCCCGCTCACCAACCTCGCCCGACGAACCGCATTCTTTACATATATGAGCCATAAGACGCATGCTATCATATCCCCAGGATTCCCGCCCGAGAAAGTGGGGACATGCAGCCAGCGGCGCGTGGAAAAGAGGCAGTTTCTATCTTAGCCAAGCTGCAGTCGGGGTCGGAATAGAGCACCCGCATGAAAACCCATATGCAGTGTGACGACCAAGACTGCCAAAAAGGAAGACTGGTGCCATTTTCTTGCGGGCATGGCCCATATTGGAGAGCCGGGTCGGCCTGCGCCACCAAGATTTTAATCCTTCCCTTTAAGTTTGGTTGTATGAGGTGGTAGGTCTCTATCTATCTAGCCTCCGAGCGTGATAAGAGGTTGCATTTAAGATACCCTGTATTTCTGCATGGCCTGTGAAAAGGGTTGGAGGATTCCGCCATGGGCCAACATCAATGATGCAATCAATCTATGATGATCATGTACACATCAATCATTTATAACCTGGACAGCTCCCTCACCACCCCGAAGCTGTGAACATTACGAAGTACAGTTCAACTATTTCAACCATTTACACCTTTTCCTTGCCAGCCAATCCCTTCCAAGTCTGGCCGCACTTAAATACAGAGCCCAAATTTCCCCGCCTTACAGCAGCGCATTTGACTCCATCGTCATTTGATTTCGCCATGGCTCTCACCACCACCAGCTCCTCGTTCCTATCGGTGCGGGGTATCACCACCACCCTTGTCCTGCCTCTCCTCCTCCTCACGAGCTGCGGCCAAACCTCTGTTCTGCCCCGTCAGCAAGACAAAAAGATCCTCCCTTGGGTCACTGTCGACGCCAACGGCGCATTCAAGACAATCACACCCACAGTCCAAGGTGGCAAGACCACATCTGCATTCCCTGGCAACACCGCGGTCCCGACCGCGGATTCGAATGGTGCGGGTGCATTTTTGGTCTGCAATGAAGAGACGGGATCTCATGGAGCGTACCAACCATTCTGCGCACCTGAAAATGGCGCTGAAGCAGAGGTTGGAAAGACATATTTCAGTGAGCGCGCCTTTTTTTTTTTTTTTAATCTCATAATGTGACGTTTTAATTTTATTCTCTTGATTGCTAACATTTTATCAGTAACATGGGATGCCGGCTTCTTCCAACGGCCCGAAACCCAGGTCATGCTGCAAGGCAACTACCTCTCCCCCGATCCCGATCCTGGCATCGCCGACACGGGTTTCTCGTCTGAAAAGTTCGGAGCATCAAAGGGATTTTTCGCCTGGAGTCCCGGGGCCGGTGATGTTGACCTCCCCGAGGTGAAGAGCACTGACGTGCGATTTTTCCTCGCCTACCTTTATCCCAACGGGACGATCAGAGACAAGGATCCAGGGCCAAAAGTCCTTCTGCATATAAGTGGAAAGGAGAAGGGCCATAAAAAGAATGTTACCGCCATTGCCGTCGGCGTCGCAGTTGGCATCGTTGTACTTGGCGTTATTATCGGTCTCGCCTGGTTTTTCCTCAAGAAGAGGGTCAAGCTTGGAGGGTCACGAAACAGCGGGGGGTATGGTGTTAGGCGGAGTAAGACTCAGAGATCGGCGGGCATTGCCCTTGATGCATCGCCATCTTTCCAAAGGGAGGATGTTGACTTTTCTCGGGCCGCTGGGAGGAATGTGTTCCGCGAAGAGGTGGCTCGCCAAGACAAGGGCACTGGGTATTAATTCTTGAAGGGAGAAACGAGCAGAGATGCTGGTTGGATTGATTCATTTTCATTGATTCTTCTTTCCCAGTCTTTTTATTTATTGCAGAATCTAGATAATCAGTGGCCTCGTATTATCTTTGGTTGGAGCTATGGCGTATTTATTCCGGAGTTCTTAATATCAATCTTGGACATTCAACCTGAGGTTCCTGAACAAAATGAAGCGAACTGTAAAGGCAAGGGCGAAAAACAAGGCAGAAGAAAAGAAAAGAAAAACGGCCGACGTGAGTTTCCACTTTCCGGTCTGCATTCTCAACTCCGGTCCCAGTCACGCATTCAGTCATCCCCTCTGCTTTCCTCAACGATCTTACCCTCCGTAATCTGGAGAACCGTCTTGATGTCCCTAAACTCAATGCTCCTCTTGTTTCTACCAGCCATAATAGCTGCGGCTCTCACCACGTTCCGAATTCTGCGCCCGTTCAAGGGCACATTGGCTAGCGCATCAAGCGCCGAGGGCTGCAGTCTTGGACATCCATTGTGTGAGAGGAAGGTCTCCCAGATCGTTCGACGGGTAACTCGGTCCAACGGGGGGTAGGTAACTGTCAGATGTATGCGAGATGCCAAGGCTGGGTCAAGCGCATCTGGACGGTTCGTCGTCAAGAAAAGCAGTGACGAAGAGTATTCGATTTCGTGGAGGAATTCTGTTATACGTATTAGTCTCGCGGCCATCCTCAAACAATAGAAGCAGAAGGGGTCAAGATACGTACTTGTCACAACACGGTTACGAAGAGGACTTGACTCGTTTCGTGGCTCCAGATACAGATCACATTCATCCACGAGGAGGAGTGCCTTCCACCGGGCAGCGAGCCTGAACGCTTCCGAGAGCTTAATCCGAGATTTGTCGATGCCTCTCGGCGAGGGGTATCGCTCCTCGTCCAGCTCTACAATGCTTTGACCGAGGTCAAGGATGTAGAGCGGAACGCGAAGGGTTTCGGCGACTGAATTAGCAGTGTCAGCAATTATTCACAACGACGAGGACAGTAATGGAATTCTCAATATACCTGATTCGGCCGTGAGCGTTTTGCCCACTCCTGGTGGACCGGTGAGCAGAGCCACAAGGCCGCTACCTATTACTCGTTGTTAGCACCGAACGCTAATAAACCAAGGTACCCCCAGAATGCAGGGCCCTTACCTTTTCCTTGAATAACGTCACCGAATGATTCATCGCCGTCGATGTGGCTTTCCACAAATGAAAGTATTAGGTCCTTGTAACCATCCGGGAGAACGAGGGTATTGAACGGGTCGGGATTCCATTCGATATCTCGAACTTTGTTGATGTGGAAAGATTCTGCGGAGAAAGAAAAATGTTTAGCAGCTGCATCAAAGGTCATCTTCAATGATATTAAGATTCACTTACCCCATCGCCTCTTCTTCAGGCAAAACCCCGGCACGTGAGTGGTGCAAATCTGGAGATGGAATTCGCTGAGAGGCTCGTCGTCGGCATCCTTAAACAGAGGGACAACACGGGGCGGCGGGGTCTCCGATCGAGAACGCGGCCTGGGTTGGATCCTTCTTACCCGTCGGGGTGGGTCATCCTCGTACTGCCTATCACGATACGAATCACGATCCGGCGAAGTCGAGCGCCAACGCGATCTCTCAAGAGACTTATGTCCGCCAACAGGCGGGATATCAACCGGTACTTGAGTGATCAGAGTCGTCTCGCAGACCATGTCCTCCTTTAGCCGGAGGAAGTGAAGCATGCGCCTTGCGTCCTGACTTCCCATTGGATCGATCATGACACGGCGATATTGCCTCTTACCATCGCCCGCTTGGGAGCCCGAAGCGTCGTCAGGATACTCTTTGTAGTGAACACCAGTCAGAGAGCAAAACTTCCGCCCACGTTCAATCACAGCCTCCCTGACCTTTTCAAAATCGTCGATGAATTGGGCGGGGAAAACATTCAAGCGAGTAATTTTCCGAGTACCGGCGAACGAATAAATGGAGAAGTCCGAGGCCCATAAGCCGTATCGAAAACCATCATACTCCACGGCCTGGGTGAAAAGACGGAACTCTGACTGTCTGGTAAGATCCTCGGTAGATTCCAGGTAGTAAAACCTTTCATTGCCAGGGCCACCGTCTTGGCACACCAGCTCGCCTGGTTGAAAGATGATCCACAGGTAGGGGAAGCTAATGAGGCCGTTGGCGACGAGCTCCTTCTTCACAGCAAAAGCTTCCGCCAGGTCAGCTCTGACGACAGAGCGGAGCTGGGTCAAGATTTCCTTGGTTCGAGGCACCTCGCACGATTCAATGGCTGCTTCGAACTTTTCCCAGCGGTAGAAGAAGGGCTTGAATGGGGCGTGGAAGACCAGATAGTTGATGCTGGGATGGATGTTATCGAAGCCTTCAAAGACGGGAAAGAGGGCCTCCCTTGTTGCCGAGTCTTGGATTTCAATGGAATGAATCGAGACTCGGGATGTGTCTTCACCACGTGTGACCGAATAGCGAATTACAATTGGGGTTTTCTCTTCTTCCTCAGCAGGCTCTTCTTCGTCGGGCTCCGCCTTCGCCGGGAGCTGATCGACCCAATTGACGCAGCAGCGACATTTCTTAGGACCCTCATAGAGATTTTGGACCAGGGTGGAGTTCTCAATGATGGGTGCGGAGAGAGAAGATCCTGGCGACTGATCCTCCCGGTCATGCAGAGAGTCGACTATGGTGAAGGAATTTTCAACTGGCTCCGGCTCGACCCGCGGCATTGTGATGAATAGCTCGCCTTGTTGTCAAATGGAAAAACGACACAAAGAGGGCAAAGTGGAATTGGGGAAAATGGAAATTGTGGTTGAGAGCGAAATATCCCATCCCATCCCGAGCACCGGCAGGGTCAAGGTTAATATATAATTATCACCGGAATCATGTTATCGGACTCATGCCTAATCCTGGCTGGCCGACTGGGTGCTGCTGCCTGGAAATGTTGAGGCGGGTTTTCGTGCATGCTGGCGAAGCAGCCAATCGACACTTCCAGAGCGTTGTTCCACTTCCACCTTGTCAGACATGGTAACGTCACTGGAAGTCTTTAATTGGACGTAAATCCCACGATCACTGCAGGACAAGGAATACCGTCATCCCCAAGGGTTGTCTGCACCCTGACATCTCCCCACCCACAATCGCTCTCCTCCCAGTCCATGGTGAGGGCCACTTTAATCCAGAGATGGTGTGCGGATGAGAAGGAGCCACATAATCTGGGGAAACGGCTGAGGGTGCCGATTGACATTCACAGTTTCGAGAGGCATTATTCACATGGCTTGGATCGTCCAGGGTCTTTCCCATCCCAAAATAACGTCGAACAAAAGGAGGATAGCAGAGTGTTAATCTTGAAAGCTGAGGGAATCAGAGGGTGCTGCCCTTTTCCACTTAGAAACCTCTGCGCCACGTCGACAATATCACCACTCATGGCATCTACAGATTTTCAACGGAGTGCACAGATTTGACGTTTCGAAACTTGATAACAATTTATGGTACCCCTTAAACTGAACGGTACCTAGACTCTTCGACTACAACTCTTCACCCCCTAGTCTCAGGCCACCAAAGGCAAATTCGTCACTTCCTCGTAACCGTGCTTATAGAAGTCTCCTCTCCGGCATCCAGATACTGAGCGACAGGTTTAAGGCAGTTGGCCGACGTTTCAGTTATCTTCTTGAAGTCTCCTTTGAGGTCTGCATGCATCTATTCTCAAATGCCAGACACCATGTTCACAAGCTCAGAACCGCGGCACGAACCTTGGCTACCAGTATTTCTGTTTCCCCACAAGTTATAACCTTCAGCTCATGTAGCTGCTTCATTCTGGCGCTGACATCCTCGTCCGTTCCTGACTCATGGAGGCGAAGGCTAGGCAGGGCGTCTAGGGTGGGGGTGATGTGAAGAAGACACCGCCGTGTACACCGGCGATGCTCTGGAGACGAAGTTGAAGTGGGTCATCATGTCAAAGGCATGAAGCGCCATATCCTTAATGAGAGTTAATTCCTGCTTCTTAACATGCCACACGTACCGCTTTGATCTTTGGCTTTATTCGACCCCCAGACTCCGCCGGGCGGTGGACCAAAACGCTCATCACAAGGTCATCTGTAACCCCCGAAATCCCCTGTAGGGACGCCATAAATGATATGATTCGATACTGGAGCTCCGTCATGTGTCGCACTGATGCAGTAATGAATGTACGCCGCGGCAGAGCTGACCACAAACGCTACTCCACCTACTAGAGAGCAGCAGTATTAGCTACTGCAGTTGCTCCAGTTCCAGCAAGACCCATCCCGCCTACTACTTCTTTGAAGGTCGATGCTAGTGAGAAGACTGCGTTCTTTCCTGGGCTCGGAGGGGAAGAAAGGCCGTACCTATTTTCTCTGCGTGGTTTTCATACCACTCTTTTCTCACCTTTAGGTTCGCTAGTGATTCGTGGTGCCTTTGGAGCAGCTCTTTCTCGGCGGCCCTTGACTCCTCCTTGCGCTTAACGTTGGCTCTCATCCTTTCAGTACTTGTTTCGACGACCTTGGATTCATCCGCCTTCCTCCCTCTAAACTATTTAGTTCCGCACCTATCAGTACCATGCGTTGACACTGACCGCACGCATTCTCCAAGGCCGAGAACAGACGTCTCGTCTTCTCAGACCACTGGTCGAACAGCTGCTCAACCTCCGTGATGGCAGCCGAGCATTTTCCCACGGCCCTCTGGCCATGCAGTACATACATACGCAGATGCTTGTCATCCGCTTCGTCTTGATTGACATCGCAGAATTCAAGCATTCTTTCAATCTGTTCAGCATTTTTCAAAGGCGAGTTAGCTCATGTCAAGTGCATTGGCGGAAATGGCTTCGTTAGGGGAAAGTCTCATTACAGTTCCACCTGGTTTTGAGAGCTCGTGCGACAATCGCGCTCTTTGTCTCATTTTCTCCTCCGTCTTCCTAAATGTCTCCGATCCTAGCTGGACGCAGCCACTAACATTTGCGAAGAGCACGTCATATCCTTGAGGGTATGAAGTTTGTTAGAGCTGTCCACCAGAATAGTGGAAGAGCCAACGATTTACCCACCGAAGGCCATCTCCAGTAAGCTTGATGCCGATCATATCAGATCTAGAGGTAATCAGAAGACATTCCCCAAGGATGCCGACGCACTTTGGCCCAGCACGGAAGCTAAGACGCCAGTCTTGTTGGCCACACTCGCGCTCAAGTTCTTCGTGCTGTTTTCTGATGCTGGTCTCCGCTTCTAAGACTCTTTTCTCCCCGCCGTAGCAGAGTTCCAGCTTGAAACCCCAGGATGTCCAATTACACAACGCTGTGTGCTCACATTTCAGTTTGAGGTGGACTGTGGCATAAATTGGCAAGGCTCAGTCACTATTATTCACTCAATAGTTGCACGTTGAAGTGACACGACTTATCCCAGGAAATTTTGAGAGCTCGGTCCAATAACAATATAGACAAATGTCGCTAACTGCTGCACCGGGATAGTGAATGAAGGTCACGCGTGGCATTCGCCATCTTCCTTTGGCGAGGATGTCCTTTCTACTGCCGATCTGGGGATCGTCCGAGACTGACAATCGTTCTGGCAACACGGACTCGGCAAACTTCGATAATTCGAGATGCAGGAGGTAATAGCGGGGGTATTTCTAGGTTGTCAAAGGCATTGCCGGACCTCGTTTCGGGTGGATCACGGTCAAAAAACAACATTGAACGGTGCAATACTTAGCTCCCCCACCAGTCACGACGATGATCACAGCCGGCGCTGTAAAACGCCGCCAGATCCATTCCTTTGTCGGGTCTTGCAATAAAAATACGTCCCTACTCTGTGTCGGAGCTCCAGGACCAACAGCTCGGGATGACCAGAACAAATGACTGCGACTGCATTAATGGCGCCACATATCTGACCCCATACCCGAATCTCTTCGTTTTATTCGTCACGTAGATTCGCCGACGATCCAGCCCGATTAACTGGTCCTCCAGTCTCAAGAATCGACTGCACATAGCGCGGAGTGTGAGTACACTCCCATGCAGTTGAATTTGGAAAATGATGGGGTCCATTTCGGGGATGCACTGACGATGGTGGTCGATGGACATGTCAGGTCTTGCCCGGAAAAGGGATTTCCCAGCTTGGGCCTTTATTGCAACAGGCCGGAGCAAAGCTTCCATTTAAACCTCTACCTGGCATGAGATGTCCCCTGCGCCTTCACACAGGCCTTCTTCCTGTCCGACAATCTAAATCAGTGGGCATGCCATCAAATCCTTTCTTCAAATGTTGTTTTGTAATAATAATCAGTTAACTGGGACAATTGGATAGCTTGGAAAATAACGACCGACGTAGAAAGAACCCCACCCATCCCCGTCAGGCCCAGTATTATGCAACATGACGAGACTGACAGTTGGGGCGGTGCATGTTTGGGTGAGACAATAGGGCGATACCAGTTCGCCTCAAGCAAGATAACAGGCAGCAGTCTCAGCCCGCCTTGAGTTTGACGTGTTCAGTCTGCCAGGGTGAGGTTTAAAGTGAGTCGGACCCGCAAAAACTATCTTGATCCGGGGTGACAAGCCGCCCTGCGTTCCCCAAATCGGCAGTATCCTACATCACCAAAAATGGGGCAAGAAGTCCAACAGAACGGAACTGTTTCGGGCGATGCAATGAAAAACGAGAACCGCTGTAACGGTTTAAATATAAATCTGGACATCTTTTCGACATCAGAGCTCCTTCGAGTTCTCCAGGGAGTGCTTGGCGCCGCCAAGGTAAATGAAGACGATGCAACCCAGGTTCATCGATGGTTTTTCGACCCCGCCTCGTTGACCCCGCAGGCGATTGAGGGCTTCGAGGCGGACCGAGCCCGCATAACCCTGCAAGATTTGTGCGCAAAAGCAGAAGCAAAATTTCAAGGAGAGGACGACGCGCGACACATATCCTTAGTAACTATTGGAATCACCTTCCTTAGGGTTATTGGTCGAAAGGGTATCCAAGTCCAAGCCGATGAACTGGACCTCGTCTGGCGGATCGTTCGAAGTGCCCTTGCTGTTACCCCTGAGTCCAAACTTCGCTGGGCGGCAAGTCGAAGTGCGCAGGGATTTTTATCTGTTGCCCTCTGCAGTCTGATCAAGGATGGAAATATTGACGAACTCTTCCGGCTCCACATCTGGATGCCCGATGGTTGCCGTGGAAATGCCGACTTCGCTGTCCATTCTCACCAGGCATTCGCCCAAGGCTGGATTCTTGCTGGGGAAGGGAAGGACACGCCGTATAAAGTTAAGCCGGTCACTACCATCGGCGAGGCCACTCATGCCAGGTACGCTCTTGGTTGGACAGACAGCAAAGATAAGGGAAGCACGACGTACAAAACGCACCAACAGTCATCCACGGTCGTGAATACCGGAGACTTCATGCGTGCAGAAAAGCAAAACTCCACCATCCAAACCCGGGGGATTAGCTATACGATCCCTGAGGCTTCTTTTCATACATCCACAGTTCAACCGGACGTTCTTCATGCGACCTTCTTCTTTTTCGACGCTAGTCGGGGTTTCGTCATGGATGCTCCGGTGCTTGGACCCAAAGACGCAGAGTCGTTCACCCAGATCCGCGATCCTGGCGGCATTACTCCTGCCGAGCTGGTTAGTCGAGTTGAGGCCGTCCGCAGGTGGGAAGTTTTCATGGCCCGAGGCCGGTATCACATGGATCGAGCGGAATGGGAACATGCTCTCCGAGAATTAAACAGTGCCCTTCATCTCTGCCAATCTGAAAAGGGGTTTCCAAACACTCAGCGCTACACCAGCATCGTCCACGGAGGACTCGGCAATACGTACCGGCGGTTCGGCCGATACGACCAAGCAGAGAGCCATTTGCGGAAAGCCATGGACGGCTTAGGTGTTAGTGTAGAAAGGGTTGAGTTTAGTGGGGAGTTGGGCGTGTTATATCGCCACATGAACCGAGTCAGAGAAGCTCGATCGGCCTTCTCAGATCAGTATGAAACCGCCAAAGCTCTCGGGTTTGACCGCCCCACTTGCCGCGCAGTTGGCAATTTAGGAATGGTCTATTATCAACTCTTCGGGGAGACCGGTGACATGGGATTATTGGAAAAAGCCATTCAGTGCCTTAACGAACGAATCGAAAGAGCGCGCCGATTACAAGATGAAGAACAAAGCCTTGATCTGGGCGGAGGTGCCAAGCACCGAAGACGCCAGGGACGTACGTGGGAAATTATTGGTCTTACTCGCCTTTCCCTCTGCTATTCTGCCAGGAACGACAACAACGCCGCTATCGAAACTGCTTCAATAGCCATGGACCTGACAGCGGATTCAGAAGATACAACTGTCGTAGCAGTAACTCGTCTCTTCTATGGATTCGCTCTTCTGAAGGGTGGTCGACGGGATGAAGCTCTCCAGCAGTTTAACCCTCCCTACGGGTGTACTCCAGCCATGGCACTTTGCAAAGAGCCTTCAGAAGAGCACCGTCAGTATCTACGCGATCTGATAGATGCAGGAGCTGATCTGGATCTGGTCGATGAGCATGGATATACAGCACTAGACTATGCCGTGTATAGTGGTGATCCTAAAATGGAGGTTCTCGTGCTCGAAGGACTTCGCAAAGTAGCCGGAAGCACGGAGGAGGGCATAATTCAGCGGCAATACGAATCGATGCTGAGAAAAGGCTACCGTGAGTTATTCCAAGAAGAGTTGCGGCCCGTACTGCTCGATGGCGGTCATAATTCCATCGAAAAGCTCCGGATCCGCTATGCCCAAGAGCTGGCCAAGGACAAACGAAAGAGCGACAAGTTCGACCAACTCAAGTTTCTTCGATATTCCGAATTTGTCCAGTTCGGAAAATTCCCTAGGTCGGACGATTCCATGACGGAGACATTCACCCCCGGCTGCGAGCATTCAGCGGGCGAATACATTGTCTTCGTCTCTTATCGATGGCTGAAAGTGGCCAACGTCACAACGTCACCCGATGACCAGAATAATACGCAGTACAATCGTGTAATTGCGGCTGTGGAGAGACTGCTACAACTTCATCCGGATATCAATCCATCGCGACTGAGTATTTGGTTGGTAAGTTTCACACCGTCTTGGCTGTTCACCGAATCTATAACGGACCATATTGACACTCAAGACTAGGACTACGCCTGTGTCGACCAGGAAGACCCAGCAAAGGGGGTGGCAGCTCTACCAATGATTCTCGCGCAGTGCAACGCGGTTGTGAGCCTCGTGGACGATGAGTACTACACTCGAGCCTGGTGCTCCGTTGAGGTGATGATGGTGCAAACGCTGAAAAGATCATATTATTTGCATGAATGGTACGAACAGACTAGAGAAGACGGCGACCAAGAACTATCCAAGTGGACACTCCGTCCGGGGCCAATGGATATGGTGATAACAATGGCGGATAAGAGGGTGACTTTGGAGGAGGATCGTGCTAAGACCCTATTTCTAGAACGGCAGGCTAGACTGCTTGGGACTACATAGCAGGGCAATTAGCAGGGAAGGTAGTACTCTGGCAGATTTTCTTTCCCTAGCTACGTCGATCGGGATTTGTTTCTCCAGGCAGCGACCGTCCCATCAATTGAAGTCGTTGTAAGACACTAACCCTACTAGCGCCGATGCTATGTAGACATAGGAGATCCGTGACGAAGATGCGATCCATGTATTGAAATTCTTCGATACCATTGAACATGTAACATCCGAGGTGGAGGGAGAGGAGCCGGTAATATCAACCCTACCCTCAAACTGGCGACTATCCCCGGCTCTTTCAAGGGCCCGATGACTCTTGGATTGTCAAGCTCCGGGTTGCTGATATAGAAAATGTAGATCATCCTTAATTCCTCCACAAATCTTTTTTTTTCTCTTTTTTTGTATTTATTTATTTCTTCTTTTCCTTCTTAAACGATGTGCCTGGCGGGTGTTTTATTAGCCCACCATCTGCTCGATACGCCGTTCGAGGTCAATGTAGGTGGAGTCTTGGAATGATTCGAGACCGTCAAAATGAATCTCTGCAAGGAAGCCCGGCAATTCCATATTCGATGGGTTTACGGATCGACTGACCCTGGGTCTTCCGAATGTGGGGAAGCCACCATCGCAAAGGGGTCAAAAGGATACTGTGAACTAGGCCATTCATGATCCATCTGAGACCTCCATAGATCTTGGTTGTCAGTTCTGTATCTCCGACTCTGAATGTGGACGATCGCGGTGTCTCAGCTTATTATTGCCCTACTTCCCTGTAAATAAATATCAAATATGAAATGTCTTGGGGTTAGGGTTGAGACAAGAGCACCAAGAAAAGGGATCAATCTACATCAATACTTCGTGTTACTCATTCCCCAAACTCTTCGCGCACGAGTATTTCCACTCTCCACCGAATGAATGCCAGGATCTAGCTCGTGTGTCGAAGCTAGGCGTAGCGGTCTGCCTGGATGTATGCCTCTGTATGGACTCCCTGACATTGCGCTTGGATTAAGACCTGAGCTCGGCTGGACTGGGTATTATTAAATAACTGTTTCATTCCAGCAAGTGACGTTTTAGCCTTTTCCACCATTGATGCTGGAGTAGAAGCCTCGTTTCTTGCAGCGGGCTTCGAGTCTGCGTCCCTGCTCCGCATCTCTACTTCTATGCCGAGGTGCTGGTACAAGTACGAAGTGCATTCAATTCCATGTCGCACGAAGTATCTAGGTGGTGGGCAATACTGGCATGTTTTGGAGAAAGATAATCCTACTGAAAGTTGACACCGATGGTCGTTATATCGCTCATGTCCCGTGCCCCAGCTTCCCATGCAAACGAAGCCTCTTCCGAAGGAAATAAACATCCTTCATCAATCCTTTGTGCCACCTCATACGATTGGATTCAAACCTCGATCCGTGTACTTACACCCCTGGCTGGCATCCCTAGTCACCCTCCTTCGCTTGGAGCACGATAATATTGACGCGCCCGGAATTGGAGGGGGTACGATGAAATTTACACTACCAAGTACTAGTGGACGGGGACCAGCGCTTTTCCAGCTTGGTGTGGGCGAAAAAGGGGTCATGCTTGTCGTTCCTGCATATGGTAGATTCAATAGCTCGAGCGTTTACTCGATGGGACGAAGAAGGCGATTGGCCAGTTTAATTCTCGATTGACCACAAGCTTTTTCTGAAGCCGAAAAGGGGACGCTAACCCCAGTCTTCAATGGGAAACGAACCACCCCGGTAATTTGAGCCCCGTGGATTGCGTCCAGCCGCACAGAGGGAATCTCGAAAGCGAGCCTGGATTAGGTTTAGTGGCATGGCCCTTCAGGCGAGACTATCGATTCCCAGAAATGACTCCTTCACAGATGGCGAAGTCTGTCTCCCATATCTCACGATGCCGCTAATGCAGCTTGCAGCCTCCCCTCCACTCCCCCTTTCTGCTAGGCGGCGCGGAAGCAGTGGAGGGTATTCGTTGGGCGGGATTATCTGGGGAGAGAGGGAGAGTGCTAGCTAGAAGTATTTCGTATATATCTTGACACGCCTCCACACCCGGAGGCATTCTGCCTCCCTCGGACCTTAGACTCTTGAACCTCAGTCGTCCATTCTTTGATCGACCTCTCACACTCGTTTTCTGTCTTTTTGGACTTCGGTCCTATTACTCTCTCTTCATAATAGAACTTTAGGTGTATCGTTATAATGAAGATCACAGGTCTCGTCCTTCTCTCGGCCACGTCGCTGGCGCTGGCAGCGGTCGCCGGCCCAGAAGATCGAAATCGGTTCGGTGGCGGTCACCGGGGCACTCGTGGCCTGGAACACACTTCTAAGTCGAAGTGCACCAAGACCGTTCGTGTTACATACCCATCCTTTATCTATAGCAGTTCGTCCAAGAGTTATCGAACTAACAGGAGATATTCACTAGAGGTCCAGGACCAGGCACACAGTGACCAAGACGGTGACCGAATCTGAATGCCCCAACACATCCGCTGGAGAGTTGGTCACGGTCACTGTTCCCACGACAGTTACCGTCGGCGGGGAGGACGCGACGGTCACGATTACAGCTCCTAATGAGGACAACACTGCGACTATCACTGTTGCGGAGACGATCACTGTTCCTGGTGGTGACGATGTTGCGACCATCACCGTCACTGTCCCCGGCGATGACAATGCTGCCACAATCACGCTTGCGGAGACCGTTACTGTTTCTGGTGACGAAGTCACCTTCACTGTCTCCGGTGAAGAGGTTACTGTAACCGTTCCTGGTGATGAAGTTACTGTTACTGTTCCCGGCGAGGAAGTCACCGCGACCGCCACCACGACACTAACCATCCCAGGAGAGGGCGAGGTTGTTACCCTCCCGGCCGAAACCGAAACCCTCACGCAGGAGATCACCCTGACTATCCCTACCACGATCACCCTTCCTGCTGAGTCGATCACCGTTACCCAGGCCCTCACGGAAACCCTGACTGAGACTCTCACTGAGCCTACGACGGCCACTGAGACGGAGACCCTTACACAGGTCGTCACCGAGCCCACCACCACCACTGCAACCGAGACCGAGACCCTGACTCAAGTCTTCACCGAGCCTACGACTACCACCACCACGGAGACTGAGACTTTGACTCAGATCTTGACTGAGCCTACCACGACTACCACCACTGAGACCGAGACTGTCACGACGCCTACCACCACCACGGAGACGGAAACCGTCACGACTCCCACGACTACAACCACGACGGAGACGGAGACAGCAACAATCACGGAGCCAACCACGACCACTACCACGACCACCGAGACCACCGTCCAGACTGTCACCACCTCCGTGCTTGCGTGTCCCGCGGGCAACCCCATAATCAACGGTGACTTCGAGGGCAGCCTCACCGGCACCTGGTCCGTCCTCGAAGCCGGCGATGCCGACGTGGATCGTATCGCCGTCGGTGGTGCTCAGGGCTATGCGCTCCGTGCTCGCATCAACAGCGGAAACGGAAACCTGCCCCAACGCATCGTCCAGTCCGTCACCGTTTGCCCGGGAGCGAACTACAAGGTGTCGTTCAAGGCCCGAAGGACAACGACTTCGGGCAGCGTCTACGCTACCCTTTACGTCAACGATTCTCAGCAGGCTGGTGGACTTATCACCGCCTCGAGCTTCACTTCCGTCGCGACGATTGGTTCGGGAATTTTCTCGACTACTTCCAATAGTGTTACTGTCAGGATCGAATTCACGTACGGCGGATCTGGAGGTTCGAAGGAGGTTCAAGTCGATGATATTGTCCTGACCAAGTTGTAATCGGAAGTGGTCCACTTCAATGGTCATTATAATACGCATGTAAAAGCCGAAGACTCCTGATAATTTATATTTAATTTCAGTACATAATTTAATGATACACGGGGTTTGTCAGTCATCTACAGGATGTGAATGTGACGAAGATTTCGCAAGTGAATGTTCGAGGTCAAATATGCGGCTCGCCCCAGGGAGTGCTGTTTAGTGTCTGACCAAGCCTTGACCTTGCGACGTGTCCCCAGAATATAATCATACACAGCCCTTGAGGTACGTGAACGAGAGTAAGAACTCAGAAGGGAGTCTCTTCTTCCAATAATTACGTATACTAAACCTTTCCAGCTAGCCTTCTCATCTTGTCACCCTTCCCCGAACTTCTGAGTTCTCTCGCTTAGTAGTATGAAACGGATTCTTTCTTTCACCGCGTGATCCCCAGCCGCTTTATGCTCAGGAAGGAAACACACGCGTTACCTTTCCGTGCTGGGTTCACTCCCAAACTACTCCGCGTCAGAGTTTTCATCACTACTGCGTTCTTCGTCACCAGAGTCTTCCTCGGAGCTCAGGCCCTCAGCCCCCATTCCTTTGTTATCACCCTCATCCTGCCCTCCGGTCTCGGAGTCGTCGTTGCCAAAAACAACGAAGTTCTCAGAGTTAGCCTCAAATTCTGCCTGCTCTTCAAATTTAACTTTTAGTTTTTGGATAAATTGCTCGGGCAACTCTAGAATTCGCTTTTTCACCCGATCCTTAATCTTTGCCGCCGATAGTTCCTGCTTCAAGATGAATTCGCTGCTCTTGATGTAGGCATCCACGAAATCCTGCCAGAGAGAGGCGTCAATATCGGGCCTCGGAAAATATGGGTCATTTCCGTGCGTCGCAGGGACAAGCTTGTCGAGAATATCCGTATCCGTATCCGTCAACTTGAAGGGGCGCGACTTGTCAAAGTCAATCATCCAAATGTGAGTTCGGCGTCGGCGGAAATCATGTTCGTAAACGGAGCGTGGCGTACTACCTTCTTTGAAATCCATCGTATGAGGGGGAATCGTAGGCCCCGCAGCAGAGGTCCCAAGAACAAATTCGACGTCTCGGCCGTCGAGATGGGCCTGCCAGTGAAGGATGGAAAGCCCGATAGCGACCTCTTTCACGAGATCAGGAAGCTCCAAGTCAAGTGCGAGCATTCTGTCGTAGTAAAGTGGGAAATTTTGGAGCGTATCGTAGCACATCCCTTCAGGTTCCTTCTCGTCGAAGTAGAGACGAATAAGGCAGGCCTTGTTCTCGTCGTTGTCGAGCGCATCCTTTCGGATCTCCTCGGGGAAGAAGGTTGAGATCAGGAACGCTCGAGTCTCACTGGGCATTGGGAGCACACGCTCTTCGATAAGGGCCGCCCGGGTGGGCCGATCGTCCGAGGGGATCCTAGGTTGGATAGGGTCCCAGAAATTCTGATCATCGGGGGTGTGATATTCGAAACATCGAGGAACTCGGGGAATGGAGAGCTTGTGCCGGAAGAGATTCCGAAGTTGTTCCTCTGTCTGAATCACAGATCTGTAGGCAAGATTGGTTTGGAGAAAATCCTGCCAGAGACCGGTGTGAAGCGAAGATCCTATCTTCACAACACGGACGGTTCCTGGGATTTCGTAAACAGTGCCGCAGGTGCCTCGACCGATGACTGTAAAGGGAGCCGAAGAATCTGCGCGGGTCGCGTTCATGCGCTTAGCAAAACTGGAGGCTGTCGACTGCACAGACTTCGACGAGAGAGTCCGATAAAGAGCGATCCTTCGGGTCGAGGTCGGATTATGGGACCCAGTATCATCAGGCGCGGCCATTTTGACAAGGAGATGGGGTGTCGCCGAGATGGAGATGGATGGAACAATATTCGATATATGGGGATATTTCAAAATGATGAAGTTGGAATGGGAGATGGAGATGGAGGCAAGAAAAGGGAGATGGGAGAGAGGGAATGCTTGGAGACCATGGCTATGGAAAGAGCAACGGATCAACTGCCTTTTTAGAGTCGAGGAAGGGATGACCCCAGTGATATCCCATGTGATATTTAACAATGCACGAGGCACGAGGCACAGAAAACGAGCCCTGGTACGAGTACGACGAAAGTTTTGCCGCTAACAAGCCCCACTTGCCTCACATGTTTCCATTATTAAAGTTCACGAAAGTACCAAGGATTTCCCAGAAGAGCAACCACACAGGAGCCAATACTGACCTGGGGATGGAAACAATGAATAGCGCTCGGAATGACTGTAGATCCTGCAATCTCCAAACAGAGTTTAACAAGATACTGGGCAACCGCAATTAGACTTAACTACTAGATTCGGCCCATAGGAAAGAAAAGGGTATCTGCATACCGAGTTTCGCACCTCTCTTGCCCCTCTGTTGGAAACTCCAAGCTGAAGGGTCAAGGATGTCAACCCAGCTTAGAGAACGTGGAAGAGGGATGAAAAGGCTCACAGGTTAAAGTCAAGACCCTGGATCATCGTCTATAGTCCATACTTTCATGCCCCGAATATAGTCCTTCGGACAATCCTCCTAAACCTGGCTGAACTAGTGTTATGAATTTACGAGTGAGAGGTCAGTATGTCAAAATCCCCGCAGAATTCTTCTGATATTGCTTCGCCTTTACCAGTGTATAATCGGTCCGGGAATAGGTTTATTATCGGATTGCTTCCCTTGCCTCTTCCAAACCAAATTCCCAAATACCCAAATCTCACAGCCACCCATCACACATGAGAATTAATCTTCACCAGGGCCTACGTTCGGTCGTTCCAAGAAGACTTTCATTGGCAATCAGTCACTCTGAGCAGACATTAGTTCAAGTCGGTTTCTCCTGTCAAGTCATCTTCGACCCTTAGCATCGGGCATACGCCGGAAAGAAACTCTCGAAAAGCTGCAACGATAGTCACCCAAGGCAACACGACACTTCCGCTCCTCGTTTTCTAGCCTACGGGGACGTGCCCCGGGACTCCGGGAGCGCGATAATCCCCTGACAGAAAAACTGATTGGTGGAAAGACGAAGAGCAAAATTGTCCGGATTTGGTTCTCCATGGCATTTCTCCTCACGTGACTGAATTCTCCGTCGAGAACAAATAAGGTTAATAGTCATCATTCCATGGCTCCCTCATCGTGACACGTCACGACCGTTGGAAGAGTGCCTGAAAGAATGAGCACGAAAAAAAAAAAAAAAAAAAAAAAAAAAAAAAAAAAGGAAAAAGAAGTCACAAAAAATACATACAACACCAGGGATTCGCTGGTCGTCACCGACCCAACTACTAGTCTGGCGCTTCGTAGCTTATGTACAGGGGAGCGGACGGGACCCTCAGTTCTCTACGAGCTATGGTCGTATGTATTATTTTTGCTCCTCTGTCTGCTTCATAAAGGTTCCGACAAGAGAAACCATTGAAAGCTGATCGTCTGTATTTGTGGTATCAACCTCTCAACAGATGCCGAGCCGACTCCAGAATCATCGTTCCCTCAATGAGTCGGGTGAGATAGTAGATGCCATAGTCATCGAAGACTTCTTCACTAGTAATAAGTATTGCCGTCTGCCCACCGAGCCGTCGGCAGATTAACTTCTCGTTCTGAAGAAATGGTGGCTGCAGTCAACTGAACCCAATGAACGTGCCTTTGTAGTGTTTAATGGAACCTCCACATCCCCAAATGTGACCTCGCAGTGCGCCCCTCCGTCTAGGCGAAGCGGGGCGAGAGATTCCCCGAATTGAACCGCCTTCTGCCCATCCACCTATGCTCCGGTCAGCGATCATCAGCTCTCTCTTCCCTGTCCGGAATAAGTTAAAACTTCTCCAGGCAAGTGGGGCGCTGCTCGTCTTTCCTTTGTTATCTTTGCTGGCCAATCGCTAGGTTGCATTCTTCCAATCCGGGAAACGCGGTCCTCGAAGCTCCGTGTCAATTAAAATTAGACCGGCGTCGGTGTACACCTCATTAGATGTAGATTTCATTGGAGAAGCCAATGTGCCAAAGCTTTGGCCCCTGGCACCGTACCGCATTAACGGGAAGCTCCATCTTCCCCGAACTGGTGTTCTAATAGGTGATGATATATATATGAATGGCCGCCCGTTACTTTCTTTTTCTTTGATGCTTCGCGATGCGGCGGTTTTCCACGATTGGTTTAAACTGGTGTAGCTTGTGTTCGACCACAAAAGGCCCTTTACGTTCGTTACTTCAACTTTATTCTCTCGTTGATTCTCCAAGTCGAAATGCATTTTAACCCCACCACTCTCTTGACCCTCAGTCTCGCCGCCACCGGAGCTCTTGCCGGGCCTCATCGTCGCAGGGCGTGCAAAGCCCAGCCTCCTAAGGGCTTCGTCACGGTCAAGGATGGCAAGTTCCAGCTCGATGGCAAGGACTTCTACTTTGCGGGAAGCAATGCTTACTACTTCCCCTTCTCTGGCGTGCGTTTACACCCTTCCCAGGGCGAAGACTCGTACTAAAGATATTCAATAGACTCAAGCCGATGTCGTCAAGGGTCTGACGGCGGCCAAAGATGCCGGCCTGAAGGTCTTCCGAACCTGGGGCTTCAACGACAAGAACACCACCTACGACCCTAACGGTCTTCCTCAATACGGCGGCGAGGGTGCGACTACCGAGGTCGTCTTTCAGAGATGGGACAATGGCAAGCCGACTATCAATATTGAGGGCTTCGACAAGGTTGTTGACGCCGCCACCGAGGTCGGAATCAAGCTCATCGTTGCCCTCACCAACAATTGGGCAGACTATGGTGGTATGGACATGTACACTGTCAACCTTGGAGGCCAGTATCACGATGATGTATGTGATGCCCGACTGTAATGGATAAAACGCGCTGCACTCCCTAACGCACGCATTTACTTCCAGTTCTACCGCCTGCCCGTGATCAAGGATCACTTCAAGGCCTACGTTAAGGAGTTCGTCACCCGCTACAAGGACTCGCCCGCCATCATGGCTTGGGAGCTTGCCAACGAACCCCGCTGCGGCGCTGATGGTACCCGCAACCTCCCCCGCAGCGAAAATTGCACCGTGGAACTTATGTCTGGATGGATCGACGAAATAAGCACCTATATCAAGAGCATCGACCCCAACCATCTTGTCACCTGGGGTGGAGAAGGTGGATTCAATGTCGAGTCCGACGACTGGGCCTACAATGGTGCCGACGGTGGTGACTTCGACCATGAGATCAGCCTCAAAAATATCGACTTTGGCGTCTTCCACTCCTACCCCGACTGGTGGAGCAAGACCGTCGAGTGGACCAATCAGTGGATCCACGACCACGCTGAGTCCGCAAGGAAGGCTGGCAAGCCAGTGGTTCACGAGGAGTACGGGTGGATGACTCCCGAGGCTCGCCAGGAAACCCTGGGCCAAACCCGTAACGAGACTAGGCTCGAAGTTGTCGGTGGATGGCAGGAGATTTCCGTCGAGGAGAAGGTCCCCGACATGTACTGGCAGTACGGATACTCTGAGTACTCTTTTGGCCGGAACCACAATGACGGTTTCACCATCTACCTTGATGATGAGGAGGCCAAGACTCTCGTTTACGAGCATGCTGAGAAGATGAATGCCCTCAACGGAGAGTAAGGTGGCCGTCTTCTGTATTATTTTTGACCATCCCGAGGTCTTATCGGACGCACGGCGTGTAGATTATGGGATTCTCTTGCCTTGAAAGTTAGGAGCACTATCTACTAAAATAATATGATTGATGGCGCTAATCTGGGATGCTAACCGACTTTTATAATTGCAATCCTGACGGGCTATCTGCTAAGAATTTTTTTTTTGTTGCCCCCGGAGCCATTGTCAATAGCCTTGATGTGAATACTATCATAGCTTATCAGTAGTTTACTAAATCCTGGTCCTCGCCCAAAGAGTCCTCCATTATAGAACCCATAACGCGTACCCAATTCCAATAATCAGCCCAATGGCGGACAATCCAAAAGTCCGAGGGGAGCCGTTCTCGTTCGAGTTGGGCTTAGAGTCCTCCTGGACGTTCAAGCAAGAAAAACTAACATCTGGCGTCTCTCGGCTGTCGCTACTCGAATTGACACTATAACCCCATGCCGTTGTGATGATAAAGGTGTTCTCTGATGCCTTTTGAAGGGAGGTTTTGTTATTGAGGTCTAGACTGGACCCAGTGCCGACCCGCCAGGCCACATCGCCCAATTTATCTTGAGTTAAGAGGTCAATCCAAAAGTCATATTCAAAATAACTGGCGTCAAGCTCTGCCACTGCCATTAGTACCTAATGTTTAATCTCAGGGATGTATGGGGTACGAACATACGGTAGAGAATTGTGGAGGCATTGCCAATCGAATCGAGGCAACTCTTCGGCGGTGAGTAGACATAATGGGCAGTACATCGTCCGACCTCATCCCCACTCACCCAGTTCCGGGTCAATTGTTCAGTCCAGTCCTTGCGGCATTGGTCCGGGATGAAACCGCATTGGTGATCTCCTTGGGTGTTACCGGGCTTTGTTGCAATCCAGATCTGTCGACAAATCAACCAGGATGGATGCACAGGCTTGACCTTGTCGCCATCCATCAATGATTGAGGGAGGTTATATGTTACGGTTGACACGGCGGTCTTGTTCGTAGTAGATGGAACGAGTTCTCCATCAGAGCTGTCCTCGAGAAATGGGACGTTGTCTACGACGCGGAGATGGGCCTTGAAGTCGCCGAGCTTGGAACCAGGAAACTCCTGAGTCCAGTCATAGCCTTCGTACTCCGCCGTATCGGACAAATTCGGATTCGTGTGACCGTCCTTCAGGGGTTCGAATTCAACTAGGGCGTAACCCGAGAGAGATAGGCTGTCGTCGAAAAAGATTTCGGCCGTTTCTGGATACTGATCCTCTACTGTCTGATCTGCATCGTTGTCCTGGGCCACCGTGGCGAGCAAGAAGCAGCTCGTGACTAGGTAAAGAAAGCACTTCATGGTCTCTGGCTAGGCTGAGGTGTCGATGCCGGAGAGGAAAATGCGTTGGATTCAATTTTACATCGTGCGGATAGGACGTCAACTAAATACAAATTTCGATGCTTGCTTCAACACGCCGGCCCGGTCCCGAAAGGATGGCTGTGCCGCTTGGTAAATGCGTTTCTAACTCGTGCGAATTTCATGCACGAATGCAGTCAAAGACCAACAGCACCGGAAAGACGCCGAGAATGAAACGGTCTCCTTGGGATGTAGACAGCTCTTTCTTCCAGACTGGCGTCCAGACCCGTGGCACCAATTAAACGGAAGGCAGTGTTGCGGCTGCCACACCACCATCAGACGTCCCTCCGTGCCTCTCCAAAAAGGGGCTCGAATCGAGAGGTAGATAGGAAGATCACCGATTGCCCATGGGCCAACTGCTGATTGTCTTAAGGCTCGGCCCGGTGACAACGCATTGCGAAATGCACTAGACCCCGAGAGTTCGAAACGGGCCTCAAGAATGCTTCGGGTCAGAGACGAACTCCGTTGTTCTCAAATTGCGTTTCGGAAATAGCATTGGACAAATATGTTTACTGCTATCTTGGCCTGGCCCGGGGCTCGACGACCTCGGGTTTCCAACCCTGGAGAAATGGTTGAAACCAGATATCCCAAGTGCCGTTGGCAAGACGGAGATTTTTTGTTGAATTTTATTCTAGCCAGACTAAGTCTTCATCGCTTTAGCCCTTACGATCGTCCGTCTTATCCACTACTCTCAACGTTGAACTATACGCGCGTACTAAAGTCCCATCCGTACTACATCTAACCCTGTAAGCCCACCAGAAATCCGGGATGCACTCACTTCAAGATGTGCTGAATTTTGAGCCTCGACCGGATGCGCATCACGACCCGGCATGTCAATAGATCATATTAATAGCAAATGCAAGGGAGATGATTAAATTAACAGTTAATAACTTGTGCGATCTAGTCATCATTCATTCGAAAACAAAACCCAAACAGTTGTTAAGAGCGGGCCTCCGAGGCTTAGAATAGGGAGGGTCTTCCGGTTGGCACCACCAGCGAAGTCACTGATATACACGTTCGAACTCCCAATGCGTTCGGCAGGGAGTAGTGAGCCTGGCATTAGAAATTCTGAAGACGAGGGGCGCCATTTCTATACAAGATAGCATGCCTCAAACGTGTAAAATAGATAGAACGGCGGGTCTATATTCGTGCCGGAATTTATCCAAAGTGGTGGATATTGAACATCACGGCTAACTACTGCCGGAGGATTCTTCCCACCTGACTTGTTCGAGAAGATTTTCCATTTCCATTCGGAGGCTCCCCATTCGTTCGCAGGAACTGATGGGATCTTCTGCAGATGGGATGGTGGGAAGCTTCCCGCCTCGTTATTCTTCAACTTCGTTGAACACAGCACCAAAGTCTAATAGCGACGAAGTGCTCTATTTCAAAAGGTTCCTAGATAATTGACCTCGGCCATGCGTCTCCTACGGCACTTGTCTGTCTCGACGACAGTAACGTTGTCACTATGTACGTTCTGCCTCATTTCAGTTTGGCCAAGTTGACCGGCCCCTGCTGACAATTTGTGGTCAACAGTCGCAAGGGGCTGTCTAGGCCAGTATCCCGACATGATAGTAGGGTCCTACACCGATGAAGAGACCGGAATTAACTTTGACACCTGGACTGCTCCCCCAGCAGAAAACGGCGATGGAGGTGTCACATTCGGCATCGTCCTGCCAGAGAACGCCACAACAAATGATACAGGCGAGTACATTGGGTACCTAGTATGTTCTCGGCCCTCATCTATTCCTTTCAGATGACCAACGATTTCTCTCTTTTCTAGAGCTGCGCGAGTGTGAGCGCTGATCGAACAGGGTGGTGCGGCATAGCTCACGATGGTCATATGATCCATTCTCTTCTCCTAGTTGCCTATCCATATAACGATCAGGTTCTTACGTCCTTTCGCTGGGCTACCGACTACTTTATGCCCGATCCCTACAGCGGCGACGGTTCGCCAACTATCACGTATATCCGCTCATCTGTTAATGAGTCGCGCTACGAGCTCGTTTACCGCTGTCAGAATTGCTTCTCGTGGGACGACGCTCAAGGGGAGAACGGAGGAAGTTCTAACTCGAGCGAGGGCGAAATCATGCTGGGCTATGCCCAGGCAGCAGATGGGCCAACGAACCCGGCACGTCCGTCAGAGATCACGCTTCAGTATCATACACTAGGATATGCACAATGGGTAGTCCCAGTTGGGAATGTTACTAGGGGAGACTATGAGACATGGAGCGAGTTGGCAAGGGAGGCAGCGCCTGGTGAATGTGAGGTTTGATCACCCAGTACATTGGCCTCGGGGGTAGGTAGGGTTCCAAAATTTGGCCGCCTTGGCTATGTCGGCCGCAGATTAGAAAATTGAAGCCGCAATTCAGCTTTATGTCTCACCCCTAATTATTCACCGATGCTGCCTTCTCTATCCGTAGTTTCCCAAGTGATTTCCATCGGCATCCTGACCGGCTCACCATCCCCTTCTGGGACTTCTATACTGCCCTTAGCCGTAAACATGACGCTGAGTACCGGGGAAATGTTAGTAGAATAATTTTGTTGAATCCTGGACACTGGATAACACTTACGGATGATGGGGGCTTCTGTCAGAACACTCCCACGACTGCTCAATTGAAAACAGGTTCGTCTCGCTGTTATACGCTCCCTTGGCATCCAAGAACCGACCTCCTGGTATAACAGGCGAGTAGCAATCCCCCAGCGTTTCGACCGTGGGAACGAAGCAGTGGAAAGCGGCCGACGCGTATGGAATGGCCACGCCAAGTTCCAGTCGAGAATTCATGCGCTCAACCGTTCCGTCCTCAGCCACCTCGACAGAAAAGTAATCGGGAAAGAAGTTCCAATACCAGTTTTCCGGCCGAATCGAGTCGACAAGACATCCTCCTTCTCTAGGATACTGAAAGTCGAAAGCGTTTTTCAAGAGGCTGTGTTCCGCAATAATGGTGCCGGTCACGGCACTATCTTCCATGATGGCTTCACAGAGTGTGGCGTTGCTTATGAAGGCACTAGGTATAGCAAAGTCGGGGTCACCGCCGGAATCTGATGATAGGGGTTCGCAGTCCCACGACGCGGGAGAGAATTCGCCAAAGCCTACGTACTTGATACTTCCATGCCTTTAGCCTAGAGTTCGAAGAGGAAAGGGGCGTCACCCGGAATGGGGGCAAGTGGATTAACGGTACTGCCTTACTTACCCTTCGCCTTCTTCATCGCCCCCGCAGTACCAGCTTTCAACGATCTCAACTTTTCTTGCGCAAGCATTGAACCGGACCGCGGCCTGGCCCAAATACTGTCCGCTATATGAATCGACCCAAGCGGACCCTGAGCAGATGGTCCAGTCACCATCTTCCCGCGTCTCGCAATCCGCTTCCTCGTCCAGAGGAACTAGATCTAACCCGCCAGTATGCAAGCAAGATGTAGTCTGGTTAGTGATGCCGTTGTGTAATGTCACAGCTAGAGCCCCTCGCGGCGTAGGCGGAGACTCTCGTGATTCGTTGAACCACACCCACTTAACATCAGAAAAGGTCCACATCGGCGTTTCCGATGCCTTTCTGCATGCAGGGTTGTTACTCCCAGCAGGTGAGCTAAGAACCTCGTCCCTAGGAGTTATCTCGATGGGAGCCAGGAGCGAATACGGAATAATCACATGACCAGTCTCAGAGATTGATACTGGGCTACCAGGAGAATCCGTGTCGATGACGAAATTGGCGTCTGCGCCTGCTTTGAATATAATTCTATTGGAAATCTAGGGTCAGTGTTTTCTCCTCAAAGAGGACTGGATCTCTGGAAAGTGACGTGACGTACTGAGTTCCGTCTTCCTCACTTGGGCAACTCCATATTTGATTGATAGTCAAAGACCCGTTCGATGAGTCGGGGGCATAATAGAATTTGAAAGTAGTGGCAGGGTTCGAGCTTTCGCAATACCCTGATGAGGTGGGGTCTATGGAAGTCCAATTGGACGAGGCAGAGGAGACAGAACACTCTATATTCAGATCACTGATCTGACTTGTGACGCGAAAGTAAATCAACTCAACAAGGTTCTGTTCGGCACCTCTATTACTCTCGTACGTGAAGTCTTCAATTTGCCAATAGCCATAGCTTAAAGAGTCTTCGATGCATCCGACCGCCAGGGTCTGCGGCGGCGTGTTCAACAAATATCTCTCAAGGCCTCCATCTAGGCTGAGGTTGGGAATGGTTGCTGTCATGGCGAATCAATGGAGCGACTCTAGGATGGTCAAAACGGAGATATCGTTCTTCTCTCAGGCCCGGTATTTGCAAATGGACTTCGAGTTAGAATGGTTGAGTAGCCTAACTACACGTCGAGGAACTTCATCTCAGGCCACGCCCACAATCGTGAAACAGCGAGACAGCGACATCTAATCTTCCTCAGGCTAGAGAGAGAGAGAGCCATTAGGGTTCTGTGCGATATTAAGGGACCCGGATCTTTCTATGGGCGTACCCCGCAAATTGGCAATATCGTCCCGCTGAGATCGCCTGGATAATTGCGCAAGTTCCACTAAGTAGACTCGAGAACGCGACGGATATTTCCTCATCCGGGCACGGGCCGGTGCCGGTTTTCCAGCAAGTTGCAAAGGCATTCCGGGTGATGTCTTGTCCTGGTGCGGAATCCCTATCCCTCGAGATCATATCGTTCATACAATTTCGCTCTTGGCTCGGATGTTAGCTCTGTTCAAATCCGGCCTTGTAAATAGTTAGTGTGGACATGATACATCACTTGCGCGATTGTCGCACAGCCACCAATCTGCCTCCAGGATCGGGATCTGTCGCGGCCACCAGTAAGCTCCTAATAGCGGAGCGAGGGGGACTCTAAGAGGAGAACAAACGCATATATCAATTATTATTAGGACAGGGGTTTGCAAAGTCAGGACTACTGGCAAGGTGGTGGGTGTGTGAAGCCCACCTATTATTTCTATTTACATAATAGTGTTAACCTGTAGTGTTGATCCTCTATTTTGCCCAGAGGTCTTTTGGCAGAAGATAATGCATGAGATTGATGGTGCGGAAAGTATGGCAGTGGGCCAGGCAAAAGTAAGTTGTCTCATGTCAAGGCTGTAAGAAGACTTGTATTTGAGATGGTGGATGAAGTAAATTCCGCGTCAGAGTGTCTCGAAGGCTTCCTCTCGTACCGTGAAGTTCGAGCCCTTCAAGACCGCCCCGAAAGTGGGTCTCAGTTCCCATCCAGCTACCAGCGCCTTCGTCACCATCTCAATATCACACTTGAATAATCCTAACTAGAGGTTAATAGAGTAGCACCTTTACGGACGTAAGCGAAGGATTTCCCAGGGTGAAGCCAATGGCGGCATAAGAAACTTGCGCATATTTCCCTCTGCCAAATGTCCTCTTGCAGTGGGGCTCGACGGCAGCCGCCTTACGGGTCCCAGGAATGTTTAGGGAAACACCTCTACTCTTGACTTACTTCCAGAAACATCTGCCCAGGTTACGAGAGAAAAGTAAATAAGCATAAGAGGCAACTTCCTTCAAGTGTTTTCTGCAACGATTTGCTCAAGAAACGCCACCCCCGAGACCGGAATCGCGCTGTCGTTACGATGCTGTTTAAGACACTGTTTGCAATCGGAGCGGCTATGTTCGTCGCTGCAGATTTATTGGATGAGAAAGAGAGAAGGTGCGACGAAGAAGATGATGGTATGTCGATCGGGTTTTCCATCCATCCACATATATCTTGTTGCGTGGCCCATCACCGCTAACATGCTCTAGGCACGCCCGTCAACTGGGGTCTTCTGGCATTGCCTGGAGTAGATATGTTGGACCTCTATGGGCCAATTGAACTTCTCTATTTCGTAGCCGGTAATCGCTACTTAAACGTCACCATCATCACCCCTACCGCAGACAACATCGTCATTACACCTCCAATGGGCAACCGGTACAACTCAGTGTTTAAGCCTGAGATTGTCGGCGCCGCCACTTTTGGGGATGATTTAGATCTCGATGTGCTGCTTGTGCCAGGGGGTGCCGCGGCCCGCGACTCGACTCTCACGTATGTCGATGACTACGTTGCTGAGATGTTCCCCAAGGTGAAATATCTTCTCACAATCTGTACTGGGGCAATATTCGCCGCCCGTGGAGGTGTTTTTGACGGGAGAAGAGCGACGACCAACAAGAACGCATGGGACCTCGTCACCCAGCATGGCACAAACGTTACTTGGGTTGCACCTGCCCGGTTTGTCCAGGACGGGAAAGTTCTGTCTTCATCCGGTGTATGTATTTGCCTCCGCTAAACATCTTGAAGATTAGGGTGTCTGAGCTGATCGACATATCCAGGTTTCCGCCGGACTCGACCTGATGTTTGCATTCATCAAAGAGCACTATGGCCAGGAACTCCATGACCGTATCAGCATTTTAACAGAAATCGTGCCACGTGCACACGACGATGACCCATTTACGGATATCGTTGGGGTGCCACACCAGGGCCAAATCTAGAGGCAAAGGATTACTATTTATATTTTATCTCTCTCGGAATATCGGCTTGGCTGTGTATGCACTGATGCAGGTCTTTTAAAAGCCGACCCCCCTCCAGAGAAGACCGGAGTTTACACGCGCCCGTGAAGGGCATAGACACCGAAGTATAAGAATTATCAATTTAATTACGAAATCAAATAGGTGTTTAAGTATTTTTTTCTAAACTTCTCTATGTCCAGCCCCTTTTTTACGATTCTAGCTCTCTCCCGCTACTCCCGAGGCTTAGATCTTCGCTCCTTGCGATTTCCATTTAACAGGTGAAATTGTGGCGCAGCTGAGTTGCCCAATCCAAATGAAGGCATCTTCAGCAGCTGCAAGCTGCATGTCCTTGCAGCATGCAGCATGCAGCATACAGCGTAGAGATGGGATATGTGGCTTGTCTTTTTTCAAGGATCAATGTTTGTCCGCCCTTCTGGAGTCGCTGCAGAAATAGCCTGGTCTCCGGGGCTTGTATGCATTCCCTAGATTATCCACTCTCTCTGCTCGTTCATCTTATTGGCTTTGATTTGTAAAGCTTTTCTTGCCTTATCTCTCTTTTATTTCCTCGTTCTTTCTTTTCCGTTAAATTTTACCTTTCCCTTCTCCCCTATTCTTAGAGACCTGCATCCCTTGGCTGTTGAAGGGATGAGTGAACCCTACCCCAGACCTGAACGAGTCAACGAACCGCCAAAATACACTGAAGAGGCTACCAACCAGTACCAAGCCTATGTCACTGATCAGTCAGACTCTGATGTTTTATCGATATCTCTGAGTGGAGTTGGAGATGGGTCTCCGACGCCCTCAGAGATATCGAGATCATATGAGGAGGAAGGCGGCTCCTCAAGTCCCAACCGCTATGGCCGCATCAATGGAGAAAGTCGCACAGAAGAGCCCTCTGCCTGGACGAGTCATTTGGTGGGAAACGCCGACGGAGTGTTACGCAGAACCTTTCTCTAATATATATCATAGGCTGAATCTCAACAAATGACATCGGCTATCGATGCAGCTTCTCAGTATATAAAAGCTAGGACATCGGGTACAACTCTTCCAAGAAGTGATCAGCAAACTCACCACCGGACAGTGAGGTTTGCAGAAGCAAGCCCCGACCGTGGTAGCGGAGCTTCCCCCTCTGAATCTTACGGCACCGACTCCTGGACCAGCGATTCAGATCCTTCTCAATCGCCTATGTCAGGTAGTGAAGATGATCGGAACTATCAAAACGCATGGCGCTCCCGTTCGAGGCGCAGATATCACCCACCGCATTCATCCAGGCGGCATCGGCAGCCTAAGCGATCCTGGAACCGGGATCGCTTTAGAGAGCGTTGGTTTGACAAGCACCATGATGTCAGCGCGGCGGACTTGGCCATCCCGATAACGTATCACTGGCTTGAAACAGACGGCTTGGCTAAACTCCTGCCTATAACTCATGCTACAGAAACTGACAGTGACATTACGCTCGGTCCGAGTTCCAGCGCCGAGGCTACTGCATGGTCACAGCCGAAGACATATCTAGAGGAAGACACGACGACCGAACTCCGCGTAATTCACAACATAGAGTTTTCTACTTACGCAGCTAGCCAGTATAAGGTGGTTCTAACTAGTTTCAATGAGCCTAATAGTAAACAGCCAGCGAAACAACCCGAAGATCCTGGGGTCATGCGATGGTTGTAAGTTCTCTCTCCCTTGAGCTGTATATCTGCGGTGGTGCTACTCCTGACATTTATGTTTCGAAGGCATATCCAACGACATTCACTGCGGTTAGACATCTTGGAGGTATATGTTGTCATGCCGTGTCCTTCTCCTTTCGCCGCTCTCCGCACACTGTTCGGCAGCAACTGACCGGTGCGTAACCCAAATAGAGATTAGTGCGGGCTTGCCCATTCATTTCATCAGAATTGATGCCCGTTGTCATCACAGTGATAGACGATGTATCGGGCAGGCTGTTGGATCGGGTCGATAGGACAAGCTCCATCGACTCAGGGAAGATTGTGAGATACACAGGCCACGTTGAGTGTCATGGCGGCGACTCTGTGCGGCAAACAGTGCCAGTTACCTTCCTATCTGTGCCGTATCTTGCCCTCAAGGCTGTCGATGCCGAGGCAGCTGCGAGCGGCTACCGCTCTGGAAAGCCACTGTTACACAGTCTCTACGGGTATGACACAGGGGTCGAACGGGAGCTCAAGCAGGTAGTGCAGAAGCTTTCCATTGCTTCAGGTCAGGAGGCGCTACATGAGTCTCAGCTGTGGTTGCTTACCGTCGGATCGGGCAAGTTGTTACTTCAGGACCATTCCCCATCCACCCCCTTGTCACTTGCGTTGGATCGACTAACATTCGCTGTTTAAAAGAGATTATGATTACCTTTGGGCAAGTATCCTCGCAATTTATTCTCGGAGATCTAGTCACCTTCATAGAGGGGAGCACGGGCAAAGACGAGTTGCATGTGATCACCCTCATTGACCAGTTCAATCATCGCTACACCATCACAGTGAAGGCAGACTGTAACTACGTTGTACGTTCCTACAAAGCTCTTGCTAGGGCGAATGTTCTCAATCTATGGATCACAACTGATGTATAAAATTTCAGGATATGTTGAGACATGCCGTGACTCTAGCAAGTCCGCCACCACAGGACCCGGACGACTTCGAACTTCTAGATAACGACAAACATCCTCTCACCCCACTCAGATGGCTGAACATGCTAACTTCATCACCCTCGGCCCGCCACGTTCTTCGACTGAGGCGAAAACACCGACCCCAGCTCCCTCCGGTCCCATTCCCAGATGTCAACAACGCACCAATGCATTATCCCCCACAACGCGAGCAGTCGATAGAGGACCTCGGTGATGTAGACGAAGAGGTCCGAGCTTCCGACTCTGGAGAAGGCCCGTTTGATGAGACGGCTGATAATTTATTTTATGGCGATGAGTGCAACTCACTCGTCCAATATCGCGGTGGCCGCGCTGATGGCTGGCGGAGTGTGGTGAATGATGCAAGCTCTCGACGGAGAGATGTGGAGTCTCTCACAACAGGACATTACCACTCAACTGGCTTATCTTCCGAAAATTCTCATGAACAGTCTCTCCCACCACGAGCCGCGAACATTTCAGCACGCCAACATTCGGAAGTTGCTCTAATACATCGCTTCTACCAGGAGCCAGCCGATGGAGTATCACGTATCGAGATCAATGAGGCGTTTCAAGATCTGATAAGTCCAGCATATTCTCTCCCGAGACGGCTACCTCCCCCCTCCCAGAGTCGTATGTATTCCAGCAGCCGGCTCCTCGACTCAAGACGCAACTATACCCCTGTGAGACACAGCCAACTCGGTTCAAGGCAAGAAATTCTTTCCGAGATTGGCCCGCTCGTGCTTTGGCAGGGCCAAGGCGTGAGTAGTGATGGATTAGAAGACAATATTAAAGACGAAACTTGGCGTGAAGGGAGGCTCGTAGTTGACCCCTCCTACTCTAGAAGGATGCCTGCGGTCGTATCCGCAGGAGTGAAGAGAAATGCACAGGAGCCGGAATCGGAAAAGCCTCCAGTATGTGTCCTCCCTTTTTCCTAAATCGATATACTGATATGATACCTTGGTTGCGCTGGTGCTTACTATATCCAGCTTTCTTTGAAACGAGATCCCGCTCCTTATCGAATCTCGCAAAAATCTCGCCGTCCAAACTCTAAATATAATTGGGAAGGCAGAAGGAGCTCGCGTTGGAAGGATAGGGACCCGCCTCCCGTACACCAGTTCGAAGAGACATCTCTCCCTTCTTCGCCAATTCCATTTTTCAAGTGGCGCCTGAGAAGTCATCCCAGACACCGCACGAAGAAACAGGTTGATCAAGATTTACGCACGGTACTTGACCAAATCGATGAAGAGGTTCGCAGTGGCAGGGTCCGGCGAGCATATAACGACACATTCAAGTGCACCAAAAAGGAACTTCTTGGTCGGCACCTTTTCCCACTATCGGCCGATAGCTATGCTATCACTGGTGACCAGTTGGCTCTAGGACGCTCTCAGGGACCCGTTGCGGAACGAAGGCCGGCTTCTGTCGAACCGGCCAACACGCAGCAGCAGCAACAACGACAGAGTCCAAGCGACGGGGACATCATCATTGAGCCGCTGTTTCCCAATTCTGGCCAGTCACGAGAAGCCTCACGCCCGCCAATGCCTGGAACTCATGAGGTTCGCAACGACGTCTCAGGAGAGACCACCCCTGTTAGTGGCACCAAAGATCTAGACACTCAAGATCCTTGCACAAAAATCATGGCAGAACTTCTTCAAGTAACAGAAGGAGTCATGTGGGCATTTTTAAGCGCAGATGGGCAAGAATCAATGTATGAATCAGCCCATCGAGTGTGCAAAAGTGTGTGGGGTGCTGTAGACACGGTCTGCCGAGTGGGTGTCCATTCTCCTCAGTTCCGCTAAATTACCTTCATTATTATTTGATGCACTGACTGTCACACAAACTTTCTAGCAAACTTTATGGGCCGGCATACACAGCCAAAAGTCAGGGTCTGAACCCCTGCGGTACGTTGTCCGGGACTTTGGCAACTGCCGGCTAGCCTCGGGGGATGGCGATGAGAGAGGAAATACTCAACAACTCTCGTGGACAGATTGTGCCGACTGTAAGGCCGCAAAGAAGTACGACACACCGGACGAGCTTCTCAACCACATAAACACCAACCACACCCAGACGACTGTCAAGCAACTTCGCCCCTTTGACGACGCATCTTTCTGCTGGGTGAGTCCAACACAAATGGCTACTGATGAGAATACGCTTAGCACATGGCTAGGATATTCGATCATCAAGGACTTCATAGAGTCAATGGAGGCTGTGTCGAAAGTGTCGAGGGAACTCATTTATTATATGGCCAGGCCTGGCAGCCGTTTCGCCGAGGACGGGCTGACACCTTCGCCGCTGCCCAAAACATTGACGACGGCCTTCTGCAACATCCTGGCTAACTATATTCTCGTCGCGAAATGTCTCGCATTGACTAACCGATCTGGGTATACGAGCAACCCAGAAGAAAAGGATGTTGTTCTGGAAACTATCTCCGACCTGGAGCTGACAATATCTAGCGCCTTTAAGCAAGTGTTCGATGTTTTAGAGAAGGCGAGATCCGATATTATCTTACTCTGCAGCACCAGGCGCGAGGTGGATTGCCTCCACGTCCAGTCAGTAGACTTGCCATTTCTTACACTTCTAATTATCAAGAATGTTGAAAGGTTCACCCTCGACACAAAGCAACTTTCCCATGGCATCATAGAAAAGCGGCATGCAGATGATAAGAACCGCGTTGACGTCATCGCCGTGTATCAACACTATCTTTCGGTGCTACAGTTCCACGCTCGCAACCGGCCACAAAAGCGGGTTTTTCTCGAGATCCAAAATTACCAAGAAGAATTAAGCGCCCTGGGACACTTGACCCAACTCCAGATACAGGTGTTGAGATATCATATCTCTCTCCTACAGCCAGGGTCCTTTCGACTTACGAGTCGTAGGCGTCTAGAACAGCACGGGACTGAGTACAAGTTCTGGATGAAAATAGACAAGACCTTGACGGAAAGGCTAGACCATCTGTCTGTACTCGACGACCAGGCTCACTCACTGAAGGAGGAGGTCAAGAATGCTATTGAGATTATCGAAGAAGATCACGGCAAGGCTATCCGAGTATTTACGGTGGTTACATTGTTCTTCCTTCCGCTGTAAGTATTCGCGAGTGCTCTATTACAACCGGGGTCTGTGAGTAATTGAATGCTTACGCGTCATGGCTCAGGTCATTTATCTCAAGTTTCATGGGCATGAACACTACCGATATACGGGAGACAACATCCGACCAGAGACTGTTCTGGAGCGTTGCTGTACCGGTTACCATCGCCGTTATCGCCGTCGCTTTTACATACGGTTATGCAGGTGACAGCATTTCTGACTGGCTTCACTCCCGGTTCCGACCGCATAAACGTGCCCCAGAGTGGACTGGTACGGCTCCCCTTAGGCACGGACTGGGAGCTTTGGACTTGAAGAAAACTGCAAGTTTTAAGGGTCGACAGACCTCGTGGAAGACAAGTACTACTACCCATCAGCCGAAGAGGCAGGGAACATGGGAGAGCCTAGCAGTCTAGGGTAGCCTCGTCCATATAACAGTATCATACGATGGCAGCAGCATAAGCTTACAGGGCTTGCTATAAGGAAGCAGTTAAAGAACATTGGCACGGCCTAGAAGTAATCGGTGGTTCGGACTTGCGGGATTCTTCCTAGGAAATGGGAATGATAAAATTAATGTCCGGGCTCACTGAAATCAGTCGCTCAAAGCTTCTTCATGTTCACCAATATCAAGTTATAAAGTTCAGCAGTCAGTTCTGGGCTAGTCTCTTCGAGTGCCCCTTGCACACCACCCACTACTAAATTCACATGGCCGCGTGCCGCAAATGCTTCCCTCCCACGTACCCTTCCGCTGTGTCCACGAAGAGTTTCCTCCCTTTTACATAGGCCACCATGAATCCGAATAGTTTCCAGTTGCCAATCTGACCCGTCGCCATCTTCCTCCCGAGGGATAGGAAGATCATCTTTTTGCCAACAGGCTCGTAAGGCTTGACAGGCAAACCTGTCAACGTCGCATCCAGGGCCGCAGCCAGATGGATAATTTGGTTGTCCGTCACTGTGAGTTGTTTCGGCTCGACATCGCCCACATCTCCAATACCCCAGATATTCCCAGTTCCGTCGATGCGCAAGCTCTTGTCCAGTTTAACATTGCCGTTCGCGTCGAGGAAGCTGTCCGGGAGGAAGGACGTATTCGGAAGAATGCCACACAGAGGCAAGAATAAGTCAACTGTCAACATAGAGCCATCGGATAGAGCGACCTCTGTCTGGCCCCCAGACAATTCCTTAGTGCCCGTGACGCGAACTTGCGTGGCTAGCTTAACACCGAGTTTCTTCAAGTCTCCTTCAACAGTCGTACGAATCGAAGACAGCGCTCCCTCCAGCGGCTGTTCCCCGCTCACCAGAAGCGTGATGTCCTTTGCAGTACCGAACCTAGCCGCCAACTCGCCAGCCACTTCCACTCCAGTTGGCCCTGCGCCTGCGAGGACTATAGATTTTGCCTTCTTCACCTGGCTTTGGAGAGAGTGCCAGGCGGAAATTGTTGCCTCGTAGCTTCCGACCAGTTTGAAAGGGAGGTTGCTCGCGAGGCGAGAACCTGTTGCAATGACTAGTTGACCGTAGTGTAGGTGGAGCTGCCGTCCTTCGCCAAACGCGATTCTTACTGTATTCCCAGCGGAATCAACACTCTCCGCTTTGCCGAGGACGAACTCAAAGTTCTTCGGTGGGTACTTGTCGAAGGCTGGCTTGATGGGTATGAAAAGCCGGTCATCCGGTATCTCGTCGGAAATCACTCCCCGAGTGGCAGCAACATTCCAGAAGAAGTGACTGTTCGGAGAGACTAATATAACTTTCAAATCTGGCAGCTTGACTGCGGTGTACTTCAGGAGCTTGTGCGCCAAAGACAGAGCGGCCCAGCCTGCACCGAGAATGACTACCGTCTTCGACATCTTAACCGTTCGTAGTTGTAAACGAGCACATGTGTGATGGCAAAGAGAAGTAAAGGGCATTGCACTTCATCAGTCGCTTTATGTAGAAGTCTCCCTTTCTAAGACGACCTGACCCTTTTGTCCAAGCCGGATATAATGCACACTATTGGCTGGTACACACATGCAGCATAGACTTAACTAAGGAATTCATGTCGTCTCTGTTAGCGCAGTCGATAAGCCAATCTCATCTCGCTCAATTCACGGTCCAAGCGCCGATCTTGTGGCGCCAAGCATCACGACCGAGCTCCGTGTCCGAGAGCGAACACCGATTCTTCCTCCCCCAGACAGGGGAGTTTCCCTTCTTGTTCAGGGCCGAATATTTCCCTCGACTGCTAGTAGGAAAACGCGTCCGCGAAGTGGTTTTCCATCCTCAGACTGCTATTTCCTTCAAAGAGCCCAGCCTTCACATCATATTTCCACTGCTTACATCAATACTTTACTCGTTTCTCGGCATCGGCGTTTTACTGGCCGATGGCCGATCCCCTCCCAATGTCCGATCCAACGCAACAGCATCAGACGGACTCGGCCTCGGAAGAGGGCCTGAAAATCTGGAGCTGTGTGATATGCCGGCGGCGCAAAGTCAAGTGCGACCGACGGGATCCCTGCGGTAGTTGCACCCGTGCCAACATCGAATGCCACTTTCCAGTGACAGGGCGGATACCACGACGGAGTCGAAACGCGTCAGCGTGGAAATCTCCTGCGCAGAGGCAGGCGGAGTTGATTAGTCGCCTTCGACGCCTCGAAACAGTCGTCACAGAGCTTACAGCTCAGGTGGAGGAAAGCTCTGCCTCAGGAGTCTCACGCAAGGCGCCCGCACCACCTACCAGCGTTTGGCTTGGTGGTCCAGGGGGTTCGGATTTAGCGTCAGACGCAAGATTTGTTGTCGGCCAGTCATTGCCGGGCACTTCCAGCAATGTCCCAAATAGCGAGCGGCAGCCAGGCAGCGAGTTTGACGAAGAGTTTGGACGGCTCGTTGTTGATAATGATGGTAGCATCCGTGTAGGTAATCAATTTTGGTCTGTCTTTTGCGATGAGGTAGGTCGTTCTTATCGGGTTACGGGGAATACTTCCTTGACACTAATATCAAAAGGTCGATAACATCCTGCAAGCCGTCCATGATGTGGCCGACTTTGACGACCAACCGAGTCATTATACGGTGCAAGTACCAGCACCTGAAAACCAGCAACCGGCTGAGGACAACGACAACTTTGTATTTGGCCATAATTGTGCCGCCATCAATGTGGACTCTTTGAGCCCCTTACCTTCTCAAATGCCTTTTATTTGGCATACATTCGTCAACAACGTCGACCCATTCATCAAAGTGCTTCACCTGCCAACAGTGAATACTATCATCCAAGGGCTGAACGGGACCGTCACTTCCCTTAGTCCCAATATGGAAGCATTGCTGTTCTCAATCTCCCTCGCTGCCATCACATCAATGGACGAAGTTGGTGTCGTAGCCAACTTCAATACGCCGAAGCCTCAACTCATTTCTCGATACCGACTCGGAGCTGAGTTGGCCCTTGGTCGTGCCAAATTTGTCATGACGAAGGATATCACCGTCATCCAGGCATTCGTCATCTACCTCTCCGTATTGCCTTATCTTGGCGCGACGGAGTCTGCCTGGTCGCTAACGGGACTTTTACTGAGACTGGCCAAGTCCTTAGGACTGCATCGCGCGAATGATGGTATTCGGAGAACAGACCTGGAACTCGAGACACGCCGTCGCTTGTGGTGGCAGATTTGCCTGCTCGACTCAAAAACACGAAGATCAAACATGGCCGACTTGTCGATCTCGGAAACATCATTTGATCAGGTTTTTCCGGCCAACATCAACGATACAGACTTGGGGTCTCTGTTGCCGACAGATCATCCATCGATACCGAGGACCGGAGATATGACGCTTTGTCTAATTAGATGCGAATTATGGACGCTTGTTCAGTCCCTTAAGGCTTCTCCCGCAGGCCGCGAAGGTAAGCTCGGCTTGTTCTACGAAACAAAGTTGAAGATCGAGACGAAGTATTTACACCCTCTTGGCCCCGGTGACACGCTTGGAGATTATATTAAGACAATGGCGTCTCTTTTCTTTGCAAAGGCAGAGCTTTTCCTCCACAAGCCTTCGGCTACGGAAGCATCTCGCGCACAGAACAAACACCAAGTCGATTGTCTACTCCTCAGGGCCTCTGTCACGGTTATCAGTGCTGTACATGCACTGTTAACCGATCCTTCTTGGACTAGATGGAGGTGGCAGTTGAGCGGTACAGCGCCCTGGCATGCTATAAGGATTTTTCTCCGACACGCCTGCTCTCATCCATGGGCCTCTGAAACTGAAAGGGTCTGGAGCATGGTGCAGAGGCTGGCTGTTCCCAAGGAAGGGAAAAATTTTGCTCCTAGGCAGCCACTGATGAGGCTCTTCACCCAGACGACTCAATACCGAAGCAGGGCATTAGACCACGTAGTGGTTGAAAGAACAGATGAACTCGGGCTCGGCGAAAGGTTGACGCAGCTGGGCATTAGAGGGTCCACTGGTGGCAATGCAAACCCAGTGCCCGAGCCGGGTCAAAACCTCAGGGAGACATCGCTATCCATTGACACCGAGACTGACATGCAGCCTTTCCAACAGTCTCGGGACTCACTGATTGACCCGGATATAATATTTTACATGGCATCCTCCCATCCAACATTGCAATTTCCACCCATCAATCTCGAAGGATTACTCCAGCAGCCATATGCATCAACAACTGAGCAGGCCAACGACGGGAGTCTCCCGGACTGGCATCTCGGCGATGTTGGAGATATTGACATGATGTGGGAATTGTTTTAGTCCTGGCTCACAGACCAGCTTACGTTTCTGTTTACATCTGAATGAGGGTTCCAGTATCGATCATGCAATACAGACATCCTCCACTGCTTGTACAATAGTCAATCCGCGACACTCCACGGGATGATTCTTATGCATTATCAGCGAAAGGGACAGACAGTATAGCCGGGACCCAGGATTTTTCTGCCACCAACCTTTTCTTGGCACGGCACACAAAGTCCGTCCTGGGAATGATGTTTTTATGCAATACACCAAAATGACCCGATATTGCCCCCAGCTTTTTTGGTGGTTAGGGTGCGTGTGCAGGAGATTCGGAATGTAACCTCGACCAAGACTTGGGTTAACAGAAACAGCCCAGATCTGGCGGGCAAGAGTAGCCCCGAAGAGATTTCTTCCATCTACTAGATCGATCTGCTTTCGCTCCTCTAGCTCCCGGATCTTTATCCTGGCCCAAAGTAGCGTCCCTTAGGACAGATTACAGAAAACCCAGGTCCCGGGGGCTCGAATATTTTTCACCTCGACGCGTAATCGATTTATTGCCAACATCGAACCTCTGGACGAGTCACTTAATGAAAATAGCCTCATTATGTACCATAGACGGAATGATAATACGTTACATCCTTCGAGAATGCTACAGCTCAAAAACAAGAGTATGCTTGGTTCGCCGGAATGTTAATACATGTGCCGCATGCGCGGTTCTCCCATGAATTTTCTCCTTTTTTTTTTCCTTTTTCCTTTTCTTTCTCTTTTTGCCCTCCGTACCAGTGCAATGCATAGAAGCAAACTAAGCCAATCGCGTGAAAAACCAACGCAGAACCCGGAAAGGCTGTCCTTAAACATACTCGTAACAGAGCAACCCCCCGGAAATGTCCATCACCTCCCTGATTGTTGCTTCGGGAATAAGGCCAAACATGTTCAAGACGTGATTCAGTGTGGTCTCATCACCCGGGTCACCCTTGGGGTCTTGCGGCTCAGCGTCTTTAGGAGGTCTCATAGCGTCTGGCGGCAAGAATAGGCCGGGTGGCATCTCGAAGTCTCCTCCATCACTTCCTGGCAGAGAAGGAAATCCAATATTGTCCCAGTCAACATCATCCCAATCGATCAAATCTTCGTCGCCGGGGAAGCCGAGATTAAATCCTGGATCATCGCCGCCGGATACATCACGCGGCGCCGGTCTACGAGGACCAGCATTGGGCGGGAACCCCGGAAATCCCTCTGAGCCGTCTTGCGTGTTGCGGCCTCCGATGTCAGTTAGACGGGCAGGGGGGTCCAGAAGCTGCCATTCCCACCAGACTTTGTCAAGCCATGTGTGGTGAAGGTAAAATATTGGATCGCCGGGACTTGCGATAGGGTCCATCATCTATAAGCCCATTAGTAAATTCTTTGCCCTATAGTGTAAATAATTAGGTGAAGAGTAATCGTACCAAACCGCTAATGGCTCCATGGCCAGAGTTGTGAGGAGAGCCCTCAAGACAGGGCCACGCTTCGACAAATGTCTGTCTCGCGTAGCACCTATCGATATAGCGCTGGCCTGCCTGGAGACTTCTGGTGTTATTGATATATCGCGTGATGCAATGGTCCGTAATCTTATAGCCAGGCCCAAGACTATTGATATAGCCAGCAAAAGGCCCGTCGGCAATGCATCCATCCTCACCGACGCCATTTCCTCCGAAGCCCGTATCCGGGTCGAGAATGACGGATCTGCTGACACTCCCGGCGTCACGCGTTTCGTCCCAATAGCTATGAATCGTTTGCCCTTGTCAGAGGTTTTTCTGCTTCCCTTTTAAAGAAATCCCAGGGCTACTTACGGTTGGGTTCCCTGGTAGCCGCACTCTGTCCTGAGGAGAGTTTCATGAGCATGCATGAGCAGTCTATGGAACGGAAGGAAGGCGCCCTAGAAAGAAATATGTAAGCACGGTAATGTGTTACTCGCTGATAATGAGTCTTGACGTCTACATCGATGCCAACTTACGACGCCGTGGATAATGTGAGCTTGGACTTGGTGAGCCGCTTGGAGTTCTTCGAATCTATTCCTCGCACCGTCGAATCCGAATTTTGGCTCCTTGCTCATCAAGCACAACTCAGCGTCGATGTAGTCACGTTTCTCATTATCACTCAGAGTATGCCTAGTTCCGTTACATTGTTAACACTGCCAGATCTTCTCTAGCCCCACATGTAGAGATAGGGACGTTGGACTGACCAGGCCCGTCGCTGGGAAATCTTGGAACACTTCCTCTGCCCGATGGCGGGGATCACCGCCGCCATTAGGAAGGTCAGTATGAAGTGGACAGCAACCATCCTTGCGGCTATGACGAAGGACAAGAAACGTTGATTATGACAGTTGACTCCACAGCCAACATGGTGAGGCCATTCCACGTAGCTCTCATAGCGACTACGGTCAAAGGAGATCTGGGTTTGTTATAAACTAGAGTCGGCATTGAGAGAGCTATTCCTGGAACATCGGGCCTCGTGATGAGAAAATGGACCGTGTTAGTGAACCGTAGTCAATCTTCATCTCGGCTGGTAGGCAAGGAGTGCCGTCCACTAGGGCCAGTGTTTAAAAATGGACTGGGGGAGTTTGTGTGGACCCTCATTGGTGTAATTTATCCATATATTAATTAGAGATGCATCCAGCATATTGGACGGACATGTATAATCGGGCCACTCCAGCCAAAAAGCGGGGGAAGATACGATTGATATGATTGATATGCAGGCTAAAGGCAAAAACGGATATATGTACTGCGCGCCATTCCTGGTTTGGGGCATCACGGCACGAATCGAATACACCTGCGGAACGTGGGAGCCAACAAGGGAGGGTACTGAAAATAACCACGGGCATGAGACGAAAATCTCTTAGGGGGTTGAGCCAGAGTTCACCGGAAAGGTCCTTTGTAGGTGTTGGCTTGTATCTGTAACAGTAAATGCAGATGGAACACACTTTTGAAAGCCCACAAACCCTGGTGGTCTTGTTGTATTTCGGGAAGTCCGACGGAGGTCAACGTTGGTGGGCCCGGAACGCCGGGGAGGTGGAGGGTGAGTGGGGCCGGCCGGTTCGACGTTGTTCCTCTGCGACCACCGGCTATTCGTAGATGTCGACACATGAAGCGTCCACGCGTCTGGGGCCAGGGCTGGAATATGGTATGATAGCAGAGATTAATTCCTGTTTGTTGAACGCGCGTCTGTAGCAATTGCATCTTATACATCAATTCACCCGTCCTCGTGCTAATAGGAAAATTTTCGTTGGTCATCGTCATCGCGGGAGTCGCATTGAGCCCTACTATCGGGGATTATACCTGACGACATGGGACGGAGTGGGAGCACATTGGCCACCGCAAGAACCGCCCAATCCATTGGCCAATCATCATGGACTGATTACGTCTCCTCGTTGATTGCATATTAAGAGGACGCGTAGTATTGTTCTAGCGATAGGCGGATAGAGGTGCGGTTAGAGATTCATGCGAACCTCATCGAATCACCAGGTCGCTGTTCTAGAAGGAGGATGAACCGGTATTTCTTTATTGTCGGTAGTGCCGGGGGGGGGGGGGGGGGGGGGGGGGGGGGGGGCAAGATGTTCTGAGGGGCAAAGTTAAAAGGCAGTCTTAATCGCATCCTGAAGTCCACCAATCTTCCTCAAGGCGAATCCACCTCCCATCGCGTTTCCTAGCCCTCACCAAACCTCCCAGTTAGCTCTCACAAAGCGCATCATGAAGGTTACGTCTCTCCTCACTTCCCTCCTGCTCGCGCCGATCGTGGCCAGCCATGCGAACCACGATATCCAGCAGGAGCTCATTCAGAGACGTGAGTTCCTCGAGAACAACAAGGTCAACCTCAACCACTGCGCCGAGAAGTTGAGGAAGCGAGGCCATGATAAGCGCGCCATCAAGCGCCGCAGTGAGATTACCAACAAATTGCGAAAGAGGTCCAACATTAAGGGTACTTACTCCATCACACTCCCGGAACAACATCTGCGTAGTGCTTCAACTCTAACTTGAACTGAATTAGCCCGACAGGAGAGTGACGAGACTGTTACTTGGAAACACTCTCACCATTCTGACGAGGATTACACCTTCGAGACTGACACGTCCATCGTTTTCTCGGGCAATAGGTCCTGCATCCTCAACCCCGAGGTTACCGAAGGCCCTTTCTGTTAGTCCAACATCCGATATTTTATAATCTACACCCATATGCTTACCTTATCCCCAACTAGATGTTGCTGGAGGACTTGTCCGCCAGAACATTGTCGACGAGCAGCCTGGTGTCCCACTAGCTGTGGATATTCAGATCATCGATGTCGACACATGTGAGCCTGTGGAGGGCGCCTATCTCGAGATCTGGCGTAAGTCAAGTTTCCTTTCTATCCCACGGTCGCGTCGTCATCTAACCACCCCTCGACAGACTGCAACTCCACTGGTGTTTACAGTGGTGTCCTGTCCGAGATGAATGGCGTCGGGTCGGCCGATCCCACTAACCTCGACGCCACCTTCCATCGTGGTTACCAGCCTACCGACGCCGACGGCGCCGCCCAATTCGAGACCGTCTTCCCCGGCCACTACCAGGGTCGTGCCACCCACATCCATCTCATGGTCCACCTCGACCCCGAAGTCCGCGAGAACAACACCATCGTTAATCTCGACGTCGCCCACGTCGGCCAGATGTATTTCGACGATGACCTTATTGCCGAGGTTGAGCAGTTCGAGCCCTACACTACCAACAAGATGCTCCTCACGCCCAATGCCAACGACTTCATCCTGGCCCAGGAGGCCGCCGTCACCGATCCTCTCTCCGAATACGTTCTCCTTGGTGACTCTGTTGAGGAAGGAATCTTTGCCTGGTATAGCTTCGGTATCAACACCACTTTAGTCCGCAAGGTTTCGGCAGCCGCTACTCTTTACGAGACTGGCGGCGAATCAAACCCTAACGCTGGCGGCCCTGGCTTCGGTGCCCCGATCGGCGATTTGCCAGATGGTTTCTGCATTCCAGCTGGTGGGTTCCCAGCGCCCCCCGGGGGTGACGGTCAGCCCGGTTTCCCAGGTGGCTTCCAGCCTCCTGAGGGCTTCGAGCCTCCTGAGGGTTTCCCTGCCATCCCTGTATGTGAGGAAACTGGAGAGCCAGCTGAAGACGAGGAACCAGCTGAACCTGAGGAACCTGTCGAGGAGGAACCTGAAGAGCCCGAGGAGCCTTCTGGGGATGAATAGGACGAGGAAGTCACTCTTCGTCCACAGCCAGTGAAACAATATGAAGTACAACTAAGGGAAGAGGACCAGCCTCGCTGGTCTCTACTTTGTTTGTGTCGATGGAATGATACTTTCCTTTCTCTGTACTTAGTTGAGTTGAGATGAATTCAGAAAGCAATGGCGCCTTGAACCCGTAATATATTGGCGTTTTCATCCAGCCAGGAGATACAGATGTCGATTGTATAATACTAGAGACGGCCACGTACTGAGACATCATCACTCAAGGACCGTTTCAAGGCTTGTAGGCAGTGGTGCCAGCGCTCTATAAAATGGCACTGGTACTTTTCCGAGACAAGATGGAATCCAACATGTATGTACACACATCTTACGTCAGGCCATGCCAGCTAGTCCATCAGTTGAGCCTGGAAGCCAGTCTCGCTGCCGACAGGACCCAAATGACATGCAGGTAAAGTTGTTATCACGTACAAGATATAAAATATGGAATGGAAGGATGTAGCATTTCTCTCGCTCCTCTTGTTGTCACAGTATTGGATTTAACATTTTATTCAGTCCACCCCAGACAATTCCCAAGTCTGCCTAAGGACCGGCATGCAGCGGCAACAATAGCTTGATCCATCCACTACAAGACTTAATGCAGAACCCATGCTAGCGTGACACCCACTCCATCTCGTATTGGGCCGTTTGATGGCCCATGGCCGAACTCCTTGCGCTGGACAGCGGCAAGTAAAAGTGGGGTCGACCGGCATACCGGCCCGTGAGTTCGGGTCTACTCCGCAAACTCAGACCACCCTCACCGGAAATGCCACCTTCAAACCGCCCCCAACCAGACGTCTTGCAGAACTTCTTTGATACGGTGGTAGAGTACGCTTCCGGAACACTCCTAGGATGGTGCCGTTATTACTTGGGTAAACGGGGGCGTCTTGTCTCTTTCCTCGTCAATGGTGCCAACTTGAATAATGCCAAGGACCCTACTGTGGCATTCGGTAAAGTGGTCAAATAGAACCTTACATTTGACCCTCCACGAACACAACGCTGGAGTAATGAACCACATGGCAGGAGGTGGAATGGTGGAAACACAAGATAATAGGTCGCTTCGACTTGCCACCAAGCGCAGCATATATGGAAACATCTTCCTGCATATGGACCCCGTCAAGCTCAAGAAGGATGGTCGCCTTTGTCCTTATTTAGATAAACATACGTAGAGCCTAGAGTAACGAATTCTGGGATGTACTTGCTCCAAGGCCTGACAAATGCGCCCTTCACACCATTATAGATCCTCGTGGAACTCCTTAGAAGGGGGGGTTGTATGTCATTTTGCACATTCATGATCACCAAATGGCATGATCTCTCTAGGTTATCGATAAGTACAAGTAGGAGCGATTGCCCCTTAACCCGCCGGCTGATATGCAATACTTCCAAGCTAAGATCAATCCCATTTCTACAGCTGATTCTCACAAGCAAAAATTTCCAACGAAATCGACGGCAACAATACACCACGCAACATGGAGGCTGCAACTCAACCCCAGTCCAACCAAAAAGACACCCTTTGGGCCAAAATCCGAAAGGCCCTTCGATCTCCAGCAGTCCGCGCTATTGAAGACCTCCGCGCAAGAGACGCGAAGAGAATTGCGGAGAAAGCTGCCCGCCGACAAGCCGAAGCTGACGCTGCGGCGGCGGCGCACTAAGGGATAGATCGAATTTGAGCCATCAGACGACCCTCGAGTTGTTTTGGAACTGTGAATATTATATGATCGGTGGACAAATTCCTGTTAGTGCGGTGGGGGCCCAGCTCGGATGCGAGACCCTGTCTTCTAATTAGAGGCCTTTGGTTCGGAATGGAACAGGAGGTGGCTTGATTTCGGTGTGTTCTCAATACCAACGTCGCACCAAGGGGTAATATAAATGAACTCTTTTTAACTCATTCATATTTCCTGCATCTCCGTGTGTCTATCCTTTCGAATCACAAGTGTGATGATGCCTCAAACTGAACCCGGCACAGCGGATATGCACCGTCCCGGTCCGGCAAGCTATGGTACTACAGGATAGGCGGATTTACTGCCCTGGTTATTAGCTGTCCGCCCTCCGTTATGTATACATGGGGCCACGTGGTTATATCATGCCACCATCTGCTTCGCGATGTGCCTGACCAGTCGTAACGTAGTCGGCCCACATTTAACTTTGGCTGTTGACGGTAAGATCCGGGGATATAAGATTAGGAAATAGCTAGGGGCTGGCACAGACCAGAATTCGTTACTACTATAGTTGGCGGTGCTAGTCGCGGTCGATGCAAAAATCATGCAATGCATGTGCGTAATCTTTATATTTTTCGTGATGACGAGGCGGTTATTGTACATTTGCGTCTTAACATTGACCTCTCCTTCAATACTCTCCAAGCAACACCATGTCTATAAGATTGATCAAAGGGACGCGCGATTAGTATCTTTCGTTGGCTTGGGCCGTAATATAGATTGTTGAGTCATGTTAGCCACCATGTTCCCTGCCTCATCCCATAATCTTGATTCAGAGTAGGTTCTTCCCTCTTGACCAACCACACATCTCAACTCTCTCAAATGCCACTTGCTGACGTCCAGATCGTTGGTGAAGAATCGCATGGCGAAGTCCAAGCTAGAACATGGCCCCGAATCGTACAAAGACATGCCGCTATGCGTCAACGGCAAGAACGATAGGTTCGAATCCATAATAAACGCCAGAGCTGAGTAGTGGCCGTGTCCGGATTCGGGTTTATGTCGGGCACGGAACCAGTCCGCTGAGGTTTTGTCGGTAATCGATAGGTGTTCTTGACCCGTTTCCACTTTTCCCGCTAGCCCACTGAGATTATGTGCCGAAACTCCCTCGAGCGGCAATCGCGAATCAAACAATCGGTTCATAAGCCCGAACATGATGCTGTGCAGCTCGACCAACTCTTCGGGAACAAGCTTCTTCTCCACCAGCTCTTGGCCAATTTGGACCCGGTCCTTGCAGTTCTCTGGGCGCGAATAGTTCTTGGTGGGTGGTGCGGAAAAGACCAGCATCGACGCTTGTTCTCTCGCCTGGAAATCAAGAAGCATGCTCATGCATGGCCTCTGCGAGCCATCCTCTGCCTCCTGGCTGAGAATCACCTCCCTCGTTGCAAAGGTCCTCGTGTCCCGCAACCGGCGGACCGTACATTGGATCTTGCGGTCTGTAAAAGCAGGACCGAGATAATTCCCCATCACCGTATAAAGGTAGTAGTCGGGCGATACCGTGCTGCACGCGGCTTCGACGCCCACGCCAATGGTAAATCCCCCATAGGAAATATTGGCGGCATTGCCCATGCGCTGTGGGAGGAAGCGCGACACGAACAAGTCAACCCCCGTCTGCTCGACGGAGATCTGATCCGAAATGGTGCTCGCCATGGCGATAGTAGGCGGGATTGGAGATTCTTGAGGGGCGAGGGATGCGGGCTGAGTTGGCAAGTTGAAAGATAAGTTCTTCTCTACAGCGAGGATTTTGAACCTGGAGGAGCCCCATGTATTTCTATATTTGGGTTACCGACATGGCGGTTTCCCCAGATAATTACCAAGCACTGTGGGGGGCGGGGATGAGCCGAGGTTCAAAATTCTGGGGACACCTGGGGAACACCTTACCACCTTTCCTGTGAGTATAAAGCAGCACGCTTAATTCGCAGCTGCCGAGGGTTGTTCTGGGCACGCAGTTTGCACACAGGGGACCTGCCTAAATCGGACTTTTAAATGCCGCGCTGTTAAACTCGTCAATTCCTCCGGCGCCTCGGTTCTAGGGGAAACCAGTTGAGCTACTGTAGATAAGAATTGGACCGAAAAGTCGTATTCAATATTGTGAAACAGCTTCTTTACAGGGCAAAAAGAGGAGAGGACTCAAGTAGCTTGTGGCTGGTGGTTGGTGGCTGATGCCAACCGACTTTCAAGGTGTTATCAAGAATCCTATTGACCAGGAGAACACACAATTCACCTCCACTAGTGAACCATGGAAAGCGGGCTGGTGTACGTTAGACCTGGTATGGGCGAATCTTCTCTTTGATGAAGATCCCAACGAGAGGCCTACTGACTTCACTAAGTCGCCAATTGACGGGCCCCCGCCCCTGGCCAGAGTGACGACCAGATACGAATCTCCGGCCTCCTTTTGCCTATTCAGGCTGATCTCTTTGCGTTCGGCTGTCTCCTCTCCAAAATTATGGCCGTTATAATGGGAAGGCCGATGAAGAAATACGGGACTTATATAGGAACGGTAATTTCCCAACACCGACTCTTTAGCGGCAATCGGCCGCATTATATGGAAATGCCTAGCGTCCCCAAAGCAGGGGGACGAATAGTTCGGGGCGCATGGGATCTTTGTGCACCGTGGACCTACAGGACAAGGTCGGGGAGAAAATCAATGACAGCCAAAGACATTTCGTCGTCAATATTGCTGCTGCCTCTTCAAGTTCAGGAATTTGGGCTCCATATCCCCCGGTGGAAAAAAGACTGCCACAATTGTGATTTTTATACGAAGATGATGTTCGGCCGATATAGGTTGAGTCCCCAGATCAGAGGTTACTATTTATAGTTCATAAATATGGAAACCTTAGAAGTGCTTAATCGAAACATTGCGAATTCAATGAATGTCCTTGGCGGCCAGGTTGGGATGTGTGTTGAGTGAGAAAAAGAAATCCTTACCAGTTTCCAAGCGTAAGTTAGGGTCTGACTAATGGCAATTCAGAACAGAGGGCGCCAGGCTTCTAAAGTCTCGACTCCAGTAAAAGTGCCTGCTCAGGCCAGCTCAGACGACTCATCGCTGAAGCTGAAGACTGTCAACGGTCTCAAACCTACTTATATCTGCATTAGCCCAACCAAGTCTCTTTGAACTATCCCAATGTTCACCCAGGTGGGTGGTAAGAAATAACAGATTGAAAGCAGTTGAGTCAGGCTGTTAAAGGATTTTCAAGCTCCAAATACCAGAGCATTATTATTTACGTTCATCCTGGAGATTGGTCAGGGATATTCTGAGTGATATTTAACGCAAATGTTCTCTTTCAAGTTAACCGATAGATAGTCAAGCACCTCAGATATCATGGATAGTACCTTTTTTTCTTCTTTGGGGTTATTTGGCGGAGGATGCAGAACTGACTGTCTCTTGGGTCAAGAATAGGACCTTGACAGGACTTTCCGAGTCCTATGAATTATGCTGGCTTGTGCTCAATTAAACACACCAGGGTTCTGATCACAGTTTTTTGCTGGGATTCTTCAGCTGGCTCGCACTAGGACCGCGACCCCTGTGTTGGCGTTGGCTGCCTTTTTCCAGTTCCCACAACGCGACGGCAGCACAGCCTCAGCGGGGTTAGGGGCAGGTGAGAGCAGACAATCTCCCCGGCACGACTTCGCCCCGGACTGACATCAACATTAAGGAAATAAATAAAATCGCGATCATTGGCATCACATTTGACTTCTCCATCATCATCAGCCAACTATCCAATAACTGTGACTCCTATATTGTTTGTAAGAGAGAATCACTTCGCATCGAAGGCACCAAAATGGACGATTACCTCTTCAAGGCACACGTTGATTCGTGCAAGACGGTCCAAGAAAAGACCAGCGGCCTTGAGATCATTACGTATTCCGTAAGACCACCGGCCCCCTCTTTGCGCGTGATTAAGGGTTGATAAATCCTCTCTTCGATGGCCAAGTCTGAATTAACCCGATTACACAGGAAACTTCTTATAACTCCGTGATAGAGCATACCCTTTTGGACTATGACTTTGAAGACTTCCTGAATCGTAAAGTATGGCCTTCATCAACTAACGACTACCAACATATAATCCATAGGGAGTGGATTTTCTAATGGAGTAAACATTTAGGGCACATTTTCCCCTCCGCCTCCTCGGTATGGAGTGAAACCGACAGGAACTCTGCGTCTCGTGTAAGTTGCAGAGCCAAATTGCGGTATCCGTCTAATGTCACGACCTCTCTCTAATACAGGATGACTTGAATAATACAGCGTTCAGAAGGAAGCGTGTCATCCAGATACGTTCAGTCCTCAGGTCATTTCGTTAGATGCCAAGCATTATGAGCAGATGGTCCGAAAGTTCAACTTGCCTACTAGAGCTATCGAGGGCACGAGCGTTGTAGGGCCTTTCTTTTGGTCATTTGTAGACCATTCGTCGAAGGATCCGAGACTACGTAAGTGAACTATCTCAAGAACCCGGATCTCCTCGCGTCTAACCCTAACCCTATATCTCTCACAGACATCCTCTTCCGTAAATCAGATACCCGAAAACAAGGAAAGACAGAAGGCTGGGAAGTAGTCCTGTCTCATTGCTTTTCTACCCGAATGACGACTGGGTTCGTCAAGGGTACGTCAACGTCGCACAGCAAGAAGGCCATTGACGATCTCATACAATGTGCCACGCAAACCGACCACCCCCTTATTCTCCCACTCATACTACTTTCGTACGGTCTCGGGTTAGAACGCGATCAACAGCTGCGCGATACACGGGAATGGGTACGGCGTCTTGAACAATCTATATCGCAGCGCGTAGAGGCTCAAGAAGACGGCAGCAGTACGGGCACCACCGCCGGGGTTAAGGAGAGCATGGCCGACATCGAGGACACGAATCGCGCGCTTGTCGAATGCCATGCGCGGATGTTGCGAAGGCGGCCGCAAGATTGGCTTGAGATCATCTCAGGTATGGAGGATGCGATGTCGTTGTTTAGGACGAGGGTCATGCCAGAGACGTGGACTCCGGAGCTCGAAGCGACCCATTCTAGCATTAACGGAAGGTTGGCATTCTATCGAACGAAGTTGAGGGCAATTGAGGGTTACGTACATACGACCATTGAGCGGCTCAGTATCCAGAGGAACGCTGTAAGTTATTCGGCCTCGAAATCAAGGGTTGTCCGGTCTTACTGACGCGCATTTAATGCCAGTTGACAAATGTAATGGCACATCGGGAATCCATAGTAAACCTCCAGATGGTCGCAATGATCACGGACCAGCGGCGGATCGCCCAGGCAAGCAAAAAGGACGGCAACGCCCTGAAGCGTCTATCAATGATGGGTGCGGTATTTCTTCCCGGTACCTTTGTCGCATCTCTATTCAGCATGGTTTTCTTCAACTTTCATGGTGAGTTGCCCACTAGATATATCCTATCCCAACGCATACTTAGCCGGCATGACTAACGGGTGCTTCGCGGTTTAGCCAGCGACTCCGAAGGCAGGGCACGCATCGACGTGGCGCCTCAGTTATGGATTTATTTTGTCGTTACGGCCCCGTTGACCTTGGCCGTGGTGTTGTTTATGTGGTTGTGGGATCGCAAACGCGAGAGACGGGCGAAGAAAGCCACAAATGCTCTTGAAGCAGGGGTTATGGGTATGGAAAAAGATGTCATGCTGCAGCTCCGCCGGCAGAGAGTGGAAGACCGTTGTTGAATTAATCGAGGGATTGCCTGTTCACAGCTCATGGCTGGCTTGGTATTCGGAAGGCAAATTTACATTCGTATCAAACCCGTCCACAACTTTCAAGCCAAGTCGAAAGAAGCTCGTAACCAGTAACAAACCGATAACTGCCTGATGAATAGTACTAACAGTCCGGTCTGCCTAAGATATAAATTCGTCGTTAGAGTTCAGACTTATCTTGGACTTTGTAGGCTGTAGTTTCAGCCTCGCGTAATAATCGATACGCTGGAACATCTCAGGTCGGCTGGAGGCGGTCAATATCTGTACCATGGTCGGAGACTTACCAGGACCGATACCACATTGAACGATGGCTTGCATTGCATTAAACACCCGAGTTATATTTGGATTGTCGAATTGCCAAGATCAAGATGAACTGTTGACTCCTGCAGTAGTAGATAGTACCGAGGTTTTGAATTGACATCGGGGAGCAGCAAATCCTCACCTTTAAGATATCACTTGCTTGACAGGACAATCCAAAAGGCTAAAGCAAGTCAAACTGAAGAAAACAAATCACGGAGTGCCGGGAAAGAATATGCCTTGGCTTAGCGACATCCAGTACTCGCAGGATGAGTGCATTGCCGCCGTGCGTTGCTTTTATCACATAAAATGTATGTCAACGAATACGAAATCCGTGAACCGCCGGAGGGAGGCCGACCCTCAATTTACCGTCGAGAAGCTACGAGGTCTTGGAAAGACGGAGAAGGTCAGTTCTTTCCTCCGCCACTTACCCTATATCAACCATCTGCATGAGGTCCTAGTAGCCCCGAACTCTTTTTCGTCGACTGGGAGGATTGTGCTAGCCAAACTCGCCAGAAGTACCGATGACTGTGAGAATATCGAGATTCTGATAGAAGGCATCTAGCTGAACGAGGTTAGCCTAGGTCATGCCATCGGGCCAACGTATGTTGGGTTGGGCAAGAGGATGAGGTTATTGTACTCGATACGGAATTCAGGGTTGTGTATTGAGTGGAGTGCTTCTCTGAGTTCAAGGTCGGCATGCGCGCGCCCGTGCTCGACGATCCCTACGACTGTGCAGAGGATGCGTATGGCACTCTTCTGCGATACAGCCCGACTAGCGTGAGTCGGGATGGGCTGCTGTCGACCTCTTCGAGAGCCTTAAGGACCAGTTTCGAGAGCTTCAGTTTGTTCCCCTCACCACACTAGAAGTGGATCATGTGTATAGCACACGTGCGGAAGAATGGGAAGGACGCCTCACGATGGTGCAGAATATCTTCTGCGAACATGGGTGGCCGGATCTCAACCGTTTACGCAAGCGAGAGTGCCTAGTAACCGTGAAAGGGCGTTGGAAGGGCGGTATCCTGGATCCGTGATTGATTTCGGTGATAATTGAAGAGAGCTGATGGGGCATCACTGGACAAGAAGAATCAAGAATTGGCCAAATATGAAAACTGGTTGTTGTTTACAACTGATATCTAACGACCTATATTGTGGGCTTGGATTTGGGCTCATGTTGTGTGTGTGCCTTGCAACGCGACTCTTCCTTTGGACCCGTCTTTGGATGCCTCAACTTGGCGGTGGCACTATCAGCTACTGTTAAGTGATGTGAGGGCAATCGGCATGCCGTTTTAAACATAATATAATCGCACACAGCTGGCAATCCCGGCATTGAGTGTACGGAGAGAACAATTATCGAGAAGAGACGAACAGTGTTTCGGTGTCCGAGGGCTTTCAGATCTGAAGATCTGGTGGGACTCGTTATCATGACTTAGACTGGATCAAATCAAGTAACAGTCTGTTCATTAAGATAGGAGCTGATGTCAGGCAGCAAAATACGAAGCGAATACGATGAGTTTCTCAAAGCTCAAACAATTTATTTCTGAATCTGCGCATCCAATACTAAGACCAGGAAGCCCATATCTTCGAAATGAGACAACTAAAACAGGAAACCGAGCGATTTGAAACAAGTAAAGCTGGTGGTGGGTGAAGGAGCAAATGCTCCATTCACCAATCACCACCCTAACGTTCGTTTGCCCATGCTCCAAGCAATAATTCCAGCAACCCAAGCCCCCAACGCCACCCATGCATTCCTTCTTTGAGTATCCATGCGTCTCGGTTAATAGACATTATTCATTACCCAGCCAGTGTAATCGAAACAAAAGTGAGAACCGCTTGCTGATTAAGACCACTGTGTCATGGCATTCTGAAGGTATTTCGAAAGTGGCTGAGGCTTGTCTGTAAGTTGACCACTGTTAGAATGAGGAAAACGCGGTCCCTTAGTGGGTTGACGACACTGACATTCAAGCTTGGCCTTGGCCTTGACGGGAGCCGAGTCGTTGGTCATAATGCTTTCGGTATCGTATGCGAAGTTTTGCTTGGACTCCGTAGAAGAGCGAAGACCCGAGGTGTTCGAGGAGCTGGCAAGGGCCTTAGAGGCGCTGTTTCGAGTGTAGAATTTGGACATCTTGAAGAGAGACGGGAAAGTCGCGGAATTGAACAGAGCACGACTTATAATATCGGCGGTGTCAATGTTGGAATGAAGAGTGTATGGCGGAAGCTCTTGTTGCTTTGAGGATCTTGGAAGAGTGGTAAGTGATGATGATCCGAGTTGTTGGATTTGCTTCCCAAAGGATCTGGCCAGAAGCGAATCTCCAATCCATTATATACACCATCGTGAGGCTCACGACCCCGGTCTCCGAGACCCTTCACCAGCATCCGAATGTCTCGACCGGCTTCTGCGCATTCTAGCCATCGATGCGTTTGCGTCAGCCGCAATGTCACACCCATCAACAAATAAGTTGAAAGGCTTTGGTCTGCGCAATCCAGCACAATTCAGTGTGGTGGGGCATCAAGATGCAGAGATACTTCGGATGAAGTCGGGCGGACTGCCAAAATTCAGGTACCTTCTTACCCGGAAGGGTGATTCGGTTTTAGGCATCCAGATTTATCCCTGCTCGTCCAACATGGAATGCGTAAGACGGGCAGGTCTCGGCCGACTGGCGGTGCTAGCAACCTGCCGATGAAACCAAAAGAAACAATTGCCATTGAGTCATTGCACCAAGAGGCAAGAGCTGGAAGAAATTTTTTTTCCAAAAACGGTGAACCACGGTCGTATTTCGTCGGTTTTTGCTCATTCGCTTGCGCCTCGTCTCTATCTGTGCAGAATTGAGTCACAGCGAGCCGAGCACCCAGGAGCTTCGCCCCATCACCAGACTGGCGCGGTTTTTCCAATGGCCTCAGATGACGCTCATGTCTCTCAGGCTCTGGCACGCTTTTCTAAACCATAAAATAAGCTCATCCAGAGTGTGGGGATGATAACCGAAAAGAGCGGACACACGACTTCGCACTCCAATCGCATCCAATTCCGGAACCCGAACCCTAAACCGGAAACGATAAATATTGACCCTGTTGGCCCTGTTCTCCAGGCATCGCAATTACGCATTTTCCTTCCACCCACACAATACGATGGCTGTTTACGCCCTTTCAGTCCTTGGTTTCACATCTAACCCTCCTTTTCATCCATCACATTGATCTTTCTGCCTAGTGTTAGCGCAGGGAGTCACAATTCACAACGCATGCGTCACTCCAACACATGAGGAACGCGCAATGATCCAGACTCTTGAATAACCCCTGCCTCTCTAAATGAGAGGTTGCGTCTTGCATTAGCCATTATAAATCCGTTGCGTCAATGGCTCAAGATTTCAACAATCCACGCCATCCCTTCGTCATCCGAGCAATTTTCCAAGGTTTGGCAATTACCGTGAGTTTGGTTGCGTTTTACGGCAGTCCGCAGGAGAACCCATGAACTGAGAGGCAGAACTCCATGCATGGGCCTGGTCAACTCTTCGTTAGGTGTGCACGAGCCTCGTTCTCGTGACATTTAGGATTGCTCTTTTCGCAGCTGGAGGACTCATCATCTCATCGTTTCCTCGGTTGGTTTTTGGTTTTGCTATTTTTCTCGCTACCATGTCAAATCTCAAACCACTTATTAAAAGCTCGTCTCGTTAAGAATAGTTATAGTAGAGCGACAAAAGCCTCCCGATTTCCACTCTGCCTCACCATTTCGTAGAACTCGCCCTTCTTGGCCATCAAATGTGACGTGGTGCCCGCTTCCAAAACTTTCCCAACTCCCATCACAACGACCTTATCATAATCCGCCACCGTACGCAGCCGATGAGCAATGGTAATTAAGCTTCTGCCGCCGCCTTCTGCGCCTGATAACTCCGCCCTCAAGGCATTTTGTATCCCCGCGTCTGTCCGAACATCCATACTCCAAGTTGCTTCATCCAGAAGGACGAGCTTGGATTGCCGGGCGAGAATGCGACATAATGACAAGACCTAGCGCTGGCCGTGGGAGAAGTTTTTTCCTCCTGTGTCTACCTGCGTGTGGAGTGAGAGAGGAGTATTACCTACGTCAGCTACTCTCTCGGCTTTCGCTGTGGAGGGCGAGTTGTGCGGGCCGGAGGTTATCTCTAGGACAGATAGGCACACATCAAGGGCCTTCTGGAGCCTGGACTCAGGAATCGTCCCTATAGGGTCAATGTTGAAGGCGATCGTGCCTTGGAATAACGCAGCCTCTTGAGGTATCGTTGCGATGGCTTGACGCAACGTGTTCCGAGGGAGGGTTCTGATATCGACGCCATCATAAAGAATCTCGCCTGAGACGATATGTGTGAATCCAAGAATAGACAGAATAAGCTGCATATATCAGCGTACATCCGTCGACCGTGATATCGTTATTGGGTTTATCATACCGTGCTCTTGCCACTTCCAGTTCGTCCGACGATAGCCGTCCTCTCGCCAGCATCGAAGGTCAGGTTTATGTTCTTGAGGATATCTGGGCCATCGGGATCGTATCGAACAGTCACATTTCGAAACTCGACGCGCCCAGATCGTGGCCAACTCTCGGGGGCACTGGCTTTTATATCGTCTAAGGATTTTGCGTCTCGATGCTCAACTGGAGCGACAAATTGTTGGCCTTCAGGCGAGAGTTCGCAATATTCCGACACCCGATGGAACTCGTTGCGGTTCGGTTATTATTAGCAGGGAAACGGGATGGCTAAAAGGGGGGGGATGGCTAAAAGGGGGGGGATGGGGTCCCTACTGCTTGCAACTCGATGTTCAACTCATTCATCCCAAAATCAAGTCTGGGAATCGAAGAACTCATTCCGGCAGCCTGAGACAGAGAGAAGGCCACGAGGCCAGCCGAGATGCTCTTTTGCCTTGACACGGCCAATATCCCCGCCAACACATTGATCAATGCTTTGCTCGAGTTTGTTCTGAACTTGAGCCATTGGTCACATTCCCTTTGCGCAACCATAGCTCGGGCAGAGTCATAAAGAAGGTTGTTTAATTTCTCGTTAAAGATGACGGACATTCCGTTCTGGGCTCGAATGATTACCTGGCTATCCAGACTGGATGATATGTGGGAAAGAATGGGAGGCTGGACGACACGAGACGCTGCCGATTCTCTCAATGAAGGTGCCTATCGTCTCCGGCAGGTAAGTCCCGTAGACACCGGAATGCACGTCTTTTTATGCTAAGAGATGGCTGACAAGGAATTGAAGTCCCAATTGTTATATATATGAAAAAAAAAAAAAAAAAAATAATCGAATGTTAACCTAATGAAGGGCGAAGAAGGAGAAGGAAATATGGAATCGCTTAGAGCACAAGTATCAGGGCCGTGCTATCGACTCCGGGAGCTCCATATTTCCCACTAGGTCAAACTGACCAACATCAAACCCATTTCCAACCGTCTTCTCACAGAATAAACACTCCTTCAAGCCAGTCCCCGATCCCACACTCACTAACACTTTCTCATTGGACACGAAGGCGTCATCCTAATGGTAGTGGATTTCAATACTTGGCATCAGTGTAACGATCCTGAAGAAGTGTTGGCGTGGGCGAAGGCACGAGACGTAGACGCACCTGTCGGACGAGGAATAGAGAGGGTGATGTTCTCGGGTTTGAAAGAGATGCCCCACGCTCCTTTACACTTATTCTCTGTTTCGCCACCGACAACACAACAGATCTGGGAGAATGTCCATTACCCTCCGCTTCTTTGTTTGCCATGGCAAATTCTATCAGATTTCAGGTGTCACTAATGTGAAGAGTGGAGTATTTGTTCGATGCTGTCGTGAGGAAACCCCCGACCACGCAAAGGCTAGTTAAAAGGGTTGAGGCTGATCCCGCTACGTCCAAGCGATTTGACGAAATAAATCAATTGATGCCTATCTTCCAGTGTAAACCCAGATGCAAGCAATACTGACAAGTCAAAACATAAATTTCCAAGCTCATCTTTAGTTAGTTCTCTGGGACATGCTTATCAAGGGACGCAGTTTGCCATCCCAAAGCCAAATCTGCCACACAAGTTCCCAAACCAGATGGTAAATCCAACAAAGATCAGCTCTTGCGTCGTGTCCTTTTGGGAGCCCACAACTGGATCCGAGCCGGCGCTCGCACACAGATCGGAGTCGTGTGAAATGCGATCAGCAATCTTATCACCACTGGCAGACAGGTCCCGGAAATGCCCAAACACAGCAAGATCACAATCGTCAACGCTAGTAGTGAAAGGCAAAGATAGGGTCTGTCCACGAATCGAATCCGCGAGCTTCTTGCAGGCATCGACAGAGGGAGGATTAAGACTGCTTCGACACTCCACACCTGGCTCGGGATTTTGACGAGCGACGAGGTGGGGAGCGGATGCGGGCTCTGGCTCTGAGGCTACTCTACGGCGTCTGGAGAAACTTCCGGGCTCCTCAGGCTGTCGTTCCTCAAGCGAACGTGTTGGGAGGGATCCGCTTGCGTCCCCTGTGTCACGGCGGCGTGGGGCGTTGCAGACTGCACATGTCCCGAACATGCAAACGGTACACTGGCGCACAGAGACCTATAACGAAGATACCACAAATTAGCGTGTCGGGCTCTCTTTGAGAGATTCGATCTGGCGGTTCTTTGACGCTTACATGGCCACCTGTGTCCTCACAAAAGCCCACTCCCCGGCAACCGTCTTCCACGATATCTTCCGCCTGCATAATGATATCACTCCCTCGAGTGGGGGGCGGATTCGTCGAGCTGAAGGCGCCGCGCAATTCAACTGTGCAGTCTCCAGCGCTGAATTGGCGAATACCGGTGTAGACTTCGTTTGGGTTGATCTTTGCAATGGCAGCCCGGCAATCATCCGGCGTTGGGGTGTTGCCTCTGTCGCAAAACGAGTTGGCAGGGTTGGCTAGCACGGTGGTTGCGGTGAAGCCGAACATCACTAAAGCGATGGGCTGGAGCCCGAAGGGAGTTGAAAAGAGCATCGTCAAGATTGGAGTTCAGAAGAGTTGAAAATGCACGATAGGCGGGAAAGAGGACTGAGGAATTGAAGATTGTAATGATTGTCAGATGCTTTTTGGATTGGGAGTTTTAGGGGGTGCTTTTCACGTCTGCCTGTCCAGAGCGATCCGATGCCTTAAATACTTTTTCATCTTCTGTGATACCCACGATGTCTTCCTGAAATCCACGCCCTGATCATCGCTATTTTCTCCATGGTGGCTACGCCCCCTTTCCCCGCCACTTCGTCTGAGTGCATCGTCAAAATTAAAATTATCTCGGCCTCCCCATCTTCCGGACTTCGTGCTGATGTCAGAATGGCCCTCGCCTGTTCTTCAATGCTGGCAGAAAACCAATCGTACTGAAGTCCAGCGTAGCATTCGGCAGTGAAGTCAGCTTCAGCACCGCCCCCAGACGGATCTTTCCTCGCCTATTTGACCATCCAGGATTGCACTTAGCCCAACTGAGGAATTGTCAGCATCAGCCGCCCCCAAAAGCAGGATGATATTAATATCATGAGGCCCAATAGGAGGGAAAAGAGCGCTTGTCGCTTCTGAAACATGAGGGACCTGCATTCCCAATATGGCAGCTTGTCCGATCCTTCCGCTATTCACGTCTTCAAAACCATGCCACCTGCCGCGCCTCCATTGGTTACCGACTCCCGAGACCCCAAAGACCAATGGCAGTGCACCCTCTCGGTTCTTCAAGTTACCGGCTCGCTACTTCGTCAGACACCACTACACTTTACGAAAGAGACTTATGACTACGCACTCAATCGTTCGGATGAAGGAGTTGAAACTGTCTTAGCGAGATGGGAAAGCGGACAGCAAGGTCAGTGAGGTATTTTGGATTGCCTAATTATTTCCTGGACAGAAATACTGCCTGGAGCAGGATAAACAGCACCTACTTTCCCCACTCGCACCAGCTAACATGCTGTCGCTTTTCAGATGATGTTACAGTTTCAATTATCACATTACCCAACCCAAGAAACACAATATTCACTCTCCCCCCAGGATAATATCCTTCAGAAGTCCCATATCTCACCCTGAGGATCATATGAGTCGCCAAAGTCCGAGTCGTGGGGTGCTCCCATCACGGCCTCGGGAACTCGAATGTACGCAGATGTATCATTGCCCTGGACAAACGTGGCGTCCGAGACTTGTGCCCCTGGCGCTATAATGTCTGACGAAAATTGTAACGGCGAGCGACGTGATTGAGGGGTATGTGTCGGGTTCTGCACTGGTCCTGGGGTGCTTGTTGATGGTCTAAACTCATTTGAGAACTGCGCTTGTCCGGCAAAGGCATGTGCCGTGGGCTGTGAGAGCTGTGGCTGCACATCAGAAGATGACTGGTGCGTCTGCTCCGGCGCTTCACGTTGCTCGGGTCCTTGCACCTCGGTCGCTCCTAATGAGTCATATGGCGTCTCGAGAATGATTAGCTGGCGGGTGCCCATGGTGGAAGCATACGGTGGAGTGCTGGGGATATCCGATGGACCTGCCGGGTTGAGATGATGCGAGCGCTGTGATCCAGGGATTGGCACGAATCGAGGCTCCGAAGTAGGGGCGCCACCGCCTGTCCGAATCTCTCTAGAACTCCTGACTGCTTCAGCTCGGCGGTTCCGAATGTGATTTACAGAAGCATAACGAGGTTGAAGGGGCGATCGGGTTGCATCGGTCTGATGCTCATGAGGGCCAGCGTTGGGAGGGCAACCCTGCGGCGCACCGGCCGATGCAGCCCGCTGGATTTCCTGGAGTACTTCTATTGCGGACCGGTCTCGGCTTCCCGAACGACCAGCTACTTCGGTTCGTTGCTGTGGTCCAGCATCCGGTTCTTGAATGGTCTGTCCGGTATTATACTCAGGGTGCCTCTGCGGCTGCTCCTGGGCCTCGCCGTTTGGACTCGGTAAATCTGGTTGAACAGGTGCTCCCATCGATATCTCTTCTCCCACACGTGGACTCCCTTCGGATTCTTCTTCAGCTTGGATGATCGGGCCATACCCATGTCGACGTTGGGGATCACACTGGATACTTGAGTTTTGGAGGTGATTCACTGCTGGCCCATCAGGTGAACCAGAACCCTCCCCCACTGCCCCTGTAGTCACAAGAATCCCGGCTGCCTGTAGGGGTGATGGCTGTTGAGTCCGAACAGGGGATACCACCGCCTCCTCCTCCGCCTCCTGAACTCTCCCTTCCCCGTGCGCCCTTTGTTTTTGCCGACCCCGAATGGCTAAGAACTGCTCCAGGTATTTATAGTTTTCAATTATCTGTTTCTCTTCTCTCGGGCTATTCATATCAAATGTCCGAAGATCTTTAGCGGATCGCCAGGTCACTGATGTTTTGCGCAGGTACGGGAGCCCGTCAAAACACAAGACGGGGAACTCTCGGTCGGTGATGAGTTCCCCACCATCTTCGTACCCATTAGCCCATCCCGCGATCTTCCCCGTCATCGTGCAGACACGGTAGCACGCCGGGATGTTTTCAAGAAGACAAGTATCTTCCAGTGCTCCCCCAGGCAGCCCAATCTCGTCAAAGCTTGGGTCATTGAAGCAATCGCGAGGGAGAATGACGGCTGCCAAATACACCCCCAGGTTAGGGCAAAGGACTTTATAAATCTCGCCTGGACGGGCATCCGTGACCCATTCATGACTATCCCTAGATCGCCGGGACGAACCTCTTGTCTGCGAAGGGGGAGGTCGTTGGAAATTCGCGGCCCACCTATTGTTGAGGGGATGGTATTTACCACTGTCCACGAGCCTCTTGAAGAGCTCATTGTTCAGGGTTTGTTTCTCCAGGTCACAATTCAAGACTTCGATCCCGAGCTCTTTGATAACCACCTCGGGCGTCTTTTGCATATTGTTATGGCTCTTGCCGGCTAGGTGTTGGCCACCTGCGTGGAGTGGGCTTGTACCGAAATGCATGCCGTGTTTGTCGCAGCGTATGATGTACCACTTCCCGCCGACACTGGGCCACTGAACGATATGATGTTTATATTCAGCTTCGCCGTCCTGGTACAGCTCATCGAATTCAATCGTTAATTGTGACCAAGAGCCTGTGGTTTCATTTTCGCCTCCTCCATCCGAAGCTCCTTCCCTCGGAGTATCTATCGAATCACCAAGCCGCGGGCGTTTGGGCTGTTCCGTCTCGGAAGAAAGCTCGGTGGTTGTTCGCCTGCGCTTGTTCTGTTTCACGTATGGGTTAGTGAAGAGCAAGAAAGCTAACGAGCATGGGTGGCCTACATTCTCAGAATGGGATGCTTTAGTGCCAAGCATATCCGATGCCGTAGAAGGCTCGTCTGGTAGAAAGACAGGTTGCTCGGTGACGTTGACGTGGGTATTCTCTCCAGCGCGTTTTTGGGGCCGAGTATTCGGATTTTCCGTTTCCGGCGACATTGTGGTACTGGTGTTTGATTGTATCCACGTGCTCTCCCTGGCCGATGAAGGATCCGGCGAGTCTGTTGCAACATTGGCCCGAGGTTCCTGGTGTGTGTGATTCGAGCGATTATCATTCCGGAGGCCGGTCTGTCGTCTGGCGAATTGCGCCTCTTCCATGGCTTGAAACTTCTCACCATGCTCTGCAACTAGCCTGTCATGCATCTTCTCGAAACTCTGGAACTTGCACCGGCAACCTGCATCAAGAAGAACTGCAAGCTTATTCTCCCACTTGACATATTCCTCTAGCTTCGTCTCGTACTGGGCTAACGGAACCTTGGATACTAGTAAGGTCCGAACGAGGGCGGCACGCGCTTCGCTCACACGAATCTCCGTCCTCCTCTTTTCGTCGTTGAACAGGTCCTCCGGGATTTTTATCTGCTCGAATTCTCGGAACCACTCAATGTACCGTTTGGAAGTGAGGACGTAGTCCTCCATGCTACGGCCAGCCCCAGTATTCATGGCGCTCATGTTCACAGGCGAGTTAGACCTGTTCGTAGGCCTCCCAACCGCAATTGTACCCACTGTAATAAGAAAAAACAGGTTTGTTGTTAATCGATTGGACCGAAACCGGTTCTTGTCGAAATGCAAGGGAAAAGGACGGAGAAGATGAGATTCGAATCGTTTTGAGAAGCGCGATCCAGACCTCCCTCCGGAAGAGGTTTGAAAAAGGCAAGTGTCGAGAAATAAGAGAAGGGAAGCGAGACAACAGATACTTATTTTTCTCTCGCACCATGTGAAAATTTTCCTTCATCTTTTTTCCAAAATAGACAAAACCCCTCCTGGGCTGCGGGCACTCCCAGGCAACCAGCTCCATGGATTGCCCAGCCATCTCAGCGGCCTGATAGGGTCCGGGGTTCCAGAGGCTTGATCTGGCGCCACGTTGAGCGATGTATCACATTGCGTGAGAGGAGGGCGCCGAGCCTTGCCCGCCTCACCTGGCGATTGGATGTCGTTTGCCAATTGTCGATGCACCTGTCCCTTTCGGTCCAGGTGTGGTTGCACAGGCTGGGGTTTGGGAGGGTCGCCAATTAAGACCTTAATGCGAGGCGGCCCAGGTCGCATCTCGCCTTCGGTTCGCGAACAAGGGGGGTCAGGTCTAGATGAACCTTTGTAGACTGTGGCGTGCTACTTCGTGAGATGAGCAGCAGGGATGGGTGTAATTTATCCTTCCCTCTACATTCAAACCTCGACATTAATTAGTGCGACTGGGACAAGAAAAAAGTTCCTTGATATTGAAAAAGATCTTGGGGAGATTTGTAGACCAACACGTCTCCAAAATTGCATGCCAAGCTTTGAAAGAGTTCGAGCCCCAACGCTCGGAAGTGGCCCCCCATCCCCCCTTCCTCTCCCCCCTTCTCCGCAAGGATAGTATAGTATTTCGTATTATAACCTCCAATATACCTCAATACATTCACCGACTTGTTCCCTTGCCCCCCTTTTCCTCCTGCATGAAATGTTCCTATTAGCACCGCCTGCCGGGACCCCCACCATAGTATCTGCCGCCACCTCCACCATAATGATGGCGGGGACCACGGCCGGGCCCGCATGGTCGACCACCCACCCGTCCCATACCCATTGGTGGGCCCACGACGACTACAGGCGGAGGCATCGGGCGCATGACTGGCCGTGCCGCTGGTCTGCCCCAAGGATCGGCATAAACGATTGTTCTCCTCCTTGACGATGGCAAGCACATTGTGTTCTACTCTTGGAGCCGAGCGCTTCTCGTGGTATAGGGTGGTTGGTGAGGTAGGAATTGAGCCCCGGGAAATATTCAATTGATTTATATTTATCAAAGGATGTAAACAGGTCTTGAGAGGTGGACAATAGTTCTGACGTATGACGTATGACGTTGATGGGAGTGGTCAATGTCTTCGGTGCCTGGATGTACCGCGTTTAATCTTCAAATGGGTGCTGCTGACATCTTAAATATCCGTCGTCTTTCAGCGTTTCCGCCATCAATGTTGCGGTCTGTCCCGGATGATGTGATCTTATCGAGGGCCAAGACAAGAGCAGCCGAACAAGAGTAGAGTCAGGCCAATTATAATTCAATGGTTCAGGCGCCACTAGCGACATCTGCCCAAGTTCGGATTCGGCCAGGGACGAAAGTCGCCTAGTGGCGATGCCGGCAATCTGCTAGATCCGCGCCGAGCCTCTGACCGTGGGGAGCTGAGGCGGAGTCAAGATCGAGAGTGCACTAGCGACGTGGAGGAGGGAATGTTTGCCACAACTAAACGCGCCAAGAGGAGGAATCCATGGTATAGAATATCGTCATGTGATGAAGATGAGAGGGTTGGCTATGATCGATCAATGATGCAGTAAAGAATACATCGGAACGGATCCATTGCTTGGCCAAAGTTTATGGACTCGCGGGATTGATATACTCTCCCCAAAGACATGCCGAAGTTGGTCGGGGCTCTCCCATGCACTCGGAATTCTCCGAGGGCTGTGGGAATCCTCGTCAGCTAGTGTTCGTGACATAAGTCAGGCTACGATAGGCCGGGTTCGAGCACAGTATCATCTTCTGCTTCCAACACCAGATAGCCAGAGAGGCATTCCTACCTTCTCAAGGTGATAATGCTGTCTCTTTGATGAACTTAAGAAAGATATCAACTTCTTACTAGAGTAACTAGGCCTGGAAAATACTACCCCCTGCGAAAAGTTGGTGTGGTATCATCGGTGGGTTGGACGAGACTCCAGTGTCCTTTTCACGAATGTTCCCGAATGCAGCATGCTAGCTTGACCCGACGTTATTTGTTGAGGTTCAGTAAAAGAATGTCGCGGAAGCCGAACTGCGATTCTTACATATCCGATACCGAGTACTCGATTCTGTGGAGACTATGGACGTTGCTGCGAAAGGGCCCAGAAGACTAATTGTATCCTCAGATTCTTCCACTCTCAAATCTAAATGTCTTTCTATATTTTTCGTCGATAGCCGAATTCCTCCCCAATCGACACCGTCAAGTTGGTGGTACTGTGAGTGATCCATTCACATCATTGTAATGATGGCCCTACCCAGATCGACCCATCCTCGTTGGACTTTGACTCGGAGTGCCTAGGAACTTGGGAAGCAGGCAAACTGTAAGCCCACTGACAGATCGTGGCCCCCTTGGATATATAGGACAATCCGGTCCATCGCCCAGAGGATAACCTTTTGGTAACGGCCCGGTGGGAATGCCTAGTGAAGTTGACTCCAAGGGAAGTCTTAGTCCGGTATAACTGGATCTTCTCTTGTCTGTGGCTTCTTGATAAACCATACACCCACGCTCGCTGCGCAATACAATACGAAAGCGACAAAGTACGGCAAAGCAATAGCAACGCCGCCCTTTTCAATGCCGAACGAAAACGAGAGACCAAACAACAGAGGTGCAACAAGGCTTATGACCCCTTCGAACAGAGCCATGGTCGTGAAAAGAAGCGCAAAATGGCTTTGAGGTACGAAGGAAGTCAAGAGGGATCTCATGATACCGGAGAAGCCGTTGCCGACAGTATATACGATAAAGACTGCGTGGGAACGTCAGTTGAGGGTATGGCTGAGGGCATATGATTCCCGTTGATATCTTACACGTAATAAATATAGGTGCTATAGGGGCCCAAATCATGCCAAAGGTTCCGGCGAGGAGGAATACAAGGCAAAATCTCGCCTGTGTAAGGTTTGCAAGGAGTGTGTTACCCTTTGAATGCTGGAGCAGGAATCGGTATATCAAAGGCATAACGAAGAGAAAGACCGGTATCTGCACACCGGCCTGGACTGATATCAACAGATTTGCCTGGGGTTGAGTTAGGAGCTTATTCCAGCATTGAACAGATAATTAAGATACTTCTTACTTTTCTCAGGGACCAGCCGAACCGAACAGACATGTACTGCAGTGTCAACTCCAGCAATGGCCGAGCTACTCGGTGGATTGCGAGGGAAGCCAACCCTGCAAGAACGCCTGCGCGGACCAATAATGCACCGACGTCTTCCCTCACGAACCGAAGCGCATCGGCTAAGGCGCCTTGTGTCTTTCCTGATATCCCACCATGAAGTGAAGTTTGGGAGCTATTCTCAATGCCCGAAGCAGTGTCATCAGATTCAGGATTGAGACGTGTGCGCTCACAATCTTCCGAGTCGGAATGGCCGATATATTTTGGTTCCTCGTCGCGAATGAAGTAGAGCACAACAAGGCTAAAAGTGAAGAGAGGGATTCCAACGAGAAAAGTAAAGTGTGGTCCGATGCGTCCCATTAAAAAAGACCCGAGGGGCGGGGCTATCAACTCGGAGGCTATGATGCTGACATTGCAGTAAAAGATGGCCGGTGTCCTGGAGGAGAGGAGGAGTAGATTATCAAGTCAGTTCAAGTATTAAGATGGCGTGAGTGACTCGCATAAACGACAAGGAGGACAGAGGAGAAGAAAAGACCGCTGATCTTCCAATTTATGCTTACCTTGTCTCTTCAGGGGTCACATGTGCAACGATAGCCAAGATCATGGCTGGTATTACCACAGGGCCGGCGCCGATGAGCACAAAAACCGGAGCTGCGTAGACCGCTGTGGTTGGAAAGATCCTGTAAAAGTATAGGGCCGTAAAGTACCAAGCATTGCCAAGGATAGCTCCTATAATGCCAACCGCAGAAATAGTCTTCCTCCCCCATTTATCTGCGAGAATCCCGAATGGCACTGCTAGGATAATGCCTATCCGAAGAGTTAATGTTCATGCTTCGCAAACTATTGCTTCCTCCCACGACTGGCAGCCATACTTATTAGATACTCAAGCATCTGGAGGAACCCGCGTAACCTCGCCAAAGAACTCTGGACGGCTTTCACTTTGCACAACTCCTCGGGGATGCTGCCATCACCCCCGATCACGCTCACGTCCGCTAGGCGGTAGTAGTCTCGACACAGGCCCAGCTCCAGCATTCGAATCTTAGCGGCATCGCCCATGAAAGTGGGGTAGTCGATGAGAAAGGCGAACAAGCCGCAGAGATAGACTGTGGACCAAGTTGAGACATGGTGAATAACCTTGGCAGCCCGCGATTGAGCCTTCACGGATGCTGGCCTTTGCGGCTCACGATCGAGGAGCGGTTCGGCCTCCGGGTCAATGTTTCGCGTCATTTCGTCGTCGGACAGTGTTGTTTGGCCAAGCCACTAGAAGCGATTGGGCGTGAAACCCTCAAAAATGACCAGCAAACCGGCAATACGACGCCTGGTCGTCTGTAACCTTGCCAATGAACTACCCTGCGCTCATCACGTCGCGCATATCATGTCACAAAACAGCTGAGAATTAGGAGAAGGGTGGACCGTCAGCGAAACCACGGGATCTTATGTGCGGTTCTTCCCCCAGTTTTAATAATATGATAACGCACAAAAATTGTTCTAAACGGAATTTAGATTCTATGACTTCGCTGTGGACTCGGAACCTGACGAATGAGCTCCGTTTCAGAGGCTCAGAGAAACCTCCTTCCTAACCGGGCCGTTCCTTAAACTGCTGCCTAACATGGGTGCTGCAACTTGCTGGTCGCATCTGATCCTTTTTGCAACACGCAATGCCTTTCCGTATTTTCGTATTGTTACTATCGCATTATCCGGTTGCCAAAATTTATCAAAAGGTTCGCGTCGACCGTAACAAGGAATACTCAGACATCAAACTTCCACTCAAGGCCTGGCATCATCCGAACCAGCTCCGGCTCCGGATGAATTGAACGGACCAAGGCCATTCAACAACCGAAGACAAAGCAATTGGAGGCAATTACATAATATATATCAGACTGGCTCTATTGTTCTGGGCGGGTTGGATCATTTATGAATGGGCGTCCATTAATTCCGGGACTGCATTGAGAAAGTGTCTCGAACATTCGGCCGGATCGTCAAACGAGATATCCGCAATTTGGCCACATGTCAAAATGCCATCATTACGGATTTTATTTTCCCATCTATTCTCGTTCTCTTTCACGGGGAGTCAGAGATGCTGCGAGACCCTTTCATCCTCTTGATATACCTCGGGAGTCAAGAATTAAGATCAATAATACGTTTGCACCACATTGTCGCATTCAAACACCCCATCTTTTCTCCAAATGCTTGATAAAATGGAACGTACAAATGCTGGAACCTCTTGGAGCTTGGTCGCCCTTTTGGCATGTACACTGTGGTGGCCTCAAATGGTCATGTCACTACGTCCTGCGACCTGTCATGCCTGTGTCCCAGAGTCCACACGCCAGATGCCCGCGTTAGGTTTTCACCTAGGACAATCCTATGGGTAAGTTAGTAGACTTTTGCGTTAAGTGTGGCCGACCAGAGCTAAATTATACAGAGCGGCCGTGAATTATTTCGATAACGGGACAACTGTAAACCTTGGAAAGGTCCCTGGGAGCCCTGACTATGTTGACATGATGGCGCGCCTGATAAAGAAACGACCTTCGCGAGAACCGAGGAACGCCCAGTGTATCGGGTTCGTCCCTCGGGACATTTTCGGTATTGGCCGTCCCACCGACGTTGCCATCCTAGCTAAGATGGTATCTCAACTCAAGAAGGCATCCGAGGCAACTCTGGGAGCGGGCATTGACGGGTACGGAGTCTCGATCACGGCACCATGGCAAACTTTTTGGAAGGACCACAACCAGTGGGACTCCGATATCAACAATGCGCTTTGGGTAAATGATTTGAGTCCTTGGGCTCCAGAGTCTGACGACCCAGTGTATCTCGGCGAGGTCAGGGCAGCACTAGCTGCAAGTGGAAGGTGGCTGTGCCAGCCGTATGGGCGTTATAATTTTGAAGTTGTTCCTGACATTAGGGACTATATCTACTATATTAGGTGAGTCTCATACTGTCACACTTCCACACCATTTCATGTTGACTATCGCGGCTGATGTAGAAGCGGCTTCCTCTCGCTTAAACTAGCTTCACAAACCAGTCGCTTTATACGACTTTCATCCAAGCAGGTTGCTTTTACAAACAACCGCACGAGATCGGCGGGTCCATAGACCCAGGTCTAGGCTTCGACAGCATCCACAACCGGTCATCTGAGAAGTCTTGGCTTCATCTTAGAAACCGATTGCACACCCGCGTAGCACAATTCAAAGATTGGGTAAACCCTCGTCGGTATTTCTACACTATCAGGCCCATTGTTCTCGTTGCCGGTGAGGCAGCGGACAACCCCGAGTTCTTGTCGATAGTGAGGGACGTCGCGGCAGAACTTCCGGATATCCTACCTGGGACCGATCCAGAGGACAAAAAGCTGGTTGGCAGTGCAGGCGGTAGCGCAGAGCTCGTAATTCTCGAAGACCCAGGATTTGGTCCAGCTAAAGGGGCAGCACTTTGGTCGAGGTTGAAGGTTGAAGCCTCCGGGTATTGTGAGACGGCCCAGGGGTGTGAAATGCCGATTGCGAACCAGCAAGATGAGGATGAAAACTCACGGGCAGAGGAAACGAGAATTATTGCTTAGCCATGCAGTCTTTCCCTAGATAGGTGAAGCATATCGATGCACAATTAGAACATAGAACATAGTTTACCGCTGCTAAAGTTCCAGTCACGAGCATATGTTGAGCCATTATTCTGATGGAGAAAGTCCACTCATTTAGATCAGAATGCGATTGGTTGTAGTGGCTGGGGCCATGTAAGCATCTCGATAGACTTGGACACTCGGCGATATGAATTTGGCCGACTCGATGGCAGGAGAGAAGTCTGGATGTTGTTGCTCCACAGTCGATGAGGCCGACATTGGAAGGGAAGGAGGGAGCCGCAAGCCACTAATTATCCCTCGGAAGTCCGAGAAGATATGAAGTCTCCAACACTCAAACTTTACGATTATCACCCCGCCATCCTCGCAAACCTGGCCGGAAGAGTGAGATAGGGGTGAACAATGGCGACATATTCTAGCAGAATCGCAACCCAGCTCCCATATTTAGAACCTTAGAAATCACTCTTGCCCAAGTGTGCTTCACTGATGTTAAAAGGGCGTCGTTGACTGAAGCGCGAGGAGAAAACGACCTATTACAACCGAAACTCAAACCCCGCTGACAAATCCACCTGTGTTTGAGTCCCAACTCGCTGAACTCAGCCACTAAGTTTGGGTGTGATTAAGATGGGGGAGGACCGCGTCTCAAGCTGCTTTTCGACTATTATACAGCACAGAACTCTCCCTCCTGACGCGCATTCAGGAAGCTCAACGCAAATACCATCCTAATCCTACCAACTGAGGTAAAGCCCATCACATCAATACACCTCACCAAAATTTCCCACAATGGCGGCACCACAACCTCTCACCCTTTACCTGAAACCCGGGGCTTGCTCCCTCGCCCCTCACAGCGTCCTTGCCCATGTCGGTCTCGACTATAAAATTGTCCTGATGAAGCAGGCTGCCAATGGCAATTCCACCTACAGCCGCTACGAAGCAGCCGACGGCAGTCTTCCCCACGACGAGTTCCTGAAAATCAACCCCAAGGGCTTCGTACCTACCCTCGTGCTTGGTGAGGGCTCGGACGCCGTCGTCATCACCGAGATGCCCGCCGTGATGACATACATCGGATCCATCGCACCGCACGACCTGAACTTGCTGGGTACCGATATCGTTTCCCGCGCCAAAGTTGTCGAGTGGCTGGCTTGGCTATCAGGCGCAGTTCATAGCAACGGCTTTGGCGCGTTCTGGAGACCTGGCCGGTTTGCGGATGACTCTAACACCGAGACCATGCAAAATATCCGGCGCCGTGGGGAGGAAGTCCTTACGAAGGCCTTTGCCACGATTGAGGGGAAGTTGGAAGGGAAGGAATTTGCGGTGGGCGAGGCGCTGACTGTCGTGGACTTTCTCTTGTTTGTACTGTGGTGGTGGTGGTATGGTCTCAAGCCCGAGAACAAAGAAAAGTATCCAAACTATGCGAGGCTGGCCCAGAAAGTGAGGGCGCTGGATGGTGTGAACAAGGCCATTGCCGCTGAGGGCATCAAAGTTGAGCTATAAGTCATGATGCCCTGCTTCGCAGGACAAGGAATCAGATGATATTCAACACGTTTCAATATGGAGCGTCCCGTAGGATTTTATAATATATCTGTCTCTCAGACGAGGAAACAACTCATGAAAGATCATGACATTTGAAACTCCTGGCACATCCATAGATTGTTGGACATTTAACTTGGAGACTCATTAGAACTTGGCCACTTCCCTTGAAACTTGGACAGGAAAACCAGACTATTCTAAGAAAAGATAAAGTACCACATCCCTCATACTTCCATATTAACAAATTACCAGCTACGCCAAGCGAGAAACCTTCACGCTAAAGCCAATAATGTTTTCCCCTTCAGTCTACTTCATAAGAAGTTTATTCCTAAAGTAACGATATTTATATTTGGTAGCTTTTTACTTTATTGCAGTTATTAAGAAATACAATTCCAGCAATAGATTTCTTATGAAAGAGGAGAAAATAACATCGCCATCATTTGTTCGAAGTTTGCTCGCTTGATGCAGCTGGCAAGACCAAGCGGGGTCCTAACCGGTTGGAAGCTGTCAGACGCGAATCAAGGCCCAGAGGTTTTTCCTCTGTAGTTTGTCGGAGCCGAGAAACACAACCCAAAGGTGAAGGTGACTACGCTTGCCCAGGATAAATAGGAGCGCAGACTGGAAACAGCACAACTTCGAGAAATGGTCCAATGGTCAAAGGGTGGTCGCAATGGCTTTCGTAGGATGTCGGGAAATCAACGGTCAGTGGGAATCTGCATCGCTGGGCTTCACTGGCAGTAGGAATAGAAGAAAAGCAGAAATAACCGAATTAATATTGGAAAGAAAGATAAAAGAATAATTAGATCTCAAAAGATAGCCTCTGAAACCGAGGGGAACAGCTATTCACTCGCAGTCGCTCACACTTCCCTCTTAACACATGCCGAACTGCCTAACTCTAAGTTCTCGTCCATTATCGCGGAAGCCATCCTCCCCTTATACGTACGTGTAAGTGAGGTCCGGCTGTGTGGCTCTTCAAGCTTCCTTTGTGGCGGTGGCTTTTTGCAGTGTGGCACTGCGGAATGCCGGCTGCTCTACGCACCAACACAGCAAAAGTATGAGGAGTGTGGTTATTTTCCCCTTATATCAATTAATCTTTCTGGCCAAGTTTCAAGGAAGGTGGCCGAGTTCTAATGAATCCCTTAACTTCATGTTTGTCGAGAGTCCAAGAAAATGAAACTTCGAGTCGTTGACAGATCGGGCTTATTACAGGCCCCGCAGTCTGTATGGAGGACAAAATCTGGCTCTACCAAGGCTCTTAGTTACGAACTCAGGGATTCCGTCCAAGCGAGCAGTGCCCTTCCGAATGGTCACAACTGTTCGGGCTGGATGAAGATGACAACATTGACATAAATGAATGAAAAGAAAAGGAACAAAAATCCTTTCTTCAGTAATTACTCCATAATTTTCGACCCATCTCGAATTGCTATTCACAACTAGTGCCTTGAAATGAATATAATGGCTTTACCTCTCGCTCTGCACCCAATTTGACATTATTCTTCAAAAAGCTACTCCCGGCCAGGGAGCCAAATGGAGCGACTCACTTCCTCTAACCAGGTCAATGATGGTAAAGAGCCTCCTCTTCATCCTCGGACTTTCCGATCGGCAGCACCTTGATCTGGGCACCCTTCGTCAATTTGTCAATGCTGTCGAACAGCTCCCTCACCTTCTCGGTGAACCGCTCGAACGCGGGTCTCATCGATCCATCTTCGGAGCCTGGCGATTTTAGGCTGCTTCCATAATGATAGACCCCAAATCTTGAGTAGATCTCAGCCCTTTTGGCTCGGCCCATGCATTCTAGGGGTACTTGGTGGACTCTGGAGCAATATAAACTGACAGCCGCAGCCTGGGCCTCTTTGATCCCCTCCGCGACCGCCGAGAGCGCGTTTTCCACTAGAAAAAATGCAGAACTCCCCGTCAGTGGAAGAAACGCTCGAGGGTGGTGGGGTCCTGAGTACTACTCACCATTTTTTAGGCCTTCCAACTTTTCGGAGGCTTTGCGGTGCCTCTCCAAGTAGACGATGCTTGCAAAGAAACCTCCAACCACCGAGGTCGCCAGGAATAAACCAAGGGAGCCCCACGGGTTGCCACCGACTAGAGCGATTTCATCACCACTTAAACAGCCAAGGGCACGGGCAAGGCCAAGGGTAACACCTCCAAGACCGGTAGCAATGCTGACAATTCCTCTAGCCGCCGCGTTGTGTCCGTCCCGTTGGTAGTCTTTGGTTAACTTATCCCGAATTCTTGTCAGATGGGTTTGCAGCGAAGCGAATTCTGCTGCGGCATCTCGGAATCCGAGGACAACAAAATAGCAGTCTTGATTTCCAAGATCTAAATAGACATTAGCACGTAAAAAGTTAGCAAGGAAGTACCTCTGTAAGAGAAAGGAAAACAAGGGAAGGGGGGGAAAAAAGAAGGAAAAAAAAGAAAGGAAAAGAAGAAAAGAAGAAAAGAAGAAAAGAAGAAAAGAAAAAGTGAGAGAAAGAGAAGAGAAAAAAGAGGAAGGCGGGGGAGAGGAAGAGAGAGAAAGCTTGCAAATGAAGCAGAAGAACTAAAACCGGACGTACCTCCGCTCGAAAGAAAATCCGCCAGTCTGATTTGTATATCATGAAAAGTGTTTGAGAAGTTTTGATGGTGTTGTTGCATCTGCTTCCATAACTTGGCCCTCGTCTCCAAAGTTAACATGTTCCGATTGTGTTCGTCCAAATTCCTTTGGGAGCTTCGGTTCACAGTCCAAATTAGTGTGAAGAGTTCAAAGCTCGGGCCTGTTTTCCCCCTCCAGACATCGAGGAGCTCAGCAGGTCATCGCAACACATACCAAATCGATTGCCCTTTGAAAGGTATTCAAATGCCGAAGAACACCTAGGCCAAAGAGCGATTCTACAAGCCCGGATGGTACAACGGAGCCCAGGGTCGAGGCAACAACCGCGCTCGCACGCAGCCTAACTCTGATGTCAGACGAATATTATAGAGGTTATAGATGACAAGATAAGGAGGGAGAAAGAGAAGGAAAGAAAAGAAAAGAAATAGAAAGGGAAGTGAGATTGGCAGGTTGAAACTCACACTTGCGTCAAACTGTCCTCCTCGAGCCGATCCGGTATGACGATGAAATGCTCGATCTTAGAATCCCGTTCGGGCAGGTTGAGAATTTCGAGGTAATTGCAGCTCTTTTCAACCCTTTCCCGACAATGGTGCGGCATGTTTGGTGGCACGCCTACTGGGCGCATGTCCATGGCATTGGGCGTACTCCCAATCTGGTTGAAAAACTTACGTATGGGCCGCACAGCTCGCGCATGGAATACCGCAAAGGCGCTCGAAATCAAGATATCAATGGTGTCCTCAAAGTTGCTTGCGTCTTTCGTAGCAAGTTTGTACTTCAACTCAATCTAGAGAACACCATATCAGTATGTTTCAATGCCTCTCCACTAAATATAAGACACCAGTTGGGGAGGTTGGGGTAGGGTGCTCGAAAGGGTTCGTTTCAAGTAATACATACCTCCACTGGGATATACGTGTCATAATAGCTCGCTTCGTTAGATTGCCGGGAAAGCACCGGCTGTACAAACCAATCTTTAAATCCTTCAGATTGGAATTCAGATGCAAGGCCATGGTTGTACTCCTGGCACCATCCCCGTGCATTGTCAGCATGCCAAACTCGGAGACGAAGGCTGATCGACGGTGCGAGGAATGTGTTGGCGCTCATCTCGCCAAGGGAGTGGGAGGTGTCCATATCGGCTCAGTGAAAGTGTAAAGAAACCCTTAGATCGCTAGAAATGGAAAAATTGCAGTGATTTAGATCAAAAATGTTGGAATAAAGGTGTCGAGGTATGCAGGCAGACGGGTCACTGTTGCGTCCGACATCGTGGGCTTACTGCTCGGGACCTAGCATCTTATTATAAACTTGCACTTTAGAAGATAATTGTGTGATCTAAGGCCACTGAAGTGATAGAAACGCAGGATTTCGAAACAAATCGTCTTCTAAACTGGCGAGTTGAGAGAAATTCCTTTTCTCCCTCCTTATGGCAGAAGACATGATTTTGCGACAACGCCAGCTTTAATTCTTCTTCGGTTCTTTGTCTTTTTAACAAAGAACAAGTCAGTGCATCGTTCTATTTACTTCTACGGCAAAGGTTTAACATATTATGTTTCAAACCTATGAAGCGTACTATGGTACTGTGAAGAGCTAGCATTCCCGCACTACAATCAAGGCCAAAAGAAGGGCCTACCTCTTCGTTAGGCAAATGTGGGATGTATCATATAGCATAAGAAGGCGACGACCCTAACATTCACTTCTCCTTATTTTCCCAATCCCATCCCAGAACTCTTCCCACATTTCTCCAGCTTTCCGTAACCTTCTTTCCTTCGTTTCCCCTGTTTTCCCCGGGAGAAAAAAGATTTTCTCCATGGCACAGATTACCAGACAACAATCGCCTGTTCTCCCCGAGGATGGGGGCGGCCCTAACGATTTTGACTCCATGTTCGCCCTGTTGCTCGAGTCCGGGTCACGAGACAATCCCTCCGAACTTGACCCTGTGGGAATCTCAGGTCCGTGGAAGCAGCAACAGAGCGGAACACCTCTAGGAGAGCTCTGGTTTCGATACGGGTACCGCAGGAGGTCCGCAGATGACCACATGAAACATTATCTTGACTGTCGCGGCAAAGTTCTGAGAAGCTGCATCCAGTCACTATGTGACGGTAACCAACGATCCCGGAGAAGAAGACGAGACCTGAAATCATCACAAACATTTCCACGAGATCACCTTCTCTAATTTCCCCTTCCTTCTCTCTCTCTCTCTGTGCCCCTATTTCTTTCTATCAACTTTTTTTCGGTTCACTAATTCAAGCCGTACAACTTTTAGGAGAACCTCTCGGGGACCAATCTCCCTCTACCATAGCCATGTGGCGCCTTGTTGGGTATCGGGATTTTCTCCTCCGAGATCTGTTCTTCATGACATGTCATCTCAAAGCCCTCCGCAGGGCACACGATCCGGGGCGGCAAACGAAGACAATAAGCTGGTAAGTGGGGATAGTGTTAGTTCGTACCTTAGTGGGTATATGTAATAACTAGGGATCTAATCTAGGATCATCCTTTGTCTCGGGTCGCTTTTCCCCTCCCGTCATAATACAGCCGCGACCCTCATTTCCGCTGTCGGTGCTGGCCTTGGACTCTGTCTCTTTGGCTATCGCTCTCTTCGTGCGCGCGCTCTTGCGACTTGCGAGGCCCAGGTTGATGAGCTTATACTCTTGGTTTGGGGGGCTCAGGTGGACGGGGTCCCCCGTGACTTCCTTAACCGGGGTTGTTTCAGAACACTGGAGCGGTTTAGAATCGAGTGGCTTCGCTCAGCCCATCTTGCGCTGTCGTGATTCTGGGCAAAGGACTAAGGAAGGACATTCTCCATCTCTGGTCTCCGGCCGTCCCAGACGTAACGTGAAATATCCTTTGTCCTGAATGAAGCTTTCTTTTGTTGCCCCTAAGCCATGGGATCATCGTCGATTCCCGAAGAAGAAGGACAAGGAATCTTCCTGTTACAATCCAGTGAAGGGCATCATTGCCATCTCCAGGAACTAGCTTGATTTGGAATTTGAATTTGTATTGGAGTTGTGTGTAGTTAGAATGGATTAGACATTCATAATCATTGCTAATTGGCCTTGTTCAGTGTACATAATGCAGTTAATGACTCTATGGGGACGAGAAATGAGAGACTGGATAGTCTTGTGAAGGTTATGATCTTGAAGGTCACCGAGAAACTTCACCGTCCGTCGTTGACACATGAACCACGCCATAAATGCATGTGGAATCCTTGTTGATATGCCAAATGAGCGAAGCATCCTCTCCCACCTTTCTCAAGAATGGGCTACCTATTGCTAGACAGTCTCTAGATGATGTTGCTGTGCGCAATGGGTGACTTTGATAGCCCGAGGATAGGTTCGGTAAGTGTCTTGGCGGCCCATTTCCCGGGTTGCGTTTCTTCCCAAAAGTAGACACGCTGCTGCCAGCTTCCGTGACTGCTTAAAAAGAAACGAAAGGAAACCCGGGAGCGGGCCATAATGTACGCGGATAAGTCTGCTAGCAGGAGGCTCGGGACTGTGCCAGGGCAAAGCGAGTCCGAGAAATTCGGCTTAAGATCCAGGGCGGCCCGCCAGCCACCAATACAGAGGACGTGAATGATGTATACCCCAGTACATACTACTTCTTATCATTCCCTGCGGACCGCAGATACATATACTTGTGCTGCCAGGTTGCGCATCAATCTTCAAGGTTGGAGATCACCCAGAACAATTGATGCTAATAAAATCTTTAGACCCATGCCATCTCAGCTCCTCTGCCTTTCCACCATCGATCAACAAAGTGTCAACAATGTTGTCATCGACTACCTAGTAAGAAGTAGACTGATGTGGATTGGCGAGTTGGTATCTCGATTTTTGTCCAGTAGTCTGCAAGCACCCGACATGTTCCTAGTCCCACGGCAAAGGTACCACCGTCCCGGGTATGGAACCATGCGCCAAACAAGAAATCCATATCCACCGCGTCTTGTCCACAGCTTTCATCACGTAGTTTGCTCGGAAATCTCGAGAGGTCGCTGATGAACCGACCTGACCTCACTCGACCCAACAGGGGTTTTTGTGTAAGTGAACCATAGGTCAGTTCAACAGGCTAGAGGTATACCGAAGTTCCTCTATTCTTCCTAAAGAGTTCGAAAACTATAAAAAGAAAAAGAAGAGAGAGAAGGAAAAAAAAAAAAAAAAAAGGGGAAGAAGCAAAGAAAGTAAAAAGAAAAGTTTAATCCAGCCGCTTCTCCTGGCCCAGCATGGGCGGTCTCCATGCAAAGCCAGCTCTTCCACATTGCGGCCAGCGATGTGCCCTCTGGTCAATGGCTCTGGTGATGGACACAAGTCGCGTCCCATCCGTCCTGCGACCACTCCTTATCAGTGGCACCCAATTGGTCGCCCACCCTTTCATGTATGGGAACCGGACCACTGGCCTAATTAGTCTGCCCCTGGCGCGTCGCCCTCTATCCCTGCCAATCGCACCTTCCTTTCCTAAGCCAAACTGAAACATTCATTTCTTCTTGAAGGTCGTAGCAAGAAAGTTCGGGAGCCAATACGAAGGTAGTGCCAACTCAACGGGGAGGAGAAGGTTGCAGGGCGAGGCAAAAGAAAGGAGAAGAAAACAAGAGAAGGAGCAAATAGAGAAAGGAATACTCCAAAATCCAAACCGTAGCGATGCCATTATCAGCCTTGGTCGTGTTCGCCAAACCCCTCCTTCCCGGCGCCGTTGCTGCCATTGTCGGGATTTTGGTCGCGCTCTTCCGAAACGCTGCGCTCTTGGTGGAGGTTATCCCACATCCCAGAACCTTCTAGACTGCCTTTCCCGAATTGTGGATGTTAGTCCCGCAAGGGGAATCAACCATATGCGATCCAAGAGTTCGTTGGGAAAGATGGTGATGCGGGGAGAACTGATTCGTCCCAGCACCCGACACAGCAGATGAATTATTCCATCAACCATCTAACGGCGACCAAATTTCCTAGGATCACTCGTTCGCATCGGACCCCAAAGAAGCTGGCCATGAATGATCCCGACGTATTATTACGCCGCATGATAGATGTTCGATCCTGCGATTCCCCAAGCACGCTCGCAGCAACATTAAAATATTTCCACAATCCCTATCGCCGAAACACAATTAACTTACGGTATAATGCGCTCTGCTTTGAGCCCGGCAAGGACAACTCTTCCTCCATGGAAGATGAAGCCCGACACGACGGGATGCATCAGAAGACGTAAGTTTATCTGTAATCCATCTCACCTCTCTTCCTTTCTATCCTTACCGAGGGAAGAAACTGAGGGGAGAAAGAAAAGGGAAGTCCGACCGAGGCGGGAGAGGAGGAGGAGGAGGAAGAAGCTAATCGATTTACAAGTCCTCCAGCAAGGAGAACGGGTCCATGAACAGCACCATAGACGAACACATCTCCCGGCTCGTCCAAAGGATCCAATTCTCCACCCTCGACGTCATCAGTGACTTGGCTTTCGGTCAACCGTTTGGATATATAGAGCAGGATTATGACGTCTCTGATTCCATCAAAATCACTCACTCCTTCTTCCCTGTTACACTCGTCATAGCCAATATACCTTCCCTGATCAAGTTGCTTCACTTCCGGCCCCCCCAGGGCCATTTTACCCAAGGAGAGCGACAAGCTCGGCTTCGGCGCCTTCATCGGGTAAGTAAGCTCTAGTATGTTATTACCCTGTTTGGAACTCTCCCGGGGAAGCTAACGATTCGATCAACGAAAACAAAAAAGAGTTGCAAATAAGAGAGTGGCAGAACGCTTCAGTCCCGACGCCCAACACTATCCCGACACGCTCGGCTCCTTCATCCATCACTGGCTCACATTAGAGGAGGCCCGGCGCGAATCCCTTCGGAACGTCGTCGCTGGAAGCGACACCTCTGCCACTACCTTCTGCGTCATCATGCTCCGTCTCCTTAGTAATCCCTATGCCTATAAGAAGCTGGTAGACGAGATTAACGAGGGCATCAAGGCCGGCAAGATCTCCTCGCCAGTCACCGATCCCGAGGCCCGCCAATTACCCTACCTGCAGGCTGTCATCAAGGAGGGTCTCCGGATCAAGGCTCCCTACTGCTAGCCCCCTCTTGAAACAAGCCCCTCCTCAGGGCGAGTCATCGACGGAAAGTCTATTCCAGGAGGTACCCAGATTGGAACTTCACCTTTCAGCATCTATCGCTCTAAGAAGATTTTTGGCGAGGATGCGAGCATGTTGTTCCTGAGCGGTGGTTGAACGTCAGCCCCGACAGGTTCGCCGACATGGCCAGCACAGTAGACCTCGTCTTCTCCGTTGGCAAGTACCAGTGTCTAGGCAAGCCCGTTGCTTTCATGGAGCTCAACAAGATATTTGCCGAGGCGACTGTTTTCCTCATTCCCCTCTCTTAGCGTCGCCGGGTCCGTACCGGGGGTTGAGGAGGCGGATTAGAATGCTCTTTTCATACTAACATCACTTCCAGCTCACGAGACGTTTCAAATTCGCCATGGCCCGACCTGAGCATCCGTTGAGCTCATAAATGCGCTGTGTAGACCTAGCCGTGAACCTTCCTACACCACGTCCTTGCGCAAGCCCATAGCTGACATGGAGATTACAGGGTATCTGGCTCATCGAGGACTTCGCCGTCCGCATCACGCGACGCGAAGTGTCTCTCTAAACACCGATATATTCCGCCCCATTTTCATCTCCTCTGTTTTCTTCTAGATATTTTTCTGTTCTCCTTTTCTTTTGACCCTGCCCAGAACACTCAGTTGGCTATTTACTCATTGAGAATGTGAAATCCGCCCTTCTCCATCCACTGTCGAGAGAGGAGTCAAACGGACAAAGTTTGCAGCAGAGATAGTAGAGGAATTGGCCTGGTACGTTAAAATCCAGCCATAGGAGCAAAGCCATCCTCTCAATCCTAGAAAGAGTCGGCAATCGCCTGGTGGGATAGAGTATGCTGTATAAAGCCTTGTTGGAAAGGGCAAGCGCGGCGCTGGGCAGCGCTGGCAAGTGACGGTTAATGATAAATAGGATATCGATTGGGAGCTTACAGAGCATATTGCTCAGCCGCTCAGAGGTATCCTCCTAGTGCAGGGAGCCCATGCTGATTTTGGTATTTCGAAGCCGTTTCATCGTCAGTATGCGACGAAAGCGGGTCGCTGGTTTTCGAAAGTGATACTCGGCGTTGAATTCGGAAACGGGCGGATACCTGATATTTTGATGTTCTTAAAGGTTATCAGCCTTTGCCAACAAGGTTTTGGACAGCTTCACTTGCCTAGAGGAACTTCTCCCAGATCACAGGCCTCGCAATTAACTTTGGCTTATTTTCCTTGATCCTTGGTGCGATGTAAGAGACTATGATCCTCTCTTGATCTCAATATCTCATCATCTTCCTCACCTCGCTGGCACTCTCCATGTCCCACCTCCGTTGCAAATGATCCAGTCAGAACTTGCTAGTAAGGGATGAACTTATCTTTACACCAAATCGCTTTCATACGTACACGACCTTGAAACGGCCCGGATGATGAGGCATATTTCATCGCGTGCGCCAGGTGAACTCAAGTCGGGGAACATGATCCATCAGCCGCAACCGACGCCGCGCAGATGAATGCAACGTTGTCCAACTTTCCGTCCCTTAGGGGCTTCGGATCCGTAAACCCCGTTCACTCTTAGATTTCGCACTTCAAGGAGGGACAATAGCAACTGGAAGTACCCCCTCACCCCCCATTGCCTCCAATTTTTGTCTTCTGATTCCCTCAACCATGCCTGCCTCTGAGGTGGTATGACGCTTGACCCCCGCGAGGCCACTTTAGTCATGGCAACAATGGGTGAATATAACGATAGATATCTATCGGATGAGGCTATGAATATGTTGGGTCTCCAACGTGTTTTCGAAGAACATCATCGCCCAGCCTCTCATTCCAATTTAGCTCGGGGCGTATCCTTCCCTCTCGACGACGTTTAAATTCTGAAACCTAAAGGAAAAAGAACAAGATACATTCACACACGTAAATCAAAAACAGAAATACCAAGGAAAACGACTACCATCACCCATTCCATTCCAAGAGAAACCTGACTGGATTCCGATCGATCCGCCGTCGATTGCAGGGCGACACCCCCAGTAGACTCAACTCCCAGGTCCAGCATGGGCTGTTGAGTGGCATTGCCATCCGTCGTAAAGGGACTTGTTGACTGGAAATTCTCAACCCTCCCAAGTAAAATCTCAACTGCTCTGAAAGCCACGGCTGGCTGGTCAATCGTTAAGAAGTGTCCCGCTCCGTCAACGCTAAAGTACATGAGGCCCCTCTCCTCGTGCCAGGATCCAAATATGCCTCCTCCCGCGAGGACGTCTAGTTCTTGATCAACGTGATAGGGGACAAACAGGGGGCGGTTGGGCTCAGCCTGGAAACCCCTTTCACCACCCCAAGTGATATTTTGAATAGCAAGAAGCGTTCCGGCAGTTGTCAAGACGAAATCTCGTTCTCCATGACCTAGGAGAACATTGCCTGTAGTCTCAATGACTTTAGGAAGAACGGGCTGGCTAGCGGGTCCCCCGTTTAGGGACTCGTCCACACCATCGACAAAGACCGACCGGCCCGCTTGGCTTGAGCAAAAGACCCACTGGGTATCTGCAGGCGCATGAATGGCTGCCTTGACATCAGGATGGTCGAAGTACACCGCACCTGCGTCGGGGCGCACAATCAGGGAGCCGCCGCTGAAGCCCAGTGGATCGTGAGGTCGTGGGCAATGATCGAATACAGAATACACGCTAAAGCACGGGTTCAGCTCAACCGCAGCTGCGAAAACTTGGTTGATCATGTCACAGCCAGGCTTCGGTGATCCATCTTCGTTATAGCCGGGCAAATTTGACGGCTGCTCCCGCGCTGGAGGGAAAACAAGGAACTCTTCCAGGTATTGCGTGTAGCCACATTCGCCGGCCCGGGTATGGATGAGTTCGGTGAAGGTCCTGTTGAAATTGAATGCCCTCTCCCAGGAGTCAACGAATGGTACCATTGGGATATCTTGAGATACCGCCTCCTTGGAGTAAAGTGCATCGAAGACCATCATACCGCCAACATCGGAATATTCCGGATCTTCTGCCTCGATCATCTGGTGAGCAATATATGGGCAATACAAGCCCGCGTAAGAGGCGCCTGTGATGTAAATCTTGTAATTTTGCATTCCAAACAAGTCGACGAAGTTCTTCCAGAACCCCATAAACTGCCTAGCGACGTCGAATTCATTTCTCGCAGTCACCTCGCCTTGGGAGAAACCAGTGCCGACAGGTTGATCAACCCACACCACGTTCGTCAAGTGGTGCCAACTCCATTTATTTCTGACAGGCTTGAAGACTCCAGGAGGCCATAGAACAGGTCCGTTTTCTTGCAGAAGTTCCCCGATCGAGGAACATCCTGGCTAGGAGCAAGTCAATGTCAAGGAACAGTGCCAGGCTGAACTCCATACTAAAATACTTACTCCTCCAGTGAGCCATATTAATATCTCTTCCTTGGGCTCTGGGTTCGTAGATGGAAAGAACCAGAAGAAGAGCTGATTTCGATTGTCCGTCCCATTGATAGGCAACAATCCGGCGAAGGACTCGCCAACGTCGAAATCAACCTCTGGGATCGAACTCCCGTTCACCGCAAAATCTGATATGTTTCCCAAGAAATTAGCCCAGGATTCCAAGCATTAGACGTCCTCTAACCCACTTTGGGAATTTTGGTTTAGGAATCTCGATTGTGTCTGGCGAGGACGCAGCGCAGGATTCCCAAGGGAGAGGACCTCAAGTGGGTTGGTCGCTCCTTCAAGTGTATTGAGGCCGTGTCGCGACCAGTCCAACATGGCCGCAGCACTAGAAGCAAGTAGTAGCTGCCGCCAATCGCCCAAGAGGGGAAATTTCATCCTCATTTGAGTGGCCGTCTTCAAGACAGGCTCAATTGAATATATCTTACCACTCTAGGAAGAAGTGGGATGCTGAAAAGGAGCCAGGCCATGAAGGTTAGACAGGTTCATTGCAAGAGAACCGGGGAATCGATTTGCTTTCATACTGGTCCATCAATTAATTACAACGGTAGCCCTACTTTTACCACAAGTAAGCAAGATCGAAGGGTGATCAGCTCATTGCTGCGGCATGATAATGTTATGTGTTTCAGAATCCCGCTATTGATGGCATCCAATCTCACAGTACGCGCTGTCGATGACACACTTGCCATCCGGATTGACAATGTTAAGGGACGCACACCACTCGAGAGGTTTCGTCTGCAGGTCCGCGGTGTAAGCATCCTTCTAGGCGAAGAACTGGTGCTCGTAGATGAAAGGGTGGTCTTGCAGTGGGATAGCGCTTAGACGTACTACGGATAGAACATCGTCCACATGGGAAACGTTGGCCCCCCTACATGACACATCTGGCGGGTGAGCCTTTACTAGTATCGATATAGGCTCTGCAGACAGGCAGGTTTTTTTTTTAACATCTGGGAAGCCGCGGTTCTCCTGGACTAGGACTGAATAGGTAAATACTCCTCCTTCCACACGACGATTTTGACTGCTCGCTCAACGAGATCAAGAATTGGGCTGTCTGCGCCTCAAGGCGGACAGAATCATCTGATGATAGAGAAACGTAATCAAGGACCGATGGGCAATTTAGGCTATAATAGACCGAGCTGAGGCTGCCAATTACCTCCCAAGCTTCCCTCAGTCACCGGGTAGGATCCTACCTTCGTGGTTTACCGATTGGCTCATGATATTATCTCGTTGGTTCCACAGCATACATATGTAGTTTAACGGGCATTAGGCATCCTCTTGGGTCAAGGTAGAAGAATAGATGGCTCTCATGTGTTGCCATCAGGAGTATATCAAGATGATGGTTCCCCCATTCCATATGAGGTCCGAGTCATTCATAGTCTGCCAGCTTTATAAGTGCAATCAACAAGTTTAGCATCTGCAATGCCTGTCACCATTGTTACCTGCGACGTGACGCCGGAAGAGTGGCCGGCCTCTCGACCATTGACCACCGACCCTAGACAGGTGCTAGATGCGGCATCCAGGGCCGACAGTGCCAAATGCGCCAGCCTGATTGCGAGTTCCTTCTCCTCCCAACCCGACGCTCCAGGTGTGATTGGGTGCAAGAACGGCCTCATCGAGGCTGCTGCTCATGCCTGGAAGCACCACAACAACCTAGTCCTCCGCCCCGACGATATCTGGATCTGTGTCCTTTCTCAGATCAACTTCTACATCAACAAGAATGCCGAAGAGTTGAGGGACTTCTTCGTTAGCCACAAGAACAAGAAAGAACTAGTAGTCGGGGTGGAGGGCACTATCGAGACTGCCGATTATGCCCTCTTCGCTAACGCGATGGCCGACAATATTGGTAAAAACGTCAAGGACCCGGAACTTAAGGATTGGATTATGCCCGATTTCTCGACGACGACGGCTGAAGATAGAACAGTTGCCGCAGTCCTCTTTATGGGAAGCATGCAGAAGTACTTTGGGTACTCTTTCTCATGCGCATCATGTGCTATTCCGCGAATTACGCTTCTGGGTGAGAAGGAAGATTGGGCTAAGCTGCAGCGTCGTATGGATAAGATCCTTCCCTGGGGGCCTGAGGCTGAGAGATACCATGGCGACTTGGTCCCCATCTTCAAGCATATCCTTGCTTCCTTCGATGATCCGACTTCGGAAGAGGTTGTTAATTTCTGGGACAAGATGGTCTCTGAATACGGATTCCTTGAAATGAGCGGGAGCTCAGATGAGTGGGTGACGGGGTGGATAGCGGGGCTTTTTCTTTGGGACGAGGACGGGATTGTACGGGGCCAAGTGCGTGCCTTGGACGAGGGTCAGTACTCGCGTCATCCCCCTCTGGAGTTAGATGGGGTCAGATATGCGGCGCTCGATATGGGAAGCTCTTTCATCCCCGCCGTGGGCTCGGTACCCGTTAAAGTACGGCAAGTCGACGGCGGGGTGGTTACGAGGGAGCTTAATACCTTGATGGTGGCGGGGTGTGCGGGCTACCGACCCTGCGTTGTCAAAGAAAGCCTCGTAGCAGAGACACGAGCTCTTCGCAGGTCGGCTCGCCAAGTAGACCGCGGCTACGAAGATGAGTCGGAACTGTTCTGGCGTCAGCCGCACGAACCGTACTGCATGGCACCGAGGAAACCACACCATCCACCAAAGTCTGGCCCAAAGGGTACGAGTCACGACGAGTTGGGGGCTGCATGTTCCTCTTCTCGCCAGGATGGGGTTATGACCTATGTCAAGCCTGCGCACTTCTGGTGTATCTTCGAGGCTAGGGAACCATTATCATTTGATAATATTGCTGGACTCGGCTTTCAAGAGTATTGACGGACCCTAACTTGACAATTCCACGCGATATTTCGGACTCGATTGGCCGGCTGCGCGAGTTCATGATCATTGGTGTTCTTGAGAGTCTGTTATGTACAGTCTATTATCAGATTGGATCCTATGGGCAATGACAACACGGGTGATTCGGCAACTATAAACGACGATATTCGCATAACGGCTTCCCGATAGCAGGTAGGAGATCATCGCGTCTTCTGCCTTCGGTGTGCACTCCATTGTAGAATAATACCTCAATCTTAACGGCAGCTTTTCCATTCTATTATAGATGAATCTTAGCCCGCGACGACTATCTAGGGGAACGTCATTCACCGGCTATGGCCGCTAGAATCCAATTCTCGAGGCGGAGGTGAGTTGCCCCAAAAGACGCAAGAGGCTCGGTTCTCGACATGAGAGGGTCGGAGGGGAAAGTTCACCGATTCTGAGTACCACCATCACATTGCCTCCGATCTGTTGACGGGCGCGGGGGGACCTGTTTTGGGGGGTTGCTTCCGTTCATCTCTCGAATAGATCCCGTGGGACGGCAATAAAGCAAGATGGCGACGACGACAGACAGGAAAGTTGTTGTAAGGGCCGGTTTAAGATGGTCGAGTCTCTCGAGAATACGTGCCAGAATTAGGCCCAAGCATGCGACGCGTTTGATCCTGGCAACTGATTCGACATACATTCCAGTTAGTCTTCCTCCAAGTCATCGGGGAGTTCAATGAGTTTGCAGGTTTCGGGAGGAATAGTTGTACACATACCATACGATGACGAACGTTGCGGAATAGGAAGCCTTTCCATCTGAAGGCTCAAACATGTCTTGGGGGTTCAATCACGTCTTCCCCAACGTCCGACCAACCCACAAAGAAGACGAAATATCCGAGGACTGAAGAAGACCAAGCCTCTAATGGCAAGACGCAGAAGTAGAGATTCCCGACCGAAGCTGTGTGATGAAATATCTTTCATAGAGTCTTGGAGATACATGAGCAAATCCAAGGCTGAAATATACCATTCGTTTGTAAAGCCGTCGAGGAACTCAGGATAGACAAGCTCTATCAAAATGGGTCCAAAGGCAGAAATAAAGGTGATACAGTCCTTGAAGGCTTGCAAAAGAAGGAGAATAACTTCCCTGTCCAAAGCATTAGTATAGAGGGTCTGTATAAAGTCCATTTTTTTTTTTCTGCTTCTTGACCTATCTCAACTGTGTATGGTGTGAATCGATGGTGCGATTGTGCTGACCGTGCGATCAATGATGAAGAGGGAGGATGGGTCAACTTAAGATTAGAGCCATTCCAGCTAGAGAGGAGGATACAAAGCACTAGGGTATCGCCTACCCTAGGAAGGGACGATGAATCAAGCTACGGGGGGAGACATAGACTGTAACTGGCGCAAGCCTAGGAAGATGGAAAGACAGCAGAAGGTAAGAAGAAAAGCAGACATGGAATCCATAGGCCAGTGGTTCCTTCCTCCACTTGCTGGAGAAAGGTGGTAGATGTTGATTGGAATAAGGAAAAACCAACCTTGAAATTGCTGAACAGAGGTGTTTGAACAGAGGTGTAGAATATGTAGAATTTCCACCTTGCATCAAATCCTAACTCACAAGGCAACCTATCTACCTATCCAATTGTTCCAATTCCCTCTATGAAAATACCAACTCGGCAGTTACTGTCGTTCTCCTAGGTCGACTCGCCATCCCAATATCTCTCCCAAGCCTCAGGCCACTTCTTCTCTTTTAACTCCACCAGCCAATCGCGGAAGACCACCTCCTTATCCTCGAACTTGAGCACTCCGTTCTTCAGTCCCTTCCATCCCTCGGCCGGTGCCTTGATGTGTTTGTGCCCGGCAGGGCATATGACTCGCCAATCTGGAGGGAGCTTCCCTGACAGCCTTTCCGAGCGGTTGGTGTAGCACTTTTCACAGAGGTCGAGCTCGGTACAGTAGTAGCATAGATACAACGAGCCATTGTGCCAGTTTGAGAACAATTCGCCGCATCCGTCACACCCAAGTTGGCCGTTGGCCGAGTCCAGGTCCTCGTCAACTTCCGAGGCAGCGAAATCATTGTCGTCACTGTTCTTTTTCTCCTCCTCGCGATGCTTTTCGGAAGATCCAGATCCATTCGATCCAGTCTCCGCCAATGCGCCATTACTTTTCTCGGAGTGGCCGCCCGTGTCTCCACTGTCAGGCTCGCTCTCGCTCATTGAACGGTCTTTCTTGTGGACTTCCATATCGGTGATGTATATTTGGCAGGTAACAGCAATTCGGGCATCCTCTTCAAGACCAACCACTGCAAGCGTCTTGGCCAGGGCTCGGAAACTACCCTTGTCGTTCCATGACACCTCGTCCGTAAGGGCCTGGATGCAGCCTTTGAACATCCGATCGAGGCTCTGATGGTACTCATAAGCATCCAGCCTACGCATCATCAAGACCAGCGGCATCATATTCTGAGACTGGTTGGAATCAAAATCGCTGCCCATCATATCACCGACACGCTTTACTAGGGCTTGCATCTCTCGGTATGCGGCAAGCTTTTCTGCTGGCTCACGCGTGGTACGGAACTCCTGCAGTAGGATGTTTGCAAGACGGAAAGATGCCGTGGTGATATTGGACGTGACCGTGCTCACATCAATAATCTTGTTCAGGATGGCTTTCGCCTTCTGGATTGCATCTTTCGTGCCGATTACCTCCTGGTAGAAGGCAGCCCAACCATGCATTGTGGTGAGCGGCCAGGTACGCAAGTCTTCCAGCATCGCGCATTCCCTATATAAGTCGATAAGGTTGTCGACCCGACCGGCCTCTTTAGCTGCCCGGTCGATTTCGTTGCCGTACTGGTAAATGTAGTACCAGACATCGTACTTGTTCAGACATAGCGGTCGGAGCACGTCCATTAGCTTCTCCCATTCCTCCATCTTGGCCAATCTGGTAACGATAGTTGCGATGGGTCCTGTGACCCTTTCGTCGGTCTCGATGACCGCCTTCGCTTTATGGCAGTAGCTCACAGTGTTCGTTGCGTTGTTGAGGTACAACTCCGCCTGGGCCTTCATAAGCCAGATCTCCCGAATGGTGCGTTGCACTCTGAGGTTCTCAAGGTCACTTGGGGGGATCTTGTCGACAACACCCAGAGCAGAGGATAAAACATCGAGGGCCTCATGGACCCAATCTTCGTATGTCTTCGTCTTTGCTTCATTGTCACTCCCAGTGTCTGGCTTGGCGTCCTCCATCTTGGCACGATCTGCGCCTTCCTGGGCACCGACTTTGGGATTCGGCTTAGCGGTTTTCTCTTCCGTCGTTCCGTTGGGCCCTGCGCTGTTATGCCCGCTGGAATCCAGAGATTTCGGTGGCTCCATACGGTCGACAATGTCGAGAATCGCATCTCCCATCTTGGCGAAGATGGTTAAGGAATCGAGGGGTGTATCGGCACTCTGGGCACCAAGCCTTAGCTGCTCCAGGCCTTCGTCCTTCAAATCAGCTAATACCATCGTGACACCGATGGATTTGTATGATTGTGCAGTCATATCAATGTGCAAAAACGCCCTTGATACCGCCATAAATGATTCCTTGGAGAAGATATGAGTGTTAGGCTCAGCACCTCGAGTTTCCCAATATTTTCGCAGCGATTCATTCTGCTGTACCGCCGGCAGTTCGCGCCCCAGATACAACGCCTCATGTGCGAATGCGAAGCGCCGATAAATGAGGTAATCCCAATCTGCATCGTAGCTCGCCAGCCAGTTCGAGACGTGTGCATCGGCAATTTTGATATGGATTGCCTTGGGATTGCGTGCGAACGGCCTCATCCAGGCGACAGTGCCGCCCGAGATGGAGGAAGACGGAAGCTGCGTCGCCTTCACGGCCCATTTTTGAATGCACGTCAGCGCCTTGCCCAGAGACTCTTCAGTATTTCCCAGGATACTGCAGGGGGCCACACCCAAGTCGTACTGGAGATGCTCCTCCATCTTCCGAATGGAACCTCCCCTGTTAGAGAGGATCCCACAAATGGAGTCAATGGTGCGGACCAACTCGTCCTGGGTCAGGTCGTCCGGTTCGATTTCCAGCAAGTGCTGTATCCAAAATTGAACGCCGTAGTAGGAAAGATCCACCTGTGCGAAACTCGGCTTTTCATCCTCCGAAGTCAGGATGGAATGAATTATCTCGAGAATCATGGCGTGTCCTAACGAGCGCGAGCTTCGGAGTTTGTCATCGCTTGCGTTGGTGCGTGGTCGAAAATAACTTCGAAGAGATCGTTCCTGAAAACTCAGGAATACTTCGAGATCTTCTTGATAGTTCTCCTCATTCTCATTTATCTTGTCATCGTCAAACTTATCGCTCTCGGCATCGCTATCTTCGTCTTCATTCTCTTCCGTCTCATTCGAGTTTGAGAGACGAAGAAGTCTTGATGGAATCACGGTTAGCTTTGAAACTACATGCGGCCAATAATAAGGGTGAATGACGCGTAATTTAAACGTACCTGGCACATCGGTGGTCAAGTTCCTCATCGATGCTGATATTGTTGTCCTTGGCGATAAAATGGAGCAGTTTGTTGGCAGCTCCGAGACTCAGCGGTTCCTTTGAATACGCCAGCCACGCAAAAAATCTGCGGAGGACTTCGATGTCCTGATCGGACCGAGATTTCTGACAATCTGCGAGGAGGACTCTATACAAATCCGCCGTGCTAGTGGGTAAGGCCTCCAATTCTCGCAGAACAGCCTTCTCCCGACCAATCTGATTGAGTCGGCGCAACATATGATCAATGTAGCGAATCGCTGTAGGCCCCAGCTCGTCAATATTCAAGTGTAATAAGAAAAGACCGGGGGGGGGGAGATCTGGGTGGGAGACAAACTGTCGGCTTGCTTCGTTAAGCGCAGTACAATCTTCTTCTTGGTCCTTTGAGACAGCTTGCGAAGTCGACTGAGGGATTTCAACCGTGCCAAGATGACAGTTTTGATGTCGGGAAGCAGATGCTCCTTGGTCAAATGGAAATTCTTCACGGGAATTGACTCGGAATCTATCTGGAAAATACCCGGATCACACGTGTACAGAATCTGGATTTTCAGGTCTTTCGAAGCGCAAACCTCTTTGAAGAGTTCCTCGAGATAGTTTCGCGAATCCTCTTTCGCCTCGTTGACACCATCAAGAATCAAGACAAGGCGTCGGGACGACTTTTTGTCGAATTTCTTCTTGTACAGCCGCTGCCAGAGTCTGAGATGATCATTGTTCAGTTCATCGTTGTTATCTTCCGGGTACCTAATTTCGAACTGGAGGTCCGTCAAGACTTCTTCTCGGTATTTGACATCTTGGCGAGCGACCTGGACGGCACAGGAGCGCAGCATCCGGGACGCGGTGGTCAGCTCGTCTACATCTTCTCGGAAGAAAAAGTAGGCGACGGAGGTCGTCGGATCTCCGATATATTCATCCTGCAATGCCCTGATGACAGTGTAAGACAGCGAGGATTTGCCCATGCCAGGGGCGGCCGAAATGGACACCAGGGGCAAGTTCCCGCACTCAAAGTCGCGATATATTTCCTGCTCGCGGAACCACTGATATGTTCCATTGACGTATACGTTCTCAATCTCAGTGAGCTGGGCCCTGTCATCCAAGTTACACGATAGACGGTTCTCCAGTGTGCGCATGGCAGCAGATTTGCGGGCACCGGCATCAACAAGTCGAGAATCTTGGCCGCTCATAGTCCCGGACATCTTATTCAAGGCTCTTACCACCTTCTGCAAGCCCGCGGCATGTTCAGCGCCGCGCTCCTCCTGACGGCTGACAACAGTGAGAATCTCGTGGCTAGTGAAGGCGGCATCCTTAGCGAAGCCCTTTGTCTCGAGGCCTACCATGTAGCTTTGCTGCGACAGTGCCAGATTTTGCTGGACCCCGGCATGGATGTTCCTCACATCCTGGCCGATGCCCTCGACCTTCTTGGCCGTGTCAATGGTTTGCTTCAGCGTCGCGATCATGGTCGCCGACTCGAAGCGCTCGAGATGCATGTGCAACGAATCGAAAGCAGCCTTCAGCTTCGGGTCACTTCCATCAATAAGCGCCTTCGCCCACTTGCTCAAACGGCCCTTTTGGCGGCACTTGCGAGCGATGGCGCTCAAGGTCAACATGGCGGAGAAAACGTTGACGAGGAACTTCTTGAACTGCCACTCGTTGGGCATGCGGTTCTCGAGCATCGATACACGTTCAAGGAAGGAGTTCATGATGTCGAAGAAGGAAACAATCAAGTCGTAGTCTTCTGACACGGCCTTGGACGCATTGAGAACGTAGTTGAAGGCCGTCAGAATCGCGGCACTAGGGGGGAAGGCTGCGCTCGCAGCTTCGGCGATATGAGTTGCGACGCCCTGGATGATTTCGGAGTTGCTTGAGATGAGGGTCCTAAGCTTGTCAAGCTTGCCCTTATCGTGGCGAAATTGGTTGAAAAGCAGGAGTTGGTGATCTTGCTCGGCGACGATATGCGCCACCGTGAATCTAGAGGGGTGGATGGTACGGAGATCAGTACCGCATTCCTCGTAGTATTTGATGAGCGCCTCTTGCCACATGGTTCCTAAGTCAGTCTGCTCCGGGTCCCCTGCCGGGGCGTTAGGATATGGAGCGGCCATTTGTCTCGCGGTTTTAAACTCGTCAGGCCAGGGGAGCGGAACGGAGTGTTCACTTTCTGGGATTGACGGAAACGTAGGGAAGTGAATGGCATTCTCAGCCCCAGGGAAGAAACGAAAGAGCAGGATTCCACCGGCATCGCGTATCCACGATAATACCCCGGTTGGTATTTATATTGGCAGGGGGAATGGGAGCGAGGCAAGGCAAGGGTTCAGGACGCAAATTGCCAGGTCCCATCGCGATGTGGTGTGCTGACATGGATGTAACAGAACCCACCGATTCGGCAAGATAATGCGCGCATTCGAAGCACTAGGATGCAGCAAACAGCCTATCAGACCATCCGTTGATCGATTTCACCCATTCCTCTCGTATTTTCCCCAGCCACATCGCAGATAATCCAAATCTGACGATGATGCCGCTGTCGCCTTACAAGGCTCCGAATGGATGCCTGCCACCCCCGCCCGCCCCGCCCCTGCCGCAGCTGGACAACGGATCAATCCATCATGATCTGAAAATGGCTCCTCATGTAAGAAACATGCGAATGAAAGACATTCCCGCCCGACCCACGGGCCGTGATATCTTCGCGCATTCTGATCGCCCTGGAATTAACAATCCCCCGGTCGAGAACAGGAGAGCCATCGTTGGCACGCATGATGAAGTCGAGACCCGTGCAAATAGGCATGCAGCACCGAATAGGCACGCTTCATTTAAATTAGGAATCGGGATGAAGATAATACGACACGGCAAATTCTGAACTTCTGGACTAGATTTGATCATCGATATTGATGCCTCGAGGATGACCCGCATCGTGCATTCCGAAACCTGGATCACGATTCTGCAAAAGCATCCAGCTGTGCTGACTAAGACCTCAATGATACCTGCTGGTTAACCACATCAACGGATACCTTCACAACAACCTAAGGAACTATCACCAACCTCAACGATTTACCGAACCATGCGCCCAGGCCGGAGGCAGGCCGCCCGGCTTGCAGCTACCAGAATCTCTGCGCAGGCATCCGAAGCCGACCCAGATGTATCCGTGCCCTCTTTTTCCCATAAAACGCCGTCGAAAGGACCCCAGAGCGCGACGACGCGTCGACCAGTCCAACAGGTAACCTCGAGCAACAAACGCCGTCGTGCGCAAAGCGGTGACGAACACGAAGAGACCCCGCAACCTATCAAGAGAAGAAAAATCGCGTCGTCAGACCCCAAACGAGACACGAAAATTTCTGAAATACTCTTCGATCGCTCTTCAACTTCGGAGGTTCTTCCCGTCTCCACCAGCGGTAGACTCCACACGATCGAATACCACCGACCACAGCTACTCCGAAATGATACGAAAGGCAGAGCCGGTCGAGATTCGCTGCTCCAATGGTTCGACTCAGTGAGCACGACGCGCAACATGCCATGGCGCAAAGAGTGGATTAACCCTCGTGCGAGCACCGACGCTGGCGCGCTCCGCGACGCGCTCGAACGGAGGGCCTACGAGGTTTGGATCAGCGAGATTATGCTTCAGCAAACGCGAGTATCTGTGGTTATCGATTATTGGAATAGGTGGATGGCGAAATGGCCGACGATACACGACCTCGCGGATGCTAGCGTCGACGACGTGCTCCTCGCCTGGAGAGGGTTGGGGTACTACAGTCGCGCAAGGCGGATACATGAAGCGGCAGTTCTGGTTGTTAGGGACCCCAAAATGAAGGGACTCCTATCTGCCGATGCGAAGGAATTAGAGGCAAGCGTCCCAGGTGTAGGGAGGTATACTGCCGGTGCCATCTCGTCCATTGTGTTCGGTCACGCAGTGCCCATGGTAGATGGCAACGTCCTTCGGGTTCTCAGCCGACAGCTCGGTATATACGGTAACGTCAAATCTGACAAGACTATCATCGATGTCATGTGGGGTGCGGCCGACGCTCTTGTCAAGGCCGTGGCGGAAGACGTGCGCATGACGACAGACAAGGAGATTCTGAGCGACGCTCCAGGGCGCTGGGGTCAGGCGCTCATGGAGCTCGGCAGCACCATTTGTGCGCCGAAGCCAAATTGCGCCTCTTGTCCAATCAGTTCTACGTGCCTCGCATTCCAAGAAGGGATGGCGCGGAGTGAGGAGATCAAGAATGAGCCAGTGGATATAGAGGATTTATGCGCCTTGTGCGAGCCATTCGACGAGGCATTTAATGAAGAAGACACCTTCATTCCCGCCGCCAAAAAGAACGGATCTAAGGACACGAGAATTAAGCGGGCCACGAAATCAGCCGGTGAGGGAATCGATACGAATCCTTCCGGCGAGGCTCCTCTCTCTGTCGCCGTCGAGTACGCGCGTAGATTCCCTCTGAAAATAGTCAAGAAAACGGTCCGAGAGGAGCAGACCGTCGTCTGTGCCCTTCGACATCCTGATGGCAGATACCTCATCCGGCGCCGTCCTGAAAAAGGACTCCTGGCTCGGCTCTGGGAACTACCCAGCGGCGCCCTCTCAGAGGCATCCGCCAGCAAATCCTCGACTCGGAAGACGGCCGCGATCAAGTTCGTGAGAGAGCTACAGGAGGTCGGTCACGGCGGCCTAGGACCAAACGTCGTTCTCAAGCACGGAGGTGAACTCGGCAGCGTACCGTGGCTGTTCTCCCATCTCAAGTTGACCATGCATGTTCAGATATTTACGATCTCATTTTCTGGCGATGACCTAGTTGATAAGTCATGCGAATCGGGTCAATGGCGATGGGCGGAAGAAGAGGAGATTGACGAAGAGTCGATGGGCACCGGGATGCGCAAGTGCTGGGCACTGGTGAGATCGGCAGCAGCGGGGGATTAGACTCATCACCATGGACGAGAAAAATATCCACCTCTTGGGATAATGTATAAATCTTAATTTTAGCATGTAAGCGTGCGTGCCAATCAACGAACCGACAAGGGTGACGAGATGTTATTCAAATCTCGGAAAGGTCTCCCCGATTGATGCGCAGACAGACCCATCCCGCCCCGTCAGCTCGGGAGGATCCAACCAGTACAGCCCGCCCGAAATAGTGCGATCGGAGCGCAATTCTACCGGTCATGCAAGATTTGCAATTGTATTTGCTCAAATGCACTGGAGAGTATCACCCGCACAGTTCACCTCAAAGAGAATTATAAAGGAGACGGCCTCCATGGCGAGACTTCCCCACAACGTCGCTCACGCGTCACTATGATGGAGATTCCTGTTTGCTTCTTTCCATGATCCGAGATTACCAGCTCCGTTTCCTCGAGGGTAGCCGAGTATTCAAGGGTTTTGGTTTCCAGGTGAAGAAGAAAAAAAAAAAAAAAAAAAAAAAAAAAAAAAACCTTCCCAACGAATATCTACTTCGCATTTGAATGATCGGTTGCCTTCTCGTCCCAGACCAAGTTCAACCGTTTTCCATTCCCTGAACGTGACTCAAGCTTTCACTCTGAAGGCCCCAGCACCTTCGTTTGAAGTAGTTGATCCTCGGTTACCCGTCAAACCCGTCAAATGCCGAACATACGCCCTACGCTGCGACACTGCCACTTGAGTGGGTAGGACTTGGATCCCAGGCAAATTGTCCAGTGCCAAGGAAGCTTCTGCTCTCTCCTCACTAGCATCGGCTCCGAGCATTTTCCTCCGGGCAGCCATGTGCAACTTCCGTTCACTATCGAATCCCCAGGGCAGCTTTAAAATCAGACTGTTCAGCCGTAAGGCTACCAGGAAGAACAAATCACAAGAGAAGACCCGGGAGAGGAGAGGGGAATTCTCTCACTGTCCCAGAAGCACAAGCGAAGATGAAGAGTCCCTCCAGGTGCCCAATCCAATCAATCTCACCTGATGCCAAAGAAAGAGGAAGCAGCCAACCGTGAAACGGTGCGTCTGCACGACCACAACCGAGCGTGGTTGTGTTAGATTACAGACAGGGCCAGTGCATCACAACCCTGCATGTGCTCCCAGGGCTGAAGCTAATTGAAATTAGTCCCTAAAATTAGTTTGAGTAATCAAGGACCATGCAAGGATGATACGGTCCAACAAGGTCAAGATTGGCGACATGGAACATGGACTCATGGCTCGAGCCTCGAAGCAAGCCACGGCGAGCCATGAAGAGTAAGACGAAAGAAACTTTTCCGGTCCCCACCTCCCCTTAGCGTCTTGTGCGGAAAAGAAACAACATCCCTCTCTGAACTGAACGAACAGTCTTTGGCCCTCGCGATTTCGGGAAACCTATCAGATAATACCTCCGTATGCATACACGACCGAGCATGTCCGCTCCAAACATGTGATTCAGGACCCTCCCTAGCTGCATGAGACCACCGACGAATCATCATCGTCTCAGTCCGACCGCAAAACCATCTCTCTTCACTCAAGAGTCGCCTATCTCGCACAGGTTCCCTCGTTCGAAGTAGTCGATGTGAGTCCGTCCAACGCGTGGTACCCCTGTCACCATGACGCCAAGGAAGGGCTGAACCTGGCCAGACGCTAAGGCTCTCGACGCCTTCCTTCATACGAAGTACTAAATGAGAGGAGACTGTGGCTGATGCCTAACCTAGCTTGCGAACCTAACCTTTCATGGAAATCCAGAACGGTGAGGAGACTCGGGAAAGGATATGATCATCAGCAGATTGGTTTCCGTTATCAAGGGCTACTTCCCTCTCTCTAGACCTAACCAGGATCAATCACGCCTCACGATTGCATTCTTAGCACGCATGATCGAGCTCGATCGGGTAGGCGTATAACTTTTATGAGCTAGGTTAGATCCGTCCTGGCATTACTTTTTGTAAACAACTTCCCACTGGAACCCGATAACAAGCGGCATTGAAATTGGTCCAAACCATGGGGTCACAGCAAAGATGTGAATGGTCGGACGAGAACACGACCAGGGTTCCCCAGGAGGGATGGATGGCTGCAGTTCACAGCCTGGCGCTTGAAAGCCGTGGAGACATTCATTCGTCCGATATGGATCCCCTTAGCAGGGGATCCCGGAAGGGCAAGGTCTGAAATGATGGTGGTGACATGTCTCTCGAAATCATCTTCCTCGTGTCATGCTCAACGTTCAGGACTCGGGGACTAGATCTCCCTCTTGGAAGTGGAGCAAGCATGTTCTAGGCCGAGAAGAGGAAGGGGGCGGTTGTGTGGATGGGTGGACGTGTGGATATTCCAGATTGCGGAACCAAAGCAGACGGGTAAGCATGCGCGACGGGGAGTTCGGCGACGAGAAGCGGCGAGGGAAGTGCAAACTTTTGAGGAGGGCAAACCTCGAAACCAAGTATATTATGGACCAGCCCAATCCTCTTGTTCATGATTTCCCTTTCTGTTCTTCTTCATCCATCCTTTTCGCCGTCACTCCTTTCACCAAACAAACTAGGTCTCTAATAGACAACCCTTCTTTCTTTCACTCTCTTTCTCTTATTGATACCCCTTTGTTCATTTGTTTTCTTTTCTTCTATACTACAATACCGTAATAATGGCCGCCCCAGTCGAGACCACTATCCAAGCCCAGGCCGGCGCTCCCGCCCCACCAGCTGCCGCCCCCGCTCCCGGCGCCGCGAAGCCCGGCCCCATCGACAACCGTGACGTCGAGGACTGGAAGAACCGCCTCAACGACTTCCTCGCCAAGCCCGCCGAGGTCATCAACTCCAAGTCTCCTGAGGGCTCTAAGTCCTGGTTCGCCGGTCTCTTCGACTGCTTCAACCCTATTGATTCCTGCCTCATTACCTGCTGCCTGCCTTGCGTTACCTTCGGAAAGACGCATCACCGTATGAGGAAGAACGCCAACCTTGAGGGATACGAGCCTATCAATACCACCGTATGTCTTATTCAGATTATTCCCACGCCAATTACTCGCGCCGGATAAAAATAAGAAAAAGATATTTGTTGATTAACTACGCATGAACTAACCTGGAAATTTTAGTGCCTTCTCCTCGTCGGCTCCTCTTGCGTCGGTCTCTCCCTCATTCCCCTCGCCATGCAGCGCGCCGACGTTCGCGCCAAGTACCACCTCGAAGGCAACTGCATCAGCGATATCCTCATCTCCTGCTGCTGTGGCTGCTGCTCCCTCATCCAGCAGGATAAGGAGGCTGCCCACCAGGAGGCCCTCCTTGCCGAGGGTGGTGTGAAGGAGCAGTACCAGACCCAGCAGGGCATGGCTTACCCCGGCCAGTAAAGCCCTTTCTTCTGAAGAAGAAGAAGAGTGATGGGAGGTGGAGTGTAAAATCTAGGTGGCTCAGAATGATGGATTCGATTGACTTTGGGAAACGGGTTCAAGGACAGGACATGGTAATACAGGTTCCATTTTTGTTAATGAGTTAACCGGGCGCGCTATACGAATCAAATACCCTAGCTGTATCCTTAGGATACGAGTACAAAGAAACTACGATTTACTTGCACATCTCCTTCATCACCTATCATCTGAGAATTCGTGCCAGTCATTGCGGGGAAAGAGCGAGATTCACGCCATCATGCCGCTCTCCCGGAAGCCTTCGGGCGTGTACCTGGAGAGGGATCACTCTCTTCTAACAAAGCCCGCATCAAAACGTTAGCATCGACGCTCTCCGGGGAAAGCAAAACGCCAAAGCGCTGCCCCAACCAGGAACACTTGAGGTCATCTGCGCTCATCTCGCGGCTCAAGACCCACATGTTGCCGAGGGGCAGGGCGTAGTCGACGAGTGTCGCGCCATCCTTCGCCCGATGAGGGAAAGACAAGACCCGGAATTTGACAGAAGCTAATGATGGAAAGGTCGACGTTGACGTCAGGAGCAAGCATGTCGCTCGTCCGTGGTGAGACGGCGAGCGAGTCGCGAACAAGAATACACTGCACTCAAAACACTTTGTATTTTGCCGCTTAAACAGAACCAGACTTTTTTTTTTTGTCCTCCCTTCTGAACGACGCACCGGGGAAATGGAACATTCTATACCTTGGTATACGGTTGGGGATTCTTACATCGGCTATCCCTCATGCGCGCGTATCTGACTTGAAAATCGTCCTCAATCATATTCGAAGAGGGAGAATATGGGACGGAATCCAAAGAGGCCGGACGAGGACAACAAGGTTGACCCAAATTTTCTTATTGATGGATGGCCATCTTTACATGGTCAAATCCGTTTCGTGGCGTGCTGTCCCTGGGCGGCGATCTGAATCCGTCTCATCTCGACTACGAACCGGGTGTCCGTGAGGATGCAAATCCTTTTCGCCGTCGCATGTTTGGGAAAACAAACCCAAGATGCGCTCAAATGTGGTCGCGGGGGGCGGCATCACGGCTTGGGACTTGGGACATACTTCTCGCCACTTCATGCGGAAGAATTCGACTGAGGCAATGGAACAACCAAAAAAGAAAAAAGAAAAAAAACACGCAGGAGATGGGGAGGATGGGGAAAGAGAATCATGATGTGTATGCCAAGTTTGGTTTCGGGTGCGGATGGCGACCTTGCTCGTCTATTGTGGAGAGTAGCATTCACACAATCGCTCCAGCCAGGAGATCGATGGATCCGTTACTTGTTGGGATGAACACTGACTGCTGATTACATTACAAGGGCACGCAGCGATCAACCGGAGGCACCGAACAACCATCATGGACACGTGGTGGGTGTGAGTTTGAAGTGTGCTCTGCGTGGTCGGTGTTCTCCGGTCCGGTGATCCTTGGGCTGCCGGAATACTACAGGTATTGAGGTTGAAGAAACGAAAGACTCGAAAATTGTTTCACTGATTCAAATTTCTAGGTTCTCATTCTCAAATTGATCGGGTGAGTCTCGCGGCCCTCGGGGAGAAATACATGTAGCTAACAATGCGCCGGGCTCGTTTCCTGGTTAGAACTCTTTGTGCCGTCGAAACGGGTGAAGAAAGTAAATCCGTGAACCTTATTTCTCGGCCCTGTGTCACGGGCAGCGCCAGAAGCGGGATGCGGGATACAAGGGCAGAAGAAGAAGAAGAGAGGATTTGGGCAACCAAGAGAGGCACAGGGCGGAGAAGGATGGGACATGGCATTGCGGAGGCGGGTTCGGCAGAGGGAAGAAGCGAGGCCAAGAAGCGCAATTGAAGCGCTAGAAGAATTCCATCGTCATCCCCACCTCCACGGAAGGGAAGCGGCAAAGCCTGAGAAGTGCTTCATGGGCGATCAATATGGGGATGGGTTTTCTATATTTTCCGTCACTTCACACTACCACAGGCACTGGCACGCGACTCGCTCACCTGAACTTGCAGACTTGTACCAGACAGAGATTGACCGTACCTGATGCAATCCCATTTAGCCAGTTAGACGAAGCGCGTGGAGGGCCTGTGTGTCTTTGAAATCCGAGACGCCGTGTGTGTCAGATTCGGCACCTCAGCACGGACGCCGATACACCCGACTGGGATGGACTGAGTTGAGGAGGACTGGACAAGGTCGACGTCCCAAAATGGAAAACCCAGATGCCATTTAGCTTGGTTCATTGGCTGTGTTGCTCGTCGCTCGTTGGCTAGGCCAGGCCAGGCCAGGCCACGACCGATCACAGTTCGGCTTGAGGGTGTGCCACTGCCGCTCTCTGGCCCCTCCTCTCCCAAGAGGTGCCATTGATGCCCTTGTCGTTCGGTCTTCTCGTTCTAAATGTAGATTTCTGGGGTCGTCAGGCTTGGCCAGTTCAATGCTCTTGATGCGCGCCGTTCCAACCGTTGCTCCATGCGCCGTGCTCCCCGCCTACTCACCAATCATGACCACTTGAGCTTTTTCCCTACCTGGCCAGCCAAGTGAACACCTTCCCTTCCTACAGTTCCCCGTTCCCTTCTCGACCCCTGTCCTGGTCTGTCGTCATCGCAAAGGACCCTCCCACTTCGTGCTCCACCTTGCCCTTCCACTCTCTTGCACTATACAACGTAGCCCTCTTCGGCAATCCCCCGGAAGAGATCATCTAGCGATCTCCAGGACCTTGATCGGCCGGTCATCTCGTCCTCGCAAGGCCGGTTAAATACACCTTCGAGACTGATGCCGAAGCCCATCCAGCGCCAATCTCTGCCTCTCCAGCCAATGTCGTCGTAGAACTTCGTCCCATCTTGATGCCTGGCATAATTCGAGAAAACAGCCTCGTCTGGCGCGGCTCTATTGGGCTATTCACCCACCACGTTTCAGTTTTCTTAGCATTCAGATCTAATTCTGGCCTCTTGCGCCTGTCTGGCTCTCAGGCCTGGGCAACATGAAACGTCAACGTCCTACCACCACCACCACCACCACCACCACCACCATTGCCCACCGCGAGCAGAAACTCACAGACACACCGCCTCACCACACAACCACACCACGTACACTACTTCGTAGAAAGCAGAATCTGCAAGCTCTTGACCGGGCAGGAAGATGAAAAATCAAAATTAGAGTTAGCCCTTCGTAGGACAATCTGCACACGCCCTCCACCCCTCCTTCATGTACTCCATTTTGATGTACGACGTTCTACGTCCCGGCCCCGGCTCCTTGGACTCCCGGGATGCATGCACGCCCCAGCATCTGCCAGTCCCCGTTTCATTGACATCATCTACCTCTCTCTCTCTTTGTGACTGGCTCTCTCGGACAACTCCCTCTCGATCTACCTAATCCTCTTCTCCAACCCACATCTGCTCGGCACTCTGCTGTTTCCTTCTTCCCGTTGCCATCCGTCGGGTTACTCAATATATCCTTGACCCACCCCAACCTACCTCCAACACTTGACCGGGTTTTGAACTTCTCTACTTTCTTTTCTTTCCCTTTGATCAAGCCTCTACCCGCCCGTCCATTCCCCCTTCTTTTCTTTCTTCTTTCTTTTCTCTCGTTTAGTTTCCAATTTTTCAGCCAACTTTTCTCTCTTTTGGAATCTCGTTCAGCGTGTCGTTCTCTTCTACAAATCCTGCTGGCCAGATATGTGTGTTTGATTTTTTGGTTTTGATTTTCTCTTTCTACTCTAGTTTTTACTTCATTCCCTCTTCTGGTGAGTTCTCCGTGAAGAACGAACAGTCTTAACCAGAATGTGAAGTATATCAACTAACTCCAAGAAAACGTAGGACTCGAAACCCAAAAGCACAACGACAAACAATGTCCAACTTGGAAATGAGGAGGCGGCCGCGCCAACTTCCCGGCCCTTTCAACCCCTTCAGCCCTCCAAGCCCATTCATCCCCGGCAGCGTCCCCTCCAATCTCATCGTCCCTCCTCCTCCGCCCACGAACCCTGCCGCCGCCATACCTCTCACCTCCGGCTTCTTCCAACCCCCCGCGCCCGCCGAAACCCCCGCCGCCGCTGCTCCGTCTCCAGAGCCCCAAGTCACCCTCACTGCCTTGAACCCGCCTGCCGCGACGGAGCTGCCCGTCCCCGTCGCTTTGCCGAACGTCCCTCCGGCCCCGGCGATTGCGAGCGACTTCGTCGATGGAGACTTTTCCGTCTCGGTGCAGCCGGAGAATTCTTTGGGTTTGGTCGTTGATGGTGTAGGGAGCCCGACGCAAGCTGCACCAGAAGTTGTGACGGTGGACGGTTCGGCGACGGTTGGTGGCGCCGCTACCGCTAGTACGCCAACTGGAGGTATTGCCTTCGGGTCTATCGGTGGGTTTATATTTCCTTTCCATTTCCCCCCCAAATTTCGGTGGCCCAGCCACTAACACAGTACTTCAAAGCGGGTATTGCATTCCTCGTCAGCATCATCTTCCTCTTCTACAAATGGCGCAAAGGCACCCTCCCTCAATCCGTCAACCGGCTCGCCCTCAAGTTCCGCCCAACCTCCCCCGACGCCGATAACATGGAGAAGGGCCTCACGAGGTCCGATTCCGTCTCCATCAGGACCGCCTCTACCACTGGCACTTCTTATTCCAAAGCTATCAACTCCATAAAGGCCTTCATTCGACCATCGACCTCTTCCGGGAACTCCTCCCGCGCCGAGCAGGGCATTTCCGATCATACGCCCAGCATCTCCGCGCCGACGGTGTACAACGGACCTCAGGCTGACAAGTTGGCCGTGCCTTTGCCACTACACCTTGCGAAACTCCAGGCTGCGGGATTGTGGACTGCCGAGGGTAGCGAGACCGTGAACGCCGCGGCTATAGCGGCGGCAGTGACGACAGGGCCGATGAACCCAAAGCCTGTCGTGGCGGAGCCGCTGGTTCACCCGCTTAGAGCACACAAGGTCCAGTCCGAGGAAGGAGTTACCGCGGATAAGCAGGCTTCTTGGCCGCTGTAAGAACCGACCCGTCCAACGATTCTTTATATTCCCTCTGTTTTCTTTTTCGTTAAACCCCCTAAGCGAATCACGACGTATGAGATATACATAACGGATCAATACCTTTGGGTTGGGCGAACTAGGTTTGGCGGCTGGTCCCGGCGTGCGTCAGCGGTGCTAATAATGTCCTTTGTTTCTCCTATTGTTATTATTCTTCGTCTTCTTCTTCTTCTTCTCCCTATCCATTGATCTCCCTATTTTCAACATTCCTCCTCTCCAATTGGTGGTATTATTGATTTTAATTGAGGAGGAAAGGTATTGAGGGAAAACGTTGTGTCTGGTAGGTGCCAGGGTCGGGGATACGGCGACGATGCCTTCGTGCGTTGCGGACTGCAGGTTATTCGGTCTGGTGCTTCGATTTTCTTTTCCTTCCATGTTCTACTTCCGGTTGCGATACCACTGCTGTTTTCGTTCTTCATGCTCATCCTCCTGCCCGTTTATGTTGTTACGCTCGGTTTGTAATGGAGAGATGCTTCCCCCTTTTGTGTTCGGTTCGTCGACAAGGCGGGATGAGATGAATACTCTTCCTGCCCCTGTGTGTAAATCTCGATTTAAAAAAATAAAATGTATATAAAAGCAAAACCAAAGCTCAATTGACATGTCCGCTGCAAAATGCTCTCAACAGTAAATCTCATATAATACCTCATAAAGTCGGAATGCAGACGCCAAAAGAATGATTCCTGATGAATTACTTCAAGATAATTAATCAACCCATGCCCATTTGGCCAGGACTCGACCATCCACCTCCCTCGCCAACTTCGTAAATGCCGTCAAGGACATGTCGAGGTCCGTTGGCGCACACCCGGTGCACCGATCCACGACCACTACATCCACCGACCTCTCCCCCTTCCCTTCCTCGACAAAGTCTCTCCGCACCCGAATCTTCCTGCCACAAAGGGGATTCGTGTTCGGATTCCCGCCCTCCTGCATTGAGTCCCACAGGGTGTGGGACACCGAAACGATCATCTCGCTGTTCTTGCTCACCCAACCGCAGGCACCCATGCCGGGTTCGTAGAAAGTTAGATCGCCTTCCCATGGCCCCTCGCCGCTCGTCGGAAACGGTAGGTTCTGCTCTCTATGGCGGTCGGAAAGCCCAACACCCAATCCAACGGGTAGGATAATGAGAAGAATAAGGAGAGCCGGTGTCAAGACGAAAAGGAAAAAGTAGTTGCGGCTGAGTCCGAGATACTTTTTCTCCGGTGGGAAGTAGGCATCTAAGAACGGGACCCTGCTCGCAGCCGACGGCCCAGTCCTGGTCCCGGTATCCACGGTGACCGTCGTGCCGACGTCGATGGAAGACTCGCGAATGGACTCTTTCAGGGGTGGGACCTTCGATGCGTCGGCGCCGGCGGGGAGAGGCTTAGGCCCCATGCTGGTGCGAAGCCAGCTTACGAGGGAGCTCCGCTTTCGACCGGTTTCCCATTCCGGGGATTGATAGACTTGCGCCGACGTGGGGCGCGGAGCCTCCTCGTCGCCCATGACGGGGGATACGGCTCTGGTGTCTATGTTTCGCCAACGAGGCGCCAGTATTAAATGGAGATATCTTTGGGCGGTTATATGGGGTCGGTCGCAAAAGACCGAAGGGGGAGGGAATAAGCGCCGGACTGTGCCTTTCTCTAGTGTTTTGGGAATATTCTTTCTTTCGCAGGTGCCTTATCTGTCGCATTCTTCCCGAAGCTCTTCATTTAACCTCGCGATCCGGATGGTAGGAGGAAAAGCCAAGCTGGCGGAGATCTACGCCTCGAGGACATTATTTTTCCAGGAGACGGCAAAAACGGAGGTTTTGCGTGTTTGAGATGATCGGTAAAAAGGGCTGGGTGATCTGCAACTCCAGGCAAGGTAAATTAAAGCGTTGACGAGGACTGGTCGGAAATTGGGGGATGAATTGGCTCGCATCTCCAAATTGGATGGCACCTTTCCCGTACGAGGTACGGAGTACTTGGGGCCAACGCACTCGCGATGGAACCAAAATCGTGAGATGTACTGAGGTAGGCCTCCGTAACCTCCAAACCGTTTTATCTACCACATCGAGAAACGACAGGCTTCATCATTTGTTGAGAATATTTTGCCGAATATCTCCCGAGCGTATTTTTCGGTTTTGGTCACCGATTTGGCGAGGGATATGTACTCAAAGTCCATCATTGAGAGCAGAAATAATACCGTTTTATTGACATCCTTGCTCCTTCCGGCATCCGTAAGCTCTTCAAGTGTCTCACCGCCCGCCGCAATCGGTCACACCGCTCTGGCCAAATCTGGAGATTCTGCCGTGTTCACGAACCGCGGGGTTCAACGATTGAATTTTCGAACCTCACATGTACCTTTACTCAGAATTAGTTTGCGATCATTGCTTGGGCAGCTGGCTCAATTGATTTTTTTTACAATATCCTCATTTTACTTAAGATACAGAGTAGGAGAGAGACTTGGCCTCTCCGATCCTCAGCCGCCGATTCTTCGACCTCGCCCTGCAATATCCCCCCTCACCCCACCATCGTCATCTTTCTCATCCTCGACCCCTCCACTCCACAACATGACTTCAAAACCAGTCATCGGCCTTCTAGGCGGTGGCCAGCTCGGCCGCATGCTTTGTGAAGCCGCAGGTCCCCTCGGGATCGAAGTCGCCATCCTCGACGCCGCCGACGCCCCCGCCAAGCAGATCAACACCTCCCCGAAACACATCACCGGCTCCTTCAAGGACCCCGACAAGATCAAGGAGCTTGCCCGCCACGTCGACTACCTCTCCGTCGAGATCGAGCACGTCGACGCCCTGACGCTAGCCGAGATAGATATTACCGGTGTGACCGTGACGGACGAGAGCGGCAAGACGTCGGTGAAGAAGGTGCCCGTTCATCCTGCGCCCATGTCGCTCGAGATGATCAGTGACAAGTTTGAGCAGAAGGTGCACTTTGAAAAGGCTGGGATCCCCGTTGCGCGACAGGTCAAACTAGATTCTGGCGACATTGAGAGCTCCCTAAGGCAGGCCGGCGAGCGTTTCGGATTTCCATTTATCGTCAAGTCTAGGAATAATAGCTACGATGGGCGGGGTAATGTGGTCGTCGACGACGCTGAGGACTTTGAGGATGTGGTTGAGGCTCTTGGTAAGGACGGCCTCTACGCGGAGAAGATGGTCAAGTTTACCAAGGAGATTGCCGTCATGGTGATCAGGACCGAGGACAAAGATAAGGGTGCTTCGAGGACATATCCTTACCCTGCTGTCGAGACTGTGCACCAGGATAGCATCTGCACCACTGTCTACATGCCTCCAAGGGGCGTGTCACAAAAAGTATGCCAGCAGGCTCAAGAGCTGGCCTGCAGAGTCGTTGGAACGCTCTGGGGACGCGGCGTCTTTGCTGTGGAGATGTTCGTGACTGCGGATGGTATGAGACTTATTATCTGACTATCGTTCTGACCAGGACGAACCCCTTCAACTAACAGCTTTTCCCCAATAGGCAACCTAGTCGTGAACGAGGTGGCACCTAGACCTCACAATTCGGGTCACTACACAATTGAAGCTGTGCCTCAAATGTCCCAGTACAAAGCCCAGCTCTACGCTATACTCGACATGATCCCCGAACACCTTAAGCTCACACCCCGTGTCTCCTCTGCTATCATGGTGAACATTCTAGGTGGCGCCCAGCCTGACGATTACGAACGCCTCGTCAAGCTCTCTGAGACGACCTACGATGACGACATGGATGTCCACCTTCACCTCTACGGCAAAGCGTCGAAGCCGGGCCGCAAGATCGGCCACATTACCCTTACAGGCACGGGTTCGATCGACGACCTCGAGAAACGCTCCAAAGAGTTCGTATCTCTTGCTAACACCATACGAGACGAGCGCATCAGTGCCGCCAGCGAACAGCTACGGCCACAGCAGGATGCTCTTGCAGCGCCGACCGTGCCTCGTGTAGTGGTCTCTAAGACCGCCCAAGTTCTCGTTACGATGGGCTCCGACTCGGACTTGCCTGTCCTCAAAGCCGGTCTTGATATACTTAGGGACTTTGAAGTCCCCTGCGAAGTGCGCATCACGTCTGCTCACCGTACGCCTAGGCTGATGGCCGATGTCGCCGAGGCTGCGGCCGGGAGGGGCATCAAGGTGATTATCGCCGCGGCCGGAGGCGCTGCTCACCTTCCCGGAATGGCTGCGTCACATACGCCCCTTCCGGTGATTGGTGTCCCCGTCAAGGCCACCCATCTAGACGGCGTGGACAGCCTTCACAGCATTGTTCAGATGCCTGTAAGTTTTCACCTAAACTCCCTTTACCGGAAGTGGACGACGTCAGTATTAACTCTCTGATCCTACCCCCTCCGACAGCGTGGAATCCCTGTTGCGACAGTCGGCATCAACAATTCTACAAACGCCGCCCTCCTCGCCATCCGGATCCTCGGCGCACACTATCCTGAATACCTCGACAAGATGACGGCGTATATGAAGAGGATGGAGACTGAGGTGTATGGGAAAGCGTCACGTCTGATGGATATTGGCTACGAGGCGTATCTTGCCGGCATGCCGAAGAAATGAGGTCGGATATCGGCGGGGATGAGTATCTAGGGGAGGTGGCTGTTGTGGTGGCAGGCGTTTCTTTTTGATATGTTTCCAGCTAGGTAAAATTAGACTATTGTGTTCATGGCGGTCAAAAAAAATGCTGATTCTAACGCCCCGAACTCTCCGGAAAGACTGGTCCAAAAACTGTCAGCGAAAACCGCTCTTTTGCGGAGCAGGGCAAGTAGTTCGCCCCTAATCGTATCCGCAAAACCCTACATTCTACCATGATACCCTGCGTCGCTAGGTGCACAGGGTCTATGATGTCTTGGATGATTCCATGGCCGGGTGCCTCTTCCAGGGTTCGGCCTCAAACAGCGTCGATGGAAGCAAAAAAGTTGGACTCGACTTGAGCATAGCCACGCTCAACAGGTCTCCTATTCTCACCGCATCCCCATCCCCTTCATCCCGAGGTTCACCGGTGTCGTCAGCACTGTCCACAGCCCCTCAAAAAGGGGGGCGTCATCTCGATTCAGGAGATGAATCCATTTTCTCCCCACTGTGTGGTGGCGATGGCCAACAGAGACAAGATACCCGCAAAAAGCAAATACGAGGTTCTCACAACACGTAATCCACCCATCTCGACATCGATGAGGGATTGATCCATTCTACTGTTTTCCCCCCGGTGGCGCAGACAGAGGATCTAAATTCTGAGAGCCCCAATCTACCGTATCTAGGACCAGGATCCACCTAGTGTTGGTGGGACCTAAGACCAATCCATGGACTGAGTAGATTGCGGCTTGCCCGTACGTGCCCATAGTTTACAGTAGTTTACGACGGAGTACGAAGTAAAAGAGGGGGGCACATCCCAGGGCTTACGCCACCGTGGAGTCCGACGAATCGAAGCCGGCTAGAACTGGGATTTCCTTGACTGATAGACGGCTCCCAGAACCTGTTTACGAAGTAGGGAAAGACACCCGGAATTCTGTTGTGGCTCCGGAATACGAGACCAAGGAACGGCGGCCCATCCTCGACAAACCTGGGATTGTAGACGGAGGTCACTTCGAGCCTTGACTTCACGTCAATTGATGTAGTAAAGGGTCGACCAATACGAAGTATCCTCGAACACTTCGTTCATCAATTTGGGAGGGAGCTCTGCGTATCGATCTCCCGCCACACATATAATATGAAAGAAGAAGAAAGGGATGAACAAAAAGGGAAATATTTATAAAACGCAAATAAGACGGGGAAAAGGGGAACAAGAAAGTTAAGGAAAGGGTAACAAAAAAAAGATGTTCCTCTCTGACCTAGGCAGGGATCGAACCTGCAATCTCTTGATTCGTAGTCAAACGCCTTGCCATTGGGCCACTAGGCCATCTTCGAAGTGAAGCTGTTGTTGGAGGACTTCCAGTGGGTAGGTTCGATCAACTACGATCCGACAGGCTCGGTGCTAATCTCCGGCGCTTCCTTGATCTCAGCAGGGGATTCGAGTGAACTAATCATCTCGCAACGTCTGCTGGGCTAACTTAGAATATGGTAAGGCTCAGAACTGGGGCATGCCCACAAGCAGCTAGGGTATGCAGTGGACTTGGATGGTTCAAATGCAGCCGGGGCTCATTGATCATCAGACCTCAGCCACAATTTCACAGAATTGGTTCTCTGTGACAAGAAGCCCACCATAAATTCAGTTGTCGAACAATGTTTATACTGGCAGCCGAGTATTAACTGCAATCTCGGAGAAGAGTCATCAATTCATCAGTTAACTTGGCGTCAGCTTGTGCTTGACATGAAGGAATAAATTATTACTAATCACATGTTGATCCTCATTCGCCGTAATAAACTACGCTATTTAGAGGCAACCAGGCACAGCGGGATCTCCAATTCACCAGTCTCTCAGGCACGGCACTCCGATGCGACCCTCCAAATTACAGCGGGTGTAGGTGGTATCGTTCGTTTCCAAGATCCTTCCATCTGGACCGCCTCAAAGCGTGCGTGTTAGTCGAGTGAAAGCGAGCGAAAGCGAGGAACTGGCGCAGATCTCGTGCAACGTCTAACACCTCCGTACTCTATTCGGGTTAAAGTTAAGAGTCCGAGGCCAGAGGAGTAAGCACGAGGATGCCTGTCTAATTTCCGTTATTGCTCCATATTTCGTGTGTATCGTACACTAGTCGCATAGCTTCAGACGATTTTTCGGTTCTCAAGAAATTTCCTCGAGCCCACGCGTCACTCCACAGTGTGTAATGCTTCGGATACCTAAATGCCTCCGGGCAGCGAGGGCGGTTCGTGATAGTGAGAGTGAATCGGACACCGAGATGAGGTGCCAAATCACTATCGAATCCCTGCCTAGCCTGGTCCCATTATGTCATAGCATTATCTTCATGCACTGTGTACCTCAGTCGTGTAGTGTACTCTGCAGTGTACCTCAGTACTCGAATCATTGATGCTTTTGGGTTCGAACTCGTTCTCTGTACTGGGGTCTTGGCAGGAACGATCCAAGTCTGCCGTTGCCCAACCAAAGTTCCGGCTGCACCGGAACAGAGAAGGAGAGAACTTTGAATCGCGAAATTGAAAACGGCTGAGAGATTATCTCTGGAGGAGTGATATCACACCACAACACCTTGTCCCCATCCAACTTCCCCGTGCCACCTTTGCCACCACCCCCCTACGCTCCTTTTTTCAGTTTTCTTTATATCTGTTTGTGGGTGCAGTTTCAGCCAACATCGACAGTGTTATGGAAGTCGATGATCTCGCGTCCGTCCTGGAAACAGTGAAGCATCCCTCCATCGACTGTTTCTCCTCCACGACCTGGTCTTTGTATATCACCCACCACCCAAGACGCGATTGAAGGACCTGCTCCAATTCGTCCTCCCAATCCGAACCGTTAAATCCGATTTCGGGCCTGCCCCTTTCACACTATCTTAGTGGAGTTCCTGCATATTTTCACGGCGGCGATCGAAAAGCTTGTTTGATTTTTCAGAGACCTTCTTTTTGGCCGTCTCGTATCTTAACCCTCTTAACAACCACTCCATCATGGTTAATGATAGCTTCCAAGGGACTGCCACTGCAGCCATGGCGAACGCCACGATCGATATGACGCTGCCGCCGCTCCCCGACTACACCGTCTCCGAGGTGCCTGACCTCCTCCCCTACGTCTCCGACTTTTGGCTCTCCATGATCCTGCCCGTCATTGTGTACTGGATCGTGTCAATATTTTTCCACATTGTCGATATCTACGACATCTGGCCGCAGTACCGGCTGCACACCCCAGAAGAGATCGTGCAGAGGAATCACGCGACGCGGTACGAAGTGGCGCGCGATGTCATTCTCCAGCAGATTATCCAGATGGCCACCGGGGCTTTTCTATCCTTTAGCGACCCGCCGCAGCTCACCGGCAAGGAGAAGTATGACGTTGCTGTCTGGGCTAGGAGGGTCCGCCTTGCCCAGCGGGCGCTTCCGCACCTCCTTGGGGTCCTCGGGCTCAACGCCGCTTCCATCTCCAAGAACATGGCTTCGTCGCATCCTCTGATCGCCGGCGCTCTCGCGGGTGGCTATTACCCCTTCCTCACGACAGAGCTCGGCGGATCGGACGGACTTGTTGTTCCTGCGTTTGCGAATTGGGAGTTGACGGTGGCAAAGGCCATCTACTGGCTCGCCATTCCCGGCATTCAGCTCTTCCTTGCCATCATGTTCCTTGATACTTGGCAGTATTTCCTCCACAGGATCATGCACACGAACAAGTGGATGTACGGTAAGTGATCATTGGTGGTCCCTCTGTTTCCTTGCGATTGAGAACTGCGACTAACGAACCACTCTCTCAAAGCCACCTTCCACTCGCGGCACCACCGTCTCTACGTCCCCTATGCCTACGGCGCCCTCTACAATCACCCCTTCGAGGGCTTCCTCCTCGATACCGTCGGTGCTGGCCTGGCATACAAACTTACGGGCATGACCATGCGCCAAGGCATGTTCTTCTTCAGTTTCTCCACCGTCAAGACCGTCGATGATCATTGCGGATACTCCCTCCCTTGGGACCCCATGCAGCACATTACCAGCAACAACGCCGCGTACCACGACATCCATCACCAGACCTGGGGAATCAAGACCAATTTCTCTCAGCCCTTCTTCACTTTCTGGGACCGAATACTCAATACCATGTACGTCGGTGATCGCGCCGAGAAGGAACGCCAGAAGGTGGCAGAGGCGGCCCTTCGTGAAAAGCAAACGAACGGAAAGGCGACAAAGTCGAACGGAACCGCAGCAGGGAAAGCGAGGTAACCGAGCGCCACCAAAGAGAACATTTATTCTATCTATTTCTAATGCTTGGTGAATGAAACGGCTTTTCTCCCCTCTCCGTTACGTTCTTCTGTTTTATCTCTCGGTTGGAATACTATTTATAATGGGTTCATTCTCCCTGCTCCTTAATATGAGGATGGTTTCTGGATTAGGTATGGGAAGTGAGAATCCACCATGAAGACATGGCTGAAATGAAGAAGGCGGCAGGAGCAGGTAGAGAAAGATGTTGGGGGTCTCTGTATGTATTGCGAACGGGATCAGGCGTGGCGTTTCTCTTTATTTTTTTTTTTTCCACATCTTTCTCGTGTTTCACTTGTCCTGTGTGGTTGGGAGTTGGCCCCGGAGCTCTGGCTCCCTCGTTCTTGTCACGCGCCTCTGAAAATGTGGGATGGCCTTGATGTTTCCCGTTTCTTGTTCATTTTACATTCTTGTCCTTGTTTTCTCGGACATCTCGTCTGGGAGCAAGACCTCATACCCCTTTTCCAACATCCGCTTTAATCATTCTACGGAATGGTTTTTCTAATCTTTTCCCTTCTCTCTGGACGTTTTTGGTCTCTCCGAGTCCAATCATACGACCCTCTTTTTCAGCCACGATATGGACAGGCCTTTTCATCCGGACGTCGTGGCTCTTTGTTACATTCATAACCTTTTGCTCAAGCGTTTCTGCCACCCCCTTCAAAAAGGGGATGCACGCTGTTGAGTATTGGAGGACAATTGGATCTGCCCTTTTTGTCAATGACTTGGGACATGTACGGATTCGGCTCGGTTGGCAGCCCCATGTGGAGCGCATGGATAGGTTTGTGGGCTGGGATTAATAGTAATAGTAAACTTGTGTAATGAAATCTAGGTTTCGGCTTTTGGTATATCATGTTCCATACTGTTGTAATTTGCTTTGGTGAAGAGAAGTGTAAGAGTGTAGGTTGGGGTGGCTACTCTTCGAGGGCAGTTCGAGTCTCAGCGAGGGTAGAAATTAGCAAGGTCCCATCTATCTCTCATAGAACATAGTAGCGATGCTCACTTCTCATGGATGGTCCGAATTGGTATCCGGCCAGTAGTGTGTATATCACGAGCCTGCTGAACGAAGCTCGGGTCTTGAGATAGGGGGTAAGACGCTCTCGTATCCCTTTTTCTTCCCTTATGAAGCGACCGATAGACACATTTCCTGTAGCTCGAGCACCTGGTGTGTGCAAACGAGCATCCCCCCACCGCTGAGCCAGTTTACTTACATCAAGCCGATATCGAAGAAGTTTGCGCAAAGGTGAGGTCAGGTAGTGGAGATATCTAAGAGGATGATTCCTCTCCCCATTTTCCCCTCCCGCCCTGAACCTCTCCCCCGAAATAAAATATCGGATTCCCAGCCAGTCATTCACTTCAATCGCTGTCATTGACTTCATCGACCCATTAACAGCGCAGGGGCATTCGAAGTTGTCACTCTCTCATGCCAGTCCTTGCAATCGCCCCCGGAGAGTGGCCACTCCTTCAACAATGACGTGCTCTCTTCACTACCATATCTGTGCGCTTACAATAAAGATCTCACAGGGAATCGAACAAAAGGCTGTTGCACAATTACGATTTGAGTGTTGCTCAGTTTCCCCTTATCTTGCTCCCAATTGGGACCTGGGCACACAGGAGGAATCAGTTTCAGTGGTTAATAGTACCGGCTCTCCCTCTCACCCCCTTATGTTGACGATCCCACTACGCTTTAAAGCGACGGCTTATCGCAACCGCGGTCGTTCCTAGGTCTTGGGAGCGAGGATGGGATGCAACGCCTAAGATTTGGTGGCAGCAGCACAGTGATGTGAGATGTATGGATGTCCGCTTCCACTAGAAAGACGTAGCTGAAGGTGTTGTTCTTGTGAAGGAGCAGTCTTACCACAGCTTCTCTCCCCACAGCAAAGTACCGAAACATACAAAGTCCCTACTAGAGTATAAAGATTCCTTCTTCTTAGATATTTTAAGCCTACCACCGGCAGCCTGTGAGATATGGCATGGGCCCTTTCGAGGGTTCATAAAAGTGTGTTTACTGTTCGAATAATCTTCCATATCATCACCATGCCCTAAGCGAGGACTAGATGCTCACGCAGGCGGCAGATATATACGACTCAGGCCCCAAAGCCAAATTATAATTGTCCGTCCTAATGTCCTCACGGCGATCTCAGAGAAAATCTTCTTCCGTCGACCATCAAAGACCAGACCGACTTTTCACCTTAAAGACACACTAATAGTCGACATCCCGAAGCCTACGACGAATATCCCCGACTCGAGCCCGAACCGGGGCATTGAGGATGGTTGTGATGCTGTGCTCACTGAATGTCAGTAATAGACCACCCAAATCCAACCTACCCTACCATCTCTCACCTCCGGCGGCCGCTGAAAGGACTCCATCCCTCAACGGTTACTCCGGCCACATCCCAAGGATCTACATGGTGCTTATCCTTCCTCAAAGGGTCACGGCATATTCTCCGATGGGGGCCGGGAAAAAGGAAGCAGGGAAAGGCATAGCCACAAACTTCTCTCTCTATCTCTGACCATCCATGCAGTTGATCCTCCAAGCGCATCACGCATCTTACGCGCTTTGTACTTTCACGCCTCGTATAGCATCCATGAATGATCACCTTACAATAAGAACCACCGTTATCCTATCAAATAGAAAGATTAGACGCGGGATAAGGCCGTGCAACCGCGGGTCTTCTTGTCCCTTGAGCATTTTACCCGGTCGATCATGGAGGCGCAGGGTTCTCGTAAGGCGCGAACTCTTGAGATGAAAGGGTCTGGCGGTGAATGGATAGAAAGGAGAGTAGGTGGATCATCGTACGGGAAGGAATTGAAGGATCTGCGAGTTATTATGCCGATTTGGTGTAAGACGGCAGACTTTCTGATGGTTTGGAGGCTGTTGGTGAGGCTTGGACAGGTAAGTTCTGGGACGAGTGAGGCGCGGACGTGATCTTCCCGTCTCCAGAGGCCAAGCATATCACAACTGGTGTGTACGATGCGGGTATCGGCAGATGGCTTGCTTTTGCTTTTTTGCTTCGGTTAGATCTTTGCTTGTTCACTGGGTAACTCGGTTGGAACTGCATAGCTAGCTGACGAGGCTACTACAATCTTAACGTAGGTGATGTCTCAGGAGTTATCCTCAAGATCATCAGAGAGGAGGAAAATAGGAAAAAAAAGAGGCCGCAGACCGATTCGAACCACAAACCTCTCGAAGGCCCGTTTACATAAGCCACTCAATCCCTATGTACTCCAGGATCACTTCAGGAGGCTATTCCCAAAATCCAGAAGTACCTCTCGAGACTGGGGCCGTCGATTTAGCAGCCAAAAAAAAGTTACTTCTCCCCATTTGGTACCCAACCCTTTTGTTCCCTTTTCCTCCCACGAACCGGTTTGACCAGAACGGTTTCCACGCCGCCGCCTCAACCCATGTAGCTCGTCAGTATGGGGAGCCACTGAGCCATTGCCACTTGGGTTATCCGGTTCGTGTTGGAAAATTGCAGCCGTACCTAGATATATAACACTATTACGCTTTCACACCAGTTTTAGATTTTTTTTTTTCTTTTCATTTAAATATTCCCTCCAAACCTTTTCGGTATCTTCGAGAATAGAATTACATGCGGCTGCACAGACAAGCGTTAATTGCATCTACTCGTAGAGTAGCTCGGCAAGCATCGATAAATTGACAGTGAAAGCGCAAGTGTCTCGGCGTGGGCTGCTGCTCGAAATAGCTTTTGACCATTTGTCTCATTTTGCGGCAATCAACGCACCGATATCTGGCTCCTAGCATTGAAAAAAAGATGCTTCATCACGAGTGACCTGCTTCATACAATTCTTTCCCGGATTCGAAGCGTTTCTCCTTGGCGCCGAGATTAAATCCAGCCTCGCGGACCACGGCAATCGGAGATGCCGTGATGGAGAAATTGCACTGGCGCCTTGGCCACTACACAACCCAATGAATGCCGCCGGCGTTCACTCAAGCCTCAAACCTGCGTGAATAAAGTTATTCTCTGTTTCTGCAGACCTCTCTAGGTTGAGCGGTAGCCGAAACAACCAAAGGGGAAGAGTTCGAGACATTGTATACACCATTCCTTTGGTACCGCCGAGCTGGTAATGAACCACCACTACTTCGTAGGTCCTGTTGTCGATGACAGATCTATTGCAAACCGAGATTATTTCCACGCCATCGCACCATAGCCGTAGGGATTTCGTGCTTCGTACTTCGTAGATAGAAACCTGCCTCCGCCTCGCAACTACACTACGAAGAATACTTCGTGGTGTAGTGGAGAGCGCAGGTCTGGGCGCTTGAATGGAACAGACGGCCGTTAGGATTGCCTCGCTAGGCGATGTCTCCATGATCGTGTGGAGAAGGATCCATGGTGTAGATCCATCGACTTGCGATCACCAGCTAGGAGCCTAGTTCAAAGTGGATCACCAGCCGCAGCCGCAGCCGCTGTCAGGTTCATAGGCAGCGTAGTGACATCAATCAATTGCATCAAATGGAGCCGCAGTATCCGCCATGGAGCCAAAATTCCTCGCTTTCGATTCTCTGGAGAGCTTGCAAATTGCACCTAGACTTCTCAAAATGCATCTTTGATGTGAAAACTCGGAACCTCCTTCTATGAAACTCTCCCATGTTTTTTTTCTCTTTTCTTTTTCCTCACTCACCGTTCCTACGCGCTACCAGCTCCGAAGAGTGGATCCCCCAAGACCGGCCGCGTCGGCGCCGACTTGGAGATGTGGAGACTTGGATCAATGAGAAGTGCGATTTTTTTTCCCCCTTCCTTTTTTCTTCCCTCTCATCTCTACGCACACACCCTCCCAAAATTGGCCCCGAAATGAGGCCCCCAAAACGTCCATGACAAATATTTCCATTGGCTTGCGGAGTGGTGCCGGTCAATTATTTGCTTGTTTTCTTTTCTTTTTTCCTCTGCAGGATCCGAGGATGCAGCTAATAATGCGGAGCTGGAATTGTTTGCTCTTCATCATCT